GTAGCTATAAAGATTTGCTTGCCTAGTTTAACATACCACTTCAGAATTGCTCCTTATTGCCAAATGGTATTTATTATTAATTATTATTTAGTTAATCCTGATCGTACAATACTAAGAATATGCTTGAATCCTAATTTAGAAGCATCAGGAACACTTATCTTATAAGGACAATTGATTAATTATTAAGGGATAGATTTAAAACCATTGTTTAAATCCAAAGGAAGTTGCATTTTAGAAGACATAAAACAAAAGCAAAAATTAATTTGATATTCATTAAAAACATTACAATTATAATTTTAATCATTTTCTTATAACTTTTTGCATAATATGTGTTTTTTATTACTATTTAAATATTTGGATAATATTGAGATGTTAGAAACAACGTTTATAAATTAATATTTATAGACGTATACACTATTATATTTATAATATAAACAGAGTATGGCACAAACAGTAAGAGAGATAGAGCAGCTTGTTATAACAAAAAGGATTTCTTTCTATTTTAATATAAATTTTGTTATATCCATTCTGTGAAGAATTATTTTTATATCCTGTTTTGACAGGGTAGAAATGTTATCTTCAAATAATCATTATAAAGATACAACTATTTAATAAAAGGTTCTTCCAGAAAGTGGTATTGCTTTTCACTATTCTTAGCTCTCACTTAAACCATAATTCTCAGAATCTCAAATTGGAAGCTTAAGAGTTTAATCTTGAAAGGAGAGTTTGTTGATTATAAAGGATATGATTTACGATCATTATTTAAATCTAATGGTAGTGTATTTTTAGAGAATGAACTCAATTAAAAACAAAATTGATAATTATGAGAAAAAAATTTAAAATATACAATATAGAATTTATTCATGTTATTATTAATTGATGATCTTTACTTTTGCTAAATTGTTATAATAATTATATTATTTATAAAGAAGTTATCTGTGATGCCTGATTGCAATTTCCTCAACTGAGAAGGAGATTTTTGACTTTTCAGAAAACTTTAATTGTTAAAATCAGAAAATTTTCACTTTTTAAAATAGATCTAGGTCTTTTGGTTAGTAAAATCTTAATCATTGCATATTTATCATTTTGTTAGTGTTCAAAAAATTACAATTTAATATTTCTATCGATAATAACAGCATGTTCAACATAATTTAAGAGAACTCTCCACTAAAATGCTTAAATTAAATTTGATTAAATTAAAGAAATTCAAGATATACTATTTGCTAAGAAGATGACATTTTTAGTAAAATTTAATAATTCTCAATTCTTTGATGAAATATATAATTGAATTATCAATTAATGATAATGGCAATTCAAATATCCAAAAGAAAGTTAAATTGAAAAAAAACAATATATTGGAACCCTTAAAGTTTATATTCTTATTTTTTAAGTTTGGATTTTTTATTTTTTTTTCATTTCTTCCTCCAAATATACATCAATTTCAAATTCTACCCTCATTTTGACAAATATTATCTGAGCTAAGCAAAGTGCGAAGCTATGTTAGATTATTTTTTTTGAATATTTATTTAAAGTAGAAACAAATAAGTGCGTTCGCATTGGTTTGGATAAGCTCTCGAATATCAAAGGGGGAAGAATTTGTCCCCAAAATCAAATAAAAACTGAATAATACATCGTAATCTACAAGATAAGGCTTGCGCAATTAATGTTTTAAAAACTCTTCCTCAAATAATTCCTCTATCTTAAATTATTGAAGGACTCTTTGGTTTCACTCAAGATGATCCAGTATACATACTTTATTTGAAAGGAACCAAAAGGTTAGATACTTCTAATTGTAAGTAATAAAAGTTTGAGATATTTAGATGAACAAAAGGGAAAGGGTTTAGGTAAATGATAATTAAATATAGCTAAACTTGTATATTAAGAAAAAAAATCAAAACAAAGGAATAAAAATACAAAAATGCTAGTTAAGTTGAAGACACTAGAATCTGATTTCACGAAGGGAAACAGCAAAATGAAATTATATTTTTATCAAATTAAATTTAAAATGTGAAAAATAAATAAAATATTTGAAAACCTCTCATTAAAAAATTAATATCGGAAAGTTGTTCAATCTGAACCAATTCTTCTCTTGCGTTCAATAGTTGTTTCTTATATAATATTCATTGATATTTTTGATTCCATCAAAAATAAAATCCTTAAATTTACAAATTAGAATCATCTTCTTCATTTTAATGCAATATTATTCTAACTATTTAAATTTAGTTCATGTGATACAAAATTTATTGCAGAAATTAGTTTATTAGATATTTTTTTTGATCCAGTTTTGTCTAACTTTGATTTTGCATCATGTAGGTTTCCACTTTTTCCTCCATATTTCATTAAGAAAGAAACCTTTCAAACTAAATTATTTTAAAAACACTACAAAGGTTAATGAAAATGAGTGATACAAAAATAATGCCGTAGCAGATCTAAAAATTAAGTGTTGTTTCACTAACAAAACTCCAAAAATATATCAATTTGCAAGAAGTTAGAAAAAGTATTACAGCTAGGCTAGAAGATTGGGCAAGCCCAGAAGGTTTTCCTGAGATTTGTTGCCTGCTTGTTAAGGTCTTCAGGAATTCGCCGTTGGGGGTTTTGCCTTCGCGTGAAGGTCTCCAAGAATTGTGGGTTATTTCAGGGTGGAACAGCAAAAACCAAACCCTAAAATTTCACTCAATGAATTCTACCTTCACAGATTGAACAAGTATTACAATCATTTCTTGTATCGAATGGTTTAGCACTTTAGTTACAAGTCTTCAAATATATATTTTTATATATGCTGATGATTGAAAGTCAGTAAAATAATCGCAAGTAACACATGGAATTAAAAAAAAATGATAAACATTAGTACAAAGCCAAATGTCTCGATACCAAATGTGAATAATAATCAGATAGATAAAATATATTGAGTTCAAGGAAGGGAAACGTGCAAAAAATTCAAACATAAATACTAATTTATATAGAATGTCCGCTAAATATTTGTTAAGAAGTATGAATAGACAAATGCCATGCAAAAAACAAGTCATTTAACAGCTATATATGTTTCAGTTGCTTATCATAAGATATGCTATGCATTTTGAATTAACTTAGTATTCTCTCAATAAAATACCATAAAAACAGAATTAAAGAAGTATGATTTGATAAGAATCTATGTGAACATTCTCATTAATAGAGCCATAAAATAGAAGATTTGGCAAAGAATTTTTTACAATTAGAAAGATTTGAAGATTATTCCTCTATAACATATATTTGATTATTTGATGAATAAAAGTGATTGAGTCCAAATAATACCTACTACAATGCTACTTTAATTCTATCTCCCAATCAATATTATTATTTTGACATCGAATAAAATATCAAATTCTAAAATTTAAGAACTGGAAAGATTAAATCAATATTCATAAAATTAGTAAGTATTTTTCAATATTTATTATGATTTAAGAAAGATTTTAGATAAGATTGAAAGTATGGCATCTACTAATTCTTAAACCCTTAATATTAGCTGATTTTTATAAACAAATTGGAGAAAAATAAAACTTGGATTATGTATAATTGGATATTTAATTAATATCAAAATCAAATTAAAAAGACAAATAAACATTTGCCAAAAAGAGATGAACTTATCAAATCAATTAAAGAGACTATCAGTAAAATACACAGTTTAATTATTATAAGAAACATTAGTATGTTTCTAGAGAAGTTTTGTATTTAAAGTAAACAACAAAAAATTATTTAATTTACCCAGTCTAACACCTATTCTAAAATTTCAAGAATCAGAACGATAAGAAAAAAGTTGTACTCGTTGTTATTGTAGACTACAGCTTATTTATAATTAAAGTAATTATATATTTATTTTGAAGTTATATAAACCATTAACATAACAACATTTATTAAAATGCGCAGCCAGTTTAATAGATTAATCTTTTTTTTGAATCATCATATATATAGTGAATCATCTTCGTTTAATAATTTTTTAAACCTGAAGAAAATGGAATGAAAATGATAAAAAATAAAAAAAATGACCTAAAATTATATTATATCCTATTTTACAATAGGCTCTCTCATTTTTTATGTGATATTAGGATTTGTAAGAAGATTTTATTGTAAAATAAGAATTAAGGATATTAATTGATTATATTAATAATTATTTCAACCAAAAAATACAATCATTTCACTCAATTTTCTAATTATTGCTTATATTATAAAAAACCTTAAAATAACATTATGTATTACTTATTCCTCCTTTTGGTTATAATTATGTCAAAATTAAGGTATCTTAAGGAATTACTGGTATAGAGTCAGAAGAGAGAATGTCCAAGGCATTTGCCTTCATAAAATCACTGAAATTCGTTCCAGCCTGGACTTTAACTTTATTTATAGGAGATTGTTAAATTAATTGTTTATTAAATGTAACGGTTTTCTTTTTAACTATCTCTTATTAATTTTCATTTTATTTATCGCTAAAAATCACAAAATCACTAATATGATCACATTCATTCATTTACATAGACACTTTATATGTTTGATTTTCTTATTAATAATTGATTCTAGATTAATTTTTCATACTTTAGAAATTTTATAACATTTATTCATATCTTGATGAATTATTTAACGAGACATCTTATTCTTATTTTTCTTTTTCAAATTAGTTATATTCATCTTTGTAGTCATTATACCTTTAGCTTTGGCCAGAACATATTTTATCTTAGTTTTGATGATCTAAAAAACTTTACTGAGATTTAATCTAATTTTTATTTTCTTCACTTTCTTTTGTAGCAATTCGATTACTTGAACTTTCCTTTAAAAATTACTCAATTGGACTATAAGCTTATTTGTACATAATATTGCTAGTACTCTATGGACTTTTTGTTTGATGCGTTGAGTTACTGTTTTAAATTTTACATTCATTTGATTAGTTTTCAAGTTCTTTCTAATCTTTTGATTATATTGATTGAGATTTGACTACCTTTTCAATAGTCTCTATCTATTCAATTATATTGCAAAGTTTTGTGCCCTCATCCTAATTTAATGCAGATTATTTCTTCTCACTTTCATTATTATTAGTTAATTGTCTATTTAGTACATTATTTTATTCATCATAAAATAATATGTCTTAATAGTTTTGAAGATTTTATTCATATTTCATTTAACTATTTAGATCAAACTCAGGTTGGCAAGGCGACAGATATTAAGGTATAATTTCATGATGACTTTTTGGAGATTTCAAAATGATTTCCAATTGTAAAGGCCCAAAAGTGTTTCGGCAATCAGACCCTTTTAGAGACTCAAATTATTATTATTCAACACTACTTTCGAAAGATACATTAATCTTCTTGTTCTAATTGGCTGAGATTTCAGCAGGAATAATCGATGACAAATTGCTAATAGTAATTTGATTATTAAAATCATCATCCGTATCATCAGCCCCTTTCAAATAAGCAGGTACTTTTTATTATTATTATAATTATTTACTTATTTCTTACACATACTCTTATTAATTTTAAAGCTGAGTGAATTTTGATAATTATTATTATTAAACATTTTTATCTGCACTCCCATATTGAGTTCTTGAGGATTATTACAAAGTACTAAGTTAATTTTTTTCAATTTTGAGATCTAATATCTCTTACTTTAAATTAAAATTGAATTCAATTTTTGAAGGCTTAAGTTATTAAAATAATGGTTTATTCTGCATCAACTCTAATTATAAATTCTTTAATTTTTATAATTCATTTTAAGAATTTAATGTTGATAACATTTATTTATTATTATTCAACATATGAAGAGTTGTTTCTTTGTTGGCTGTAAATTATTCTTTATTTTTAATTGGGGAATAGCCATTTCTTCCAGTTTAAAATACTAGAAATTTCTTTTCTTAATTAAAATTGGGTGGAGATTGATATTAGTTTAATGCTTATTTTTCTTAGTTCAGATCTTGTATTTTTTACTCTTAATATCTTGTTTTTCGACAAAACTCATCTAAAGACTTGCATTCTTAATTTTTAGAGTTGACAGATTATTGATTTTAATAATTTTGAATAGACTCAATTTTGTAATTCAATTGTTGTAAATTATCGATTTAATAATTATATTTAATAGTGCTTTAGATCGGCATCCATTCTTCAAATTATTATTATTAGGCTCCTTAAATTTAATATTGAGGATCATATGTACAATTTTTTATTTCTTAAATTTATTTAATTTTTTGAGTTTAATCTTATCTAAGACTTTAGAAATTGCTTTATTAATCTGCAAAAGATTGTGAGCAGTTTTGATTTTCCATTGACCTTAAAAAAGTTAAGTCATTCTATCTTTATTGATATAATTTGTTTGGGTCGAATGTTGCATTTTTGGAATTATATTGGGAGTACAAAGACTGTTTATTTGGTATAACTAACTTTGATTATTATGATTTGATTAATTCCAATTATTATTGCAGTATTAGAGCTTATTGCTCCAGATACTTCTATTTTTTCAATTCTTAAGGTTTGATATCAGTATACCTTACTTCTCTTTGTTCCTGATTGAACCTCTCTGGTTATAAATTGCCTTGTAAAATTGTATTTGAATATTTTTTTGTTACTTCTTAAATGTCTCTCATAATATTGTGTTTTAAATTATCCACCATTTCAGACAAGGGCTCTCTTTAATTAGGTTTTTGTTAGATCTTCAAAGGACTTGCGGAGCCAAACCTTCTTTAATTTGTCTACCTAATTTCCCCTATTATTCCAGGAGATTATACTCTTTAGATTGGACTCCTTTTATAAATTGGAGTATAGCAATCTTTATATATAATTGGTTTAGAAAATGGGCTTCTTGTTGGGCTTCTTACAAAGTTTTCTTTGTTACATGTGTAAACACTTTAAGTTCTTTAATTTCTACTAAATTATCTATTGGTTTAAATATTGCTTCTATTTGAACAGGAGAGATCATTTTCATTTTATGCAAAAAAATTAATTTGAAAGGGTACATCACATAAAGGTAATTAGTGATCGACCAATGATTTTTTTTTAATTCCAATTATCTTTTTGACTTTGGGTTGAAGTGGAGGTGACCTATTTGCGGTTTCATTAATTAGAGTAGTTAATTACTAAACTGCTACATTCGAAATTGGATTTCTGAATACAGGACTATGACGAAGGGTATAACAGTTGTTTAGCATTATTTAAAATTAAATAGTTCATTATTAACGTAATTCAAAGTATTTCTATACGTATACATAAACAATTTTTCATCATAAAAACGCAAAGATATCTGCATCATTACTGATTTTAAATCCGCGATCTTGTCTAATTTCATAACTTAAGATTGAAATTAAAAGATAAGAAACTGAATTCGATATTCATTAGATTTTTTGTTCATCAATTTCCTAAGCATTATAAAATTACCCAAAATTTATTATAATAGTGTTCTATGCTAACAATTTTGAATATCTTTCAATTTATATGAATATTTTAATACTTCTGAAAGGTTGGAATCTTTATTTAATTTCCGAATACCATTATATTCTAATAATATTCAATTGCTTAAACAATTAGCTTATTTCATATAATATATTTTCTAAATTTACTCTTTTAAACTTCTTATTTTCAAAAAGAATTTCCTATCATCAAATAAATTTTTTGTTTGAGGAATTTCTCTTTAATTTAGTTTGCCTTAAGCTTCTTTCCTTTAATTCATCATTTGAAGTGTTTTTGTTATCATTACTGATAATGTTCTTTAGATGATGATGTTTCTATATATAGGGGTAAGATACCTAAATGCATGTAATTCATTTTAAAACAATTTTCCTTATAACTTTTTACTTTATCTAATTATATTATTCAGCATATGTAAATTGCACTCATACATTACTTATATTAAGAAGTTTTAATGATTAATGATATTAAAGATAGTATTTCTTGAAGCTAGATAAAATATCACTTAAAATTTAATATATATTCTTGTTGTTATTAAATATAGTTAAAATAATTTGAGCAATCTACATAATATTTATAATGAGTATCAAGTGGGTTCGCCAAAAAAACAAAGAGGGAGTATAGAATAAATTTAAAAGGGATTGAATGATTTGATAAAATCAGGATGTTCAGCTCAGCTCAACGACCTATGAAGAAGGGAGGAAAATTTATAGAAATTTCATAAATTTTATCCAAAAATGTAAAATTTTATTGAATTAGTTTAGACAATAACATCAGCGTGAGTTATAAACCAAGTTTTGTTAGTTCACAATCCAAGATCTAACCACGTAATAGGAGATCTTTTAGTGTTGGAGACTTTAAAATTAAATTTAATAGAGCTATCAGAAGATAATTAATCAACTTAAATTTTCCAAGTACCCTTATAAATTAATTATAGAAAAGTTGAAGGAGTCCTACTCATTGAGAGAATACTAAAATATTTCAATAAATTTGATGGGAAAAAATTTACTTAAAAATTTGTTATCACACATGCTCAATATTTTCAAAAACGTGAATACACTCATAAGTGGTTTGATGTGGTATTTTTTTGTCCAATATTACGAAGAAATCTAGAACTTAAAAGACTAAAGCAATTTTATCTTCAAGATAAATGATTGTATTGGGACATTTAAACAGTTTCTGTCATAGGATATGGATATGTGTCTATTTATACTTTTTTATAATATAGTCTTGTGCTCATTTGGCTCTTTTTGGAGTAGGATTTTATTCATTTACTATTGGTAATCTAGCTTAAATGTTAGAATAATAATTATCATCTAAAATCATCTAATTAATTTGGATATTATTATCAGGGGTATCAAAATTATTACCTTTCATGATACATTGTTCTATTCAAAGTGTGAAATCATATATTATATTGGATCACTAGGATATTTATATTCTGATAGTAGGAGAAGTATTAGGTGAGATTTTGTATTGAATAAGGTCAAAGTCTCTTAAATTTAATTGAAGGTAGCAAATTTGGTGAAATCGAAATATTAGATGAAGATATGAGAAAATAAAGTGCAATTGCAATAAAAAATTTCTTTTTTATTATATTTTTTGTTCAGGTGTTTTTAGTTATTAATTTGGCAGATTAGAATCTACTTCTGAAATAGAATAATTAGGTTTAAGGAGAAAAATTTTAATCAAGGAAAGCTATTTCTAATTCGATCCACTTTTATTTACTATATTTCTTAAAAAATCAAAAGGTTCTTACCAAAAATTATACAATTTTTCTAAAATAAAAATTGAAAATTTCTAACAACCTAAGTGAGTTTATTAAATATACAAAACTATTGTTGTAATTTGCAAAAGCAGTAGGTTAGTTAAGTTAAAATGAATAACATAAACCAAGAGACAGAAGTAACAATATTATGGTAAAGGGGTTTAAATATAGTATTTAATTTAAATTTTTAAATGAGGTTACAAAAGTATATTTTAGCAGAAATTAAGAAAGAAAATGGACACTTTTTTCAAAAATTTAGAAATGCTGGTTAGATAGTGATGAAATTTAACAAACAATAAAAGAAACTTCATAAAAGGGAAGGTATAATTATCTAGGGTTGATAATCACTAATAATGTCAAAGAAGAGATGTAGAATAAGTTTATAATAACTAAAGAAATATTTAAATTGTAAAAGGAAAAGACAAATAATTAAAACAGTAAAGTAAATAATTTGTGTAAAATCGGGATTATAATCTAAAATTCTTATTACTCCTTCACCATATTATTATCCGTTATAAAAGGAGGAAAAATAATAAATTTAGAAAAAAAAGAAAAAGAAGCTGAAAAAGGATAGAAACAAAAGATGAAGAAAATTGATTAATTTTACCAAATCAGGAAGTTCAATGATTTTTTGAATAAACTCTAAAATGAATTGATTTTTTTTAACAATCTTAAAGCAGAGCTAAGGTATTGGTAAATGGAAGTGGTTGGAGTGTATTTTTAAACCTAGTTATGATTAAATCTTTAATATGATTCATTTTTTAGTATAAATAATATTTAAATGAAGAACATATAATCATTTTTCTTTCTCTTTACATTATTGAATTAATTAAATCAAGTATTCTTCATAAGTATTGTCAAACTTATTATTAATAAACAAATATTACAGTCTTTCGAAATTGATACAAAATCTTTTATTGATTTGAAACATCATTCAAACATTTATGAAATTGTTTGATATAGGATCTATCCATCTAGAAACTCCTTAGCTGTAGTATATTTTCAAAATTTTACAATTTTTCTGGAATCTACAATGATTTGTCAAAATTGGAGAACAATTATTTTGCCTAAATAATAAATCATAATATACTTTTTGCCTATCATCATTTTTGATATCTTTCCCATTAATTGAAATCATGAATGGAAACCTATAAACCAAAAATTAAAACATGAATGAGCAATTATTAATTGGATTGTTTAGTATTGTTAATTTTTGAATTTCATTTAAATGCTTTGATATGAAATCTATAATTTACTACTAATTTGGCTAATTGTAATAGAGTATTTATGTAATTATCCTTTAAAATTAATTCTCTTAATTTTTAATAATCTTGTAGTATCGACAATTATGTGTCAATGATTGAATCAAAAAATACATATTGAAAATGGATTTTTTCAATAGTTTAACTAAAATTTTAACTTGGTAATAACATAGCTGAAGCTGTGCCAAAAATCAGCAAAAAGACATCCTAAATATTATACACAATGGTATACATCCTCAACTTCAGCATGTCCTCCTTCTACAAGTTAATGTTCTAAACAGCACTTCTTATTAAATTAATTAATTTTTTCTAACATTTAAATTCTTCTATATTCTGCTGTCCATTATTTTTTAATCAATACTAAGATATCATCTTCTTAAGCAGCCGCAGTATTTGTCAAAGAGTTCTTTATACTTGGTATTGTTTCTCTTAAGGGTTGTTACTACGAACTTTATTATTACCCTAAAGAATTTTTATAAGCTATTGGGTCCTTTTTAATTTAGCCAAAAGGAACGATATCCTCCTTTGTTTTAAACTCTGAAGCCACTCCATGAACTTCTAGGCCCATTTAATTGGGCTTTTTTGGCTTTTGTTATATCTGCTATTATTATTGTGGTTGTTGGTTGACAGATTTCTTTTTGATTGGTTCAGTTTTTGGTATTTCAGCAAACAAAATTTCTTACAAAATTTCTTATTTAATCTAATCCATAGGTTTCCCGTCTAAAATTTTTAATGTCTCAAAAGTCTAGCAGATATATCTAAAATAATCAGATTTATTAGTTTAAATTGGATTGTTTTCAAGTGATAATTCAAACAGGTTGAAAATGCAAGGGAAAGTGTTTATTTTGTTTTAAGACATAAATAATTTTTATAATTAAGGGAGGACTAAAATTAAATATATTAATCTACCTTATAAGTGATCTATACTCTCAATTTAATTCATTTTAATGTTTAATTCAATTAAAGAATTTAATTCTTCAAGTGCTTCCAATTTTGTGATTAGGTTGTTGCCAACATTCAAAATTTTGAGACTTTTCAATTTACTTAATCCTTCTAAATTAACAATACGATTGCTATGTAAGTCCAGGACTTCTAATTTGGTGAGATAATCTAAGTTTTGTATTCGTCTGATTTAATTTTTTGGTAGCAATAGCACTTTCAATTTTTAAACTTATTTTAATTCATCAATTTCTTTAAGTTAATTGTCATACAAGTCTAGATATAATAAATTTGGTAATGAAACAAGATTTTGGATTGATTATATTCTGTTATGTTGATAGGTTAGAATTTTTAGCTTTTCTTCTCCTTCCAATAATGGCATATGAGTCAAATCTAAATAATCAAGGCTTAATTTTTCTAAGTTATTGGATCTTTCCGTGGGTCGTCTGTAGCAAACCCAAATGCCAGGTATTTATTATAATTCAGAGAAGATAATGTTTCCTCCATTCTCAATCTTTTTGATTGTTCCATTTTTAACCAAATATCGATACCTTCAATTTAGTAGTAAACCTTTACCTCTCATCTATTTCAACCTGAAGTATATCTTGAAACTCTTAAGAATAGCAGAGTATGTCATTTTTAGTTTTCTTTTTTGTAATTTCTGGCAATTAACTAGATATTGGTGTTTGATTCGATTGAGGTGCCTTGTTTGTTGTTTTTTTGGAAAAACCTGTAGAGTAGGTGGCATTAGCTTCAGAAGATCTTTGATTCTTATTTGGAGACATGGACGATTTTGTCTAGTCAAATTAATTTGAATTGTTACATATGCATAGCGAGATTCTTTGTTCATTAAAATAATAATGTATAAAAATGAACTAGACTACACTGCAAACTTAAAACTTATCGATGATATCACTATAAAAGAATTCAAGCAATATGAAGTAGGTCATAGAAAGACATATTCATAACCAGATCAAGTCCAATTAAAACGCCAACCTGATAGATTGGGTACAAACCATTATAATTATTACAAGAAATTTTGATCAATTAAAGCATCACTTTACAAATGTATCCAAGCATCTTCAAATATATAAAGATTAAAGTTAAGGAATTAGCAAAACCATTGAATTTTGTCTATGAATCTAACAATACTTAATGTTTGATTAAGATATTTGTATCATCAATAACTGATAGTCCAAATATATTAAATAATAGTTTATAAGTGATTGTAAAAATAGCCATTAATAGACTAGAATAAATCAAGATTTTAATTTACAGAACCACCATCTCATATCACAAAATTCAAATGCGATTATGTATACTTGTCAATATACACTGACAAATACACAGATTTGAAGATCAAAGCAGTAATAGGGGTTCATTAATTGAACACGAATAGAAGCCTTCAGAAAAGATAATAAACTCCAATGCTCTAACTTCCTAGAGAATTATTGACATCTCGAGAACCAGGCAGTTATACTTATCGAAGTAATCTCTCATGTATGATTATTAATCTGAATGTTGGTAGTGCATAAGCCGAAAACAAGCTCATCATTTATTCGATCTAATAAGGAATCGTAAGTGAAATTCAAATTAATATTGGATTTTAAGATAAAACATACTAAACAAAAGAATTCATTAATAGAAGAAATGATGAAAAAAAAGTCTACCATATAGTATAATAAGAAAGTGCATTTGCTGGAATCTTCTTACACTCATGAAATAGACAGGTTGCAATCAAGAGTGCAAAGATTAAGAAGTGAAATCAAGTTCCATATCAGCAACATTGATATCTTATGGTTAGAATTACTAGTTATTACATTGCTAGCGAAAAAGATCAAACATTAATATTATGTATGTCTAAATTTAAATAGAAACGAGTCATGAGAATAGTTATTAGTAATAAGGTTTAAGTTTGTTGTAGAAAGTTCATGAGAATTATGCTAAACAAGATCAGCAGCAGATATTAAAATGGAAAAAAAGAGGCTGTCTATCTTGACACAAATATTCTATTTTATTTTGGAGCTAAACTCATGAGAAACAATGCTACTAAAAGGGCTTATTCCATTCTCAATCATTTTCTGTATAGATATGGTCATCTTTCCAATGGAATGAATAAAATGCAATCATTTTATTTGAAGATTAAATATATTTAACAGAAATGGAAATAATTCAAGAAGTCTGAATCCAACTACTTAAATAGGGTTGCCGATCAAATTATTGATAAATGGGGTTTTTTATATAGAGAAATTATTGGGGAACTGTAAAATGCTCCTAAGTCTGCTCCTGCTCAAGACAAAAAAGTGCTCTTAGAAACAATATCTGATAATCTTAACAATTACAAAAGATCCTTTCTTTAATTGAATAATATATTTGAGAAATTGGCAAGTGGACCAACTGTTTTTAGACCAATGAATAATATTATTATGAAGGATATCATGCATCAATATGTAATAAAAAAAGGCAATAAATTTTAATGATTTACATATATTTATTTCATATATATAAATTATTGTATATAAGTAGATTAATATATGATGAGTCAAGATTTGATGTTGCTATGACAGATCTTGTTTAGTATATAAAACTTTTACTTCAGCAATAATAGATTAGAGCGATTCCATAAGCAATTCATCCATCTGGCTAATATAAGAAATCATTTACAAATGGGAAAAATTTAATCATACATTTAGGATTATTTTCTCTTATTATTGACTCTACATTGAGATCACGCTATAATAGTATAGCTGCATTAAAGAACCGATAGTAATTCTCTATTATTATTAGGTTTTGGTCATACATACCTGAAAAAAAGAGAGAGTGCTTGTGCCTTGGATTATTCTCGACCCAAAAATGAAGACCGAAATGTTTCTCATTGACTTCATATTCTCTATAAAAGAAATCGTAATCAAATGTCTAACGTATATTTTGTAAATTATCAGTAGTGATTGATCTATTTCTTGTTCGCTTCAAGAGTTGCAAAAATTCTTATTCATTCATCTTCAATTTTGGGGAATAGATCAAGATTTTCAACTAACATAAGTCCTCCATTCCTTCATCTGCAGGTATGAAGTCAAAGTTGAGAAAAGCAGATTCTGATAAACTCTTTTTTCTTGAACTCTCTCTTATTACTATCTGTCCAATTTATTCATATTTCTTTAATCATAAAATTACCTCATACTTTCAGATATTCCTCACATGTTTGGGCATGCAGAGCTCCACTTCTACGACGCCTTTCATGAATTGGTTGTTTTTATTATTATTACATACCAAATTAAAAATATTTTAATATAAAAATTGGTCATTAAGATTCTTTATCATTTGTTTTAGGGGCTAAATACAATTTCAAAGATCTCATACCTTAAATTTTCTACTAGAGCACTAATAGCTGATCTTAAGACATTGACAATATCACTTAAATTGATAATGCAATTACTTTATTAAACAACTTTGAAATACCAATCATAATCATTATTATATTACCTCACAGCAAAACTTAAATTCACTGTCTCACCGACTTCATATTCTACACTCTCCTTTAGCTTCTCTGATTTATTGATTTTAACAGAGACCTTTTTTTTCCAATCTCCCTTAACATAAAATTTTATTTCTTCTTTGGATGTTTCAATGCCAATTGATTCGTTAATATTTTCTAACTCCCTTTAAAATCTTTTGAATTCATTTGATGGTATACTAACTGTTGAGGAGTAGTTTGTTTCAGGTACTTTTAACTATTTCTAATCTAGGATATTAATTCAACAAAATTTCACATATTCTATCTAATCTAATCATATCTTAAGTACATTTTCATTCAAATGTTAAGGATAATTTTTTTAGTCCTTCATCATAAGTTCTCAAAGATATTTGATCTTCTTTCCCAGAACATCTAATTAATTTTTATTAATTTTCAATACTCAAACCCATAGTTACCTTTCACATCAGTATCTCTTGAAAACCTTCTCATTTAATTACTATGCTAATATAGCTGCATGCGAAGTATCCTTAGCCTTATTGTATTTAATCATTAGTTACCCATAATGACTGTCCCATTCGCTTCTAAATTTACATTATTTACTAATTTCTTAATTGCCTCAACAATCTTCTTAATTAATACTCCATTCCCAAATTTGACTTGAAAAATTTTAAATAATTCAAGAGGGAATATTACTATTTCATTTGTCAAGTAATTAGTAAATTGTTGTAAAATATATTTCTAAATTTAATTTTTTCATAGAAGTAATTCTATAATTATCTGCATCATCATTTTATAACTTAAAGCTGAGAGATATTTATATTGTTTTATACTAAGCTATATTTCCCTCTTTGGAACCCTAAACCTCTCATATTATTGTATTTTTATTTTATTTATCCATTTAAAAGGTTTGCCAAGATTGAATTCAGGAAAGATAAAGGATTAAACTTTTTATCAGAGTCTAACTTCATCAAAAAAATCTAAAACTATTTACATGGCAAGTTAAGATCCTTGGTCAAATATCATAATCGCTCTATGCAATTTATTGATCAACCGCTGAGAATGAGCTAACATTCATGAAAAGAAAATAACTTAAATAGTAAATACTGAAATTCATTAATTCAGAAATTATAAATAAGTGATTTTGAAATAACACACAAAATGAAAAAGCGAAATATTTACAATAACTTTTTACAATTCTATATACAATCAAAGAGCTGGGCAATCTATTGAGATTTCATTTTTTTTTCTATTTACAAATTTATTCCTTCTCAATGAAAACTGATCTATGGGTTCAGTTAAGTTTGAGTAATAATCATCTTATTTTCTTTTTGGATCCGTGCAAAATTACAAATTTGATTTTCTTAGATACTCCATAATCGATTTGATCTTTGGATTGGGTTTGTGGTACATCTCTAATTCTATTGAGTCTAAACTTGAGTTTAGGGAGTCTTGCATTATAATTAATGAATTTATATTAATAAAACAAAACTTATTAAAATTTCCTTTTAAATGATCATAATAATATTAAAATTAAATGATAAAACCGAATTTCAAACATTTTTTTCAATAATTTTTTTTACAAAAAATCGCTAGATATTCTACTATTAATAAGCATAAGATTATTTAATTAAATAACGATTGGATAAGTTCATCTCCTGTTTGATAATTAGTTATCATTGTGTTGAAAAGCAAGAATAGATTTTTATAGAAATTTTCCGTTTTCCTATTAATAATATAAATCTAGTATTAGAAAAGAATCAGAGTTAATTTTCACAAGTATAAGTTGACCCATAAGATGTAAATTATTAAAACAAAAATACATATTTATATTATAAATTTGCAAATTTTTATTTGAGAAACATGGAGATTATTATCTTCTTAAACAAAGTGATCCAGGAGTAAGTAAATAATTTATATTATATATTTGATCCTTTAGGGGTTTATAATGATGTAGATTTTGTACTCATAGGCAAAACAAAAGTTTCTCTTAATTAATTAAGGTTATATATAATTTTTATGAATTCAAAGGTGCGCTTTGAAATAAATTATTATTGAATAATAGATTGGGAGTTTTATCTTCAATTTCGATTCAAGAGAACTTATTTTAATGTTTGCTTAGTGCAATTTTTATTTTAGGTTCATAATATATATTTTTCTATTTTCATGAAATATTGATTATCCTTTAAATTAAATATTAAGTGGAGTTTTTATTGCTTTATTAGATATTCTTAACATTCTTCTATGATTTGCTTACATTATCTCTTACTTTATAGTTTTTTTTTATTTTCTGTTTACAACATAGATGAGGTATCATTTATTTGAATTTATGTATAGTCTCTTATTATTATCTAATTCATTTTAGTATTAGTGGACTATTAATAATAGCTATTACTTCTCATTAAACTATTTAATTATTAAAATTCTTACAGTCTCCTATTATAAGTATTATGATAACTTGAAATTTGGGTTAGGTATGATAGCCTTATTATATATTTTGAATAAGTCAAACAGAAATAACAAAGTGTCTTTGTCTTTAAAAACTAATAATTTGAGAACTTATTTTTTTAAAATGAAAAAAATAAATTACATAACAATAGTAATATAATCATGAAATTTATATCGTTTTTATTAATAATTACATTCGCAACTGGGCACTTATAATTATTAGAAGATTTAAAATAAACTTCATTTGGATAATCATTAGAATAGACTATCTTACTGCAACTTCAGTATGATGAGAATAAGTATATTAATATAATGAAATTAGATTGAAATCAATTTTGTAAGAGATTTATAGTTCTATGAATGAAGAATAGATTATCGATGATGCTAATTTCAGACAAGAATATGAAAATTGCAATACTAATGATTTATAACATGATATAATTGCAATCAAGTATGAGGAATCATCTATAAAATAAAAAATGAAATTGTTAAACAATTCATTCGAATTATAAGTTTCCTAATAAAAACAAAAAGAACTACAATTTAATTAAGAATAACTTAATTAATACAATAAATAAATGGAGTAAGAGAAACAAAATCAAGTTCAAAATCTCAAAGAATGTGATGTAGGTAAATTTTTACAAATTAGGAATTATTGGAACTCCTACAATATCTAAGATTCTAATTTGAAAAGAAAGTGTTGAGTTAACTTAGCAATCAGAAGAGCCAATACTTATTGCAATTAAAACAAGAGATGCAAGATCATATAAAAATTATCAACAAAATGATAAAAAAGCAAGCATATAATAATTTTATTAAGCTCTTAATATCTTAGTTTGAGAAACAAGATTAAAATTTTGAAAAGTATTCATATTCGAATTTTATTAGGTTACATAAAATAATCCTCTAAATACAAGAAATAATTGAGTAAAATAGAAATTAAATTAGAAAGCAATTTGATGAAGATATCAAACATCTCTAAACAAACATCAATTATTATCAATAAAATATCTAATAAATTAAACAAGAAATCTAATTATTACAAGTATGAAAAATTGATAACACTATTTAGGAATAATAAGTATAAATTGAAAAAGAACTCAAATATTTCTAAGAATAATTGAATAAGATTACAGAGATATATGAAATTAAGAATTAATTGTAAATTGATAAAGACAACATGTGTAAAACCTTGGCTGAAGACTATAATGATTATAGAATTTTCAGAAATAGCTAAATTTAATAATTGGTTAATATATTAAATCTTGTAGAAAGAGACCTGTTTTTGATTAAAGATCATTATGTATTAAATGGATAATTGAGATAATGAAAAATATAATATAAATATAAAATTAATGAATAATCGAACATCCATTAATGTTGAGAATGAGAATGAATATGATGAAAATTGTAGTGTTGAATATGTAAATTAAGAGTCAGAGTCGGAAGACTATGATAATAACTAAAGCGATTACAATGTTGACTCTCCTTTGTCTCCATGTTATGACAATTTATTAAAAGAATAACATCCCTTCTTGTAATATTAGAGTATATCTAATTCCATAATAAGCAAATAGAAATTGCCTTAGAAAACTATTTAGATCCTTTTTTTAAAGTGGGTTAGAAAGCCTATTCTAAAGATTGCTTTTTTGATGAGAAGTAATACCCTTAAGAATTCATTGATCATATCAAATTCGCAGATTTTCAAACTTTCAGTTTTAGTGTTTTAAAGAAAAGCGCTTCTTTTTTTGGTACAATAAAGACTTAAATATATTTCTAATATCAAAAGGAGATAGATCTCAAAAATTGTGTATTGACACTTAATAATGATTAAAATGAAATTGTAAAAACAATACTATATCATATTTTATGTTTCACTAAAGAAATAGACTCCTTAAATCAACCTATATTCCATCGTATATATAAATTTAAATAATTTAAGTACAAAAGGCTTTAGAGATTATCGCTCATCAGGAGTAGACAATAAAAGATGAAATTTACATGTAAATAGTAAAGCAGATTTAAAACAATAACACATCATATTTGATTTATTACTATTAATTGATGGCAGTCTATGCCACTATGTTCTGTCCAAGCAAAAATTATTTTAAGCCTTTATTCAATTATTTTTATTAAAGAAAGGAAAATAATTCCTTACATTAAAATTATTGTAATTTCATTTTAAATAGAATTTATCGCAATTATACAACAAAGAGTGGTAAATTTAAGTATATTTTTTAGATTAACTATTTCTCACTGAGTAGGATATAAACAAGGTAATGCATATGAAACCATTAATATATGAAATATTTTTCTACCATTTTGCAAAGTTTCAGTTGGAAATGTAAATTGATGTTAAATGTGGCGATATATTGAATTATATTGCAGAATAATTAAATTTAAATCATCGAAACTCTTTATGTCTATGTTTAATTAAAACAAATAAAAGAATAAATGAAATTTATTTAGATGATGATGATTGTTTATTCAAAATTATCAAAGATCACATTTAAACTTATAATAAATTAACAGAAATTGTTAACACTCCCTAGCCTTCATTTAAATTAGTGATTAAATTAATTAAAATATCATCACCATACTAAAATTTAGAAATATTCACCTTAGCATATATGATAGCCATTTAGGATTATTTAAATGATGTAAAATTATGGAATATATTTTACAGTTCTTCCCATTGGATGAAGATGAAATAGAATTGATTTGTTCCCTTAAATTGGCTGCTGACTACGGTCCAAAAAGACATTTTAAAGCTGAATAGATTGATTTGAATGAATATATTCCTTTATTTAAGAAGAATACCTTTGATTCAAATGAGAGGTTGAGTAAAATTATTTAACTTTATCATTAATAAAGAGTGATTAATTCAAGAGATGCAAGATATAAGATTCTTCAGATTTTAGACTAATACCCTCGATTTTTAGGTACGACGTTTAAGTGCTCATTTAAAGAGTTAAGCTAAATGAGCAGTACTCCTAATTCTAAAATAATATTAAATATCACTTTTAGAGGTTTGATTTGTAGTCTTCCCTCAGATTAAAGAGAATATATTTGTCATATCGACTACGACCTAATAATCAATTTTTGTAAAACAAATAATCGGACTTTGCATATTGTAACTTTAGACAAGCAAATATATTTGACATTTTTGAATCATTTGGAATGCTAATAAGTTTACTAATTTATCTTAAAACATGAAAGTTAAATTTCATGTAATGATTTCAATTATACAAATTTATCATGATTTATAATAAAATCAAAATAAAATTTAAGTCATATTTTCATAAATAATATCTGAATTAATGACCATCAAAATTTCTAGAATGTAAAATTCAATTATTTTTCAATCATATTTAATTTTAATACTAAATTCTATATATAATAGCTTTTTAATCTAATGAGAATCAATAATTTATAAGGCAATTAAATAATTCAAATTCTAGATCAAAAGTTAATTTATTCGAATGATCTAAAAATAAAACTTTGTCCGATTATTTTTTAGAAAAATTAGGCAAAGAATAGAATAATGTTGATTTAATGCTTTATTGTAATCAATCATATGTCATATAAAGAAAGCTTTCAAGAAATTTTATCAAATTGGAATAGTTTAATCGATAACATTAATTGGAAAATTTTGAAACATAGACTCGACTTGATATATCGAGGATATTTAAGTATAATTGAGATTGTTTTTTGGAAGAAAAGGACTAATCAATATCAAAGAGAGTATAAATTATTAATATTTAAATTTTTGTAAATAATTCTTATTTATTTAATATATGAAACCAATTTTTGATGAAACTCATGAGAAAGAACTTTAAAAATACAGATAAAAGTTTGGAACTATGTAATTTCATGATGGACTTCAGACAGAAAGAAAGGAATTCTTCAACAATTACCTTGATTAAGAACCAAAGACTTGTAATTAAAGTCCAACTTAGTCTAGATTGGAAAAGAATAAATTTTCTCTATCTCTAAGTAATTTATAAACCTAAAGATCACTCGCACAGTCTTCAGCTAGAAAAAGCTAACATGACAGGAGAAGACTTGTAAATAGATAATCTGAATAAGTTATTACAACTAGTAACAACGTTAATTATGAATTTTCTTTTCCTAAATGGATTTCAGAAAGAAATGATTTTCAAAAATGGAAATCTCATAGGTATTGAATCCATTAAATGGTTATTAAGTGATTTCGATATAAATTTAAAGATTGTCTCAATCTGCAGGATGGAAACTTTCAAAAGAGATGCTGCTTAAAAATAAATTGTAGCATTATATTTGCAAAAATTGAGTCTATTCAAATTAATGCCTTTAATGCTTTTGCAAGAATTGGCAGGCAGATTAACATATAAGGAGATTAAATCTGAATAAGATTTAACTTTGTGTAAAGTAGGGGATATTGGGAACTGTATGTATATCATTTTTTAAGGAACAGTGAAAGTGATGATAAAAGTATACGCATCAGTATTAAATATTTTAGGATATGTGTGTAAAAGAATTCCATGATAATGAGCATCTAGGAAGATAAGCATTAGAAACAGACGCTCCTAGAAATGCTACTTTAATTTGTACTTAAAATTCTCATATTTTAATTTTGAGTAGATGGGATTATTAATAATGTTTGAATAACCTGTTTAAAATAGAGAGACCTAAGTGGGTTAATTTTATCAATTAAATCCATTTTTTTAAGAATTTTCAACCTCATAAAATCCAAAGATTATGTGAGGATCTGAAAGGCAAATTCATGTCAGCAAAGGATTGTCTCTATAAAGTTGGAGACCCTATAGATAATTTTTATATTGTTAAAAATGGTGTACTAGTTAAAAAGGTTGTTGTCAATTTAGAAAAGTCGAATAGATGGCCAGTAAAAACTAAGGTATGGTTGTAAAATACTGTTGCAACGAGATAGGAAATTACTATTAAATATGAAGCCTAATCATTATTAGGATATTATGAAATTGTAACTTAAGAAACATTGGGATTAAAAAGTAGAACTGAAGAAATAAATGCATTCGATGATTGTTTTTTGTTATATATTCCAAGGGCTAAATTTCAAGATATTTTTGATGTGGATGATTAAAAAAGATTTCGAGAATTATTTTTAAAATTGTATCCTACATCTTTTGATCAATTAATGGAAATGGTGAAATAATAGGATGAAAAGAAAAAGTTAGAATTTAAAACAATTAAGGATGCTCTGATTGAGGGATTGTAGAATGTGGATTAATTACAGTTATAAAAAGTACATTAATATTGATGAGTTTAGAAAACAAAAAAATATAAAGGGATCTTGCAAAATGCCAGAAACAGATTGAAATAATATTAATAAACTAAAGGTATAATCTAAACAGAGATTAGATAAAAAGTCATGAAATCAATTTATGAATGATATTTTTATTATTCTTCTAGATATTTCTTAAGAATATTGCAGTATCTCTTCTTTGTCTTAAATTTTTATAAAAGGCTTTGTTGTAAAGATTTTCTTATATTTCAAAAATTTACAAATTATTTTCTGTAATTGTTTATAACATTAAAATATTTTGCTTATTAATTTTTAATAATTCAATTGCCTTATTCATCATGAATTAGTTACCATCATCATCTATATACAATTGATTACCAACTTGTTTTTTTTTGAAGATTCCACAGCATGGCCATCCTTAAAGATTTCTTTTCTTTTTTTAATAGTATTTTCATTCTTATCATCATAAAGTTGTAACGAGCTCTTTTTAAATCTTCCATTGTTTAATAATGGACGAAGCATAATTAAGATTAAAATCTTGGATTTTTAGCTTGTCTGATTGTTAAACTAATAACTCTTCCAAATTATGATAAAACTCTATGATTTAATCCTTAGTTACATCTTCCTTTATGTTTTGGATTATCATTGGTCTTTCATCTAAATTCAAGTGGTTGCTGTAAGCCAAATTGAAAAAGAAGTTCTCACTTACACCTTTGAAAGTATCGTGTGGGTCTTTGCTCATGTCTTCAAAGAATGGAGTAATTATTGAATGGTAAATGAAAAGTTGCCGTCATTGTTGTCCATATTTTTTAATTAACTCAATTGTCTTTTGAGAATCTGAATTGAAACATGGATGTTTCCTTAAAGCTTCACATTTATCTAAGTTTGCCTTAGCTTCTTCACAAATTTCGAACGTTATTATTGCCCATGGCCGTCTGGTAAATGAATCTATTTTGACAAAGCAGACCTTCCCTTAATCACCTTAAACTCTTGTTAAGTAGTCCTTGATCACAAAAACCATCCATATTCAAATGATCTAACAACAATATCTTAGCTCATCAATTGTTCTGACAATTAAGCTGCAAATGCTCTTAAGTAAATAGATGTTGATTGTGCTTTTCTTTCAGTTAATTCCTTAAATTGTTCTAATTTCAACAATTTGCCTTTGCGAATAAAGGGATGATTTTAAATTCTCTTAATTAAGTTTTCTGCATCTTCCTTTCTTTATATTAAACATATGAATGGCTATTAAAATACAAACTATAAATCAGGTGTAATTTACATGTTGTTTATTATTAGTTTTCATATAAAAATATAATCAATATTATAGTATATATATTTTATTATGATAAATATTAAAATTGATTTTTATAGTAATAATTATGATTATTCTATGAAATATTCTATTTCGTTAATGAATATTTTATTGATTAATCATTTTAATTAATATGTGTATAGTATTCCAAACATCTTTTGTGTTTTCTTCTGAAGTTGGAATTGTAATCATTCAAATATCTTCATTAGATAAATAATCAAAAATCTCTAATTTTGAATTACAGTATTTCTTGAATTTACTTAAAGCATTATTAAGTCAATATTAATAATTTTTTTCATTAAGAATGTCAATTATTAGGCTATTATTGGGTTTTATATACAATCATAAGTTGGCTGGTTCACTGTAATTTAGATAACAATATTAATTGTTCGTTACTGTTTTTTATTTATAATAAATTTTTGTACTTTAACAGAATTGAGTATCTTATAGTCATAAATTTGTAAATAACAAAGATAATAGAATCTATTAATTATTTTTAAAAAAAGGATTTTTTATAGAAAAAACTTTGATTTTGTATTTTGATTGTTATGCAATGATGAGATAAAAAATTATCTATTCTCTAACTTATCAAATTCTATTCTGACTTTCTAACAAAATTTAAGCTCTGTGTTTTAAGATATGAATTATTATAAATGATTATATTATTTAAGTTTAGGATTGATTAATTTTCATATCGTAATCAATCATAAGATGTAATATTAAATTTGAGTTTAGGAGTGTCACAGGTAAAGCGTTATATTCGGAGTAATCGCAAAAAGATAGAGAAGAAGAGGATCAATAATCTAAGACATTAAAATCTACTTAGACAAACAAAGGGCAATAAGATTCAAATCTAATATAAGGGTATTTTAATTGATATAAGTCGAACTTAGACAATCAGAAAAGCCTGACTAAGATCATATTATACTGGAAAGTGATGTAATCAAAACCCTGAATAAATTGTTTAATGACAATCCTTTAGTGAGAGATCATATTGAAGGATAATTAGAGAAATAAAGCCAAATGTCATCACAGCTTGAAGATGACTTTGAAGAAGACAATGAGAAGAATGATTAATTATATTCGCAAGAATTGATTTAGTAAGTCAATGATCAAGAATTACAAAGTGAAGACAGAATTTATGTAGGTATGATAACTAATGAATTGACTTCGCAAATGAAGAAATCTAAGAGGTTATCTATGGATTTATAATCAATAAGCATTCCGAATCGAACTTAATCAATTTTATAATCAAAACTTATATTGAATGACTAGAACCAATTAATTTTAGTTCAGGATGACAGCTACTACTTAGAATAATTGGATAAGATTATATTTATTTAGCGATATTTCAAATAAAAACTAGCTAAAGAGAAGAAGGAAAAGGAGAAGCAACTCATTGAAAAAATGAATAGATATAGAATAAATGTATTGAATGAATTAATTCAAACAGAAATTAAGTATGTAGCTGATTTGGAGATTCTAAATGCAATCAAAAGCAAATTAGCTAAGAAATTTTCAAATAAAGAGGATGATATAAAGATGATGTTTAATATTCATGAAATTCTCAAATTTAATACTGAGTTCTTGAGTGAATTGTAAAAGAAAAATAATTTGAAGGATCCTAACGCAATTGTGATGGATAGCGTAGTTCCTCTTTTGAATGGATTTATATTCTACTATGAATATTGTAAAGCTTATGAGCAAGCTAGGAAAATTACTACTTAATATGAAGCAGCACCCGCCTTCTAATAATGTATCAAGGAGAGCGAAGTTTAAAATTTATTAAAAGGCTTATCGTTAAATGATTACACTATTAAACCTGTCCAGCGATTGCCTAAATATGTACTTTTATTCAAGGATTTATTAAAACATACAATGCCATCTCATCCTGATTATTAAAATGTGAAAAATTGTTTAGAAACTATAGAAAAGATTAACGACAAGAACAATAGCGAAATGGATGTCTATCTAAAATAAGCAAAGCTAATTGAATTATATCAACAATTTGGAAACATCTAAAATTTGACAATTTTTGAACCAAATATATATTTCATCTTTGAAGATATTTGTTCAATTTACACAAAAAAAATAGAACAAAGAATCATTATTTATGCATTTAATAGTTTACTCTTATTTGCAAAAATAAATAAGCTGAATGTTTTAGAGTATCAACTTCATATTCCAATTACACACCTGTCATTTATTAAGGATATAAAAGACTTATTGATAATTAAGAATTCTTTTGAGTTTGTGAATCGTAATGAGACAATCGTAATTGTAAATGAGGATAGTAAGACTAAAGAAAAATTGATGAACAAAATTTAAATTATAATTAACTAATAAAAAGAGATTTTTGAATCAAAAATAGATAAAAAACAGGACATTAATCTTTGTGTTAAGGTAGAAATACTAGGAACTGAATCAGATCCTAAGTTTGACAAGAATATTACTTTTTATAAAACAAATTTTACTATTGATACCATTACGATTACAAGTCTAATCAGATTTAGTTAAGTGGTAAGTTTAACATAAGTGGTGAATAAATATGATAACAAACTGAAAATTCCAACAATAACAAAGAGTTTTTCATCAAAGAGTTAAAAAGTAATTGATGAAAGAAAGCTAAGGATAGAGTAACTATTGTAAATTATACTTAATTCTCCATAAATAATAGGGAACCCTGAATATTAGAGGCAAGTATTAGAAATACTAAATCTTGACACTAAATTCTATAGTTTACCAGAAGAAAAAAGGGAAAAACCTGAGTTATTTTAGAACAAGGCTAAATTGAGATAGTAGAAGAATTAAAAGAATTCTAATTTAGAATATCTCCATTCGCTTCAATAAGAGAAATTTACATCTAAAATAAGTGAAGACGATAAATAAGTAAAAATTGGGCCAGAAGCAGCCTCTTAACCGTATTGTATTGAAGTTATGGTATTGACTGGATAGACCCTATAAGTTGGTTTTAAGAAAAACACACCAACTTGGTTCATAAAGAATGCAGTTGCAAATCACATCAATTTAAAGTGTTTTGTGGATTTCAAAATTTTCATAGTAGACACAGGAGGAATAATAAGAGTGATTGAGGATGATGAAAAGATTTCAACTATTTTAGACACTAGCAAAGCAGGTTTTCTTCAAGCTTTGAAAAATATGTTTAACAATGGAACAAAATTTCAATTTATTTTCAGGAAATACTTATACTTGCCTTGGAGACAGGAAGGATTAGAATATCAATAGGATGAAGTTAGATTGAAATGTTTGATGTTCGAAATTGTATTTTTGGCAAAAGATCAAACATTTCCTTTGAGTTTCATAGATTTTTGTTTGATGACGGCATTCTATTCTATTGCAACCCAGTAGAAAATTGATAGGAATCTATTAAAAAAAACAATCCCTGTTTGTGTTATAAAAGAACATTCCGAGAAGCTTTGGTTAGAATAGATCTAAAGAGAGGTGGCATACAGGGAAAAATAACTGATGGAATTTTAGATCCAATCGTAGAAGAAGGATCCAAATAAAAAGAACTATTCGATTCAGAGTTTATCATCCTTATTGATGGTAACTTGTTTTTAGACTAATGTTTTGTTTGGGATGTAATTGTTTTTTGTAGAATGTACGAAGGAAACAATATAGATGGTTTAATCGAAAGAGTTCGGAATTAAGCTTAGTTATCAAGTACTAATAGGTATATAAATTAATAATTGAAAGGATTGAATTTTAATGGTTTGCATTTCATAAAACCTGAGAACCGAACTTGGTTGGGCAGAATTGATTATAAGTTGATTAGTGAAATAAAATCGTTTCCGATTGAATTTGTTTGTACAATCAATAATTGCAATTTGAAATTTAAGACTCAGACACCTTATGAAGTAAGATTTTATGTTTATGATTTTAGATTAAACACTTGATTTTAGAGTATCAGCAAATAAATGAAATTCTAAATTCCTGATAATTAATTATAAATATTTTATAACATTCAATCTTCTAACGTAATGTATTGTTATATAAATTATTCAAAAAATAAGATTTATTTGATTAATATTCGATTATAAATCTGTTCCCATGTGCAACAGAGGGATGTAAAGGAACTTAACTCGTTTTTGTTGTTTGGGTGATCTCTAAAGCAAGATATAAGAGTATTCGCAGGGAAACATTATAAATGTAGGAAAAGTGAGTATATAAAAACATTAAATAAATAATTATATGTAAGAAAATGAGTTTGCTATCTCAATTTGTGTTCCCTCTTTCAAAAAGAATGATGATGTAGTCTATTATCAATTAATGTAAGTATTTCGTCAGATTCTAAAATATAGTTTCACCGAAAATAATCAAAGATGCTCCTTTTCAGTGGATTATCGCTATTCCCATCTAAAACTATTGCATGAATCCTTATCGACTCTTAAAGCGAGTTTGCCGAAGTTTCCTCCGTCTAATTGGTGGAGATCCACCAATGACAATGAAGAATTAATAGAAGAGAGAAGAAAACAGTTAGATTGCTTCTTCAAAAATCTCTTCTAGTGTTAAGGAGTGTGCAAAAGTTTGATTATGAAAAATTTCATTCTCAAATCTCAATGTCTATATCTAAAAAAGGTCGACAAAGTATGTAAATTCTTTGTATACTAAGTAATAGCGTGATATTCTGAAGAAAGAAAGGAAAGCCTAGGCAGTTCCTCCCTTAAACAAACAGAAATCAAAATCTCAAGTAAATTGCATTTTAAAATGTAAATAGTTGACAACTCCGGTATGTGGACCTGCTGAAGATCCAATTGAGGATCCTCGTGAGAGATCCCGCTCTTGGGAATTTAAATTAACTTAGAAGAAGTCTCAATAAGTTAGTGAGAGAGATCCTAAGCAATTAAGCAATGTAATATTCTCATTCCTTTTATTAGTTAAACTTTGGTGGAGTTCCTATATTCAAAGGCATTCTATTGAGATTTAAATGATAAAAATAGATTTCATATATTATTAAAAAATAAATTATTGTTTATAAAAATTGATTGCAATAGCAAGATAAATACATTGAAATCATTTTTTGTAATCATTTTAGAATTTATTTAGAGAGGGTCTAGCCAATTCCTCTGGCACTATTGAAACTACAAACACTTTTTTGATTCTTTGAAGTATGAACATATCTGGCAGTGGATGCCGTCTAGTAAGAGTTATTTGAGTTAGAAAGATTAAAAGCACTGCTGTACCATAAGCCGATGTCATAGGCACAACTCTCTTTAATTAACCGTATCAATTCCAGAATTTAAAAACTTGAAGGCCTATCAAAAGGATTAGGTTTGGTCATTATTTTAACTAATTCGAACAATTAGGTATTTTCGCTATTTTGATAGGTTTTATTTTTTTGAACACTGAGATTCGATTAATTTAATTTAGTTCCAGTTAACAGCATGTACAAGACACAGCCAGCCCCGTAGACATCGACTTTGAAATCATAGTTTAATTTGGTTTAATGAACATTTAAGACTTCAGGAGCCACATAGCCTTCGGTGCCACAATTAGGATTTTCAATTAATTATTTGCCATCATAACAAGCAAGTCCAAAATCGATCAATTTGAGCTTGCCATTATGGTACATAATGTTCGCTGGTTTGATATCTCTATGAAGTATCTAGTTTCGATGAAGAAAAGTCAAAGCTTCAAGTAATTACTAAATTTTTATCTAATTTATACTTGCATGATTTCTAAAATTTCCTCATTTTTAAATTGGTTTAATTTATTGGACATTAGCTGTTTTAAATTATCACCTTCTATAAATTCAGTCACAATTTAGTAATACAGTTCAGTTTTGAAGACCTCGTAGATCTCGACCAATTTTGGGTGTTTAATTGATCTCAAAATCTGTATTTCATTCTCTATTTGTTTTTAATGGTCTTTCTTGCCATTTAGTAAAATATGTTTAATGGCCACTTTCTTATTATTGAAGAAACATTCGTTGGAAGTCACCTACAAATTTCATGTTAATTACATACCTAACCAAACGACCCTGATTCTAGAGTAGTAAGATATTTATAGTTGTAACTTAGATTGAGGAAAACCATCCTGTTACTCAATCTCTATCTGAGCTACATCAGGTCGGTCTGATCAGCATGAAACTCCTTTAATTTCCCTTGATAAGGAAATTTGAAACCAAACAACCTCTGTTATTTGATTAACCATTCAAAAGTGGTGAATTCCTCGATTTTCATTATATATTTGGGAGCATCCATATTTAAATGCTAAAGTATGTTAATATCGATTACATAAGTCATCGTGATTTGGTTATTGTAGTATTTTAACTAATATACACGATCCCTAAAAAAATGTTTCCGAACAACTCTACAATAAAACGGTACTTCTTATTGGCTTTACAAAAAAGGTTGAGATTGTTGTTTTTTTTACATTTAGATATATTAAATTAATTATTTTAATTCATTGTCAAATAACTTGTTTTTTTTATCCTCTTTAGAAATAAATTAAAATGCTTGAGATGTTATCTTTTCCATATTCTGATTCAACATTCTACGCCACAATTGAATCACAGATAGTTTCCAAAATATCAGACAACGCTTTCCCCTATTGAATTCGTTCCAAAATAACTTCCGTGATGGCATTATTGGTCCAAGTTTCCCAAAACCCTAAAATTCATTATGAATGTTTCTCACCATGACTCCCCATCAAAATTAACTCAGTGTCCTCTTTATCAACATACTTGACGCTTGGCACAGAAATAAGAAGCTATTTGCTCTGATCTAAATTGGAATTCGATTTATATTCGAAATTCCCAAGACCTCTACTATACGGAAGATGAGCATTTAGTCTATTCTCCCAAACTTCCCCTCCTGCAGCCAGAATCCTTTGTTTCTCGAGATCATTTATAGGATAATGTTCGACTGTCATTACTTTGTGTTTGCCATCATATCTGATCACACATCTAGACAACTATGATATCAAAATAGATGAAGTACTCCTGCATTGGCTACATAAATGTTCTCATTTGTGATCAATGTTAAAAGTAGAGTAATACCCTAATAGCTGGTGCTCTCCTTAAATTGATTTTTCAACTGATTGTCCAATCTTTCATATAGACCTACAATTGCTTTGTCGTAATTTTTCTATTTATATTCTTAGTCATTAATGAGTGCTTCCACAATATGATCTTGGATGTATTTGCCATATTCTACTCCACCATACTATTCCACTATGCAGAATAAACTGTTGTCTTGGTCAAACTTCTCTTTAATAATCACAAACTCATCCTACTATATTTGCCAACCTTGTAACGTGGTTGATACATAAGCAAAATCAAATGCCTCACCTGATTAAGTTAGCTTAGTTGTCTCAGGTTTTGTTAAATACAAACCCATTATTAAATTAATTTATATATTAATAATTAAATATTCGCAAATCCTAATAATAATATTATTTATTAAAGATATTATTTTTTTGATTGCACATTTTACAATTCAAATCCTATCTCATTTCTAGGATTTGCTTAATAATATTATTAAACAATGAAGTACAGTCTAATTATTCTTCTTATTGCCACAACTCTTGCTGCCATCCCTACCAAAGTGACCAATTGTATGGCTGATCCCAAGGTCGTCTTCACAAGTGCCTCATTTAGCGTACAACCAGCCAAAGGAGTTGATGAGACCATGACTCTTTATGGAAGTGCCAATCAACATGCAGAATTGTCAAATGTCTTACTCAAAGCCAAATGGAATGGAGTTGAAGCATTCGAAGACAATTACCCAGAAGATGAAGTTTATGATAAGGGAGACCCTGTCACTTATTCTCTTACTTAAAACTTCCCTACCTATACTCCATCGGTAAAATTGATTTAAATAGCATTAGGGCAAAATCGTATGCTAATTCTGGTTTTAAAATGCCAAAGGAGCCAATTTCGCTTGTGCAGAAATTTCATTCCTTGTTTGATAAAATTGTTTATAATAACACAATCAATAAAATCCTATATTAGATCTTTCATAATATCACAAATTTATCATAAATGTTTTACTAATACACTCTCACTTCCCTTTCAGTGTATATTTGTAATTCATTTCCAAATGTGGACCACTCAAATTGCCAGCAATTCGAATCAATCGGAATTAATTAGTCTGTAAGTTTATCAATCGACTTATCCAACTCTTCGTTATATTCTATGCTTATAACAGCTGCATCCTCCTAAAACTATCCAGCCACCTTTATTTCACTATTGTTCATATAAGGAGCTATCTTTAAGTTCTGAATGTACTGTTGCAATTGATAAGATAGTTTCTTTTTATTCACAATTTTGTTCAAATCCTAAAATTTAATTGTTTCGATTTAAAATATAAATTATGAATTGCCATTAACTCCAGAACATATAAGTATGGCATCTTGTTTCATCAATTGTAAATCAAAGTCAATCAATTGATCAAACATTTCAAATTTATGAACACATTTAAAGTCCTCTCCTTGTCTTACCTCAAAGTATCCTTCATAATATCCCACTACTAAAATTTGTTCATTTTATATCCATTTTACTATATAAGGATTTTGATGCTCATTTATTTTGCATATTTCTCTCCAAACTTTCCCAGTTTCCTTGAATATTCGTATGGTCTAATCCTCTCCACATGTGGCAATCAGATTGTCCATTTTAGGACTTTGCCAAGATAAAGAACTGATCTCTCCCTAATGACTTCAAAATCAAAATAATTATACGCCTCAATTTCACAATTATAAACATGTTTCTGACCTTCTTTAGTTTATATGATATCGTAGATCTTAACAAATCCATCATTCGTAATAAATGCTACTTTCTGTTTAAAATAGTCAAAATAAAATTATTGCTAAGCGCTTAGTTAACAAGGGTACTTTGAAATTATCATTTTTTATTAGTAACTTTTGATTCACTTTGGTTACAATTTGATTGTTATACTAATTAATAGGCTGTTCTACCCTTATGATTGACGACATACTATTCATATATTTGTTTGATATTTAATATTATTTAAAATTCAGAATATAAATATTCAATATAAACTATCTTAAAAATTGGCTTCTTCTTCAGTTATTCATCCACTCATATTGCACACAGATAATTAAGATAATTAAGGGCCTTTAACTCAGAAATTTCATATTTTAATTTACTTGAATGTAATTTGGAATGTGACATTTGCCTAATTGAAATAGTATGAATGGGAAATTAGAAACCTTGATATTATAAAATTTATCAATTAATATCTTTTTAATACGCGAATCTTCAAATACAATTAAAAATTTTGAATAATATCATCTTATTTTAGTTTAAAACAAGATTTTAGAAATTTTGAAGAGCATAATATAATTAAGATAAGATTAATTATTAATGGATGATCCTATTGCAAAAGAGATAACCCCTACAAAAATAAGTGATACAGAGAAGAGAATCATCTAGTATCTAGAGGAGGAGTTATTGTTGGATCAATTCACAGATCCTCAGTTAAAACAGATCAACTTTGAGTTGTCCAAGAAAAAAACCATTTTCTCATTTAAATCTATGGATTCTGACACTGAAATCTCCGAAGCCACTTCTTGTTCAACAATCAAGAGCAGCAAACTACAAATGTGTAAGTCTCCATTGTTTAGAAGACGACTAAGCACATTAGTTTTAGACTAGTTATCTTGATATTGTATTATTTAACGTAATTTCAATCTCTATGCTTGAAGAAATGATAACTCTCTCTGCTAATTTTCTCTTGATATCTTTGGTTATGAAAGTAAAATAATTGAAATATTAAAAATTGCAAATGTTACTTTTGAGTCTTTCTTTGACAGGTGCATTAGTGATAACAGTTGAAGAAGCAAAAACAGTAAGAGTATAATCAACATATTAATCACTATAATATTGAATAACAAATCCATCTTTTGCATCGATTTGAAACTCCTTGCACAAACAAATTGCACTCATTAAATTTTGGAGGATTTGGATTCTATGAAAATGTTCTTTTGATTTTAAGTAATAAAACTAACATCCAAGTTAAGTTACCCATTTGTTCTACAATTCAACAAATCTCAGAAAAACTTAATGGAAAATCATCGACTTTAATACCAGATAGTCTAGAAAATTACTTAATAAATGGTGCATAATTACTCTTATATTTTGAGTTAGTTAACAAAATTCAAAGAAGATTGTGTCTATAGTGAAATTAAGTTAAAACAATCGGAGAATCATACTTTTGAGAATCTAGGTTAGATTGATAATTAAATCAAGAGGAATACTATAAATTCTTTGATATTTACAAACTGTTCAAGTTAAATAAATATGTAATAATAATTCTAATTTTAAACAAATGAATATATATTTTGAATTGGAATATTTAGATCCATGTAAGAGGTGAAAAATTGGTTGAAATGAAATGCTATATTGAGATTAAAAGTCTTTGATATCACTTTTTTTTAATTCCAAAGTTGAAACTTTTATTTAATATTGAGATTCTTGTTTTAATGAGTCTGAAATTATCAGACTTTTTGAAAATGTATTAAATATTACTTCAATATTATGATAAGTTATGAAAACTAAGGTATACTCTATCATGCTTTTGGAATTCAATTGAAGTTTATAAAGGTGATTAGAATTATATTTGATAATGATGAAAAATAATCGATATATTTATATAATATTAATAATATCCGTTTTAATGAGAATTTATGCACTTTTATGTATAATCGCAATAGCGTATTGCACATAAACTACAAAGTAATGACATCAAAAATATGTTCAAGCTAGGCAAGTATGTTTGATGAATAGCTCGGATTATTGACCAAAAGTAAATTAGGAAAAACTATGCTAAATATGATATCATTGCAATAATTTACAGAAGTGGATTTTAGTCCATTATATGCAGCTATAGATGACATAGTTGCATCAACATAATAAGCAAAGTAAGACGAAGCTGAATCATTGGATTCTTTCTATTAGTAATTCTTGAGCGATTCAGAGTTCTATTAAAATCAAGTTACAGAGTACAATACAGAAGTATTAGCTTAATATTGATCGAAGGTTGCACAACATTAGAGTGACATTACAACATTAAAGAAGGATAGAAACAGTTTACAATAGTCTCTATACGATAAAAGCCAATAATTGAGTGATTCCCAAAGAAATCAAGCATAATTGCAAAGAACAGTTTAGAATAACGATTAGGCAACAGCAAAGAAGACAGCAGAATACGACTCATCAATTTCCATCGTTGACTAAGTTATAGCAAAATTGCAATTGATTAAATGTAATCCAATTCCAATAATTTTATAGAGTCATCTTTTATTGAAGTAAATAAAGAGGATTTGGCTGTTTCAGCTGCCACATTCTCAAGAAGATTGAGTGAAGTATCTCATCTTCCTCATCTCTTTGAGCCCTTGTCAAAAGTATTGGTCTAAATGGGCACATAAGGGTAATAAGAGTATTTATACGATTTGTTAGGTTTGCTGATTAGGAATAAGCAGGAAATGCAGTTAAGTTACTAAATAGCTTGAGGGAAGACTTGGTGGCTTCAAAATTGGCTTTGTAAACGAATGCTCAATTGGAGAAGGACACCAATGATGGATTGTTGGCTTCTTTGGAGGAGAACATCAATTTATTGAATAATGAGATAATTCCATAATTGAAAGGAGACATCGAAACTAAGGATGGTGAGATTGCAACCAAATAAGGACTCTTAAAGGATGCATAATCTAATTTGGATACTGCTTAGGCCAATCTTGATAATGTGAATGCTGGATGGGTTGCTAGGTATTTTGGTCAATATATTGGATTAGATAGGAATAGAATAAGCAACTCAATGATGGATGGGATAATGAGTTGATGTTGTTATCATAGGCAGAATCAGCTTTGGAGAGAGGAGGAATTAGAAGATAGTGAACAATATTATAAACAATTTATCAGATAATATTTATAAATTTTATTTGTGATGCGAGGTTTCTTTGCTATCACAAGAGCTTTTGTGGCTCCTGTTGTAAAATCCACCTACAGATTCTCCTGCTAATCATAGAAAATTCAAATGAGAATGTATTTGATATCACTTATAATGTAGTGTGCTCAATCAAATAAACCAAATTATCAGACTGTCTTCCACTATGTCGGGATTAAGAATTGCCAACCAATTTGATTTGTCACTTTTTTCTTTGTTAGAGGAGGCTTAAGGTAATGTTTGGTGTATTTCTTCTAGGTAATTCATTTATATTTTATGAAAATCAAGACGACTCTGCGGAAGTCGACATCAGGCAGATTGGATTACACTTAGGTTGGACAAATACCCTTTGATGATTGATCATTATATAAACATAATAAAAATGAATAGCAAATCATCATAATAAAGATAAAATAATAATATTTTATTTTATTAAAAATGACCGAGCAAAACAACTTCACACTTGGATAAAGTACCGAAGTACTCTAGTATACTGAAAAGTAAATTCAAGATGCTGATATACTTTTGAATCGGTAATGAAGTGACACTACATTAGATTGTTAGTCAAATCCTTTACATATACAAGTGCAGGGTTATTTAGTGGAACATTGTTATCTATCTTCTTCAAAAATAAAGTAGGTATCATTGGCTATTCTGCTGGAATTGGTTTGGGTTTGGCCTTGCATTAATATAGCAATGGACTCTTCGATAATGTTCGAAGATAAATTTGATAAATATTATGGCTATGAAATCGAATATATTATCAAGATTTTACAATCCCTTTTTTGCTTGATTTCAGAGTGTAAATCTCAATTCAGATTTATTCTATATTCTTTTATCCAGTTGTATTCTTGAATATTATCTCTATCCATTAAAGCCTATAAACTTATACCAAATCTTATGTTGAATTTTAAATTATTTTTCTTATCATATGAATTAATTTGAATCAGAAGAAGTACCCATACAAGATGATTCTCAATTTTATAACTATCCATCCAATTTTGGTCAATAGGAAGCAGAGTTTGAATATCAACCAAGCAGTAAATTCAAAACCTAAAAGAATTCAACACGATCTATAACCAAAGAGATAGCATCTCTCTTCCTAAAGTCTGTACGCTCAAAAAGAATATCAAAACACAGAGATCACCCAAAAAGTAATAAATTATACACTAATCCTCTAGGGGGTCCTGGTATCCAAAGAGAAGCCCAATATACATCCATTATGTCAGATTACGTTCAAGTAGAGGTTGGTAATCTAGAAAACACAAATCATTGAACTGATTAATTTATAATAACATACTTTATTATTCTCGATAGTAATAAATTGTCTATAGTCTATTAAACTTCTATTTTTTTGTTTGCTTTCCCAAGGAATCTTATTAATAAAAAGACTCTTCCCATCCAAGAATTTAAAACGGTTTATTAAATTGAATACTAATACATCATTTGTCTTACAATTGAATCTTCAAATAGATAGTGTGGTTATATACACTTTAATTTATTTTGAAAATAACAATGAACTTGAAATTCGATTGTTGATTGGACAGGATTTTATTTTTTGAATATTTATTCCTACCAAATATAATATTTTGACTACCTAATGAATTGTGAATTTATTTATTTATAATAAAAATGGCTACTCAATAATAATAATAAAGTACTCAACAGTATCCTTAATAATAATAAAAAATACCCTGTCTGATAGCCATATGTTAAAACACAACTGAAATAACTATATGATAAATAGAATATTCAATTTGATGATGATATTAATCAATTATGTCCATAAATTAAAATTTTGAATAATTTGGTTAAGTAATCATTCTATCAATATTCAAAGCTATTAGAATTGAATTGACTAAATTATTAAGTGAATTGAATTATAAGAATCTTTCATTCAATCAGGGTAATACCTAAAAGAGACCCTCAGAATTATAGCATACTCTGAATTGGTTTTTGATGACTGGAATCTTTTTATCTGAAACTAAGTGCTGTCAGAAGACAAAAAGCCTTTCCCCAATTTTATCAGATAACTTGAAGTCTAATTTGATAAAACATATTATGCATCATAAAATATCATCTAATGGAATAGGAATCATTTATAATAACAATAATAATAACGATAACAACAAGAAACAAGTGGATTTCATATTAAAAGAGAAGGACCAGCTTTTGATCTAATTATTTCAATCATCTCTAACCCTACCCTTAAAAGTATAAACTACATAAAACTCTCTAACATTTGCTTGGAATTAAAGAAGGAACCAGATCCTAAATCTTATATTGCTTTTCGGAGTATGTGAAGGTAAGTTTCTTGATTATTTGATCAGTTAAATAATTTAACAGACACAGAGAATAAATATTCAATAATTGCTGATGAATAATTAAAGCAACTTTTTGGGTAGGAATGTATTACTATATCTAATCTCAATATGCTTCTAAAATGTTTATCAAGAATCCAGAACCAATTCTAATCAAACATAATTGGGAGTTAGCAATTATATTGGATTTGATGTTGTAGTGGAATAAGAAATGGGGTTATTAACCTGAATTGATGCCATTTTCTAGCTCAGAAGGTTGTGGCAGATGAGAATTCAGAGAAGAAGCAACAAAGGAGCAGAACACCCATTCATTTTCTTAAATTAGAAAATCAAAGGATTTGAAAAGTAGATTCAGAAATATGTAGATTAAAGCAAGAGTCATAAATTAAAGAGAGATGCTTATTATCAGTATTAAAGAAGTCCTAGTTTATTTTAGAATATCTATTCTTGCAATAGAATTCATATTTGGAATTTATGTAAAATGATGATGAGATGCGTAATGAAGATCCAAAAAACATGATATTCCTAATGAAAAATTAGGAATTACTAGAGAGACAGATTCGGAAATATTCGGAACAGTAACAGCAACCTTGATAATGAATTATGATTATATTTGATTATTTTAACAATTAATTTTAATTATGAAAAAATTGCTCATTGTTTCAGGACTTACAGGATCAGGTAAATCATAATTAGTTTAATTGCTTGGTGAATAATTAAAAACAACTGTAATTCCTGTCGACTCTTTGTAAGTATGAATTATTAAAATAATTGTAGATTTATAAGAATTGGCCAATCTCTAGTAACTGGCCTAAAAAAATAGACAATTATGAACTCATAGGAAAATATGATGGATTGAAATAGACAATCACAAGTTATCATTATAAGAAGGAAGTCATGGAGATTTTGAAATATAAGGATAATGCAATACTAGAAGGAGGATGTTGTTTCTTTATGAATTATTTGCTAAACTCAAGAAAAGAGCAGTTTGAAGAAGAATAAATAAAGGCTGCAGATTTAGAAGCATCAAAATTGTTGGAAGATTGTAGAGATCCACAAGCTCTGTTGAAACAACATTTCAAAAATTATGATGACTCTATAAATACATCAGATAGATATAGAATTTAGAAGGCTTTGCGATTTGCTTTATTGACAAAAGGAGAATCTATCACGTCTCCATTCAATCAAGATGATCCAAGATTATGTGATGAAATGGATATTCGAGGGTTCTTTTTTACAGAACCTTAAGAAAATATTTCTAAAAAGATTTATGCAAGGTAATCTTCTTTGTTTTAGTATCAGGTGTGATGAAATGATTCGATAAGGAGTGGTTGAAGAATTTTATTAATTTTATTAGATGCAAAATTAAACAGAGTTTCGAGTCACTACACCTTTAGGATATGATGAATTTGTGAATTTGTTAAAATGCTTTTAAAACATCTTTGAAGGAAGATATATATCAAATAAGAGAGCAGAAAAATAGAAGAGGGAGTATGTTTTGAAGTTCATTTAACAATTCTATATAAAATCAAGACAATATGCAGCTTATTAACGCAAATACTTCAGGTCTAATTTAAATTCATTCTTATGGATTGACAACAGAACTTTAAATATACCATAATTAATTTTATAATATTATAATTGTGATCGATAGGAATACGATTTCAAGGTTGCTTCACCATAAAATGAGTAATTGAAAAAGGAATTAAGTTCAAAATTACTTGGTAAGCAGAATGATCCAATCCCACCAAAGGAAATATAAGAAATAGTATATTAGACAGTAGAATGGATTATAGAATAATGAATCTAAATATGTGTATTATAAATGGGATCATTAAATAATTGGGTACGAAATCTTCTTAATCTTATCCAAACATTCAGGAGCTCCAGTTCTTTAAACCTAAAAAAATCCATTTTCTCCCCATCCTGGTCCCCAAGAGTTTTTGACTTTATAATGATCTTTTCCATAGCCAACAATGACTACTGCATGACTGAGTTCTTTGGCTCCGACATAACTACAAGTGTCAATGATACCACCTCCATATTCGAACCATGATTTGTCTGCATACATTAAGGCAGTGACTGGACCATCTTGAAGCGCGTCTTTAATTTGTCTAAACTGATGATATGATTCACTTACTCAAAAGTTGGATCATCCACCTTTTCCACATCAGCTATCTGACCTTTGCCAATTGTTCCTACTGGTTTTTTACATTCTTATTAAGTAGAGTCATAATCTCTATATTCATTCTCTTTCAGGGCTCCATTTTCATTAATGAATTTGTATGCACCAATAGGAGATCCTCCATTGCATCCCTTGTTCTTTTCTCCAACACAACAGTCTATTAAATGGGTCTTTGACAATTGGGTTAACTCTTCCTTTCCCTTCAAGGCAAGTCTACTTATTGCTACATCAGAGGAGGAGAATGCCCAACAACTACCGCATGTTCCTTATGGTCTGGAGGGTGTTACCTAAATTGAGCCATTTTTTACTTGCTTTGTCCAATCCAATGAGTCTCCTTTCTTTGCTTATTCTCTCATTTGAGTCAATATGGGATGATTTCGCAATTCCTTGATGTCTTGTTTGCTAAAGAAATGGGGATTGCCGAATTTAAAATCATCGTCACTAAAATCTAAATGCATGAACATTTTCAATGCTAATTCATCATAATCTTAATCTGAAAATTCATTCAATTTAGCTTTATATTTTGCTCCAACATGATTATGTTTCTATCTATAAGTAAACCTATGCATACTTCAATGTTTTTCTTATTCCTCATAAAGATCTACATTCTATGTATTGCTGTAAAATCGTTGTCATATGATTTGCCATATTCTAACATCCAATTACGAAAGATCAATTAGTCATGCTCATTTACGTGTTCATTGTCCATCTCAGCAATTAGTGTTTCTTGCACACTTCTATTACTTATGGATAAGCATATGCCTATACACAGTAAGCTCAATACTATGCGCTTCATTTCTCTAATTTATAAAAATAAGATTATTAAAAAATGGAAAAACGAATTAATTCATGAATAATTTATTCATGTATGTATCAAATATTCGTTTTTATTGATTACCAACAAATTAAGTAAAATTCTGATATTAATATCTCATTTTGAAAATTTCAAATTTATTTTTATTTTGTAGAAGTGACATCTAAAATTTCCAGTATTTCATAACTAGGAGCTAAATACACGGCTGTGCTTTAAATAAACAAAAGTCAAGAATAATATTATAATTCTTAAAAAGATTGAATTACAAAGTACTTTAATGGTAATATTTCATTAGAGATTAATAATTAAAAGAAAAAATGGTTTCAACTTAGACAAAATATAAGGATGATTTAGACACATTGATTATAAATTATAATCAACAAATTAATCACATTTTGTATTGAATTTAGAAATTTGAAGTTCAACTTAATAGCTTGATTAATATTTGTATCTTAAATATAAGTTGCTCTCATTATATTGCTTTCAAACTTAGAATTATATCATATATGTGAATAATAAGATAATTTATTTTATTGTTTTATTATTTCACTACTTCTACATAAAATCTAAATCACAATTGTCAATCCATCTATTTTCGATATTAATTCTAAATTTATGCTAATTAGTGTTCTAAATTTTTTATTAATTATTTATTGTTAGGCTCATACTTAATTAAGTCTTCCAATTAAGCTTTCAAGCCTTTTATTAATATTTTGGGCAAGTTTTTTGAATTAATCTTTGAGATTTATTCAAAGGATGGACAACCCTCTTTTGGTCTAAGATCCAGAGTATCACCCTATCAATAAATTTGGTATATGTACAGCAGAAGTCCTAAATACACCTTTATATCCATTAACCTCATAAACCTTTCTAAAGCCTTGACCATTGATCTCGGATTCCCTTTTAAAAACCGACAAATCAACTTTCCTTAATTTATATTTGTTCAAGGCTTCTTCATAATCAAAATCTGAAGGTGGCCATTAATCAAAGCAATACCACCATCTACACAAAATTTCATACCTCAAATCGTCTGTGTCACAATTTGACTTAATTTACTTAACTCTTTGTTCAGGCTATTTTTATTTGGTTATTTATGGGTTTTGAATTTTCTTAACTTTCTTTTCTTCATTATACATTTCAAATTAATACCTTCCTATTACTCAGAGGAGTCAGGTTCAAATAAGTATTTCCATTTCTTATTATCAACTGTGATTGTTTGTGCAATCGGAGATTATTCTTATGGTTATTACACAGGTTGTTTTTGCTATTGCTATTGCTCTTCCTCTTCAGAATCAATGTATTTATGTTTTTTTTTCTAAACTCCTTAATCATTAGACATTTTATAAAATAATTATTAGATTTCTGAATTCAATTAAAAAAGGATTTTACAGGGGTTCTCATTCTCATCAAGAAAAGTTGATTGAGCTTATTCTTATATAGATTATACATAGATGAAATCATTACTCGACTAAGAATAATTCTTATTAATGGCTTGAAAGTTGAGTATCTTTCAAATCAATTTGGAAGGTAGAAATTTCAAATTTAGTATTGAATGAATTTCTATTTGATATGCCATAATTCCGGCACATATTGCCATTCATTAGCAAGGAGTTCAAAATAAAATTAATTTAAGGGCTTTTCACATTAAGGATAGAAAAAATTATGATAATATGGTTTGTTTACATAATAGCAAGCAATCGAAGATGAGAATAGCTTATAGATACAATTATAATATCAAATATTCGAAGTGTTAATGTAAACATTTCTTGTAAATTTATTATGAATGATACATAGAATATTCTTAATTAATTTTTAATTCATATTAGTAAAGTATTATAAAAACAAAAGATAATTTATAGAAAATAGTACAAAATTATTCTAATTCTTTAATATTAAAATATATTTATGGATAAAGATGATTTATTTAATGTGTAGGAATCTCTATAATCACCAGAAGAGGGATTGAAAAAATCAAATGAAAAAAAGAAAATGAAAGTTGAAGTATATATATGTGAAGGGGCTTATGAATAATTAAGAGGTTACTAAAAATTAAAGTAATAAAACATTCAAAATAATTTCATAATTCCAACTCTATAAAAGTAGGCAAACGTCAATAGATATCTTGAATTAGTGTAGTAATCAATTAATAATGGTCATAAACTTCATAATAGCAAATTAAACAAAGAATCCATTGATGGCTTAATCTAGTAATTTAGAGAATCAGAAAAATAAAAACATATCTAAACAAACTCTCAAACTGTAATTTAACCCTAAGATGGTAATTCTCAACATAGATCCAAATAGATGGTATTCAGATCAATTAAGAATTATTAACCAAAATCAGAATCTTAATTTTAATCAGATATTTTTACAAAGGAAGGCTTTTATGATAGAATAATCTAAAATAGAATTACTTAAATTTTCAATTTCTGAATGATTTATAATTCAATACCCTTTATTAGTTTATCTTAAATAATCAAACTCCCTTAATTTATTTAATTTAGTCTGTCTTTAATTTATGTCCTCCTCCCTTTGTTGATTAGATTCAACTGTTTACATAGGTACCTGCAATCTTGAACTCTTCCTATTGGTGTATAGAGTCAATAACTTATTGATTAAAATTCCAAAGTTGTTTATGCATGCCTTACAAAGTTGTTCTGATGAGCATTCAATGTGAAATGTATGTTTGCAATCAATATATACTTTAGAGGCCATTTCTATTAGTTTCTAACAATGAGTGCAATATATATCAACTGATATTCCTGATTGCGATTATTTATACAAAGAATTCAAATATTTATTACAGGTTTGCTTTATAAGCATTGTGGATTAACCATAAATGGCTAATTCATATAGTTAACCAGAAAGAAGTTAAGAAAATGTTGACTTCAGCTCTTGGAACTCAAAATATTTCATAGTCTCATTTAAATTCTACAATAAATAAATTTATTACACATTACTTCAAGTAAACTTTTGATTTTCGTTTTCTCCAAAACCTCTTCTAACAATCTTGTGAAATGCGAGTTAAAACATCGTAAAGCAGGAAAGAATCGAATTTTGTAGAACTCCTACCTTAATTTTGTCAATCTAATCAAAACCTAAAACCAATTGTTCTATTTAATATTACTAAATATTATACATCACTCTCATCATCATTTCTTTTAGTGTTTGCTCTACAAATACTCAAAGTAGGCTCTAAGCTCTCTGAAATATAAGTATATAAATCCTTCTATCCTTCTAATAATTATGGATTCTTTTGCAATTATTATTTTAACCCTTAAATAAATAACTAAATTATCTAATATTGCAATTACGTCGAATTGTAAATTAATTGCCTCCAATACTGATCCACTTCTCTCCAATAAATAGGCTAAACCTTTCAAATTACCATAGTATCTACACAACTTCAGACATTCATCCTAAGGATACCCTCCCTTCTATAGTTCTGTTATAACCTGATCAGGATGCAATTAACATATCAACTCAAAATATTCAATCATCAACTTATCATCTTTTTTTAGACTTTATAGTATTTTAAATCTCACTATTGGTATTTGATTATCTAATATGTTCCTCAATTAATCCTTATTAAAATAGTCAAGTAAATACTCAGTCTTGACTGAATTGATTAGAGAAAGCTCTTTCAACTTTTAGGACAGGATCTCAATAAATTAATTATCTTTTTATTGTAAATCGATATAATTGAAAACCAATTGCCTTGCTTACCCTCTTAATTGTGAAAATTTATGAATTATTTTACTTTATTGATTATTTGCAAAATATTATTCAAAATCCTCAAGGTCTTCTTTATCATTACAATATTATTCCAATAACATTTTTAGAGTGGCCAAGTCTGGAGTTTTAAAATTGATTTCCTCTTCAAAATTAAAGGTGCTATCCGCATAAGACAAATATTATCGTTCATACAGTGTTTTGAATGAACTGTTAAACGAGTTAGACTTTTGTTATGGTGAAAATTGGATTTATGGCTATTTATCTTGTAAAGCTTCTTAAATCAATTCCTCTACATATAATTTATGATCATAAGTTTAGAGTGCTGATTCCAATAATAGATCTTTTTCAGTAATCCCCAATAATTCCAAAATTTCATCCTCAATATTTTTCTCGTTCTTCTCTTCGATTGGCTTTGGTATTTGATTAAAATCAAATTAGAAGGTAGCAAAACTAGTCACATTGGGTTGGATTAAATCGTCAATTGTGCACTCAACCTTGACTCCTTGAGGTACCCAATATATGTCATCTGATATCATAATATTAATATTATTAATTCTAGATTACTCATAAATAAATAAAACTATCTCATTTTCATATTCAATTAAACATACATTTATTAATGTATTTCTACTTATATCAGAGAATCATTATTCCAAAATATAGTTTTATGCCTGAATCACTATAACAAGAATGTTAGTTGTTTAAAATGAAATGAAAATAGTACATAAAATGTTACATATATTTTAAAATGGAATTCTAATATATTTTACATTTAACTGTAATATTTATAGTAGATTTGAATGAAAAAAATCACAATATTATTTTTAATTTCCAATATCTTAAACTTATGAATTTCTATGCTATTGACTTTGAAGATCAAAATGATGAGGGTATTGATTAATTTATATGAAAGCTTTGGAGGAATAGGTATAGATCTAGGATAATGAAGAGCATGACTATGTGTATGATTAAAGCTCTAATATTGAGATTGATAAAAATATAACTTTTGATGGTTATTTGCAAGAAGAACCAGTTTTATTATTTAATTATGAAGAAGAAGCTCCAAAAAAAAAATAAAAATCCATTGTTAGAAAATCAAAAAAAATCAAGAAATCAGACACAGAAACAGATGTCTAATCATAAAAGAGAATGAATAAATTCAAGATGTCTAATGATATTGCCAAATTATAATAATGCCAAATGTTAAAGACCATTATCTCCTAAATGGAGACAATTCTTAAAAAAACTCGAACTTAGATTCTTAGTGAGATTATGAAAAAATAGTCTACGCAATAGTGAATTTAAGAAATTTGAATTACATAAATAGAGTTATTATACCATAATTAAATTATAATATTGTTTTATTCTATTGAAATAACATACAGAGTTCATTCATTCACATAGGAATGCAAATACTATCTAGAAATTTCTATTACTTTATAAGATTTAATGACAAAATAAATATACTATTTTTACTAATTCTAAAAAGAATGAGAGAAACAGACAAAGAAATTTAAACAATTAATGCCGTTTTATTTTAATTTTGAAGGGTCACTAATATGAACGAAGAGCAAATCTAAATTTTGCAATTATTTATAATCAAAATTTTTGTTCAAGAAGGTTTTCATTATTATTATCTCATATTAATTCCTGATGATTAGGATCTATTATTAACTGAAACCTGCTTGTCTCTTTAGCCGTCTTGAGTTATCACTTACAATTTCTTCTTTTTCTCAAATTCTTGGATAAATTATTATCTTTTTTCTTCTGCTTCTTTCCTAATGATTTCAGCTTGTTTTGCCAAATTCTCTCTCTCTCTTCTTACCATTTCAGTTCTTTCATCATCCTTAGACAACTTCATTTCAAGCTTCGTCCTTCTTAACTCACTTAATTGTTCCATCCTAGATAAATTATCAAACTTATCAATATCTTTGATTATTTATAGAGTTATTCTATATTAGTTAAACTTAATACCTTTATTTTTAATCTTCTTCCTTCTTGAATTCAAGCACTTATAATTTTTATTATGTTCTATCTAATTTCTTTTGTAACTCCTATTTTTGTTATTCTTACATAACTTCATTTTTTTATAAAATCATTTATATTTTATATTCTTTGTCTCTATATTTTTTCATTTTATCTTCCATCTATTATCTTTGTTACTCATTCATAACTTCTTTTTTCTTTTAATATTCCTATTATTTCTGTTCATATTGTTATCTTTTCTCTTCCTCTTTCTGTTAATTGGTTTACTAGTTTAATAATAGAATAAATATATGTTACCATAATTTTATTGATTTACTTTTATTTTTCTTCAGCTTATCTCGCTTTCTCTTGTCTGACCTTCTCAAGATATTCTTCAAATTCTCTTCTCTTTAATTCTACATGTTATTCTTTCAAAGTATAATCGTTCCTCTTCTTTTCAAGCAAATTCTCATTATATTATTTTACCATTTGTAATTTCTTCTCTAATTCAGCTCTTTCTTTTTCCGCCTGTGTCTTTCTTTCAATAGTTCTACTTTCCATCATTTATATTCTCTTTTTCTCCTTTTATTCTAATTGTTATTTTTTTATTTCTAATTATCTTTATTATTCATTTTAAAATTATTCATTTTCCATTTACATTTGTTCCTATTTTTTCTTCCTGTCCAATTCTCTCTATTCTGCTTCCCATTTTGACTTCATCATGTTTTCATGTTCCTTCTGACGACGTTTCTATTCTTTCAAATCATTCTCTTTTGCTTTTTGGTCCAACAATTCTTTTTCCCTTTACTCCTTCTTTTTTCTCTCCATTTCCTATTTTTATCGTAACTGTTCATTTTACTAGCGTTTCCTTTATAATTCATCTTGGTATTGTTTCTCCTTCTCTTGCTATTTTAACATTTTCTGAAGTGCTATATGGCTCTTCCTCTCTTTGAGTTACTCCTATTCAACCATTTTTTCAATTTCCATCTACTATCTCCTTTTTATATTTTCGAGCATTTTTTATTGTTTATCAGCAAAGCTCATAGTCGAAAGGTTTAAATTGGAGATGTGGTTTGAATTCCTACTAACATTGTTGTCCTCCTACAGTATTTTTTATCTTTAGGATCTAACAATATTGATTCTTCTCTTTCGCTTATCTTCCAAATGTTTCTCAATCTCCGTCACCATGTCTTCTGTAATTTATGCACCCACTGTATCGCGTTGCTTGATTAGTTGCACCACTTATTCTCTGGTCTTCTTAAATAATTCATTGGGATGAATGCCTTCCCTTCGACAAGCCTCCTGCAACCTTGGGGTAAGTGTTGCCTGGGTAACATTATAGAACTCCCTATCAGATAGAAACAATATAATACTATTCGTAATCACTCGACATTAATCTTTTAATTATATTCTATACTCATTCTTGTATTTCAGTAATTGAGGTCTTACAAGCTTTATACGGTGCCCGATGCGATTGGTTGAAAATTGATCATTTAAAAAATGTCTACCTAACCATACAAGATTCGTTAGCATCTCGAGAAGCCTACTTTACAATTAATATCATTTTGTAATTATAAAGAAGATACATTTATCATTAAAGGTTTTACATAAATCAAGTAAAATGTTGAGGAAACCCTATTGTGTAACTGCTTTTTCAATAATTCAATAAAGAATTATTATAGATTAATAATAAATATTATAATAAATATCTTTATTATTTTATTTTGCTTATTATCTAAGATATAAATTAAATCATTTTTATTCAATTTATTCCTTTACGTATAGAACATCTATTTCGTCATTTCTGGAATTAAATTCAACAGTCCTTTGCATCTCATCAACTTATTATTGTTGATATTCTTCATATTTTGAGAAACTTTATAGCAGTTCTTCTAAGGATTATCTAGCATTAGTAATTTTTTCAATCATTTCATTTGTAAATTCTCGCTCTTTTTAAAGAAAATGGAGATGGTTTTGTTGTTGAACATACTCTGGTGAGTTCTGTTTTTCTTCTAAGGTTTACTCTAATTCTTTGATATTTTGTTCTAGTTTATCATTATCCGAACTAGCATTGTCCCAATTGTTAAACTATGTTAAACTGAAAAGAATACTTTTTCTAATAATGATACGAGGAATTTGATTTCTACTGCCTATTTCTATCTTTATGATTATGAGTCGAGTAATTGTTTGAGCATTTAACGACTGTCTTTGTTTAATTCTTATCTATTATATATAGCAAATTTAGCTAGGAAGGATGACAACTTAAATTTAAGTTTCTCATTCCCTTATTATTGTAATCCTTTTTCCTTTGGATAAATTAATAAGATACTTTAATCCAATTTGCTGGTGCCTCGACCTCAGTTTTAGATTCTCCCTTTGACAAAACATTTTCGATAAATTCTTCCAATGAAAATGTCTTAGCTCCATAAAAGAGACGATAACAAGTCTTCAAAATATCCTTCAAATCACCGTCTGGAAGATCCTTCTTTATTGTTTTAAGCCAATCTTCAATTTTACTGTGTTTCATTTCACAAATCAAAGTTATCAATTCCTCTTTCTCCTTTTGTAATGTTTCTCTGGAGAATTTATCCTTCTCATCTTGAGCAGAATCGATGGCATTTCGGTATGCTTCAATCTCTTACTAGAGTACAATAAGGAAATGGAATACCTCTTAGACTTCTTAATAATATTCAATGGTAGAGATCTATTCTTGGAGTGAATCCAAGATTTCATAATGAGAGTCATATTATTCATCAAGCTCTTTTAATCTCTCCTCCAAATTCAACTTATAGCTATCCAATCCGCTTTTTGTATCATTCAAATAGTTGTTGATTTTGTTTGCTTGTTCCTTCAAGAACTCATACCAAACCTTACACTGTTTGTCGTATATTTAGATTTCCTTTCTTCGGTTATCCTCTTCGAAATTCATGTCAGATGATTGATTAAATAAAAAATATTTTTAAACTCAATTAATCGTTACTTTAACATTGCTCTTGTAAATTAAGATATAAGGTTTAATATTGTCTCCTGTCATCGTGTACAATTGTCCTTCATACCTAGTTTTGCCTTCACTATCTGTCAAAATGAGTTTGCTAACATTTTATAATTGTGAATCATACTTTTCATCTAAATTAATCTTGAACGCCAGGACCAATCCCTTCTTCATGTTTTTATTAAACAATGACTAAATTGGTTCTATCTTCTCGCCTAACTATTATTTCATATGAAATGACCCAATGGCTGCTCCTCTCACAATGTCGACAGCACAACATTACTGTGTTTAATACATTATGGAATAAGTGGCCATTTGATCCTTGACCAAATCCTCCACTACTCCGATGTAAACTCTATGCAAGTGTTGATATTCCTATTGTGCGAATATCCCAGAATTACTGATATGTCCACCAATGGTATGTTAAGAGTATGGATTATACAATTGAGCTGAATTATTCACAATGGATGCCAGTCCTTCCGATTATTCCTCTTGTTTCTACTACTCACTTTGTAGGTATTCGATAGCAATTTGGAATTCATAAATTCCTTTTGAGAGTGTGCATGATCCATAAATCAATTGCACTTCATCTTAATCGTTGAATATAAACTATTTTCCCTTGATGGTCTCTTGGATATTAGCATCTTCTTCTTGTGATAGTTGGGATTTATAGAAAAAGATTGCTATTAAAATATTGATACTGTATTTACATTCATCTTTTCTCATAAAGTTTTTGATAGACTCCAATGAATTGCAGACTTCTGTTACCACCATATCCTTAAATTCTTAGGACAATCCATTCTGTTTGGATCCCTGCACTAATTAGTTCTGGCAAACATTCTATAAATTTTATCGATCCTTGATTATTTGAGAGATAAAATCATTAATCTAATAGTGGGAACAATCATACTTGGTCTTCTGTTGATTAACCAGCTTTGAATTTGGTTAGCTACTCCTTTAATTTCTCAAACTCATAAGAATTGAAGTAAGAATTTAAGATTTCTTTATTATGCTTCATCTAAATTGTTTTTTGTTTGGATTCCTACTCCAATAGATCCAATTTGATCTGCTTGAGATATCCTAAATATCTGATATATGTTTAAACAACCTTTTAATGATTATTGCAATTGGATTGTGATTTTATTGAGTTTGTCCTTATGGACTAATTCATCCTCTGAAAACTTGATTATTTATTGCTCATTTTGAGTATTAGCAAATAATTCGACGCAATGTTATTTCTTTTAGATTTCTGATATTAACACACAACTCTTGATATGCGACTTGTGCTATGAGAGAAGACACTTCTAGCATCCTAGACGATCCTCTGAACATGAATTGTATAAACACAAAATAGTAATTTTTTGTTCAGGATGATAATCGCATACTTAATTGATCATTTTATTAATATATTAATTTTCAATCTTTTATGCTTTCAACACAAGTATTTAACTCTTTTGCTCAAAGACAAAGTAATGGAATAATCAAATTATTGGCTTATGGTGTCTTCTTTGGTGGAGCATATGGATGTGCATGGCATCAATGGAGAGGAGCTCAATAGAAATAATTATACGAAAAGGTTGAAAATGAAATCACTGAATGGAAACCTGTGGCCATCAATGGATTAAATGCAAATAGATATCCCTGGGCTCGTAATCTTAGGGATTGGGAATACAAATTAGTCAAATTATATGGATATTTCAGAGTACTCAATTGATATAACTATTATAGGATGAAAGATTTTTTGTTAGAAGAGAAAGAGAAGGCAGAGATGGTTTTCTTGTCTTTGCTCCTTTTGTAACAGCCTTGCAATTTAACGATACTGAATAGGATCCAGAACAAACCACCAAATCTTAAGTGATGGTTAATTTGGGATGGGTACCAAAAGACAATATCAGTGATATCCAAATGGGACAAGAACCCATCGGCACTACTGTATAGATCGTTCATATATCGATAAGACTTATGAGAATGTCCCCCACAATGAAGATGATGATTAATTGACAGGGTTCAATAGGAATATTTTGAACATGGAAGAAGATTACTAAATGCCCTTTGTTGAGTTCGTTGGTATGGTCAGAAAAGGAGAGGAGGAAGACATCTTGAAAGGACGTCGAAATTGGCCAAGAGAAGGTGTGTACAATTACATAGACTTATGGTTCATGTCTAGATTATACAGGTCTTTCAATTTGGTATGAGAATATGCTCTATTCAAATAGACCGATAGCTCTTCTGCCTATATAGAAAGATTGGTGCAAGAGTATGATGAAGAATCTGCCAATTTGTATCCCATCCCAGCCACCAAAGACAACTTCGACAAGCCTTTACCTACACCGCAGACTCATTAAGCTTATTCATTATTTTTCGGGCTATCATCTATAATGTCTCTAGCACTTTTGGCCATTAGAAGATGATTTATCAACATTAAAAATATTACCAAATTCCAAAACATAAGCAGTTATTATTTTAAATTTTAATTTATCTAACTACTATTTTATGCCACACTATCCAGAAGATATCGAATATTCGGACAAATATCAAGATGATTACTACGAATACAGACATGTCATCCTCCCCAAGCACATTTTCAAAAAGATCACCAAAGGTAACACGAAAGATCAATAACTCTAGGAAAACTCTTGAGTGAAATGGAATGGAGAAATCTAGGCGTTCAACAATCCAGAGGTTGGGTTCATTATGAATGTCATAGACCTGAGCCACACATTTTACTTTTCAGAAGACCAAAAGGAACAGATCCTAATAGTGGTTTGCCTCCTTAAGGGTTCTCAGCCCCTTATTGATTTAGTTATTATCCATTGCGAACAATTATTATAATACTTATTTCAAATAAAATCAAGAAGTACTCTCAGGTTTGCAAACTACTCATTATAATGGTGCTCTGGGATTTTAAACTTAATCTGCATTACGTCTTAACTACTTTTCAAGTATATTAAAATTGACCAGATATTGTTCTTTAATTCAATCACCACAATCTATACATTTTTGGTTTTTTGAAGGCTATTTCACTAAATTTATTAAATCAAATATAAACATAAATTCTAATTAATTTCTCAATTTTATTGGAAACCATCTTAGCATCATTCCAGAACTATATACCTCCCACTTTTTTCTTTGGCTGTTATACTTTTACATCATAAATTTCTAAATGCAAACAATTTACATCATCATCAACCAAACCTTTATATTACAATCGAAATGTATGAATTTTACTGTGTTGTATATTTATATAATATACAATTTCAAAATAAGAATAGGAGTAGGGAAAAACGTAAAAAAAACATTAGGAGTATCGATATCAGTGCTATTTATGAGGATTTTTGAATTAGTCAATTTAAATCCAGATTCTTTATAAGTTGCGAAACTCACTTCTTCAATGGGTATTTATACTGAGTAAGAACAAAATAAAATTGAGTATATTATTAAAATCTAATAATTTAGCATAATTAATTAAATTATAATCAATTCAATTGAGTATTTATTAATGATTACAAGCTTCCTCTTTTTGGTTTATGTGAAGGAGATAAACTATGGAATGTCTTAAATGTTGATTGTTAAACTTCGTTTGAATAAAAGCAGTCTAAATAGGGATTGGGGTCTTGCTCATTCAATTGATAAATAAAATCATTCAAATCTTCATAAATTACAAAACTGATCTTGGTCTATGGAGTTGAATTTCGAAAGGACAAAGAATCCCCCATTTTTTATTATTAAATGTCTTTAAAATTGATTTTAATATTGGGCCCTATTTGACTAATCAAATATTAAGCTAACGGCAGGCCTAATGTACTAAACGGTTCTGCACTCCCTTTCAAATAGATTCCTTTGGTTTGTTGCTATAAGGTTGAATCAGGGTCCTAGATGGATATTTGGCTCTTTGTAACTTTCTGAGCCTTCAAGTTCAAATCATGGATCTGATCACTTAAATTTTAAATGTTCTCATAATAATGATTGACACCCCAATTCCTTTTCTTATGATCAGTATAAGAAGAGGCTTTCGACAAAGCTTCTTGTATCTAAAGTGGTATTTTGAGGAGTTGATGTTTCATGATAATTTTCAAGCATCCAGGCTTGCTTTAGATTCTTTTGAATTTGATCTGGATCGGATATCCTGATGGATGACAGTCATACAATTGTTTCTCATCGTTGTTTATGATGGCCAACATGATTTTGATGAACTCAGTTATACTCAAAATAATGGATATCATTTTCGATCTATCTGTTTTCAAGATGATATTCAATTTTAACTGGTTGTTAGTAAATTTGAGATCCTCCTTCAATTGATTCACTAAATCCACTAATTTAAACTCATTTATTTTATATTTTAATTTATTGTAGGTAATCTAAGTAATATTATGTATGTTCAAACTTTGGTTAAATAGAATGTAACTATTGCAGATTTAATTGGTTATATGAAACAATTAATCAGCATTAGATTGAAACTTGATGAATTTGAGAATGTTGATCTAATCTTTGATATAATTTAGACATTGTTTGCTGTGATTGACTAATTATTGATCTCTCCACTTGAGCTGATGATTATAGTACTCATATTAGTTGCCTCCCTATTCTATAAATAACAGCAATATTGTTGGTTCTATTGAGTTGAAGTAGATTTTTGTGATTTGGAATTGCCATTTTTTTTGATTGTTTATAAAACAGCCCTCAAATTTTTTGATCTGATTTGATTACTATTTTACAAGCAAGTCTTCCATTAAAAGTTCCTCGAAATTAAATTGCTTCTTGGGTTGTCTTTCCAAAGGCAGGATGTTTGAATCTCTTAGAAACTCTCTGAATTTTTGATCAGACACAATGTTAAAGGTCTCTCTCATTACTTTATTAATTTTGTCAATCTTTAATTGCCCCTATTACTTATCATGTTTAATCAAGACTACCCAAGTTGGCAATTGTTCTTCGATTAAATTTTCATATTAAATCTAAGATCTATATGCCAAATAATGTTATCTTCTTTTCATTTCGACCTAATAACGAAAGAAAATAACGAAGAGTCTAAACAAACCATGAACTATTTGTGGAACCACATTCCATTCGGAGATTGAGACCTCCACTCCATAACTGAGAAAAAAAAGCAAAGTTTGGCATCTAAATCGATTCCCTTATAGATACAATACTTTTCTATAATATTAGATTGCATACTGTATTTCAAGATCCCCATTTCTGTGGCGGTATCTTGAGCTTGATTTTAAATCATATAAATATCAATTGTAATGGCGTAGATGATGAGATTCAAACTTTGAATATATTCCCTTTGCAAAGGATATTTCTAATAGAAAAAAAGTATCGTCAATTCAACACACAGACTGATTGATGTCGTGATGATGTAAATGACATCGTTAGTGTAATTGATTAGATTGATTAAAAGATAAACTGATATTGTGGCAAGAGTGGTCTCATAAATGAATTAATTCTGTTCAATAACCCATTTCTTAAAGGAGTATTCAAGTTCAGAGGATATAAAGCTTAAAGATAATTTCTTGATCATTTTAAAAATATATTTATTATATTTGAAACCTTATAAGGCTCGTTAAACATCACATCTACTATGCTACACACTACATCATTCAATTGCTATCAAAGCTAATTGTAGATAATTAAAATATCAAGTAATTTCAATTAATAATAATACAAATTAATATCCCTATTTATTTTGCATTCAATATGCTTCACAAAATTAATTATTGGTTCTGTTCATTCATTACTCACTTTCCCTATTGCTCAATCTCTTTTCAATTCGTTCATTTCACATATCAATCATTAATATCTTCGTGTTAGTTGAGTCATCAATTTCAATTAATGAGAACCCTATCATCACAGCTAGTCAAAGGTAAGAAATGTATATAGTAACTTAAAATTTTAGTACAATTGTGGTAACGATAGAATTAATATTTGTAAATAAATTAAAACATTATATAAATGAATCGAAATATACCAATAGGAAATAAAATCTGTGCCACTAAGGAAATCTTTTAAAATCAAGTAATATTGAATCAACACCTCTTAAACATGAGACCCTAAATCAACACAAGTGCACCTAAATAATACAATTTTCTAAAAAATAAAGCAATTAAGGAAGCTATTAAACTGTAAAAGTAAAAAGAAATAGACAGAGTAAAACAAAATCTCATATCCAAATTATCTAATATTAGGTAACAATCAGCAAGTACTTTTTTTTATTTCATTTCCAGTTAACTCTATTACTACTCTTCCAATCAACAAGCCAAGTTCTTTGAATTTTGTTCCAAAAAGGTCTCTAAATAAAGATCATAGGAAAAAAGAATTGATAAAAATTGTCATGGAAAATTAATAACTATTGAAGAGAATACAAGATTAGAAGTCTCAATATAACGTTAAAGATTGGAATGAAGAAAGAAAATGCGTTGAAAAACATATTGCCAGCATTTCAGAATATCCCTATAAGGATTTCAAGCCAACCAAAACTCTTGTTCAATACTGGACCAACTCTAGGATTAGTGAAACACAAATGCAAAGTATTTTTACAAAATATTATATCTTAGAAAGAGATAGTCAAATCAATAAGAAATTGGATCCTCTCGTCTAAAGCAAAAGTCAATAAACCAAGTATAGAATATTATATATTAATTAAGACAAAGAGTTATGTAAGACTATAATCTAGAGTATAATTAACTACTATTTACTTAAGACTTCTAGTAAAAGTAAGTAATTAAACAATATATTTATAGAAGTATATTTGAATCTGATTTTTAACCATATGAGCCTTATGAAGATAAGGTTGCCAAAATTGTTAATTAATTGATTGAAAAACCTTAACTTTACGAAGATAATGTTTAAAACACAAATTAAAACAACCAATTAACCACTCATTAAAATGAATAAGAAGAAAATTAATAGGAAATTATAGAATCAAAATAAGAGAACCCTGAAGAAATTGAAAATAAATAAGAATAACTATAGGAGCAAGAGATAAATAACTAGGATGAAATTAGAAATATCAGATTAAATTCTCGTGATGAAACACATCAACAAGAAAATTAAGATCTAAATTAAGTAAACTCAAATAATCAAGAAATGGAAACTATAAATTTTGACAAATAAAATGATGAAAAATAGGATTAATAAGATGGAGAAGAATTTTAAGAATGAATAAAGATAGAAATATTTATAACCTCATAATGTATACTCCATTCAATTTATCTTAATATCCTTCTGAAAATTTGTAGTTCTAAATATTGTTGTTTTAGTCTAAGGTAAACTGATCAAATCTTTCTATTATGTATATGCAATTCATCATTTTGTACTTTCAGGGACTTTTAATGACTATTCAATATCATCAATTTTAAATAGATATATACTTTCCTATATTTTCATTTGTGAAATTAATTATCAGTTAATTATATTGTTAGAATGAAAATCGAGAAACATAAATTTAAATATCACGCTTTTAATTCTAGTTTTTCAATTTAAGTATACACATTAAGTAGTTCTTTTTCTAAATCATCAATTTGAATTCTCAATGATTCCTAATTTTTTTTCAGTTATTTTTTCATATTCTTAAGTTCTTGAAAATTAGTTCTGAAGATTTTTAATTATCTTTCATAATGGGAAAAATCATCAACTTCAATAACATAATCTTGAAAACTGTAAGTATTTTAAATTTAATGTCTTGAATATTTGACTCTGAACATTTGTTGTAAGACATACTTTTTGCATTAATTGTGGATCCATATTTTCTTGCTTATTTATTATTTACGTTTTCTGTAGCTTACAGTACTAAATTGTTTCATTTTAATTATTATGCTTTTTTCAATTTTTTTAGTATTTTGATTCTAGTAATTTTAATAAATGAATTATTGTTGTTATTGCGAAATAAATACTCTGGATTCATTCGATTGGGTTTTCAAAGTTGTTTATGTTTATTACTATTGTTGAAATATCATTAATGGATGTACTCTACTAACATTAAATGACTGTTTCTCTATCAATTTATTCGCAAAGATTATCATCTGCACAACCTTTTTAAATTACTACATAAGTTTATCAATTTTATTTCTCCTATTGTGAATTAACTATTCTAGTACTTACTAAGTTCTTGAGCGCTATGTATCATATATAATCGATTTTTGTGGTTTAATCATTCCTTCATATCTTGTTACATCGATATTGCATGTTTCCTTGATTTTCTCCAGTTTTAAGGTATTCATAATCTCCCTCTCCCTTTCAAATCGGTTATAAATGATTTAAGCCTTCATCCTTTGTTCTCTATTGTGAGCGATGATTGCTAAATATTAACATAAAGCTGGAAACGAACTCATTTATTAAAAGAAATAATCTCCATTCAAAATAATGTACTCACACAATTCGATGGCAACCGCATAGTTCTTTCTAGTGTGTTATTTTGAAAACATGAGTTTTTTAAAGTACTCTTGTTCACCAAAAACTGATCCTTCATTTATTTGTACGAGTACTTTTCCGAATTGAGTTCTATATTGTAATTTGCCTCTGATGAGGAAGTAAATTTCATTAACAACTTCATCTTTAATCCAGATCTTACAATTTTGTTATGTTTTCATCAGCATCATCTTTGGCAAAATGGATACAGAAAAATTGAGATTAAGTCGAAAAAAATGAATCTACATAATTTCGATATATGAGACATAGAGAGTAATTTCCTTTTGCCTAATTATTGGTAAATTTTGAAACCATTCTTACAAACTTAGAGACCATGCTTAATTTTATTTGATATTCATAGCTAAATACAATTGAATCTTCGTCTGCACTTCTTTAATGACATCAATCTTCTTGAAAAACAACTTCAAAGTATTTTACATTTCTACATACACGCATTCTGAATTCAATTTTTTTAGCCATTCTGAAAGATTTAACAATATCACACAATAAAATGAGGCACCCAGAAACATCCACAATATGGCTACAATATACTAAGCGTAATTCTTAGCTGCATCATTTCCATAGCCAATAGTTGAGAATGTTTGCAAAGCCCAAAATAAACATCTGATATATTCTGAATTCTAATTTAATAGTCCTTTGTAATCTTGATCTGTTTCATATTGATTATCATAGATATTTGAAGCAAGATACCAAAGACAAGAGAAAAGGTGTAAGCCATAAATGAATTTCACAATAATCTTCATGATGTTCAATTAATAAGAGTTAAATATATTAAAAACATTTTCCCAATTACTAATAACAAAAACTATTAACATTAAATAATTACTTTTTTTTTTAATGAAAAGTGGAAACTTTCAAAATTCGGTTGATTCGAAATACCCTAAGGAATCTTGGGAATTTATGATATTAAACATGTAAACTAATTATTTAATCATTACTTACTTGTAAATAGAATCCAAGGGGATGAGAGTTATGAGGTCAGGAATGAGCCAACCCTTCAAGTAATTTAAAAATATAAACCACTAATTTTGAACTAATACGTTTTATCTATTATAGTAACAAGATCTCAGTATACAAAGCATGTCTGTAACTATATAAATTGATTGATACTCAATACAGTAGATAATGTCGTTTATTAGGTCTAATTAGTAAACTCCAGATGACCCTTTATCCATGAATGCTATTCTCAAAGGTAAATAAATTGCTGTTTGAATATAAGTAATCAGTAAGATAATGTCCCAAATCCTCCTGGATGGATCACCCTAGTTGAATTGATAGCTTACTGGAAATATAAGAAAAGCAGATTTCTTTTTGAGTCCTTCATCATGTCTCTCCAGAATTACTCTTTCATGATGATGAAGTAACCTAATTACATTGTAAATCAATCTGAATTTCTTCGCCATCAAGTTCCTTAGATGTTCTCTCTTCTATTATTATTTCAATGCTTTATCCTTTTATCTTTATATTTACAATAAATCGCAAAACCTTTTAAATTCGAATAAACTGATTTCCTAATCTCTCGGACTGTTGATTTAATCGAACATAGATTCTTGATTGATATTCCTCATCGATTTGCATTTTCTTCTAGACCTGAGCTAGTTTTGCATTAAATTTTAATAAAAATAAATAGTAATATTTAGATTAAATTATGTTTAAAACTCTTATGATTTAATCATAATTGTCTCAATAGAAAGATAATCATTTTACAGTGGTTTATTTTGTAATTTCAGACAGAGAGCTTCTTTTTACTATGGAATTATGAACCGTTTTGGATTTCATAACATATTGGCTTACTTCATCATGCTTCCTTTTAGAAGGAATCATCCTTATAGTATTCACAATCTAGCATTTGATAAGTTAATACTCTTCTGGATCTATCAATCATAAGTATCAATAAGAATTACCTTGATCTTACAAAGATTATTAATTATTAAAATTTACTATTCTCCCCTCGTTGACATGAGGGGAATTTATCAAAGAATCGTTGATCTCCACAATAGTTGGCAAGAAAATTGGATTTAACTATTAATGAATTTGCTGATGCTTGATATTTTGCTATATAGTAACAAACCATTGATGCTTTATCGCTCTACATAAAGTGATATTTGGTTATAACAATTATCTTATGAGATCTAATTAACTCACTCTATACAAAAATGGGTATTAGTTTTCTTTGTAATTCTAATCAGCCATCAAATTATGAATTCTATCGATCAGATCCAAATCAACATATTAATTAATTCTATTTTTCATTGTATAAAATGTTATTTGATATATTAATATTCCCAAGTTATAAAGATCGTTTTCAATAGTAAAACTGCTTTTCTCTAAATATCTTGGATAAAGTATAACTATTTCTAAAGTTTCATTCTCAACATTGATAAAAACAGATGAAAGATTGAGATTGCCATGATAAATGTTTCTTTGTTAGTATTTCTATAAATTTTGTAAGATCATAAATATTATTGATACGAACGGCACTTCTTGAAAATCGAATCCATTCAACAATAAGTTCTCTAATGATTGAAGCTTCATCTTTTCCCCTAGAATATAATACTTATAATTGTCTTCATATAATTTTGGGGAGCTATGCTTTGACTTTAAGGTGTGCATTATAGTAATTGAATTGTGAAATATTTGGAACTCTTTGGGATCTTTTAATAGCCTTTTTTCATATACTTAAGTGCAATGTTCCTCACTATTATTCTAATATAATAATAAATCATACTTTGATGGCTTAAGATATGGGTAGACAACTCCTTTGTAATAATTAATACTTTCCAAAGAAATTCTTGTTTATGCAAAATCTTTTCAGGAGAACTTGAATTCTCTTCATCTGTTCTTCATTATTTGCTATAATAAATTCCTTTCCGTAATTATTAAGCAAGATGATCACATAAAGTCCTTCGCAATTCTTAGTCTTTGTTAATTTGATTTCATGGTAACATTTGCTTAATTCACAATATAAACTCTTGACAACGATGACGTTATCATATATGTTTATTTCCTCTAACTTGAATTATTTACTCTTGTGTTAATAGATGGACACTTTTTCCATAATTATTTCTTACTAACATAATTTTTCAATTAGTGTTTCATGCTTTTATCTAAATAAACTGTTTGTTTCATGCATTTTTAGTTCATCGATCAGCTATTAATAGTGATATTAAATTTACATAATTAAATTATTCATAATTTACCTTTAACTTTATAGAAATAACTATTTCATAATCAAATTATGTAAATATCAATTAATCTTCAAATTAGGCAGTCTATAATTGATAAATAGCAAAAATACAGAATGATATGATTAATTATTCTACTTTTAAATAAAGATCTTTCAATAATTTTTAATTTATTATCCAATTTTAAAATTTATATAATTCAACCTTCTAATATTCTAAAATTCTTGCAAAAAGTAAGAGATTTAGACTTTGAGAAATCATTTTATATTGGAAAATTAGTGTTAATTAAACAGTTAAATGCTCAAATTAAAATCAGATATTGCTGAAATTTTCTTAAAAACTCAAAAGATTTATCTAATTGTAATTTAATAGTTCACTCAATTTAGAATATGATTTTCTGAAAGATTCTCAAGTTGCATCTCTGATTTCATTTATGGTGTATTTTTGATATTTTCTAACAATTAATTTAGTTGATGTAAATTTATATTAATGATTGATTTAATTAAGTATTTATTAAGATTAATTTTAATGTCTTGAAAACTTTCTCCTTGATTTAGTTATTGTTATACAATCACCTTTGCTCAAATTAAATATCTCTATCGCAATTTAAATTAAATTTATCACATTTGAATTAATGCAACAAGAATACCATCATTTGTGTGTGAAAAATCTAAAAATGGAAAAAGAAAAGTATGAAATGAATCATTTGAACTTAATTTTAGGTTTAAAACAAAGAATTCTTCAAAATCATAATATTTCTTATGAATTATAGTTGTTTAATTAAAATATAAATTATTTACTAAATGATTAGCGGGTTTTAAACAGGAAAAAATTAGAAAATATAGTTAGTTGAAAATGAAAAATACAATAAGATCATTATCTAATTTGAAGATCTATCAGAAGAAGAAGAAATATCAAATTCAGAAAATAAACCAACAAAAAATGATTTAAATTTACTTAATTCCCTTTCTAAAGAAGCCATTAAAATCAACAATTAACTGTACCATCCTAGTAAATTTGCTGAACAGGGATTTAAATTTTTGAGTAAAACCCCAAGGGATTCACTTTCAGAAAAGAAGATCTCCTATCAAACAGTAATTATGGCAGATGAAATAAAGAAAGAAATTATTACGCCAATAAAAAAAATAGAACCTAATAATTATAATGAGATTTTTCAAATGAATGCTATATTGCTTTCTAAAATTAGCAAATTACCAAAGTGTTTAATTGGAGAAAAATTTTCTGAATTATCAAAACAATTAATGAAGAATTCTGTATTGAAATAAAGCTCATTTTTTAGGTTATAAATAATACCCGAAAATTTAGAATGGAAATTAATTAAGGAATATTTTAAGTAATATGATGTTGAAAAAGATTGGCTCTTTCAATAAGCAAGGTTAATTTTTTGGAAATTATAATCAAAAAACAACTACACAGACTAAAAGATAATTTTAGAATTAGAATATCGCTATTTTATTTAATATAGATTATAAAGTCGAACTATTATTCAAGAGATTTGGACAAATGATTAATCTCTAAATTAGCATATGATTTTATTAGTTGTAGGTGTTGAATAATGTTAAAGCAGAAGGATTTTAGAGTTATCAGATGGATGGTATTCGTTATTTTTTGTTTGTGAATCAAGTTTTGATTAGATATACGATAGGATCAAGATTGGGCAAAAATTGCATGTTACCAATTTAAAAGAATATCCTATTATATTTAATACTTCTAATGTATAGTTATTGTATCATATAGGTTAAAATAATTACATAATATCCTTTTACTAAATTGTTGGTTACTACTAAAATTAATTCTATTAAAAAAGCTTAAATAAATAGCAAGTTAGGAAAATAATAATAAAAGTATTTCGTGCGATCGCTAAAGAGTTTGAGAAACGGACCCATCCCATGCATTGATGTCTTTATTGTGTCGAAATCTTACTTAATTAAAGTAAATCAAAAAAATTAACGAAAAGCTCAATTGTTTAATTCTGAAACTGAAAACGAAGAAGAATTGCAACAGCTTAGAAATTCTAATTTGTGTTTTTGGATTACGGTTATGGATAGTTTAAATTATTTCGATGAGAGAAAATCGAAAATAACAGAACTCAGAGATATTATTGTATATATAAATGATCCATTGTAATACGAAACAATAAGTGTTGGATAGAGAGTTTAAATTATAAATTCAATCTAATTCAACTAGGAAATAAGTGTGAAAATAACTAAATCATCAGGGTTTCAGTTTGAATTACAACAGTACTAGGACTACTTCAATAAATTGTAAATTGTTAGTAATAGATGTGAAATGTAGATAAAGGTTAATAATCACGCAAAGTTTGAATTAATTGATTTAATCGAAGGTAGCAATGATTAAAATTAAAATGTTAAAATTGAGATATAAAATACTTTTTTTGGTGAAATTTTAAAACATCAACAAATGAAAATTTTGAAAGTGACTCAATTAAATAAAATTAATAATGAGAGATTTCAAACTACTCAAATGAGCAAATTGATAAATATTATAAATTATAATAAATGAATTAATAGTTTTTGAAATAGCCTTCAATGATTTATGACAAATCATCTTATATTTCTTCCTCTAAATATAACAGTCCGAGATAAGAAAATATGGATAATTTTTTGTAAAATTTAGATTTTAATAAAAAAGGGACAATAATAGTGATAGGAATAGTGCGAATGATTTAAGGAGGTTTGGGGGCACGAGCAGATATAAAAAAAAGCATAGAGGACATAGTAGGGTTTTTGATGATGATTATCTATAAAAAGAGAAGCGTGTCTTTAAATAAAGTTTGCAAAAGCTTTACGAAGAGTCTTTTATAAAAAATATCATAGACAATTCATATATTAAAAAAATAGGCACATTAAGTACGTATCAAGTATAGGTACTTGATGATCTGCAATTTGGAACTGATAAATAAATAGATGATATTGACAATGTCTTTTACAGTTTCTTTTCAAGTTATTTAGATAAAATATCTGTCATCTACCCATAAAGTAATTTTAAAATATTGTGGAATTCAATTCAAGTATCGACATTCTCTTTAATATTTTTATGGTTACCGTATAAATTAGCATTCGAAACAAATTACATTTCTTAATTTTATGATGATGAAAAAACAATGTAGATAGAACTTGCCTTTTTTGTGATAAGTGCTTTTGATATAATTATTTGCTTGAATGAGGCCTACATCCATAAAGGAATTATTATCAAGTAATAATAACTATGAAATATGTTTAGCTAAAGATATCATATCATTATGAATTATCTAAAAACAACTGCATTACCAGATATGATAAGTATCTTTGCATTGCTTTATGAATTAATCATAGTTCACTATTATGAAAATTAGTTTATATCATTGTAAATCACTTTGTGTTTGATATATGGATTGATCAAAACTATAAAGATGAAATAGATCTTCAATCAGATTTAGGAATACTTTAACATAAAGGGCGTATTGAAGGATTGCTTACAAATGACTCAAATAATATGTGGCTTGTTATACTTCATTCATTTGACTGCATGTTTATGGCACGGATTAGGATAACCGATATATAAGTAAACGTGGTTGGATATAAATCAATTGAGAGGAGCCAATGATAGTGCAAGATATGCAGAGTCGTTGCATTGGGCAGCAGTTTACCTTACTAATGTAGGATCCACAGATATAATGATAGCAAATAGTGATGAGAAGTATTTTGCTGCGGTAATTTCATTTTTATCATTATTCATCATGGGTATCATAATTGTAGCTTTGGGTTTCTTTTTCCACAAATCTCAAAGAAACTAAATTTATTCAGAATCAATGAATTTGATGAATAATTTTATGTCAATGAACAATATCGATTTTAATTTGTAAGTAAGAATTAGAAATTATTTGGATTACATTTGCAAAGTAAATTAAATATTACAAAAATAGGCAGAATAATCGATGATTGATGAAAATGTTTCGAGCATTATTAACAAATTGTCAGAAAGGTTATAAGCTGAATTGAAATATCAATTAAGAGCATCCATTTTAGAATAGTGCGATTTTATTAAGAAGAACTTTTCACTTAAATTTCAATAAGCTTTGGTTCCATTCATGCAAGAGATAAATACCATACCTGAGGAGAGAGTAGTGGAGATGAATAGTATCGATGATTGTTCGATCTATATTATAAACAAGGGAGAAATGGAAGTAGTATTTGAAGCCAAAAATAAGATGAATGTTAAATTCAAGAGAAATAATATCAAAGTCTTAGAAGTATTTGTTGAGTTTTTTTGATTTAGAGAAAGGAGAATATTTTGGTTTTTATAGTTTCATTACAAATTAACCTAGAACAGCAACTGTTGTTTCCAAGGGGTTTGGCAAACTGTTTAAAATTACTAGAGATAATTTTGTAAATCTCTTAGACCAGTTCCCTGATGAACGAGAAATCTTTTACATGATTAAAGATAAAGTGATAATCAATCAGGATCTATCCGATTTACAAATCAAGTGTTATGGTTGTAAAGGCAATACTCACATGGTCAATTATTGTCCATTCTTGCATTTCAATCCAAATTAAGATAGGGTCATCAAATAGTCCCTGTATCCTCATTAATAAGAACGAGATGATCCCTATTAGTATGAATCTATTTTATATATTATGTAGACCAAGAAAGTCCAAATTTATCAATGCTTTGTTGCAATAACAAATAATAGAATAAATAGCAAAAGAGTATCAAACACAACAGTATTAAGATGAAACTTAAGAAGGTACCTAAGCAACACATGTTTTAATATAAGATGATGTATCAGACTCAGACAGTAGATGTATGGTTCAATCTTAAATCTAGCCTACTCTTAGATGAGAACACGTTCTGTCTCCAGGGTTAACACACATTCAATCTTATCAATGCAATAGCAATCCTCTACTTACAAAATTGGTCAAGCTCATATGGCTTAGTAAATGGTTTTTCAGTAAGGAAGTCATCTACCTTAAGTGGATGAAGTTGAAGTTGAAATAATTGAAGATTAAGAACAAGGGGAAAATTAAGACGCCAATAATAATTTTGATGATTAAATGAACAATAGAAAAGAATTCAATCGCAAACATGATCCTAAAAATACGGTAGAAACTGCTGGATTCGGTAATAAATTTAATAAAGCATCCAATGCTGATCAGAACATTGAAAATTCAGAGGAATCTGAGGAGGACGAAGAAGAATATGAAGAAGAATCTAGTAGTCAGCAATAATAATAAATTGGGAAATCAGTTTCCAAAGGATCACAAAGTCCACAAAATTCAGGGACAAATCCAAAAAATCTACAATAAATGGCATAGAAAGTCACCTTCAATGCATCGTCAACTTAATAGCAAACAGCTGGATCCGCAGCTAACATCAGACCCAGAACTTCAATCAAAAGGGGAACTACCAAAACAAACAATACAGCCATAGTTTTTGATAATGTCTTAGCAGCTTTATAAGAGAATTAATATTTAACCATTGAATTTGTAAATGATGCAACATATAAATAGCCTATCATTACATTTCCATCTGTTGGAGACTTTGATAAGATTATGACTTTTAGAAAGTATTTCCCACAGCATAATATCTCTACAGTGTTAAAACTAATTGAAAGATATCAAAAACAAGTAGAGCATTTCCCCATCTAATCTCTTTATTCTTTCCTCTATACTGCAATCTTTAGAGGAAAGGAGCTAAGGAAAAAGGCAGAATTAGCCAAATAGCAATAAAAATAGGTTTTATATTATCCAAAACCTAACAATAAACCATAAAAGTATTTTATGTATTATTTTTGTTTAAATTTTGTAGGAGATAGCTAACTAAAAGGTAGGTTTGATTATTTTATAACTAAAATACAATTTTAAATTTATTATTATTCATCAATATTACTGTTTTAATAAATATATCATAGTGATGAGTATATTCCCATAAAGTATTTTTTCATTGCCTTCATAAACCTCTCTTAATATACTGCTGGTTTGATAATGGTTGGTGGAGCTCCGAAATTAATAGCAGTTTTTAATCTAAATTAATATTTAAAATATACTTAGTTTCCATTTTTTTCATGAAGTCATAGCATTACAAATAATCTATGATTGATAATTTAATCTAGTGATTTTTATTATCTATTATTAACAACAACGAGTAATCAACAACTTCAACTTCAAGTAAAAACTCAGAATCAGATTCTAGCGCTATTTCTAAGAAGTTGAAATCTTGTTCCTAAACAGGCAACGGCTCACCATTTCGATCTATAATGTAATTGGTATCAAGGAGAGTTTTCAGATTTTTACGATTCCATCTTTTAGCCTCACTACCTTTGAGATCGTAAACAGTCAACTCCCCATCCAAACCCCAAAATAGATTTTCCATTGCAATAAGATACTATGTTCCTCTTGAATTTTTAATAGTGAACATTCCATAAATTTTGTTTAACACTGAAGGCCTTTGATTGGAGATGTTAGAATAAAGATGCTCAAAGTATTTTGGGGCAAAGGATTCAAACATGCTAAATTCAGATTCCTTAACTGCTTTGAAAATAAATAAATTATCAGCAGACTTATAGAAAGTTGAACCACTCTTTCCTCCTGCAGAATTCCAATTAGAACAACTTGCAATTGACTTTATAAACTATTTTATATTAATTCCATTCAGCATTCTAAAACATTCAAATTATTTTGGATAATATAATTGGATTGTAACAGACTTCTACTGTCTTCTAGGAGACTCTGCTGATGTTTAAATTACAGCTTATTCATCTTCATCCACCTCCTATAAATTATTTAAGCTGGTCTTCTTTAGCAAAGCAGTAAATTTAGATAACTTTATTTAGAATTCTTCGATAACTGCATTTTTTAACTAATCTTTTAATATTTTAGCAGCCTCCATTTAAACCTCCTTTTATAGGGATTAATCTTGTATCTTTTCCCAAAATTCAGTGAATCTATACTTATTTTCATATAAATCATAATATTTTGGATGATTCAGAGCTGATGCAACTAATCCGATATCATTTTGATTATAAATTGGAATGAATTCAAAAAAAGATTTTATTGGCATATTACTTTAATCAAAATTGAGAGCTGCTTTAGGCCAATTTAACAAACACGATTTGATAGAGTTTTACTAATTTTAATCATTATCATATTGTTTTTCAAATCCTGCTTCTGATTGTTCTTCGAATTAATTGAAATTATCCTAACTAGGAGATTCAGGTGACTGCGTATACTGTTAGGTAGGCAATAACTAAATTGGAAACAAGTTCTCATTAATAGTTGACATTGTAATTGTAGTTTCTTTTAAAGTTTTCCTAAAGGGATTCTTAATTGAAGGTCCACTTTCGTTCGTTACAAATGAGAATTAGCTTGTTTTTTATTTTGAAATTTGGGATTCATTTTTTATTTTAGAGATCCTTAATTGATCAGTTACTTCTATTTAATAGATACGCGAGTAGAGTTACATGCTCTCTTACTCCAATGCAAGGAAATCGGGATAGGGTGATTATGTCAATCTTTCCATAAAATTCCCAACCAAACTTAGAGAACTTTCAGGTACTTGAAAGAATTGATTAGGATCTTTATCAAAACTTAAATTGGAATTCATCAGATAACTTTCCCTTACACCTTTATCGTTCTTTAAAATTTGCTATTATAATTTTTGCAAATGACAGATTAAAGTATCCTTTCTTTTATCTATCTCTTCTTTGTCACTTTTTTCAATATGTTATTTGACTTCTTAGCAATTAAACTGAAAATGTTTAATCCTATAAATATCAAATAAATTGGTGAACAATTTGACTTGGAAGTCATTACATTCAAACACTCTTTCAGTTAAACTGTGATTGCAACCATCAAATTGATCTCCTTATTCATTCAGTTCTCCATCAAACACCAGCCAATTCGTCTTATTTATTTTCTTCCATCTTAGAGCACTCATGATGAGATATTGTATTAGTTTTTCGAATGAGAATTCTAAGTGACTTCTTTCCAATTTAAAAGATTTAGTTAATTACCTATCACAGTTAGAGTTAAGACACTTGATGTAAGTAATAATGTTCATATTCAACTATTGATGAACTTTGAAATCTGAGTCTCCTTACACAGTTTCGCATTATGTTGAGGTATCATCATTGAGAGATTGCATCTATAGGAAACTTTATTCCTTCTTAATATTTTCTTTGGTTAAGTTAACACTAGCTTTAACTTACAAATTTTATTGTTTCTTTCTTTCTACCACACATCTTACGAATGCTCCAGGCCCATATCTGATTGAAACGTGATGAATCTATTTGATTGAACAATATTTGGTAGTAGTATCTACAGCTTTGCTACTGATATAATGCCCCAAACCGAAGTCTCTATCTTCATAAAACTTAACAATTTCTTTAGTAAAATTACAAAATTAACTAAAATAAGAAATTTTCTTATTATTAATATTTTTGATATTTTACTTAATGTAGTTTTCCAAACTCTCGTCGCTAGTTTAAATGGTGTTAATATTTACTTGTTTCGTTTTTGAATGTCATGGATGGTGCTGATGACAGCTGGATGAAACCTCACTTTGCAAAGCTTAATTTATTAATTCTCATGTTCTGTCATTGATGAAATTGAAAAATCTAATATTTCTCCAGTAATCATCATTGGAGACTTTTGATTATCAATTTACTTGTATTTTTATTCCAAATCTTATTTCAATTTTTAATCCAACAAAATCATTGATAATTCCAAAGACATCGAATAACAAATACAGCAAAGTTGTTGAAAACACTTTTTCACATCAATCAATTCAGTCAATCTAGGTCCACTTAATGTAATTTAAAAAGAAGTTGCATATTAAGGTGTGTGAATGAATAACAATGTTTTATCTTTGTTTTTATTTTTTTTTTTTTCAAGGTGTGCTTCGAGTAAAGCCTTGTCTTTTTCATCTAATCTACTATAAAGGGTTGAGTTTTGTTTAATAGAATCCGGGTCACAACTTACATAGGATGCTGTATCAGACTTGCCCAAACAATCCTTATCACAACACCTATTGAACACATCTGCAGCCCTCTATATTCTGGCTTTAACTGCAATTTCAACTTTTTAGAGTTGTTTTTAACTACATTGAATAGACACAGTGATATCCCTTTTCAGGAACTCATTTAACAAAATGTTGTTGATGCCCTTCTCTATCAAAATGATATTTGGGTTAAGCATATCAATTTACTCCAAAGCTTATTGTAGATATTTATGCTGATTCTTAACTACATTATCGAAATTTTGAATGTCCAAATCAAGCGAGCCAGTGAGTAACAAAAAAGAAGGAGATTTGTGATGAGTTTTCATGCGTTTATGTGCTATATTCTTGGTGATGGTGACTCCTCTTAAATATTGAGTAGCCGCATAATTGATAAAGGGGATTATTTTGATTTTAATCAATAGTATTTTTTATTTTAAGGGTAAAGTTTCTGCGTATTTTAAGTATTCAATCGCATTAAGTATAAATTGGAGCATGGTTGCTTGCCAATTTTCTTTAATTCCATAGGCCAAGGTTCTTCTTTCCACAAATTCTTCTATTTTGGAAATCATACTCTCTTCCAATTTTAATTACTTTTGTTCGATGTCATCACCTATAGTTATTGTATCGGGAATTTGAAGTTTGCAAGTCTGTGAGAGTGGCTACGGGTCAATTTTAATCTGAGGGACTAATTGCAAAGGGGGAGGAGGGGAGGTCTTGATAAATCGAAACACAATATATACTTGCTTTGCAGATTCTGGCAATTTCTCTTCTGTCACATTAAACGATTTGGAGTGTCTTCTCAATTATTAGGATTTAAGAACGCTGAGGGAATCCTTATCTTTAACAATTTCTCCACTATCTCTCAACTTTTTAGTGATGTCATTGAAGCAATCCTAACACAATCGTACCTTATTATTCATCAAAATGAATCATACTTTATTTTTTTTGATCTCATGATAGTTCTTGAAGTTAGTTTTATCCATAAAGTAATTTGAACAACTGAAGTTCTATATACAAATCAATACCTATCACAAAACAACTACCCACAATTCCTGCAATGATGTTTTCTTCGGAATATCGCCTTAAATGGATTTTAGCATTTCTTACACGCTTTCGCATCCCTATCCTATACCCACTTTGTAGTTTGCAACAACTATTGGTTTATCATTCAAATCTCTACTTACAATAAATAATAAATTTTAATTGAGACAATGTAAATCTTTAACTTTTATTTCCAATTGATGAGCTAATTCGTCAACTATTGATCAATCTATTGAGTCCTACAACCAAAATTACCACTACAACTCTATTTTTGAAATATTATTTTTTATATGGATAATTCTTAAAATCTGCAATCTCTCCTACACAATATTGCCCATGATGTTGGCTATGAGAAAATTCGGAAATATGGCCGAACCAACGGATTTCACAATATGTATGTTTGCTTCAATGCTACTCCAATAGATATTTTAGAAGATAAATCTGGTCCAAATTATTAGGAGTAGATCAACAATTACCATACTACGAAAGAGAGAAGTGTCTCCAGCATGATCAGCTCTTGAAGGATGTCAATCGATCATTGAATACCATATAGCAAGTCAAAAACTTCAAAGAAATGTATAAGCGATTTTTTAAAATCTAGAGATCAATTAAGAAATTGCTTAATGGACGTCTTAGACACTATCTTCAGCCAACATCCCAATTACTCCTATTATTAAGGCTATCACGATGTGGCCTCAATTTTAATACTTGTCCTGGGCGTGGAATAAGGTTATATCGCAGCTACTTATGCTGCCCAAAACTTCTTCAAAGACTACTTAGCTCAAGAATTATCTACTACAATCACTCCGCAATATCAATTCATTAGGAATCTCCTGTTGCGATACTCCAGAGACACCTCTAATCACAAACTCAGACAATTGATGTTGTGTATTGAACATCCCACCTGTGTCATTCCATGGATTCTGACATGGTTCTCTCACTCATTAGACAATATCAACGATATCTGCAGAATTTGGGATTTCCTCTTGTGTTCCAAACAAAATACAGTCTTGTATGTTTGTGCTGCCTTCATTGTCATCCATCACGAAATCCTAGATTTGAGAAGTGACGAAGACCTTATTGGAGAATTCTAGGAGCATTTTTAAAATCTGAATAACAAAGATAGAATCTCAGACCTTAAAATAGAATAAGTCCTGCAATTAACCAAAACTCTAGAAAGCCAATATGGATTTGAACTCATTTGCGATCAAGAACATATTTTATTCTCTTAAAAGTTTTAAATTTAACTTAATATTAGCTCTATTGTGTATTAATAAAACTTCAAATCCCAATTACCCTATTACAATTCCTTAGCTCAACTAGAAAAATCTATCCCTAAAAAAGTATTCAATTTCCTCAACGAAAGATCAGACATCATACTCAATTTAGGAGGAATCGCTTTAAGTTATCTTATTCAATTTTATATAGTTAAAAATTGACATTATGTATTAATATTATTATTTATCTGTTAATGATTAAACAATTAATTTCATCAATAATTGAATGTGAAAAATCATTGGAAAACATAAGAATTGAATTAAATTAATAGTCCTTATTTTCTCTGAAACCCATCATGGACAGATTGGACTCAAATAATTAAGGACATATTACTTCATACGATATCCTTCAGTTTTGCTAAGATAACGATATTTCCTGTCAACATTATGACGCTTTTTTATGCGTTAAATATTTGGATGTCAATAAAGATGGCAGAGTTACCTTTGATGAGTATGAGACCATTATTATAATCTAGTCTTGCTATTTAAATGCTATCAAAAACTAATCGTGAAAAAAGATTTGTAGCTGCAATCAGAGAACCTTACTTTATTGAAAAATCAATGTGTCTACCTGAAATTATAGAAACTGGGCTTACTTACTACTTTGGAGAATTATTAATTTATTTAAGAGAATAATTGGAAATAAAAAAGAGTTTAGAAAAAGAAAATTTTGATTACTTTAAACTCTTTTCATAATTAGATTAGAATAATAATGGAGTCATTCACATAAATGAATTTTTATAATATTTTAATTTGACTCAAGAAGATGCAAACTATTTTTATTTGATGGGCAACCATAATCAGACAATTGATTAAATTAATTTAATGGATATCTTCGTTATCCCCCATTTGGAACATGAAAATATTAAACAGGAGAAAGTCTAATCACCATTCAAGAAGAATAATTTTTAATAATTCATGTATCAAAATGAAGATTCATTTCAATCTCCTGAATAGAGATCCACTGTGAAATATAAACAAGCTTAACTAAAACTATTAAATAGTGATTAAACCCATAGTAATACCAGTAGTATTTTCGTAGATGAATTAACAAAGAAATTATAAGATTTTACATTCACTCCTAAATCAAATAAGACAACATGTAACATTGAAATCTCTATTTTCGATAAATTTGCTTATTAATTATTGTATCAATTGCTTCTTAAATCTAAACTTCTGTAAAAAACACAGTAAAAATTGATTTAGAGACATGACTTTTGCTGTAAATCTATCTTCAAAGTATTTGATTGTGAAAACAAAGAATTCATAACAGAGGAAGACTTCCAAACAGGTTTTAGAAAATTAAGAATCCAAATCAAAGGTGCTCCAAAAGATCTGATATTAAATTATGGCTAGGACTTTAAAATAAATTATGAATAATTCAAGAATTTAATCTATTTTGAAAATAATGCTGATATTAATCAAAATTCTTAGTCTTACCCTTAAATTTTCAGCAATGTCACAATTGATTACATCAGATAATTGCTTTAAGAATAGATCGATATAGAATCATTTAAAAAAAGTTATGTTTAATATATACTCAAGAAGGTCAACAGTAATGATGAGTCTATGATTATTAAAAAGTAAATACAAGAACTATTTAATAAATACAATGCCTTTCCTAATGATAGAGAATTAGCAATATTAACAAAATAATTGTAGAATTTATATTTTTGATGTTATCAATATATATAATTAAAATGCAAATTTTCATTTTCTAATAGAATTATAGTTATTTTAATAATTTATAATATATAAATGACCTTTATGATTATATTTAATAAAACTTAGTGTTCTTATTTCTTAAATCAATATATCTTTGCTATATATGTAGAATAATTTGTACCAAAAACTTAAAAATAACCTGAAAGCTTCTTTTAACCAAACTGATGATAGAAAGTAGTAAATTTCTTAATTTAAAAGAAAATCAATTATAATTGGAAAAAATTGAATATGTCAAAAAGGAAATACATATAATCTAAACTCATTTCTTCTTCTTTTTTATAGTTTTTCTAATTTTTAATGGTTATTTATTATTTTTAGTTTATTAATTCTTAAAGTCGATTAGAATGCAAGACATATTATCTAAGCCCCAAACGGTTTCTTCTGTCATTGAAGGAGCTAAGATTTGATTCATCAAAGATTTTAACTTTTCATCAGCTAATTATGTTAGATATAATGATTACATGAATCTTTATTATTTTTAAATATCTTTTGAGTAAGGTTTTCGCCATAATCATTTAAACCTTCCCAAATTCCATCACAAGCCATAAAAATCATTTAAATGTTTTTAAAAACTCTAATTTCAGGGATAGCTATCACCATATCATCCTTATATTGATAATCTCCAAAAGCTCTAGAGAGTGAAAGAGCTCCGCAGACTCTTCCATCAGCTACGAATCCACCTGCTTAACAGATTCTTGATCTCTCTTTCGCATGAGTAGGTTTGTGATCGAAACTCATTATAATGGCTTTTCCCTTTTGAATGCCAACTGATCTTGAGTCACCAATATTCGCGCAGTAGACTGAATCTTTAGTTATTAATATTATATTGGCCGTAGTTCCACTTTCATCAATAATCGAGGATCCAATCAATTCGATAATTTTCTTAGGTGGCAATTTAGCCAATTCACTTAAATTGAAAAACTCTTTATTCAATTGTTTTTTTTAATTCTTGATGTTTTTGATCACTTTGATATTATGTCATTATACCATCGTCAACAGGCAGTTGATATCTTTCTTCTACGAGAGCATTAAGTCCCTCTGAGGTTATTAACCATTTATCAATAGCAATAAAGGATTCTCTCAGACTCTCTTCATATTGTTTATTTCTAAATTTCATATTTGATTCCAAAAAGCGCGGTAAATATTTGGATACAACAGAGGAAACCTCAAATCCTCCATGGCCATCCAATATTCCAAATAAATATTCTCCTGTAGACAGTTTTTCTTTTATAATTGCGTCTTCCTTAATGTAAGATTAATAAATTTGATTACCATTGTTTTTCTCCATCCTTGCATGGAAGCACAAGTAAATGTAAAATCGTCACTGCTTCCTGATTCAATAGTAAATTTAGTTTTAGGTTTTGTTAAATAAATATCGTCGATGCTCATTATTTTCCGCTCAAATTAATGATTATAATAATTTAACAAATTTTATAAATTATTTAACTAAAGAGAAGGCCATCACATAATATTTATTTCGATTCCCTATTTTAATGTTTTAGTTATAAAATTAGAATGGATTGGTCCATACTCCAATTTTAATTAGATATGGAATGGTGTATATCATTATCTTATCATTTATTTTGTAGTTTATAATGTATTGCATTATAGAATTTAGATTATAAAAATATTATATTTTATGTAGTCTAAACCAACCCCTATTGCTGATTCAGTAGAAATCATTAAAGGTAATTTTCTTATTTGAATTCTAGATAAACTATATTGGATCTCAGAAAGCAAGGCTCCTCGTAACCAGCCAAATGCTTTTTATTTTTGTATTGATTAGGTACTGAGCATTTTATGAAGGTCTAAGGATCTAGTGTATGAACCATTTTTTGCTGACTTTGGCCCGTTGAATTTGGGTCACACCTATCGGTTTGTAACAGAATTGGAGAAGTTGCTGAGTGATAAGTCATATCAACAATATGCGATATATCACTATACAAGTCTAGATAGTGCCAAAAGAGCAAATGCTGCTTATTTGATGGGTGCGTTTCAAGTCATAATTCTGAAATACACTGCTGACGACGCATGGAAACCATTTTTAAATGTAAAGCCAGCATTCTAGGATTTCAGAGATGCCACTTATGGACAATGTAACTATAAATGCACTGTAGAATTAACATATTAGCAAAGATTCTTCATTGTTTGAGAGGCCTTGAATATGCAATCAAATTAAAGTGGTTTGATGTTAGAAGGTTCAATCTTAGAGATTATGAATTTTATGAAAGAATAGACAATGGAGATCTGAGCTGGATCATTCCAAATAAATTCATAGCCTTTTCAGGACCTTCTGCAACTTAAAAGGATGCGGATGGAGTACACTAACATTATTAATTAATTAGAACAGAACATTTACTCCTGAAGATTATGTGCCTATATTCAAACAATTCGGAGTGACTTGTGTTGTGAGATTAAACAAAAAATAATATGATGAATAGAAATTTATTAAAAATGGAATAAAGCATGAAGATATATATTTTCTTGACGGATCTGTCCCAGGAGATGATAAGATCTTACGATTTTTATAAGTTGCTGAAAAAGAAAAAGCTGTCGCAGTTCATTGCAAAGCAGGATTAGGTCGTACAGGTACTCTGATAGCAGCTTATGCAATTAAGCATTACAGGTTAATTAGAATATAATAAATAGATTTCCAGCTTAAGACTTTATAGGATGGATTCGTATATGTAGACCAGGCAGTATTTTGGGTCCCTAATAGATCTTCTTGCTGGTAAGTCTATATTATTGATAATTTAATCTAGCAAAAACAAAATTGGCTGACAAGTTTGGGACATGACTCTCAAATATGGAATCAAGTTAATCAGATTGCTTAGGAAGTCAATATTGAATAAAGATTATAGAATTTGTAAATATAACCTATGAGTGAAGGTAATTTAAATTTAATAGTATTTCAAATAGCGGATCAATTTATAGCTGAGAATGGCGATTAGAATTAGGCTGAGACTTTAAATTAAGCTCGATTGATGAAGTAATCAAATTGAATATATTTTTTAGCTAAAATTCCCTGGGACCTAATAGATGATATATTATTTTTTATAAAAATTATTTATCAAATTTTTAAATTAATAAAAAATCAATCACGCAAAGAATATTTAAAAAAATTAATTATAAATAAAGATTATTAATAAATAAGATAATTAGAATCAATATACAAATACATTCTTAATAGACTTCTTATTATTATTTATTAAGTCCTAATAGTTTTTATCCTTGTAATTCGTTTGTTTCTTTTTGATAGTTCTATATGCATCTCCAATATATATATCTTAAAGATCAATTGAAGCAGACTTTTAATTTTATTTAAGTTCTTTCAATTACGATGTCCTTTTCTAATTCATAGAGTGTGTTGTTCGTGCGGATTTATTATCAATTTTGCCTTTCTTCATTTTTTAAATTTCAGGTAGTTATAAGTTTTGTAACTTATTATGAAAGAACTATATATTAGGGTCTTGGTAAGTATTTAAATAAGTTTAATTTAATTGAATTTGCTAATTTTATAAAGCTATAGTTTTGTTGTCTCTTTAGGTTAATTTTTGCTTTGGTTTCTCTAAAGTAAGAGGATAATTAATAGAAGATTAATTTATTTAATAAGCAACCTGAGCAATTTTATCGCTCTTTTAATATACAACTTCCGGTAGATCTCGATGGTCATGGACAAATGAGCCTTAATAAGAACTTCCATCAATTTATATTAATTTGCCAATACCATGCTTTAAATCTTTTTAATATTCTCCCTAATTAGATATCATATATTACTTCGTAAATGATGCCATTCTTATTAATATGCTTTCCATATCCATGTCTCATACCCTCCTAAAACTATCCTGAATAGATGGATCCATCAACCCATCTATATTCACCTTGTCCCTGTGGTTTACCAAAATAATAATTTCCTATATACTTATCACCATTTTGAAATTGTTCCACTCCATAACCATTCTTAACTGAATTTTTCCATTGACCAAGATAAATATCCCCATTCCATTTGTGTTCTCCTAATCCATCTTACTGTCCATTCACCCATTAACCAATATAATAATCATCTTGCGTTCCTATCCATTAACCAAAGCCATGCTTCTAAGCATTCGACCATTAACCTATATACTGTTCTCCATTCTCCCATTTAAAACATCCCTCGCCGTTTGGTTTCTTATTGTGAACTTGCCCGTGATACATACATTTATTCTAAAAGACTTAATAAGATATTCCAGTCTGAAATTGATTGTAAATGAACCTTCCATTCAGAGTTATTTTAATTTGCGCTGTGTTGCTTTTTATAATTATTTAATTTTCTTTTCTAGATAATTAATTATAATCAAGGGATTGAATTGGCAATTGATGTTAATGAAAAAGACTTACTAGTTATTATTTCAAGGTTTCTTAACTTTAAATAGAGAACAATGCTATAAGGTCCTTTTGAAACTAATCAACATTTATAATCAGTGGATATTTTTTTTAAATTCTTTATACCTACTCTTAGAAATTCTATATTAACTGATACTCTTAAAGCCTAAGATTAAATCACTATGTTTACATTCAAAATGGATTTAATAATTTATAATAAAATTTATATGATGTAATTCCTAAAACTAAAAACATTTAATCAAATTAATTTAATTGAATTATAAGTTTTCAACTCAAAATTTCAGTAATCATCTAGATTACATTTGGAATCTTGCTATTATCAGATGGCACATCCAATAATTAAGAATCTGATAAAACAATCTATAAACTTTCTTCATTTTTAAATTAGGTTTTCTATTAAAGATATTTTAGGTTAATTAAGAAATAAACTTTAATGAAAAGAAATAATTGCTCTAAACGAATTATGAAAATATGTCATCTGAAGCTATTTCTTCATCAGTTCCATATAATATTAATGTAAGACTCAAAAATTATAACTGACTCCATCTTTAATGATCAAGCTTTTCTATTCTATAATTAATATAGTTGATTCTATCCCATTTATAAAGATTTGGCAAGAATGAGCATTCTGAATTAAACGAATATTACACTATTAACAATATAATTTTAAATGCTAATGGATGAACTAAAATATGAAAAAATGATTGAACTTTATGAATTATGCTTAGTTTATTACATTCCAATTTAAATATATGATTATAATTAAAACCATGTTATTTATTAGATGTGTGTTCAATACCCATCTTGATTTTCATCATCATAGTTATTCTATTGATTAGATAATATTATATCATCTCTATTCTTATTCGGATGCAGAAATACTACCTATTTATGGAGTGAATACCATATGATTTAATTCATTAGCTATTTTTAAAATAATAATTTTTTTATTGATATATAGAAAATCATATTCAAGATTGAATCCTCGAATTTTTATAATTTACTAACTATTCCTCATAGTCTTCCTCCCACTATATATATATCAGTAATAATATTTGGTTGATATCAATGATTTTCAGCCTTGTTTTACTAATTCAATTATCAACATTACTTTCTCATTAAAAATAGCTTGGTGATTGAAGATGGATGGAAGACTCACATCTCATTAAATTCTTAATGAAATTAAAAACTAAATTAGTTAAATATTCTTGTAAGAAAATGTTATATTAATTATAAAATCACCATTAATTTTAACTATAAATTTGGATTCTTTGAAATATTATAGATATATTATATATATTATCAAAACTTATTATTTATCTTTTATGTGGATTTGGTTGAATACAAAGTTGTTTTAGTGGATGGAGTTGTGGTTAAACTCATTTTCTTTTTAAATACATATCTGTCTGTTTTTAACGGAGATAATCTGGGTGATGAAATACTATTTATATCGAAAGATAATATTGAATTTTGATTGCTGGTGCTTATCCTAGTTTTGGTGGACAGGTTTGTTATGATGCGGGGCTTTTTGTTAATGGGAGTGAGGTATTTAATTTCGCCTTGGCCCTTGGTTTTCATAAAAGGTCTCAATGTGCATTTTTATTCATCTTTTGGATTTGATATCTTTGTAAATTGCTAATTGACTTTAAACAACTCAGACACTAACTTAGATCTTTACTCGAATGATAGACGCGTATTCTTTATAATTGATATGAATATAAGGATGAATAAGTACTTTTATTTGCCATATCAGATCTGTTCGGTTGGCACAATAAGACAAATATCTCAGTAAATTTACAAAATCAGTGGAATAATAATTCTCTTCTCCTATTTCTCTCATCTTCCTCATCAATGTTCTAAATGCTATTGAAACTTAATCACAACATTACTTTGAGAAGTTCCCTCGTCCTTTATAACTTATTTGAACTCATCCAAATCAATGCATTCTTAAAGTATATTTATAGAAGTGTACTATTGCCATCGCGATCAGTCATTTCGAAGAAGGCCTTCAGAAGCCCCAAATTCACAGGATAATTGTTCTTTTTCAACATGGAGTACAGTTCATCCATCTCGATTGTATCTTACAATTTATGCTAATTCAATATACTTGAGTGATCTCTGTCAATCAAATGGAAAGTTTCTGTGACTATTTCATCATCGAATAACTCCTTCTCTGTTTTCCTATATTTCTCCTTTACTTTGGATGGATGTCTAGAATTGAACCAGCTCTTAGTTTCTTAGAAATGCAGCACTCTTTCTGCTGGTGGTAATATTTACATTAAAATATATATATTATTTTATTTCTAATTAAGATCTTATATTTAGCCAACAATTTCTGTTTAAAATAATTGAATCCTTTGTATATAATTTTAAATTGAGTTTTTTTATGGTTAAATTTCTAAATCAAACATCTGAAATATAAGATTCGTTCTTTGCTATTTTGGGTAAGGTCCGAAAGCTATCCTTGGCTAAATAATGATTTTGATGATTCGAAGCACTATCTATTTTAACATTCGGACTGAATGAAGAATTGTTTAACTATGATGTTCTAACTTAATCAATTAAACTTCATACACTTTATTCTAGTTAGAAAATTGGTATTCCCCTTTTTATTGTTAAATTTATATTTTCTATTTTTGTTGAGTATTTTACAAAGGCATCTTGCGTATTGTATTTTGTTTGTTCATCAAAATGGGTAGATCAGTAGAGTTCCTCTTAATATTGGTCACTCCTTTTGATTGTATTGCAACTTTGTTTGGATTATTTTAATTCTGTAAATCAATTTCATAAAATATTACTTATGCAATTTAAGAACTCTTTGAAGAACTCCTCATTTGTTTCTCCTTTTCCTCCTTATCCTTCTTGGTTCCTTCTGAACTTTTCACTTGATTATCGTCATTTGCATGTGCCAATTTCAATGCTTAAGAGTAATATTCATAATTACTTACCACATGCCTTGGCTAACTTCTTCAATTGCAATTTTCTATTATTAAAAGTACCAAGAAATGATATTGAAGAACAATTATAATTATTTTTTATAGGGCCTCCTTTATAAATTAAATCAAACCCTCCAATTTATTCCTCATTTCCAGTTAATATTTTTTCAACATCAATAATTGTAAAAACATCATCCAACAATCCACATTTTAATTCAAAGTCAATTGGAGTGTTAGATGTCATAGAAGGACTTTGTAAATAGACTTGTTTTATACCTTGCATTCACTTCCAAAAGCCAAGGTTTTAATTGAGAATCAAACAAGATATCAAATCCATAGAGTTCAAAACAATGCTTATCATTTATTATGATCTTTTGAACTGCCAATAATGACTTGATCATCAACTATTGAACATTGTAAAAGCATTCCTAAACCTTATCCTGTCCATACTTAGTCATGAGAAAGAGTTTCAATTTTTATAAATCCCACTTGCCTCCTAGTTTTTCATCGTAATTATCTGAGGTCTTTTAAATGGCCACATTGGTTAAATGAACATCTACGTTTATGCTAATTATGATACAAGTGTTGGTTATGTCTTCATTATCATATCTGTGATGAGTGAATCTTGCAAACCCTGTACGATATAAGTATAATGTTAACGGAGAATAGGAAGTACACAACAAGTAGATCCTGGTGTCAAACTTCTTGCCTCCAATCAAGAGAGGATCAGCTATGTATCTTTAAACTATATAGGATTCAGCAGATGGGTTTTCAGGATTGAATTTGACTTGGTTTTTCCATTGGGATATCTACGATATTTTGTTAAATAAGAATATGCCTCTTCCTTGAGATTTGCCTATCTATTTAAGATAATCAATCAAAATTGTACTGGTTTCATGATCCAGGCAGTTTTATTGTCGCCTTGCTTTTTGAATTCTTCATTGAAGATGGGATATTCACTTGGTAAGTGATAGGTCAGTGGAAAGAAATTATAACTACATCGTTAAATTACTTAAATTACGCGTTGGCTTCATCAATTTTACCCTCCTTTTCTAGTGTTCTTTTCTACTTTTTGAGATTCTTAATCATGAGATCTTTTCGAGTTAACTAATTGAAATAGAAAATTGGGAAGTACCTCATAATGATTCCGAAAATGATTTATTTTTTAATGAGGTTACAAGTGAATATGATCCATAACTTCATGAATCCATTCCTTCTCAGCCCACATAATGTCCCAATCGTCGCCATCAGTCTCTTTCCAATTCCTCCTCTTAAATGCCTTTCATTATTCATGCAATTATACTTCCAAGATGCAATTTCTAAATGAAGTTTTATATTTGATATTAGTACTACGAATTAGATATCAAATTACAAATGATTAGCATAATTTTCTTTTTTAATGTATTTTCTAAAATATTCTGACATTTTATTGAATTAATTTATATATAATTAATATATTTAATTATCAAATTCAAGAGTCAATTGATATCTTTGAATTCATCTTTGAGTTTGCTCAGGGTCATTGAATTCCTCATTATCAACTCCATGATTTCTTAGCCTGGAATCTGGGAAATGTTTTCATCATCTCGACTAAAATAACAATAGATTGAATAACTTACAAATATTTATCGTCATCATCTTCATCATCTCCCTTATTCTCATTGTCACTTTCTGCTTATGATAATTACTAGATAAAGGTGGTTTCTGTATTCTAGAACTTAGATTAATTGATGTTAAATTTAGTTTGATTTTCCTCCTCATAATTCTCTAGATGATTATTATTACTCTTTAATCTCTCCAACTCTTATGTCAATGCAAAGATATGTTTTCTTAATTCATTATCTGGAGAATCTTTGAATATTATCAAACTCTCATAAGCGCTAATCTTCGATCTCATATCTTGCAATTATTCTTCTAGAAATGGAACTCTCTCAGCAATTAGTCTATATTCAACATTCTACTTCTCCAACTTATCAATCTTCTCTCTCATATTGGAATTGATCTCGTATAATTCATCTATCTCTTCCTCCAATTCTTAATTGATCTATTCCAACACTATGTTAGTTTGAGAATTCTCATTTTAAGGATCTTGAAAGGAAATGTTTTAGTTCAACGTAGAAGCTGTTTATGGTCTCAAACCCTTAGAAAACATCACACTCTGTGATAATTTTGATTCCTATTTGCTGTCCTTGAAAGCCTAAGCCAGGTTATAATCTTATTGCGTGATAATCTGATTGTCCAGCTTGTCTAAGAATACAGTCCATAGAATGTCATATTTGTAAGCATATTTATGAGTACAAGGATTGGATTCAATAACAAGATCCTTAAGACTGGGCATCAATTTGATGCTATTGACCAAATGTTCAAATTCAGTAATTTAATTATTGCCAATTTGAAAGATTTTCAAATGAATCATCAGTCCCATTTCTATGGAGTTGATTAGGTTGTTATTCGCATACAATTTCTAGAGTCTCTTGCATTCTCCCAAAGGCTGTAGTGTGGATATTTTGTTGTTATTGAGATTCAAGTCCACAACATTATGCAACACACTGATTCCAATTACATTTATCAACTTGTTTTAGGATAAGGAGAGACTCTTTAAGGATCTAATAAATTAATATAGGATTACATTAATTCTTAAAATGGAACTTCTGTTGTGCTTTCAAAAACCAATAGATTTTTATCATTCAAGGTCAAGTGTGTAACTGATTCCAAATCAGAAGCATCACTGTTTGTGCATATAAATTGTTTGGTGATCAACTTTCTAGCTTCCACCAAATCCTAAGCTGATATTACAGGAGAAGGTTCGATTATCTTTACGCTTTTTTGAATCTCCTTGTTTTCATTAGATTGCTTATCTTTTTAATCAGCATTTTTTTATACATCATCTAACTTTTTATTACTTGAATTCGGACGAAGAATCGAACCTTTTTTGAATTGTAACTACAATTTAGAAATTGGTTTTGGAGGTAATTGTTATGTATTGATTGATTCAGATAATTATTATGATGTTTAAGAGGATTATTATTGAACTTACGAATGATTATCATTGAGCTGAGGCAGTTTTGGTCTCAAGACATTGACTCTCTTTTGCATCACATTTCCATTTGTATTCTCATAGAGACTTGGATAGACTTTCTATTGAAGGAAATGTCTCCTTTTAATGTGATCATCCAATCTTTGGTTATCATCGAATTTTCTACCGCAACCGTGGGGACACTCGAAGTTATTCATCATTTTAAATTTAATTAATTAAAATATATAAAACTTTCATAGACTTATGCTCACATCATCTATTTATTGAAGCTATATGTTAGTTTCTGATTTTTGATTCTTCTTCGAATTACCATGATACCTTTTCAGATGAGCATGCAACAAAGTGTGAGACTAATAATCTTTTGAACACAAGAAGCAACTGAATATGTGATAATTCTAACAATGCTTTTTCAGGATATGAGGATAAAATACGCTGCTGATACCTGTAAAGTCGCATGAGGGACATTGGAAAATGTCAGATTGATTATCCTTGGATTAAATCTATTTTAAATTCTTGATGCTCTGCACAAACAACTTAGTTATTGCTCTCAGATATTTGAATTTGTTTTTACTATGATATGCCTTAATATATTCGATGTCTTGTGAATGATTTTTGTTGGCCAAAGAATTCAACTATCTGAATTTCTATACAATCACATTGAGTTGTTTATAGCATTGTTCAGGTGACAATAATCCTTTTGGAGTCATCTAAAATAATTGCTAGAGTTAGATCTCATCTTCACTTTACAGTAGAGTATCAATTTGGGGTGTACTCTTACTTGATTTTCTGCCCTTTCTCTTTGACCCCTCTAACTGTAATTTGGACTCCTCTATTAAATCAAATTTCTTGTTCTGCTGTTCTCCTTCATTCGATGTAGGGTTCTTCTTGAATAAAATGCTTGTTAATAATTATGTGCATTCCAATTGCATTTCCAATATCTTTTTTAATAAAGTTTGGGTTTCTTCATTCATTTTATTACAATAATTTGCATTTCTCGCTTCATATATATTTTCTAATTATAATCTAAATATAATATTACATTTTTTACAAATGATGAAAAAATAATATAAAACCAAATAAAAATCAAGATGATAATTTTTATGCCAAAATATTTCTCTAAATAACGTGATCTTATAATTATTCTTTTTTGTATTTCTCCAAAAATTCTAATTCTTATTTTATTTTGTCATTTTTCTAAGTAATTTCGAGATTTTTTTATAAAATTTTATTTTGCTTATAAATTTTTTCCAACATATTCTCCATCTATTTCTGCTTTGCCAATTTGAATCTGTGCTCATTCTTCTAAGTTAATTTAATCTTCCTCAAATCCAAAAGAGATTAATGTCTACCCTAGTAAATCACACTGATACCTCTTCATTCCCTCCTCTAATTTCTCGTCTGTTTCCTACAATTTAGAATTCAATTCCTCAAATCGCTTCTAATCCAAAGATTCCTGAAATTATTCAACCCTCTTCATAATCCTACTATTCTTCAAAGACAAACTCTTCTGCTATTTCAATTACGATATCTCATGCTTATTTATTTAAATCTACATATAATACACACGTAAAATACCTGTCTTTGCGTTGACTTACTGAAATAATTTTAAACATTCTGATTTTCCTTTTAAACATAAGACTCTTGCAATTTCTTTTATTTCTCCTCAAATATTTTCACATTCTAGTAATGCTTCTTCTTATCTTCCTCCTATTTCTTATGCAAATATTCGTTCATGTAATCGGCCTTTTTCTTTATTGAATCCATCACCTAATCAATCATACTCTATTCTAAATTCATTTACATCTATCTCTTTAACTATCTCTCTCTTTCCTTCTCTTCCCTCTTTCTCAGTTGTTCCAGTAATTCCTCCTACGCTTGTTGTAATTATTTTTATTTTCTCTCCTAATGGAGATTGTGATCCTTCTCCAACTCTTACACCATCTTCTAATGTTCTCGATATTGAGTTTATTCTTCGTTTTTGGCCTTCTGACATATTTATTCGACCTTCAAATGGTTCCTCTTAAGTTTCTTCTTCACTAATTCGAGTTGTTTCTATTTCAATCTCTCTGCTTTTTAATACATCTCAGGGGCAGTCTTACTGTAGTATTCATCTTATTTGTTTATTTGGTCATGCACCAAATTCAGAAACCTAAATGATACTCACAGTTGTTACTTATTGTAATTTTCTGATGCTTTGATCAATTTCTTATCAAAAAGTTCCTTCTTTTGAGTTGCACTTAAAATAGTGGAATGAACATCTTCACATGATGACTTCTTCAATTCAGTTTATTCGAGAGATATAGATTCATCCTTAAACTTGATGTTTTTTGAGTTCTATTGTTTGGAGACCTAGGATTGGATGTGCTTAATTTAATTTCTTTTCTTTAAGATGTCGTTCAATATTTTGTATTTATTGGTTACATATTACAAATACGATATGAGGTTCTGAAGGGGATCTTTGCGATTCTGATAATATTGCTCATAATCTTTCACTTGAAGATCCTCAACATGCAATTTCAGAATTTCCATTGCAGCCTGAGTTCTTGGAGAATTTGTATCAAAATGCATTCTAAACACAGTTAATTGATTGGGATTTCTAATGATATTGTTCCTTTGATCAGCTTCCAAGTAATTGGCCTCGATGGCTGATTTCAATAATGAATTAGAAATGGTTGGAAAACGCAATTGTTTGTGACTACCCAATAAGTTTTTTGGACTTGAATCACTATTCTATTAAAAGGAACTCATGGAGCCTTATTTAGTGATGAGAATGTCGCCTGTTTCCTTTATATAATCAATCATAATAATATTAATTTTTATTGATTAATGTCTTTTTAATTCCTTAAAAAATATGTTTTAATAATGATCTGAGAAGATTAAGAATTTTAAAGAGATTTTAGTTTTGCAAAATAAAGTCTAATGAGTTGTATAAATTAGAGGGAGTGAGGTTTGAAATGATAACCACATAGTTCGAAGATAGGGAATCAGTCTAATAAACAGTATAAACAATTTCCTGGGTCTTATATTTATTAATAGGATAGTAAAATAAATCAAAATGGTAATGGTGAGGAATCCATGGTTTTTGTATATATTTCATAGAGATAGAAGGCCTATTATAAAATAATAAGAAATATAAACAAAAATATTGATCATTAAACAGGTTTCATTTCTAGGGGATTGGTTTTCTAACTAAAACTAATTGTTTCTTCCACTTCCTTTCAGGGATGTTCCTCCATCTTTTGGTGATCACTTTAATCATGATGTTATGAGGCATTTAGAGTAACACCAAAACGAGACTAACTACAAGTGGACAAGGGAGAGTGTGACTATAATTATTAATTACATGTCTTACACAATCAATCCACCAGCCACTATCTTCAGTAATAAAGAGACTACATTTAAGAATGGACATAATTTAACCATCTTTTTCTTGTTTATCAAGGCTGCGAAAAACAAAATCTTTTCTCCCAAGAGAAGGACGTCTGAAAATATGAAGATTTAAAAGGACACTATCATTTCATCATACCAGTTCGATTTTAGAGTTGTGTAGATGACAGCACATCCAATAAATAGCAAAACAAATCCAATTAGATTGCTCAAGATCAGACCTTTGGCCAATTTCAATGCCATCTTATCACCCTCTGTGAGAATATATTTTGCAGGTTTTCCAGGAACCTATGTGTGGTTCTTCGTTTGTCCTTCCTCTAAATTCCTTTCCTCAGAATCTAAATCAACATTTGTTTGGCCATCGATAGCCAGAGCAGGACCTTCTTGTAATTCTTTCATATTAACTTCCATTGTAAAATGTTGGTTAAAACTATTTATATTAATTATTGCTTTATAATCACTATTCCAGAACCTATTTAAATTCATATTTTATTACGATATCATATGAATTTCAGCTATGTTAATATTTTTATGATATTTTTAACTCACATTTTATCATAATACGTCACATCCCAAAACAAATTCAATAAATTCAGTTATATTTATACCTCACATAATAGCTTTTATTTTAATAGTATTTCTAAAAATAGAGTTCCACATCATTACACCAACAGTACAATCGTAATTGCAAATGAAAAACATACTAAAGAATATTATATCAAAATAAGGTTAAATTACTGATTATTTCTCATTTTCCTAGTTTATTTTTATATTTTCCTCTAATCATATTCAACCCTAATTAACCCAGATAGATAATTTGTAAAATATAACATTAAAAAATATCATTTCATATCAGGATCACACTCATACACATTTTAAATAGTCTTCTCCTTAATTAATGATTGGTTTGAAATGGCTACATTCATCGACACTCCATTCAACACTGTTTGTAATCATCATACGTCTTTCACCTCTTTTCATGTTCCTCATTAAGAAAGGTTACTTACAAGATTTACATGTCTCTTGATTGCATCCTCCATATGCTGGTAATATTGAAATAAAACAAGCCCTATGCCAACAAGCAATCTACATTTAATCAATCAATTTACTCTATAGATGGGCCTCTTTTCTGGTTTATGATGAGAAAATGCCTAATGCAATTTCAATAATTGTTCCTCCTCCTGAAGTTACGAGAACTTACAAAACACCTAAGCTTCTAAATCAGAAACCTTAATTCCTTCCCCATTTACAATGCTGGAAACAACTTAAAAGTATTTATCCAGGTCTCCCTCCACTGAAACTGATTTTTCAAAAAATGACATTGTCACAACATCAGAAGCACAAATAGCCAACTGTTTTGCAGCATCATGGAACACCTTCTCCAAAGTTGAAAATATAAAACCCTAACATAATTAAGAAATCAATCTACATGCTTTCCGAACAAACTTCGTAAATGATCCTCATATTTAAAGTCTTTGGCCTTTAACGAAAGGAATAGAGCAGATTTGAATAAGTTATATCTCTTATCTTGTCCCAACTTGTTCTGTTGACTTATCACATAAGCCATCTCCAGTCTTTGATATATTGTATGCAAAAATCTCAATAGGATATACAGATTTTGGGTCACATATGTGGTTGACTTTACTTTTGGTTGCAGATTCAGGAATAAGCCTGGGGATTCATTTTCTATTTCTGGAATAGAGGTGGAGGCATCCTCTGGATTGTAATGAATGTCATAAATTTCTAATTCTTAAATTTCATTTTTCAATTTAGTATCTATTAATGTCAATTGGGATATTTGCATTGGTTTCATGGAAACTTAAAAGAAATGGTTGATCAATTTGATCATAAAAAATGTTCCGTTTCTCTTATCCAGAGAATTGTTGCCTCCCATGATTTGGAGATAATGAATAACAAATTAACCACATTCCTATAAAATTTATTCATTTCCCATCCATAGAGAAATCAAAGGGAAAAACCGGATATTTTCTTTAGTAGCTGGTACTAATGGCATCTATTTAGGTAAAATCGGCCTTATATTAGTCATCTAAGCAAGGGAATTCAGAAAAGAGTTTTCGAAAGTGTATTGTATTTGGTCTTGCTTTCTCTTAACAAAAACATGTTCTTTAGTTCCTAGATGTTTAATTAAGATGTTTTTGGCATATTCCTCGATTTCCCTGGCAAATCTTTATCCATTTATGACCAATTTATCATTCTTTTTGAAGTAAAAGGATCTATGATCAAGGGAACGATGAAAGTTGTTGAGGGAGACATTTTCCCAAATTTATTTAGCCTTATTATTTCTAGCAGAAATGAGTTCATTTAATTTTTATTTGACTCTCTTAATGAGGATTTTAGCACTTTCAGCAGGTTTGGTTTAAAATATCTAAAGGACTTCATTTTAATCTTAAGTTTAATTTCTATATAATTGTTGCAATATTCTCATATCAATTACTTTAGCAATCAATATTGGATCTTCTTTATTACTGTCGATTATCTCTTACAATAAATTTATGGTTCTTTTAATTTATTAAATATTGACATCAAATTCAAATCTTTCATCCTCACTTTTAAATAGTTGTTCTTCAAAGGTGTTTTTCCTCATAATTAAGAATGATTGGTCCTCAGAACCAAATGGCACTGATACCCAAGAATGATTGAGAATCTCCGAATTATTGTTAGCCTTTGCATAACCAATAGGCATTCGAACATAGGATCTGGTGACCCTGTCAACCTAAGCAAAATCAGTATCTTTTAGAGGTTTAAAAAGTGGAGTTTGTATTCTTCGAGCAATGACCCTTGTAGACAACATGGATCTAATTTCATCTATGTATTCAGTTTCTAACCATTGTTGTTGATTGATTAATTCCATCACTTCCATCTAAGTGATGATGCATTCGGAATATAGATGTATAATCTTCATGAATTCATTCATAAATTGTTAATGATCATTGGGGTATTGCTAGACGACTCTCATTCTAAATTTATCCCAAAAAAGTAATTCATTCTAATTTAAAAAATGTAAGTCTTACCATATCGACAACTCCATTTTTATCCAGTAGTTTTTAAAAGTAATTTCTATTTTCTTCAACTTTTTTTTTTGGGGGAATTTGGTCATGCTTCTTTTTGAAACTCTACAAAAATTGTTATTGTAATTGAGGTTCATTGCTGAATAATTCCAAGATATGGTCTTTGTTTTGATGTCCATCTAAATGTCCATTTTATATTTATTTCAAAATTGACTCCAAAGCTTTGGGTTTGCTAGTCTCATTGTTGATAAATTCAGTCAGTTTCTCCTTCTGAGTCTTGAATTTGACATCATCTTCCAATAGCGCATTTACTTCCTTTAATAAATCGGGTTCCTCACTCAACATTTGTCCCAATTACTCTTTAGCTGCTTTCGTATTTTAATTAACAATATTCGAAAATTGTCTAAAATTGATATCAATTCAAACTTATAGAGTTATTAATTTGTTCGTCTCAATTTTTAGCAAAATTGTTCACATCTTTCATAGAGTTGTTGATCAAAGTCCTAAATTACAAATCTATATGAAAATGTACTTCTCCATATTCACCCATATTGCTTTTACTTAATATATCCTCACTCATTTAATTATCTTATATAAAATATAATTAAAATATTTAACAACTTATTATCAGGAATATTATATAATATTAAATAAATTTTATAATGAATGATCTTTTTGATTAATTTAAAATAAATGAAATAAAATAAATAAAATATACATAGGGTTATCCGCAAGAGTAATTTTAAATCTCTAATGTCCTATAGGACCATGGACTGACGAAGAGGATCTAAGGGTAATTGAATTAGTTTAAGAATTTGGTCCTTAAAAATGGACTCAAATTGCTTAATAATTAGATGGAAGAATCGGAAAATAATGTAGAGAAAGGTGATTGTGAATTGTTATTTAATAGATGGCATAACCATTTGAATCCATTAATTAAGAAAACCCCTTGGGAAGAGGACGAGGAATGGATTTTATTCCTCTATCACAAGGCTTTAAGTATAAATCCTCATGATAGATCAAGGCAATAAATGGGCTGAAATAGCCAAACACGTCAAGGGGAGAACCGATAACTCGATTAAGAACCATTGGAATAGTGGCATGAAAAAGAGAATGACTGAATTTTAAATGAAGTTGGGTTAAATTAAGTAGAAATTTTAAAGAGAAGGGTATCTTAAGAAGCTTAAATAAGAATTTCAATTTTGAACGATTATGACCCATTACAAAGGAAGGCTCTGGAGATTATCTTAATGAATAAATAGTACAAGAGCATTGCTAGTGAATCTTCAGAGAGTGACGATGTTTCCTACCCTACCAAGCAATCCAAGAAGAATAGGCTACTCAAAGATCTGGTAGAGTTGGAGGGAGAACAGTAGCTCAAAGGAGAGAATAATGAAATGATTGAATAGAACTACATCAGTGATGAAGAGCAGGAAATGAGCAATAGGTGATTTATATAATATTATAATTTCTAGTGTAAATTCCTTCTAATTACTAACCACTTCTAAGAAGAGGAGTAAAAGTGAATATGAAGAAAATAGTATTCAACACTATTGAAGTTCCATTCATCAACAATTTTGAATCATTAAATATTATAATATAAAATTTTCCTAAAACTATTTTTAAGATTATTCTTTTTTTTTCATTTGACTTCTTCACTTATGTATCTAGCTCTGTATTTACGAGGAGATTGGGACTTTTCTTGTAACTTACTATCAATAATTTGTTGTAAGAAGAAAGTCACATGAGCGTAGAAATCTTCATTCCATACTTTCTCAATAGGTTTAGGACATTTCTTTATTTCTTGTTAAGAACCAACCCTAGCTAACTTTTTGTCTGAATTCTATTAATTATTTTTTATTATTTAATCTCTCTTAAGGTCTTTGTTTTCATCCTCATCCCTAATGATCTCCAATTTTATGAAAGGTTATCCTATTTTAGGTTTTTGTTCATTTTATAAGATGGATTAATCAAATTCCAAAGATTTTTAAATTAAATTATTTGAAAATATTTTTTCTTTAAAATTTGAATATCCTTTTGGCACTCTTATATTATTACTGGTTATAAAATATATTAACATACTCGTAATTGTGTTCAGCTTTACTAATAGCAATTTCAATAGGTGATAACTCATCCGGATCTTCTCTATATAATATTTCACTAATGAATTAATTATTTTTTATTACGAAATATCGTGGATGGTCAAATCTGCCTATGCACCAAGCTTTAATAAAGTAGTAGATATCCTAGCATTCCTCAAACATATTTCTCTTAATTTGACCTTCTCTCTCAAAATTTAAATATCTTTGATTGGATCAATCTTTTCAATAAAACTTTTCTCCTCTTAAGTAAATGCTTGAGTCATTTGACCCCAATGGTACCATACTACTTCATCTCTACATATTTTGAAAGAATCTGGAAATGTGTATCCATGATCAATAGGTATAAGAAAGTAGTCATATGCTTATCTAGTTTGTCCATTTAGTTGATTGATTTTTCTAGAATCGGGAAATATATAAGAAATATACTTTTTTCTAACTAAAATGTTCTCCTCATTTCTATCGCAATTTAGTATTCTGATATCTAAGATGGCTATTTTTTTTGCTTCAATCGATGGATACAACCCACTCCCAAAATTGCCAACGTTATCGTCATGCTTTATATACAATTAAAATGATCCTTCTTTAATGGGGATTTTCTCATATTAAAATTGCTTGTATTCCTCGGCCTCATGGAATGCAGGATGACAAATCTATACATAATTAGTTATGGGAACTAAATAATATATATTAATTATTACCATTATGATAATGTCCAGATTATTGATCTATCAAATAGGCTGCCACTTCTCGATCAACTCCTTCTCCTGACAAAATGCCTTGTCTAAGTCCTGGAGAATTCATTTTGGCTCTCATTCCTCTTGGATTATTGGGACTATTGATGATTTTACTTTATACGCAAAGGCTTCTTCATCGTAGGGCTTAAAAATAGCCACAGGTTTATGGTTTAGATCCTCCAAAATATAAGTGCCCTAAGTGCCAAAATCAGTTAATTTAGGTGTAATTCCTTTCATGAATGCTCCTTCTACTGCCCATTTGGCACTTTAAAATTACTCTTATGTTTTCTTGGTTTCTTCCAATATGTTGTGAATACTGTTGATAAAATACAACTATTATCCCTATTTTCTAGCCATCAATTTCAGAGTGACATGATTCTTGATTCCATAATCCTGAAATGTTATGAGTTTAATTTATTACTTCTAGATCTTCATTATTTAGAGAGAGTTCTTGATTTTTATAAAGAATTCTAAAATCTGCTAGATCCAATTTCGTAGTTTTGTGGATTTTCTGTTTCAATATTGAAATCTTCATCCAACTATACATTTTTATTGTAAAATCATTTCCCTTTTAAACTTGATTAGAAATATGCAGCACCAATTCTTACTAAGCACGAGGTTCATAAGGATTTGAAGAAGAAAAGCCGAAACCTAATTTCATGGATCATTCAATACTCTCAAATTTCCTCTTGACCTAGCCTTGTTTCATTGGTTATAATCTTCAATTTTTATAATAAATAATCATTGAGTTAACAGATATAATAAATTCAATAATTTTATTTTTTAGGAGATTAATTTTCTATTCTGCCATCCGGATAGGTAATCTCAATTTTACCATCAGGATATTCAATGTATTTAACCTTATTTACATCCACCTTTTAGAATATACCATCACTAAACAAAGTCTCTTCTTCTCCATTAGGATATATATACTTCTTGGTCCCATCAGCGAATCTAATCTGCTTCTCGCCATTTTAGAAGTGGATTTCTATTTAATTATTGGAAAATCGATAGATCTATGTAAATATTCATATTAAATACCTGTGGTCCATTTTGAATAGTAATTTAAGTAGTTTTAGCTTGACCAAAATAGTATACGATAGTTCCATCCGGCAGAGTCTGCTTTTTGTCATTATTTGTAAAATGAACAATGGTGAATCCATTAGTAAATACTTCTCTTTTCACTCCATTGTTGAACACGACTTCCTTCTTGCCACTTTAATATGTTCTTGAAATCTTCCCATCTGCTGATTGATTTTATTAAATGACTTTGTCATCTAATTTCAAATAATCTAAATATTATCCATAGTATTTGTTATTTTGAAATTCAAATTCTGATTCATCTATCAAATCATTAATTATATCTATTGAAATTGTTGGTTAGCTTTTTAACTAAATTAAATCAATCTTAGTTTTCTCTTACTCGTAACTATCTCCACTTTAATAACTATTTTGATCCTCTCCATTCTAAGATTCAAATTCCTCTTCCTCATTGATGCAACCTTGTTTATTATGCATCACGGCATAAGAATTTGCTTTATTTTCTGAAGCAATAGATGCTTTAGTAGAATAATTACTTTATGGAGGAGATGATTAGGCAATTAATTTATTGATATTATGAGTGCTTGTGGTTTGACTATTGGTCATTTAATATTAGATTTGTTGCTATGATTTCTCCAATTATAATTTTAGTTCCTTTATTTCCTCATTTTATTATGCCACTCTTTTTCTAAGGAAATCTAGTTCCTCCAATTGTTTTGTTGTTAGTTATTGTTATCTTTGCTATTGAATAGTATAATGCTTTTTTGTTATTCTTTCTATTTTTTTCTTTTCCTCTTCCTTCCATTTTTCAAATTCCTATTTCTCTTATTCTACTTATTTTTATTATTGAATTTTCAATCTTTATAATTCCTTTGTTTGCTATTCCAATAATTATCTCTCTTTTTTTAATTCATTTTTATCGTCATTTTATTAGATAATGCTTTCATCATTTTTAGTATGATCCAATATTGAATCATTTGCTTTTTGAGTGCATTGCTTACCCTTACCTTTCTATAAGAAATGAACTGGCAATTTCTTTGGTTATTATTACTCTGCTGCATTTTCATTATTCATTTTCAAAATCTCTTAATGTTCCTTCTTTGATAATTCAGATCTTGTTTATGCATTGGACAAGAATTATCTAGTTCCCTTCTTTAGAAATTCTTTCTTATCTTTTTTCTCTTATTACACTATTCCCTGATCTTGTAATAATTATTCAAATGGCTTTTATGCTCCTTTTATTGGTATTTCATCGAAGATGTCTGCATGTTGATTTATGTGATTATAATTTTCTTCTGTAAATTCATTCATAAATGAACTCTGAGAAGCTTGTTGCTTTTATTCAAAATGTTTTTAACTTCTAATATCTGATTGTTATTCCTTAACTTAAACATTATACTTTATTTCATCATCTTATCATATAATCATTGGATACATATTGGGATATTAAGTTGATTATAAAACTTAGACATCTCCTGCATTCTAGTAGTTAAATATTCTTCCAAATTGGTAAACTACATAAAAGAAATAAAATAATTTAAATAAACATTAAACATTTCTCTATTAATTCATATTCTATTCTTAGAAATCTAACCCTAGAAATTCGAAATTCTCCCCTTTCCTTATGATTTTTATGTTCTATTCAGAAATTGTATACTAATTTTCACATTAGTACTGTGAATAACTATAAATTGAGAAATCTTTTTTCATCTGAAAATTAGTCACTGACATCATAAATCAGGACCTAAGACAGTTTTGTAAGAGCTTTGAATTTAGATATAATAAGTAATCTTGTAAGAAATTAAAGGTTTAGATTATGAAGGAAGTTTATATTCAAAAGTCAAGAATAGGGATTTAGAGTCGTTCTTCTTTTCAGGATTGTATTCCTACTACTGTCCAGAGAGATTTCCACTTTCATCGTGTTTTTCAACTTCACAGTTGAGTTTCTCTATTATTTTCTGTATTTTCCGAATCCTTCAGGGAAAGTGAGGGGGAAGATAATTGGAGAATCATAGTCATTCTTAGTCTATTCCAAAGTAGTCTTTTTCGATTAATTTCTCTATAATCGAGGCTAGTGAACTTCTTGAGTATGATTCACGATTTAAGCACAACCCATAAGTAAATAAATCTGATAATAATAATAATTTAAGTATCATTTATTTCTGAAGTATTTTGAATTGTAATTTATATTAAAGAGTTGTTACATAATATGAATGATTAATTAATATTTATATTTTCAAATATACAATGAGCACCAATTAATAAACTAATACTTAAGAACTCTCAGATGAAGGTACTAAATTTAATTACAATCCCATTAGAATTTATGAAACTTCATGCAAAGCAATTCTATAAAACTCATGGATAATTGATTGGCAGCAAACAGTCCTACATCCCAGTTCCAAAGGAGAGCAATCATAATGGAAAATTCACTGATGTAAAGATATTATGCATTTCAGCACCTATTAATGGCCACAATGTATAGAAATAATAGTTTGAATACAACTTGCGATAAGGAACGTTGGATAAATGGTTCAAAAGATTGGATGGAGCATTTATAATGAAATATTAATATCCTGAAATTAATCTAAACCAATCTTAAAATCAGTTTCAATATTTTAAATACAATAAAGCATTTAGCCTTTTATTAATAATTGTAATAATACATAATGTACTAACAAAAAATGTGATAAAAAGTCTCAATAACATTACTCTCATGATTGAAACATGCATCCATCCAATATGAAATCTGACGGCATTGAATTGCCTACTTTAGTATCACATATGGTTATGACATTTCTACCAGGTTTCTAAACTACCTCTCCTCCTCCTAATTTTATAAGATACTCAATTTCAGCTTTTGAGGGTGTTACATCTGCTTTAACATGATATTTCCCTTCAAAGATCTTTACTAGATTCTTATTTGCTTCAAAATAAGTGTCCCTGCTTTAAACGATTTACTCAATGCTTAATCCGAAGGAGTGTTAAAATTCATCACTATTGGGAATATAATCAACGAACTTCTAAATAGCCTTTCCTTATTTAAGTGAATTGGTCAACCAATCCAAGGTTACTATTTCAGCCCCAAGCACCAAGGCACTTAGAAATTTAAATGTTCTTTTAGGAGGATTGTTCAAAACTAACAAATCAAATTTCTCTAATTGATTATTCACTATTTCTAAGCCTAGTTTTTTTAAATCATTTGCTTATGGTATTTCATTCTGTTAAAATCCACTAAAGGCTATTAAATGTATATTTTTAACTTTCTTTTATGGGTTCTTTTTATTTCCTAACTTTTTATTATTTTTAGAATCACTTTGCTAAAATATTTTAGATGCAGGCAATTCAATAGAATTAGTATGTCTTAACTATTATTTTGATTAACTTGATTCTTCTGAGGTTTCGTCAGAAATTTCATCTGTTATTTTTTTTAGCAATGCCACTTTCTTCAAATCCCCTTTGGTTTGTTTTTTCCCTTATTTCTCAATGGAAGATGTTGGTTTTAATTTTTAATTCTTACCTTTAATAGGAGTTTAATCTTGTTATTAATCTTAGGACTTATTTTTATCATCTTAAGAATCATCATATCTCGCATTTAAAATGTTTGACTTAGGTTAGGGAAACTTTTTAATTGTTTATTGTTGTTAAATTTATTAATTTGGCATTTCGGGTAAACTACCAAACAGATCATTTAGTTCAATTTTGGAATTATTATTTTCTAATTTTGACTATGTTATTTGCACATTATCTGATTAAATACTATTAAAACGTTTGATTTAAGATTATTCCAGCTTATCGATACTTTTATTTTGTGATGAAGAAAATGCTTTATTCAAATCATCGTCAATCATAGTACCTTTAATCTCGGCTTTCTTGTTGACGAATTAGGAGTTATGATCTTAATTTTGATCAACATTTTACATTTGAGAATCAATTATTGTTTAATCAATAAGTGTAGGTTATTAAGGATGTTAGTAAATCTACTATGAGATTTATTATGTTTATCTTTTAGTTTTAAAAAGATCACTAAATAAGGTTCGAGTTTTTTGTAATTAAGGTTCTGCCTCCATGATTTCTGTTTAAGTTTATGCGTCATTAGTAGAAAGGTGATTCGATTTCAACATAGAATTTACTCCTGAATATTGTGAAATTAATTCATTTAAGCTTGATAATGTCGATTGATCTACCTCATCTAAAATTAAAGTAGAAGTTACGACTGGCTCTTAGGAACTAAGTACTTAAGTGGTTGAAATTTATTAAGTGGTTTAAACCTTAGGGGCAACTTATTATGGAACATCCAGGATATCATCTAATGCCATTGTACCACTAAAATCCTCTAAGACTTATGTTGTTTGTAATGTGCATTAGTTATTTTACTAAATTGTTTCAACGAAGTTAAGTAATTTGAACTTAAAGCTTTAAAAATAATAATTTCTGAGCGGGACCATCTCAATTATGAAGTTTTTGGGAATCTCTACTTTTTAATCCTATTTTAAGGTTGATTCTTTAAACACCTAATCTGTATTGCTGAAATGAGTGAAATACACATCGTTATTAAGTAAAGCCTAAATTTCTAGAATGTAGATATTACGACAGAGAATAGAACACCTTGAACATTTCGGATGAGGTATTTACATTGTTTTGGATCACTCCCAAATCTATTTTCCCCTTGTAACAATCGATATTTGTAGATTTCTCTATCATTCTGATCAAGAACTTATATCATAAATAATTAAGTAAACTTAAAATTAATTGTAAAATCAATATATCACTCAACAAAATTAATTCATTTTTTTCTTTTATCAGATCCAAACAATTTCTATAGATTGGTTTATTTGTTAAACTAATAATTGGTAGTTGTTTTAGGATATAACATCTAAGAGATTTGTTCAGTCTTAATTCGATTGTTTTAGAACTTTAAACTTTGATTTTCAGGCAAAGTGGGTGTTCTCTCAGAACTGAGTTACATTTTAGTAGAATCGATCAACAATCTGAGAGTCTAGATTTGATAAATAAAAGAATACTTGTAAATCAGGATGCGAATGTTGTTGCTGCATGGTTTTGGAATAAGCATGATTTATTTTTGAAGATGAAATTAGAGAAGATGATTTATTATTATTTTGTTCATTTCTTTTTATGAAATCCTGAATATCTGATTTTCCTTAATGCTTTTATACTCTTCTAAAATCATTTGTGAAAACCTATTGAATAATTAGATTCAATACTCCAACTCTTTCTGGAGAACTCTATTCTTCAGGCACACCTTCGAAGTGAAGCTGAGTCATATCAATAACATTTGATCTTTTTGACTTGTGTTCTGGTGATTCTGGCAGATCTTCTCTGGAATAATAAAAGTTTTGAAGAATGCAATGACCAAAATTCTCATTATACTAAAGTAATATTTCAATATTACATATTCTTTTTATAAGTTTGCATTGTATTATTTTCTAAATTCCACATCTCCTTTATTGAACTCTTCCTCATCGAAGTTATATTATAAGGGCTCTGGTTTATATGGGGGCTTGATTGACTTATTAACTATAGCTTCAAAATCAGCATCAGCAAACCAAGGATGAGTTAGGATTTCAATGACTCCTTAAGTCTACCCTATTCTCTATGAAGGGTCCTTCTCAAGCAATTGATAAATCAAGTCTTTTAACAAGTCTGATATTTACACATAGGGTGGAAACAATACTTGTTCAGTCAAGATTGAATTGTAAATTTCTTGAGTATTATGAGAATAGAATGGAGGTAATCCTGTAACTAATTCATAGAGCAATGCTCCTAAGCAATAACAATCAACTAAATAGTTGTGACCGCTCTTTAGAAGCATCTCTGGAGCCATATATTCAGGGGATCCGCAAAAAGAATATGCAAAATCTTCTGGAGACATGTTGGGTTTGCTTAGTCCAAAATCACTGAGTAAGAGATGTCCTTGCAAATCCAATAAGATGTTCTCAGGTTTAATGTCTCGATAAACAATATTTTATGCATGTAGATATGCCATTCCTATACATATTTCAACAAAGTAATATTTGGCATCTTGCTCGCTCAATCTTTTAAGTTTTCTTAAATGAAAGAATAATTCTCCCCCTGCACAATAATCAAGAACAAAGGCAATATAATATTTTGTTTCAAATGCAAAATGTAATGGAGTAATGAATTAATTATCCATTTTAACCATTATGTCTCTTTCATTTTAAACAATGACTTCTTTTTGATTTTCCATGATAAAACTTTTATCAATCAATTTAAGTGCATAAAATTTCCCATTGTCTCTCTTTCTCACTAAATACACTCTCGAAAATCCGCCTACTCCTATGCATTTCACAAGTGTAAAATCTTTCAAAGTAACTCTTTTGCCTGAAGGAGACTAAGCAATTAATGGTTGTAATTGTAGAGTAATTCCTTAAAACACATGCAATGATAAATTTGGAAGACTTAAATAATAATCATATGGGACATTCTTTTAGACACAATAAAATTGACATATTTTATTGATTTCTAATGCTAGTATTATAGAATTTACCTTATTAAATTTGATCTTCTTCTGTTGATCCTGTCCCTCCACCTTGTTTAGCAAATGATTTTTCAATGCAACCTATTTGTTGGATCAAGTAATTGTATAAGTTATCAGTTGTTTTGTTTTGGTAATCAAATAAATAATTATATCTAAATATTAAAAACAAATTACTTTTAATTCTTATAAAATAATACAATTTTTAATTACTTCTTGGGGTCATAATGATTTGATTCCTCAGCTCTGTTAATCTTTTTTGTGGATTCTCCCTTATATTGGGTAGATTGATTGATGGAACGGGGTTCAGTTGAGTCAACTCTCTTAACATGTTTTTTAGAATCTCCCTTATTTTTCGACAAGATATATTCAATTGATTATTTTAATGTTTCAGACTCTTGCAACAATGAGTTTTTGATGGGCCTGATATTGAAATACTGCTGATATTCCATCTGCGGATGATTTTTATATTGTTTTGCACTTTTTATTTGCATGTCTTGAAAATATTGATCTACTGTCGATTTTGGCATCTTATAAGCACTTTATGGAGTTTGATTCACCTTGCTTTGTTTGTTATTTATCTTCTACTACTTTGTTTCCATCTGAATTGTGGCAAGTGACAGATTCTTTCCTTTGAGAAGCTATCGTTTAATGTTATTTCCTTCATCTGTGTGTAGTCTTTGATCCAAAGACAAGGGAATTTACTGATATTGGGCATTGAGAGTTTTGAATCGCTCACTCTTCTGACTATTCAAATTATCGATGGATCGATTTTATTGAAGTTATGTTTTAATACTATTAGTTACTTAGGTCAGAGTATTTCGCTCTTTTTTGAAGTATTCCAACAAGTCCTGTTTAGTGTTTTTACCGCTTGTTCTTTCAGTGTTGGCAATTCTGGAGTTACTTTTTTTGGATTTTAACTCCATATAATAAGGATTGTCTTAAATACTCCCTCTACCACTTTATTATAGCGGGGGTGATGCATAATTCTTCATTAACGATATTTATATATTTAATTATAACAACTATGATGGATGAACAAGGCGTCTTAGTTAGAGATCAATTCGTGAATGAGCTCAAGTCAATTAAGAAGACACTTAAAAGTTGGACCAAAGTGTTTACTTAAATCATGGAATTATAAGTGTAGAATTCTAAACAACAAAATCAGAATGTATCATCCTATTAATAATACTTAGACTATTCTCATATAACAGATATTGTAATACTTCTCTAAACCCAACAAGAAACCATAATAAATGCCAATCTCTCCTATAAGAAAGATGGTACATAAAACTGAGCCAGATGATTTCTTTCTCAGAAAGTTCGAAGATACAGAGACTTGCAACAATGACAACCTCCAAAATGAATTAAATAATCCCAAAAAGGTTAACTTATTCATATTTTAGATATCTATAGTTAATTATTAAGGTACACCATTTGATAGTGCTTATGAGAGTATCAACCGAGAAATGCAATAATACTACGAACCTGAAAATTAAGTAACAGAACCATCAACAGAGGTCTTTAAGAATTTCAACAAAATGGGACAGTAAGGTGTTAAAGCTACTCTCAATATGGAAGGTATTTCACTCCCTTAAAGCACCAAAAATAACACTGAGCGAAAACAATTTACATAACCCTGCACTCTTTCCTCTAAACAATTACAACTATAAGGATCTAAAGAAGATATGAAAAACTCTAAATAGCTTGAAATGAAAAAAATTAAAATTAAAGAATAAAGATTATCAACTGTTGTTGAAGAACCCTCTGCATTTTTGAACAGTTAATAAGCTACTAAATGTATAAAATCAATCTTTACTTTAGAGGTACTCCTTAATATTGGAGGATCCCAAAATATTGCCTAATCTTGTTAAAATAAAAACTCCTTTGCAGGATTCGAATTTCAAATTCCGTTGTAGTAATCTATTTCCAAAACACCAAATAATAATACAAAACCCTAGAATTATTTTGCTGATAATACGCGATCAGGTTCTAAGTCCTTGTATTAGAATAACATCCCTTAAAATATTTAATATATCAACAACTCCAATAATAAATAAAACCAAATAAAATATGAGTACCTTAGTTCAGTATATAAATATATCTATATAAATTTAGAGAGCTAAAAGTTTTAGCGACCAAAATAGCAAAAGAAACTAAAGCAAAAAATGCTTAGATTTAGAATAGATTGATAAGCAATATGAAAATAGTTAGGAGATCCTGAAAAAGACTAATACTATGCGTAAAACATGAATTTTGTATTAAATTTATAAAATACAATATTCATTTAGTTGTGTAATTTTCATTAACATTATATCTATGTTTGATTAAGATTTACTTGATAAAAAATAATAGATTACCTTACTGAAATAAAAAGATTACTTTTTTTAATGTAATTATATGTTGGATTCAAATTTCCCTTCATTGTATTTCATATTAATTATTTTTGATTAAAAATGAGATTTTTTATAAATCTGTTTATTAATTGGACTATCACTTGATACTCTTATGAGAAATTATTTAAAAATTCATACCTATATATCTATATATATATAATATTATATATATTATTCCTTTAGCTTGTAATAAAACCTTAATAATGTTGAAATATCATTTTAGATCATAAAGCACGTTAATTATTAAGCATCATATATAATACTATAACTTTATAACTTATTGTATATATTATTCATCCTAGCATTTATTTTGAAAGTATTGAATAAATTGATTTAATGAACAAAAAATATTATTAATGACTAACATTATTGAACAATCAATTATTATTAATCACCTTACTTAACCATAAAAGTAAAATAATCCAAAAAAATCACCTTTGCATTCCAATCAAATACCATTAACCTCTAAAAATAATTCAAGCTGGCAAAGCAGCAAAGCAAATATATTTGATATTCAGAATCATAATAATGTGAATTAATAAGATTAAGAAAATGTTACTAATATATTGAGTAGCTCTGGCGATTTATCATAAGCCAATGCCAAAGAGAATGATACAAAGTTTGATGGAAAGCAAATATTAAATGAGGTGAATCATAAGTAACCCTTTTCTTAATAAGATTTATTAGAAATTTAGACAGGGAATTAAGAAAAATTATCACCTCAATTAATTTTCACGAATATTGATAACTCTATCCGCAATTAAATTGAATAACACAAGTAGGTTATGTTATAAATTGGCAATAAAAACTAAAATCAAAATAAATAACAAACTGTTTAGGTAGTAGAATAATAAGCAATTCAATAAGAAGTTGTTAAACCAAAACCACTTGATAAGCAAATGGTTAGAAATTTGAAAGAGATTTTTTTATTTTATTCAAAATAATCAATCACTGCAAATAAATACAACACCTTTGAAAAATTGTAATAATTGTCAAACATAATGATTTTGCAAAAGTTTATGTTTTTTTGCAAAGATTTTGAACTCATAGATTTAGAAATTACTAATGATTTGATCCTTAAGTTAGGTGGTAAATTGGATATAATTATTAATAAGCATAAAAATCAGTTTAAATTCAATCATAAGTAAAACTTTATAGTAACTAAATTTAATTTAGTTGAAATATATAAAAAAAATGCAAATCCCTAAATGGAATTGACATATGAAAATTTTTAAATGGTTATTATCAAACTTGCTTAATTAACCTTTCCAGAACAGAATGATTTATTTTATAATTATTTGGGTTTAAATGATCCAAAATAATATAGAAGGAAAATGTAAATAATAGGTAAACCATTTAACTCTAAAGAACATAATGAAATTCTAACACAAGAAAAACTTTATGAAAGAAAAATTTTCTTTAATCCAAAACCAAAAGCAAGATTTGAAAGTGTCAAAAAAGAAAGACACACTATTGAGATTCATTTTCCAAAGGTAAATCTGACTGAAAGATGCAGAATTAAATAAAAATAAATTGAAACGGTTTAAAAGGATGGAAGCTATATTAATTGGGATGATCTAAATGATTTACAATAGCAGTTTGATCCTAAATAATTCATTTTAGAATAAGACTTAAGTGATAAAGAAGATGATTTTTATTTAAAAGAGTATGCGAAGCATGGATAAAATGATAAAGAGAAAATATAAGATAAGATAATTAAATTAAAAGAACTATTTGTTAAATCTCCTCAAATTTCTCTAGAGAGCAATAAATTAAGTGCTTATCATAATAAAAGAAAAAAAAATATGTTGACAACCGAAGTTACCAGACATTCAAATAACAAATCATTTGATTTGTATGACATCTCTTAAAAAAAGACATCATTAGGATAATCCCCTCAAAATGTAGAACTCACAAATTTGGAAAAATAATGTGAAACTTACAGAATATTCTTGAATTAATAATCTAATAGAGAAAGAATGGTTAATAAGAAAAATTAATTTTGATTTGATTAATTAATTTCATTAATAAAAATGAAATAGAGAGTTATTTTTATAAAGTTAATTTAAAAATGCTTCATATATCTAAATTGTTCAATAATCTAGGCGTATTATTTGTTTTAACACAGAACTTTAATAGGATATTCTAAAATTTCAATATCTAGACAGAAATATTATTCAAAAATGGGATATACCCACATAATCTTCAAAAATATTCTTACGAATTTAATCTGATGAATTCTTAATTTATAAATTCCTTCCTTTTCTTTATAAGAAACATTAATTATTTAGAGCCTTTCTAGATTGATTTTAGATTCAAAGAATATTATTAATATATTAATTAGCTAGGCCAGATAATAAATGAACTTAATATTCAGTAAAACCATAAAATTCTATAGCTACTCTATTAATCAATTATTTCTAAATAATTTAATTGAGTTTGAAATTTTAATATAAATTTTCTTTAATTTAATGAGTATGTTATTTATTCAGAAAAGAGAAGGAATCCTTTTTAATTAATGAAACCAGAATAACACTCTTTTGAATATCCTACTAGAGAAATAGAATATAATTAAATTTCCAAGGAAGAGATATGGATTCAAAGTGAGATGTAATTAAAAATACAAAATTTATATTTATTTATTTGATATTTCTTATTATGGATAAAATAACCTTGCAAGGAGAGATTAATACTCTGAAGTTGGAAAACATGAATTTGAAATTTCAAATAAAAACTCTTTTGGAAGCAAGGCAAGTTGCTCTGGGGAATAATGAATAGAACATAAACTATGAGGATAAGATATTATAACTTTAAACAACTGTTAATGAATTAAGAAATATGTGTGATGATCTTATTTATAAGAATGAGGTGCTTAATGATGATTTGGAATATGAGAGGTATCAAAGTAATAATATTTGTTAAGGAATAAATGCTAAAATTTTGCCTCGTTCAATAAGAGGGAATTTAGTGCTCCTAATTTCTAAGAGTAAATTAACAATTTGAAAAAAAAGTTAGAAGTAGATTTTAAGAATAGCAATCAATACACTGAAGAATTAGTGAAAATAATTTGCAATTAGTATGAAACAATTGTATAATTGGATTTAGATAAATCAAAACTAATGACTAAATTAAAGCTCTAAACTAATTCAGGAATAATAATACCAGATGAAGATGTTTCATAGAATAGTGATGAATTAAGATTAAACCTAGAATAATAAAGAAGATAAATAAAAAGCTTAGAGTAGCAACTTCATGAAAAATAATAGTCATATAATGAATTGAATTAGAAATATCAAATACTGTTAAATTAATTCCAATAATAGCAACAAGTTCTTTAAACAAATCAAGCAAAACCATCAATATTAGATGCACTTCAAAAATCTATTATATAAACTCAACCAAGCTATGATATTCATCAAAGTCATCTTAGTAAATCAATAATCTAATCGAAATGAGTATAATTGATATTAAATAATTTATAAGAAATTTATAAATAATATTATGTATTCTAAATCAGATTAGAAGTCTGCCCCAAAGAACGTTCATCAAAGAGGAATGTTGTCTTATGAAAAAAGACAATTAAGTTTCAGGGATGAATTTGATAATATTGTTGAATATCTCAGAAAGAAAATATCCTTGTTAACACAGCATTAGTCATAATAGACAATTGATGGATTAATGGATTATGTTTTTGATATCACGAGTCCATTACTTAAGCACATTGAATTTCCAATGTAAATTCCTTATCAAACAACATTTTGTGGGAAAAGAATTTTATAAACTATTGAATTTTGGACTCTCTATTAAATCATTTTTTATCTGTTAAACCCTTAAAAGAATTAATATTTTAATCGTTTGGAAGAATTATTTTAAATTCGATTAAATAAGTGCTTGACAAAAGAATAAATTATCGATACCCATAAAAATATATACTAAATTGAATAAATACAAAAATTTACTTTAAATTTTTAAAAACTATGTGAAATACAGAATGAAACCATACAATCTCTTAACAATAACCAAGAATAATATTAGAATTTGAAGAATGTTAAATTTCCTAGTAAAAAAATTAAAATTATCATCAACACAAATAATTATCAAAGTATAATAATAATTTTATGAAGATATCAAGAAGGAAGAATTTTCAAATCACAATTAGACTGAAACTATCCTCGAAAATATTAATATAGACGGAACAAACTATAATTCCACATTCAATGAGAGTTCGGACAATAAAAACTAGACTTAATTATAAGTATCAACAATTTTAATAAATTAGTTTATCAAAGATGAATAACAAAGAGCTATATTTAAAAAAGAATTGTAAGAATTAGTGATAGAGAGCATCAATGATACTATAAATAATAATAATCAATGCATAGAAACTGAAATTTCAAGAACTTAAAATCCAGGAAATGAGACAAGCTAAGTAAATAATGACATTTAAAAAGTTTATCTCACTAGAAACTTTATATTTATCCTCAAATGTTGAATTTCTAGTTTTGATCCATAATGTCAACAGGAATAACTCAAATTCACTAATTTAAGTATTGGAAGGTGAATATGAAGGCTAATTTGCATTATATTAATTCAAAGAAACATAAGATGAAAAAGTCAAAAAGGAGGATTTTAATTATTATTAAAACTATCTTGAATATAGAAAAGTTCGTCAGAACTAACCTCTTGTTGTAATACATAAAATGCAAGTAAAAAATGATAGATGAATAAGATTATTTATGTAAATAATTTATTACCATTCAACTTCAAGAATAATTTATTCATCTTAAAATGGTTTCTCAAAATTTTAAATCCCTTTTGTTGTATTTTCTATGTTTTTAGTGCTTAACGATACTGTTGAATGATCTAAAATAAACTAAAGATTTTTTTGCAATCCAAACTAATATAATTAATTGAATTTTGTCCATTGCATATAAATTGAAAATTCTCGATTTTATGCTCATGAATATAATAATGTTATCCATGCATATTTAACTCAGAGGTTTTTAACGCATCAGAGATAGAAACAAAGTAAAATATATCTACATAATTAAATTATAATATCTTCGTGAATTTGTATTATTCGCATTAATAAAAAATTAATCTTTCGAAAAGGATATGCATTCAGGATTTTTTCAAAGATTCTCATACTAAGATGGAAGATTGATTTATATGGATGATAAAATTTTCTCAATTTAGATTGACTCTCAACTGTTATATATTTTGAGCTGATGAAATATAAGTAAGATTTCATTTTGATTTAAAACTCCATTTATTACTTATAATTAATATATTAAAGAATTATTATGTATAAACCTTTAAAAGAATCGAAAAAAGAAGTATATATATATTAAAATGCACGAACTTAAATGATTATAAATTATTGAAACACAAACCGAGAAATCAACTTTTAAAATGCTATTTTTTACAAAAAGCTTGATATTAGATATTAAAACAAAAACAACTTGCTTTAAACTAGTTGTATTTTTATAAATGTCATTGAGATTCAATTTTATTATTCTGAAATCTTATAAATTTTCTTATAATTCATAAAGTATTATTAAAAAATTTTGTAATTCAAAATTTTTGAGATGGGTAAACAATTTATTTGATTACTTTTTTTCTAATTTTAAGAAAATTATTCAAATAAAATAGAATAATCATTAATTTAATTAAAAACTTCAAAATACCTCAGGTAAGAAACTAGCTATTTGGATTTTATATAATATTTGATATAGATATGTATAAATCATCTTTTTTAATACTGAAATATGAGTAAAAATTTTTAATAGAGCTTTTGATAATATTGTGGGTTCAAAGGGTACTAACTATTATTGCCTTGCATATATTGACTCTTTGAATTGATTATTTCTTATGATTCCATAATATAATTAATGAATTCGTCATAATGGTATTAATCTTTATATTAGTATGATAGTAAGAACTCTACAAATTGTTTCAGATTATTATTTGCTTATTGCACATAATCATGATAAATCTTAAATATCTAAAAATATTTGAACTATTCTCTTAAGTGACCTTATTATTAATAATTCTATAAAACATTGCAATTAAGATTATATATTTGATGATATCTTTATACTTTAAATTTTTCGTAATCAAGATTTATTTATTAAACAATTCTATCTTAGTTGGAGTTAGAATATTAATAATGGCATAAAACATCTGTTAATTATTAATTCTAAAATTCATTGTCAACAGAATTCATTAAATCAGGTTAAGTTGATTAAGTTTTTTAATTATTTTATTTATTCCATTGATTTTTGGGATAGCTTATATTTAAGTTATCAACTTAAGATAATTCATTTTCTTGCATATTGAAATTAGAATTATTCAGATTTGGAAAATTGCGATTCAATTACTCTTATGTTTTTCTTTCAAACTATCTAAAAATTAATAATAAAATAAATTACTATGCTGTTCTTTCGATTTGTTCTAATGGAAAACTAGAATTACTATTTTCTTTTATGTGAGTTACTTAATTATCAACTTATTAGATTGAATTAATTAATTATTACAATACTTGATCATTAAATTAGGGAGTCATATTAGTTGCTTTTAATTAATACTACCTCCAATTGTATTGTGGTCCTAAACAATTAGTCATGTAATTTTGAATACATTCTAATTACTCTTTTAATAATTCTTTCTCATTGTCACTCATTTTTTGAATAATGGACTCAAGTATCATAAAAGCATTATTTTTTTATGCTTTTAAAAAGTAAAAGTTCGTTTCATTCCTCTGAGATTGTTATAATTAATCAAGGTGAATTCCAAATGATATATTTAATTATAACATTAACTTGTTATTACACAGTTTAACCATAGTGTGCTCAGAGTTCTTAAAATGTTAAGCAACAGCTTTCATTTAATAGAGTAAATTGATAACATACTATAAGTCTTAGTACACATAATATTAAATTTGAGCTTAAGCCTATGTTTAAGGTTTAAATTGTTATATTTGCTTTTCAAATTAATTGTTATTAGTTTACTAAAGCATGCTTGCCATTTATTGGATAATATATTCAATATATATATGATCTTCAACTAGATTATATAAAATAATATCAATAGAATAAAATTAAATACTATTAATTATAAATAGAAAAATAATAATTATGGTAATAGTTTATGAATTCTAATGAAATTTTTTTTAAATTTTTGTTCGAAATTAATATATGCCTGACTTTGCATTACTGAGTTCTAATTAAATATATTGATAAAAGAATGTTTTGAAATTATAATTTTATAAATTAAACTATCATTAATATTTATCGTCCTCTAGTTCTTCAAATTCTTATAACCCAAATTATTCATTCTAATCTTTCGTTTTATACCAAAAAAAAGCTAATGCTGATTTGAACAGTATTATTAAGAATGCTACCAAAGCATACTCAAATCCAAAAACTACTTATTGGTCTAAATTGAAGTATAATTAGCTGTCACTTTACTCATTAAATTATGAGCAGTTAAATTGCATTAATTTGTTTTGTTTTAAAGATTGAATTCAAAATTTATGCTAAAATCAATCAAAGAAAATATTTTGGCAAAAATTAATTTAGAATCCGTTAGATTTTATTAATTATTAACTATACTAAGTTGATAGTTTGTTTCAAAATTATCAAGAATGAATCCAAAAGAACTATTAAATGTTATGATATTTTGTATGTATAGTTGTTTCAATACAAGGATATATAGAAGACATTTTTATGTGATTTTCAAAAGTAAAAATAAAGTTTTTGACTATTGAATTAAATAGTTTGTATTTAAAGACTATCTCTAAATTCATTTATGGAAGATATATATATATCATAATTTATTACGGTAGAGGGTAATAATGATTTTTCCAATTCTCCTCCATAAAATTGTAAATTAGAAGTATAGTAAAGAATAAAACATGGATATATATAGCTTTCGTTTTTGTAATAATAGTTTAAAAACACTAAACTACTTGAGATTCCTGCATATTAGAAAGAATATGAATTGTTAGCCATTATTGGAGGAGAATAATACAATAATTGGTTTATTTTCAGAGTAGATTGGAAAAATTGCTTTTCACTAATCAAATAATTTAATTTGATAAAATGCTATATTAATTAGTAAAGCACATAAGCGCAATTTGGTTTACATATTATGAAACTATAAGAATTCCTATAATATATGAATCAAAATAGATGTAATGTTTAACTGATATATGTTGAGGTTAAATAAACGATATTTATTCTTCTTAATAGCGCTTTCCTAATTGATAATATAATTTTTTATCATGTTAGCATAGATATATATTGGCATAAAATGAGTAATTAGAATAATGATGAACAAAGGGCTGAAAGCTAATCATATGGCATTATGTTTGGATACATTGATAAACATTAAAGTTTGCATAATAGATTATAATCTGTTAAGAATAATAAATGTATAATATATCTTCTAACAGTATTATATCTTGGATATAATAAAAACTATAATCAATTAGGTCATTTCACCTAATGATTAATTTGTTATATTGATCCTAAAACATAAGTATTCCTCTTAATAATAAAGTCAATTTAATATATCGATAATGATTTTTATAATTTTTCTATAACCATATTAATATTCATATAATTGAGAGCAAATAATAAAGATATGTTAAGAATTCATTTTGATAAAATCAGGTCCACATTATTGTGTATAAATTTTATTATTTGATGCTTAAATCAATATCCCTTCTGGAGTCATATTAAAAATATTTAAGTAAAAGTGGAATTATTATAAAAAGGAGTATAGTTTAAAATTTAGTTATTAAACACAGCAATTACGAAATATATAAGATTAATATTGATTTAAGCCATAATATCAATAATATTGGTTCTTGCTACACAATTTATACTAAACCATCCAACTTATCCACTAAATGTTATATTATAGATGTTAATATAACAGAATTTGATGAAACATTAAATACTTAATCGTTCAGTTATATATATCCAAAGAGTCATTCAAAATCATGAATTGCTAATTTGAAATTAAGTTCTCAGCACCTTTTGTTCCAATTTAAGATTAAACTGTAAAATTAAAAGTATTAGACCAAAAAGCTATCTCATTTGTAATCGTATTCTGTAGTGTAATTTGATAAGAGTATACTAAAAGTGGATTTAACAAATAAAATTAAGAATTGAATGATATCAAAGCCATAACTTGGGAAGTAGTCGTAAAATAGGGTTCATTATAGTTAAAAGTATAGAATAATGATGAATGCTCAAGAATAACTGGATTATAAACAGAGATTTATTTGTTAGTCTGAACATAATAAAATAGATTATAAGCAAATAACTGAATATTATTTGAGTTCTAGATACTTCTTAAATTTTTTTCAAAAAATGGAGAGCTTAAATTTGCAATATTCCAGGCGTAAAAACAAATAAATTAATTCTATTAACAATAATAATTTAATATCAACCGAGTATTTACAATCTTCATATTCTAAACTTGAATTTTAATACCTATTTAACTGATTATAATATAAGCATTTGATGATGTTATTTATCCAACAACAATGTTACTATAATTGCTATTAATTAAAATAATAAAAGGATCAATAAAACTGTAAAATCCATCTTAAAATGAAATATTTTGAGTAATTTAGCACACTAATTGGCATCTGCATATACATGATAAGGAAAAAAAAAAAANGGCATTATGTTTGGATACATTGATAAACATTAAAGTTTGCATAATAGATTATAATCTGTTAAGAATAATAAATGTATAATATATCTTCTAACAGTATTATATCTTGGATATAATAAAAACTATAATCAATTAGGTCATTTCACCTAATGATTAATTTGTTATATTGATCCTAAAACATAAGTATTCCTCTTAATAATAAAGTCAATTTAATATATCGATAATGATTTTTATAATTTTTCTATAACCATATTAATATTCATATAATTGAGAGCAAATAATAAAGATATGTTAAGAATTCATTTTGATAAAATCAGGTCCACATTATTGTGTATAAATTTTATTATTTGATGCTTAAATCAATATCCCTTCTGGAGTCATATTAAAAATATTTAAGTAAAAGTGGAATTATTATAAAAAGGAGTATAGTTTAAAATTTAGTTATTAAACACAGCAATTACGAAATATATAAGATTAATATTGATTTAAGCCATAATATCAATAATATTGGTTCTTGCTACACAATTTATACTAAACCATCCAACTTATCCACTAAATGTTATATTATAGATGTTAATATAACAGAATTTGATGAAACATTAAATACTTAATCGTTCAGTTATATATATCCAAAGAGTCATTCAAAATCATGAATTGCTAATTTGAAATTAAGTTCTCAGCACCTTTTGTTCCAATTTAAGATTAAACTGTAAAATTAAAAGTATTAGACCAAAAAGCTATCTCATTTGTAATCGTATTCTGTAGTGTAATTTGATAAGAGTATACTAAAAGTGGATTTAACAAATAAAATTAAGAATTGAATGATATCAAAGCCATAACTTGGGAAGTAGTCGTAAAATAGGGTTCATTATAGTTAAAAGTATAGAATAATGATGAATGCTCAAGAATAACTGGATTATAAACAGAGATTTATTTGTTAGTCTGAACATAATAAAATAGATTATAAGCAAATAACTGAATATTATTTGAGTTCTAGATACTTCTTAAATTTTTTTCAAAAAATGGAGAGCTTAAATTTGCAATATTCCAGGCGTAAAAACAAATAAATTAATTCTATTAACAATAATAATTTAATATCAACCGAGTATTTACAATCTTCATATTCTAAACTTGAATTTTAATACCTATTTAACTGATTATAATATAAGCATTTGATGATGTTATTTATCCAACAACAATGTTACTATAATTGCTATTAATTAAAATAATAAAAGGATCAATAAAACTGTAAAATCCATCTTAAAATGAAATATTTTGAGTAATTTAGCACACTAATTGGCATCTGCATATACATGATAAGGAAAAAAAAAAAATAGAGTTTAAATACTACTCGATGTCCTTTAAATTGTCTACCTAATAATATCTCCACTTATTTAAAAGTATATTTTCATTTGATTAAAACAGTGCCTTCTACATAAAAAGACTTCATCATTCCACCTATTACATTATTATGAAAAATTGAATAATAATTAATAAAGTTTAATTCAATAATATATTGAACGAGAAATGCCTCTAGTGGTGACATCCAAATAGTTCTTCTATTTTGGATTGTTTTTATCCTTCTCCTTACCAGGCCATTATACAATCATAGGATATTATCCTGGACCAGGCACAGGAAGTTACTTCGATTTACTTTTTTTAGGATCCTTAAATCTATCTTCTTTTCCAAAATTCTATAAATTATATGATAATATTAACATGTTTATCAGATTTGTCCTTCTTTTTTGAGAGTTGTTGCAACTTGTTAAAGGATGTGAATTCAACAGGCTCTGGATTATATGTTCCAATATCTGGCAAACATGATTTACCTCTCTTTCTATCTTATTCTTTATGCTTTGCAATCTAATCAGCTGGCTTGGTCTCATTAAGTTTTAGTTTTTTTTCAATTCTCTATTATAATTCTAGAGTATTCTTACATGAGGATTATAATTTCCAGGACCTGGATTGATTACAGCTAGATGTTAAATTTCATTTAAGTAAGTCGGTCTTTCAACTGGTCTATCTAATAATTTAAGAACAATTACGCTATTTTTTTCTTCTTATCTTCTTCAACTTATTTTAAAACATCCTCGAGAGTAGGTATCACATTATATTTACCAGCTCCAGGAACTCCTCTTACTTTTGCTTCTTTGAATATTTAGTCTATAAATGTGCATCTATTTAATATAAATTTAGAATATGTACCTCTTCTATGGAGCACTCTTGACTCTTCCTTCTTATTTTAATGGAACCCATGGTTTAACAATATCATATTTGTTTGGTGCAGGTAACTTCTCATATAATTTTTTCAAGTCTTCTAAATAATGACCTCGTTTTGTGACATGATTTCTATTTTTTTAACCTTAATCATTATTAACTTACTTTACCTTTCTTTTAAGTTAAAAATTTTCTTTCTTCCATTTATTTAATTGGATCAACGTACTTTTTTGGGGCTTCATATCCCTCAATTCCAAAGCCTGATGTCTGTCTAGTTGCTATCTTAAACATATCTTCCATAGGAAAGTCTAGTTTAGTCACTCAAAATACCAAAATTAGGTGTTGCCGATTATGCTCTTTACATATTAAGTTATAAAATATATATAAATAAAATAAATTTTTTCCATATATAAGTATCATTTACCTTCTTACTAAATTTGATATCGATGAATCAATATCTAAACACCTAAGTAAAATCCTCTTTATATCTAATTTAATCTTTGCTAATAAAAAATGTAGATATTTCAATAACTCAGTGTATTCAAAGGATAAATAGATGCAGCATCCACTAATTTTGTGGATAACATTATTTTCTAGTAGTTTTAGGTAATATATTTAGATGGCTAATATAAACTTTTCATTATATTATAGAAAATACCAATAAATTCTGGTTTATTTAAGAATATAAATAGACATCGAAATTTGTATTTCTTTATTAAAATATGTAACAAGATTCAAAAAACAAGAAAGTTTATTATCAAGAAGTGTGTCATCAAAAACATTAGAATTCTAAGATTCTATCTGTAAAATTTGTTAAGGACGATAAAAACATAATTAGTATAGGAAAGGACGATCATTTTATTAAACTTGAGCAATAAAATAAAGAGTGGATACTGAAAGAAGTAGTCTTGGAGAATTAATAATTACAATGCTGCACTTTCAGCTAAGCACTTGGTAGCTTCGTTTATGCTCATAAAAAAGGATAAATAGATCAACTAAGCTATAATTAGGAATAAGATAAATGGGTGTCAAAAACAATTAGAGAGTCTGAAGGCAATCAAATACTAGAATTATAATTGAATACTACATCAACAAGAATGGTATAATGCTTATATGATTTTGCCGTTGCTTTGGAATATTAGAATTAAGAATGGATTGAGATAAGTTCTTTGAATGAGACTTTCACTGAAGATGAATGCATATTTACAACTAGCGTAAGTTTCAATCGTGATTCCCAAGAGATTGCAATTGGATTTACAGATGGTCATATATCAATTTGGAAATAAATAAATAATGAATGGTAGATCTATTAAAGAATGGAATTGCATCAAGGTTCTATAACTAAGGTGAGATTCAGCAGTTCAAAAGATATATTGGTTGGTGCTGATTAGAAGGGTAACACTATTATTTGGGAGAAAAACTAACAAACTTAAAAATATGAATTATAATGTCAGTATTAGAGTGAGAAGACTATCGAAGTGATTTATTTTAATTTGAATTCAAGCATTCTGCTTATTGGAGAAGGCTCATAAGTGAGAATAATGAAATAATTGAAAGACAATAAATGGGTGTTTATGTAAACAATTGAGGTGAAGGATTTGGTTTCATGTATTGATATATCGAATGACAATAAACAATTGGTAGTCGGATAGAATAATGGATTTGTTAGTGTATTTGAGTATGTTGGATAATGATCTAAAACATATATAAATATTATTATTAAATGAGTTAATTATCTACTTCTTTATCTAAAATATTTGGAATAATATTCTTAAGATCTTAGGATGGTACAAGATTGTACTCCAAATACTACCCATAGTTGTTTCCAAAGAATTTATTAAGAGTGCCGGAGGGTGTGCTTACAAATATTGACGTGTAGAAATAATTCGAACATAATGTATGGGAGAAGGGAAAGAGAGTTGGAGCTCGTTTGACTAAGGGAAGTGAAAGTATAATTGATGCTTATGATTTTAAAGCTGAGATATTTCAATATTGCTAGTTTAACATTGTAATGAAGGCATTTAATGAAGTACACTTGTTTGTGTTGGGTGACTTTGAGGAAAATGAGATCATATTGTCTTAAGTTATAAATGGAATCTATGAGTCATTGAGTCACATAACAAAGGATCATATCAATAAGAAAACCTTATTGGAGAACTTTGATCAAGTCATAATAATAATAGATGAGATTTGTGATCAGGGGTATGTTGATAGATAGAATAATTAATATTAGGATAATTATTACGATGGATCCATCAGTGATTATAGCCAGAGCGACAATGAGAGATACTGAAGCCATAAGCTTGGAGAAGCAAGAAAGCACTAGTATATAAGGAGGAGCGTTTTCTTCAGTATTCGCATCTGCCAAGAGGACCTTTGCTCAACAATTTATGGGATCTGGTTGAATGTTATTAAATTCTAATATTATTTGAATAGAAAATATAGAAGATGTTGTTTATATTAATTTTTATAATTTAAGATGAGAAGTTTATTACTTAAATATAGATTTACAGAACAGATATCAACTTCTCAGACCTTGTAAATCAAGAGGTTCTACAAGGATGTTAAAATTGAAATGGCATTCGGAGTGACTGATCCATATCGCTAATGGTTAGTAAAGGTATATTGAATCCATGGAGATATTTAGTTGGATGGTAAAACAGTGAAGACTCCTTCGAAAAATGAATTGGCAATCCCAACACCATAATTAGCTTAACGTATTGCTGATGAATTTAGTGCATAAGCAGAATTCATTAACCCTGCCACTATGCCATTAATGACGTTGGCTAGAAATGCTGTGGATATTGAAGCAGATGAGAATATGAGGGAATTTATGGAGCATTCGATTGTTAGTTATCTGGAGAGAGATACCGTTTTATTTAGAGAGCAATCCCATTCAGAACTTTACTAAATATAAGTGTAAAAATTAGACCCTCAATTAAAATTATTCAATCAAAAATTTGGTATGCATTTAAAGGCCAATTTCGGTTTGGATGTAGAACCCTTAAAATAATATGATTAAATTAGAATTGAAACAATTCTTAAGGAGTTGAATAGTTGGCAACTTGTTTGTCTGGACTCAAAAGTTGGTATGTTTGAATTAATCGCTAGAAAACTTAAAGTCATGTATTTTGGCTTTTCAGATCTGGAATAATCACATTGATGTCCAAGAAGCAGTCAAATTATCAAGGATTGAAGAAGATTACTAAATCTCTTTAAATGGTAAGATCGAAGGACATCACGATTTCGACGAAGAGACAATCCTTGCCAATGTAAAGGCTGCCAAACTCTTTTCCTAACTTATTCACATTTAAAGCATTACTTATTGATTTGTGGTTAGTTTTATATTCATATTATAATTAATATATATATATTCATTAAATGTATAACCGTCCAAGTTCCAAAACTAGATATTAATAAGAACCTACTATGGATTCAATCAATCTTAAAGAAAAATAATTATATTTATAATCTAGTAGCATAAGTAAATCAACATTTCATTCATTTCCTATATAGATCCATTAACAGGTGCAATGTTGAGACCTGATTAATCATACAATTAATAGCAATATAATAATGCTAATTTTGATAAGAAAATTGCCTTATAGGCCAGCTCTATTAGTATATTCATACACAAATATTAGATCCCCTCACGGGAGCCCCTCTTGTCAGAAATCCAATTAGTTATCAACAAGACCCTCCTCAATACAAATACTAGTCCTAAGGTCCCCAACAAAATGCTGGTGGCTATGCTACATCGGCAGGTCTAATTGGATCAGGAGGAAATGGTAATGATGCGTAATTTCAAAAGAATTTGGTGAAATTCTTCGCTGCTGATGACCCGAATCAAATCTAATATAAATCTAATAATAAAGCTAACAATTCAATACCATCAGACCCTTAATTTCAGAAGAATCTTGTCAAATTTTTTGCGGCTGATGATCCCTCTTAGTTGAATAAATAAAATAATAACATCAGACAAAGCAATTCAAGGGCAAATAATGCATATCCACAATAATCCTATCCCTAACAATATCAAGGATAATAGTCTAGAAGCTAAAACGATCAACAATTTTAACAAAACTTAAATAAATTCTTTGCTGCTGACGATCCTTCTTAAGTCAAAAAACCTACGTCTTAAAAATAATACACAAGCCACTCTTAATAATAACAATAACGATATTAACAATTTAATGATGCTCCTCCTGATCCTAGATTGGTGAGTGATCCCAATTTTTAAAAGAATCTTAATAAATTTTTTGCTGCTGATGACCCTTCGCAACCAAAAAAACAAGTAACCAAACAATCACAATAATAATAATAAATTAATGCTATTGAATAAAACAAACTTTAAAGACTAGAGTAGGATCCTAGGTTCTAAAAAAATTTATAGCAATTTTATGGAATTGATGGAGGAGCATCTCAACAATATGGGGGTGGCTAGTATGCATTATATTTTATTATCATAGAAATACCTAAGGCTAAGGAAATGTTCAGTATTAGAATAAGTCTATCAAAGTGCTTGCAATTACTGATAGCAGTTCAGCAGCAAGGAATTAAGTCTCTGCTTTCTTTAGAACTAGAGGTATCGATGATTTCGATGTATTCACATATCCTGGAGGTGTTTTTGGTTTACAGAATAATTCTCTTTAGGAACAAAGCTTAAAATAATACCTAGATACTATGAGCAACGCATATAACATTAAGGAAGTATACATAATCTCTGTTCTTGATAACAGTAGTGTAATTTATAGAATTATTTATAGAATGCAAGATTATACACTAATACTAATGATAAAAGATCTCATTAGATAGCTATTTAAGATTTAAAGACCGTTTTGGAGAATAAATTAAGTGTTTAATTTAAATTACAGGGAATTATAATAGATCAAAGAGGAGCGTCAGAGAAAGCCTTTTGAAAAATATGTTCAATTATCAATATAAATTATGTTACATAGTTAATCAAATTATCATTAAATAATTGTTTATGGTACTTTTGATGTACAAATATAAAATAAGGCATAGGATCAAAAGTATTTTTATAAGTCTTCTTGATCATTAAAAAAATAGTTTATCCAATTATCTAATGAGGCATATCTTAAACTTTTTTATTTCCTTAAAATTATTCTTATAACTCTCATTAACAATATTTCCTCTTTATCTAAAATATTTATGGAATTTTTATTTCGGCTTTCTACTCATTTAATAGTCAAAAGTTTCAGTTGATATATGATTTTAAGACTTATTCAAATAAAGCAATTATGATTCTGAGTTTTTGAATTAAAATTAAGAATATTTTATAAGTTCCTAGAAATTTAATTTCATAGAACAACAATATTCAATTTTTTCATTGATTGTCTCTTTATTTTGGATTTATTAAAATATATTTTACCAACTTAAATTCTTTTTTTAATTCTTAGTATAAATTAATCACCAAAAATAGGTTAAATCAATTTTACATGCTTAACTATAAAGTAAGTCAATTCTAAAATTATTATAATTTTAGGATGAGTTAATTACATCAGCTAAGGTGATGTTTCAAACATATAAATTACAATTTGGCCTATCCTAGTTAAACTCTGAAATTAAGCCAAAAAAGTTGATCTGGTTTATTGTTATAAAGTAGTCTTTATATATTTATTTTTTAACATTAAATTTAATTATGTTTATTTAACAATTAAGTGGGTAGTAATTAATTTATAAAAAAAAAGTAGATATTAAATATTTGATACAATTTTGGCCAAATGTTGTTGTTCCCATAAATTTCTACAGGAATTACTAATATAAAAAGGAATTTAGTTATTAAAAAAAAAAAAAGAAAATTAAATTTGTTTAAAGTTATATGATTGACATATTTCCGTAATAAAAAAAATAATAATATATATATTAACTTTCGATTAATTTAAACACAAATTATATAATGCACGGTGACAATTTAATCATACATAACTGATCAAATTAATATTCTATAATTTTATAATCATATGGAGGAAGTTATTTTTTGAAATGGAATGCCTTACAATGATAGAGTAGAATAATAAAAAGATATTTTGGTTAGCAAAACACTTCATTAAGCCAATATACACCATATAAGTACTTTAACTTGCTATTTTAATTGTTTCTATAATTTTTATATATATATAATTATTGTTAACTCATCTAATTTACTTGCCAAATTTCAAATCCAAATAATTTAAAACCTAAAGCTATTTTCTAATTGAAGATAATTATTTATAGAATCTATGAAATACTCAAAAATTTCAAATGAAACACGAATTGCTTTCATCGAAAAAGTAAATTAAGGAGCTTGTACAATAAGACAAGCAGCTAAATAATTTGGAATCAAATTCTCCACTGGGAAAGCAATCCTCTCTCTTTTTAAGCATGAAGGCAGGGTCGGAAAAAAAGAGAAGAGGACTCGAAAATTAAAACAATAAAAAGAAGAATTAATATAATAGAATTGTAATAATCCAAAGGAAATACCTATTGTGAAAACTAAATAAATTTAAGAGTTTTAAACTCTTCAAAATAACGAATCATATAATAATTCTTATTATACTTAGTACTCCAACTATCAAAACTGGTATTAAACATAAGCCTGGTTATAATACATGAACCTAATGAACTATTATAATTATGGAAAAATATTTTGATTATTCATAAATTTTATATTATTGATAACAATATCTTGATTATCATAATAAAACTGATATGAATTTCACCAAATAGCTGAATTACAAAAAAGGATGGAAAGAAAAAGAGAACTGCTTATAAATGAAACTCTGAGTAATTCAATTTAAAGGATAATTATAATTGTAATTATTTTTAACTGAGCAAAAAATAAAATATAATTATTACGAATTGAAAATGCTTACATTCTATTTGAGAATTATCATAATTATTCTTTACACAAAAAGAATCACTTGGTATTAAATAAAATAAATGTTAGTTTCAAAAACTAAGGTTCCAAAAACTAAGATCAAAAATAAAAAGGGTTAATTTTAAACTATAAATATAAAATAGACATTATAAAAACCGTAGGGTTATGACTTTTGTTCAATAGCTAGCAATAATTTTAATACAATTCTCTCTTTTGAGTGCAAATTGACTCTATTTATTTAAATCTATATTTAGTAATTATTCTCTGTATAGAATTTAAGGGTATAAACTGTTAAATTGATAACAATTATGAAATGGAAAAGACAAATTACATAGTTATTTTATTCCTTTAACTAATTTAAGTGTGAATAATTCCTACAATATTTGTGTAATTTGTTAGGATACATAAGGAAGGATAGATTGTAGTTAAATTTGAATTTGGATTCAGAAAACTGCTAGCTAGAGATTAATATAATAAAATTTATTATAGTTAATTTTAAAGTCTCAATTTTTTATAAAGAATTTATTTTATTTTTCACTCCTCAGAAGAATAATATTTTTGATTTTAATTATATTTTTATGCTTATAATTTTTGTTGCTAACCTCCATAAATCATTAATCCATATCAAAGAACAAAATTTTGATTTTTAATTAATTTTTGCTTGTTTAATTATGTATGCAATTAAAGTAAAATTAATTAATTTTCATTCCCTGAAGATTAATTTTTTCTATTTTGATTATGTTTTTATAAAACAAACTTTAATTAGAATAATGTTTTTAGATTTTATATATTCCAATTTACTACTCTACTCAATAAAACCTTTTAGATTAAACAATTATATTATTTGTTTAATGTGTTAATATAATCACTTATATTTGATGTATCCCTTATGCTGAGTTTACTCATGAGAACAACTAGGAGATTATTTTTTTGGATTCATGTTTATTTTTTTCATTATAATGATAATCATTCATAGGCTCATAATTATAGACCTTAAATTACTAATAGAAAATAGTTATGGAGTAAAAATATCAAATTCAAATTAGTTACACAAAGAGTGGCATTCTTTGAGATTTTTCAAAGTTTTCAAAGTGATATATATTAAATTAAGATTATGAAATGAAACATAGGGTTAAAAATAGAATTTTATTAAGGAATAAACCGATTAAACCAACGAATAGATCGAAAATTAAACATTTACATTTATTCGATAATATTTTTATATCTTAAGAATCAATTGATAAATATTTTCAATTAAAGGAAAATATTGAGAAATGAGTCTTAATCTATATTGTAATTAAACATTAGATAGTGTTGACTATCAGTAGAAAGAATTTATTTAAATTAAATTCCTATGACTTCTTAATTAAGATTAAAAATAATAATTAAAATTTATGGGGTGTTCTGTCACAAAAACTAAAATAGTATAGAATCAAAATAAATCTACAACTGATAAATTTGAATCATATTTGATAACTTAAAGCCTGGTGCAATCGCCGCCTGTATCACGAAGCAAATAATATTCGATTGAAAAGAACCCTATTATATAAAGAAGAAAACTTAAGTCGTAACAAAAGACAAGGACTCCGTCAGGGGTGGACAAGTACGATTTTTCTGTTTGACTTATATAATCAATATCTGTCCTCATCTATTAACTAATTTGATTTTATTTTAAATATATCAAATCCACATCTATGGTATTTTGATATTTTCTTATTGAGAAGTTTCTAAATCACAATCATAAATTCCTGAATTAATTCCTTGGAGATGTTTTAAATTTTAAGCTTAAAGCACTAATATCTAAAAACATAAATATCAAATATAAAGTGTTAAATTAATCCACCAAGTAGGCAATTATGTGATTTATTAAAAAGAATTCACATTGCTCTTAAATTTGATTAATATCGTTTTATAAAATTAGTCCTCAAATTTATATTTTTCAGGAAGTTTAATGTAATTTTTTCATAGCCAAAGTTGAGTCATTAATTTATCATTATAACTTTTTGAAATAACGATTTTGATTTAGTTTTGGATGAAGAATATGCTGAATAAAAACAAATGTTCAAATTATATATAGATTTTATACCCATATATTGGATATAATTTTTCATACAAGATTGTATTGATAAGTGTACAGACAATGATGTCTTAAATTGAGTAAATCAAATGTCAACATATTGAATTGGGCAAAAATTTGCTAAAAAATAAAGAAAATTGTATATATAATTTTGGTCATCAAATTTTATAATAAATAGAAGAAATATTACCAAAGAAATAAAAAATTATAATAATTTTAATCAATTTAGAATAGTACTTTGATTTATGATGGCAATTCAATTGGATGTGATAAAAATTGAATCCTTATTAAAAATGGTAGTAATAAATAAGATACAATTTTTTACAGTTAGACTAAAGTCATTTTGCTAACAATATTAATCTGATTGCATTTAACTCCTAACTTTATTTAATTTATAAAGGTGAACTAAATATTGGAACAATTTGTTAAGACAGAATTAATGAAGGGGGAAGTAAATGAATATTATCATGAATTTAATTAGAATAATTTTTAATTAAAAAATCATCAAGAATTGAAAGAGATATATATATATATATTATTATATTATTTTCTATTCTTATTAATGTCTAAATAATTAAACTATAAATTTCAATGACTTATTGAGTATTACAAATTAAGTAATTGTTATTAAGTATAATGCAGGTTTGTAATAACTTCATTTTTCTCAATAATTGCATTTGATAATTATCTTTGCAAAATAGCACTATTAGTTATGTGTGAATTTATTGCTTATACTAATCCATCATTTTCACTTTTTAAATTATAATATTTTTTAACTAAATTCTTATAATTAACTCTTAATGTCTCTGAGTCATTTGTCTTATCCAAGATAAAAGTGTTTTATTCCAATAATCTCATGTTTTCATCTCCATATTCTGATAATTTATTTAGCAATCTTTATTGTTCCAACTCTTTTTTTTTGAATTCATTATTAACATTTGATAATTCGTCTAACTATTTTTATAATTATTTAATTCTATCAATATAGTCATTCCTTTCCTTGTCTAAAATATTTTATTATAACTTAAATGAAGAATCCAATTACTATATTTATTATTTTTAGTACTTCAACTCTTCCCCTAATTTTTAGTTTTCCTAAACCAGTTATTAGCACAATCTATTTTTTTATTGGAATAGAGTATCAATATCTACTAATTCTTATTCCAATTTTTAATATCTTATTAATTTTCCATTTAAAATCTCAATTTCTAATTCTTGTTTTAAATTAAGCTCTTGCTATTGACTTAATTTCTTTGATTTAATCTCACACTCATTCGTTAGGTCTTCTATTTTTTTTTTGTATGAATCTGAGATAGAATTCTGTGTTTCAATTTCTCTTCTGTATTATTTCTGAACGACATAGACTTCATCATCAATTTTTTTTTGGTTAATAAGTTCAAAATGTTTTGCTTGACTGTCAATATCGAATTAATGTTTATCTTTTAAAGAGTTTAATAGAGAATATAGTCCTTCATTTTAAATTAGTAGTTCAGAAGCATTGAGTTTTAAATTATCTAATTCCTTTTAGCAATCAAGATATTTTTATTAAACTTCTTAGTAATTTTTTTTGAGTGTGTTATTCTCATTATTTAATTATTTGTTTTGTTTATCTAATTAATCACAGAATTGCTTCGTTTCATATTATTCTTACTCTTTGAAAACATTGCTTTGCATCTTCTGAACTTAATATTGTAATTCTTAATACTTCTTTTTAATCATCTCGCTGTCATTGTATTGCATCTATAAATCATATTACAATTAATCTATGATGTTAAGCAAGAAGCGTATTTCACCTTGAGGGTCTTTGATTTATAAATCTTCTTTATCAAAGGGATAATGTTCTAAGGATGATGAAACATTAGCAGGAGATTGATAAATGACAGGCGATTGATGATGATATTTATGAAACCTAGGACTTGTGCTAATCTTATAGCTGCATTCCTAGGAGGAATTTAATAGATCATTCTCATACATTCCTTTCTTATTACCATATTTTTGAAGCTTTTCAATTAGCTAGGATTCACTCATGTCAGTTAATAATATAATTAAAGAGGTGAGTAAATTAAAAATGAATGTAGAATAACGAAATAATAGAAAAGAAGTTCACGAAGTCGTTCCTTATATATCGATTTATCGTTCAGTGATCATTTTACCATTAACCCATTCTGATTAAACCTCTTTGGCCTAATCCATTTTGAGTAGTCCCTTACCATGTTGTTTACCCTGTTTCCACTCTCCTTTATAATATCTGCCATCAGACCATTCAAATATTCCATACCCCTCTTTTAAATCGTTTTTGTACCCACCTTTATACTTTCTGCCATCTGGCCAATTAAAAGACTACAATAAGATTGCAATTATTACTCCTTCTCCGTCCATTCGATTTTCTTTCCATTACCCATCATAAACCTTGCCACTTTTCCAGTAATAAACTCCATGTCCATCCATTTTATTACTTTTAAATTCTCCAATATACATATTTCCATTTCCCCATTTAAACATTCCTCTTCCTTCCTTTTTGCCATTTTGATATTCCCCTTCATACGAAGACCCATCCTACCAAGTTTCCTTCCCATGTCCTTGCTATTTGTCATTAACCCAGTTTCCTTCATAACAAGCTTAATTTTTGTATCTATGGTATTTACCAATACCATTTGCTTGGTCGTTCTTCCACTAACCTTCATAGTAATCTCCAAAGGAATGAATCAATCGGCCATATCCAGATGCTTCATTATTTATGAAACCACCTTCATAATAACTTCCATCTGGCCATAATAGTTTTCCATAACCGTGTTTTTAAGTATCTTTCCATTCTCCAAAATAGATAAAATCATTGTCAAACTTAATTGGAGGATTTTGTTCTCCTCTTTCAATACCCTCTGGAATTTCAAGTAAAGGTAATTAACTTTATACAGTTCGTACGATTTGATTGGATACCTCTGGAAAGAACTCTAAACGCTAACCTAATTTTGGAGCTTCAACACTGGCCTATCTTCTGATTATAGATGGTTGATTAAACAACGTATGTTCTTTGACATTGTTGGCTTCTGCAAAATGAAAATAATTAAAATACTTAGGCCTATCTTAACAAAGTCATCAGCTTCGTATTCTCTTACATCACAATCTTCATTATTTATCGACTGTTTTTCCAAAGCAATCAGCTAATTTTTAGCCAGTGCAGTAGGTTAAGAACAACAAGCACTTGCATTTCCCATTTAATTATTATATTTATAATATATCATCACAGAGGTATTTTATCAATATTACAATGGGACAAGAATGTTAGAAATGCTAAATGAGATCAGAGGGAGTTCAGAGTGAAATTAATAAAAAGGAAGAAATTAGTTCTGATTCTGATCCAGAATATGAAGAAGAAGATGAAAAACAGCCTTGTAATAATCACCTTTTAATTAGAAAAACCACCTTCAATGGATAGCAAATCCAACTCATCCACTTTTTTTAAGGAGTAATACATTTCCCAAGAATCAAAACAGGAGTAAGTTGAAAGTTATTAGAATCAACTTAAATTTGAAGGCGGTGGGATATATACTGGAACGATTTCCAACAATAAAGCAAATGGATTTGGCAGATTAATTATGCCCAACGGCGATATCTATGAGGGCAGTTTCGTTAACAATTATTTAGAAGGAGATGGAAAATGTATATATGCAAGAGGGCCTGTCTACACTGGGTAATTCAAGTAAGGAAAATCAAATGGAATTGGTAAAGAAGTATGGCCAGATGGTTCTGTTTATGAGGGAGATTTCTAAAATGGAAAAAAGAATGGAAAAGGAATTTATAAGTGGAGTTAGCAAAGTACATATAATGGAGAATGGATGGACAATATGATTAATGGAATTGGCAAATACGAATGGCCAGACGGTAGGGTAATTTATTAATTATTCAGAACATAGTCTTATTACGGTTAATGGGTTAGAAACTAAATGCACGGCAGAGGATTCTATAGATGGATTGATGGTAAATATTATGATGGCGAATATGAAGCTGATAAAAAGTCTGGATTTGGTATCTTTAATTGGCCTGATGGAAAATAATACTAAGGTTATTGGTTAGATGGAAAGTAACATGGAAAAGGACTTATGATAAATAAAGAAGGAAAGAAGAAATTTGGAGAATGGCAAAATGGTAAATTAATAAGTTGTTCTGATGAATCTAATTTATAAATAATCCCAGATGGTTGGTTTCTGAACACTTTTAATTAATGATTATATTATCTTACTTGTATGTATTTTCTTGTTAATATTTTAAAATCATTAAATTAGACAATAACTTAGATAAATACTAATTTAACTCCTATAAACAATTTAATTTACTTTATATTTTCTGTAAAATTAATCATTTGATAAATTTTTTCTATTATTTACACCCTACATAAATATTCAACTACCTAATTACTAACATTTTCCAGTTTGAAAACTTAGATTATTAAGTTATGCATATTGTAATTTAATTATCTAATAGATATATAGGAAACTAGAAAAATATCTAAAAAAAAATTATAATATTATGTAAGATTCTTAATCCTTAAATATTTAATCCTTCTACTTAGAGAATAGATAGCAAATTAAATATTATATTAATAATTATATTAAAAGAAAACACAAACATAAGTCAGCATTCATTAGTTTTAGTTTTTAGAAGAAGAACATACTTAATTTTCATCAAAGATCTTTCCAACTCATCTATCATGACTTTCATATTCTAACATTATTATAATTTTTTAAGTGCTTCTTATTTGGACCTTGTGTTTTCGATAATTCTTTAAAATATTTCTTTATATAAATTTTTAATTGTTTTGTTTTTAATTTTCTTATTCTTTTTGATTTTATTCCTTCTTTAAGGAATTATAGAATCAATTGAAATTTGATTACAATCCTGAACTTCTAAAGGTTATTCAATCTATTATATCTAATTATGAAAATCTATATAGTTTAATTCTTTTTCGTGTTTAATCTTATAGGTTTAACGACCAAACTGTATTGGAGAAGATGAAATATCAAAGAGTTCATTTTCATTCCTTGATTAATAAAGCCAATCCTCTTCTGTAGATTAATATTGATCAAGATTCATAATTAGTTATTCTAAATTATATTTATTAGCTTCATTTTTTGGTTTTATATTACTGCATAATACGTAATATTTCGGTTGAATTGATATTAATTTAAAATAATGCTAAGAGATTAATCCATAATGAAACAAAGAATAGTTTTAGCAATCAATTTGTAAACACACTATCTATATGAAATGAACTCCCATTATAAATACAATCTAATGAAATTCATAAGGTGCTGAAGACAATAAATCTAAGTAATTAAGCTAATAAGCCCTTTGAGTAAATATGATATAAAAAATTGTCATAAATTATGATATATAACTTTTATTAATGTTGGATTAATATTTCTAATTTAGTAAGTATTCTATTATATAAATTTATATTGTTACCGATAAAAGCGGGAAATTTTCCTAGATATGTAAAGTTTTATATATTTATATCAATTTATTGAAGATATTTAATAGATAAGTATCAAAATTTTGTCTTTATTTTATATATTTATCTTTTTTAAGAAAAGAAAGAAATATTTACTTTGAAATATAAATAAAATTGATAATTGCTATCTATTAAGGAATATTATGAAGATTAAGAAGACTATTATGTTAAGTGGCAATCAAGAATATTTGTTCGCTTAATTCATTCTTTTATTTAGCAATTCTCAATTTGATAAATTCTAATCCTATTACATCTATGATTGAAATAGCAGATTAAGTTTCAGATTAAAAGATATGTTATTTTTTATTCAATCTCTAGTACATTCATTTTATCCATGTTTGACTTCCAATATATCTGATCAGAATTCATTTCATATGTATTTTGAAATAATAATGATATAACAATGAATTCTATCCTCTATCTAAGCATTCGGGATGAGAATTAGAATTCAGTTGGAATTAATGCCTGAACTCATATAATTTTGAATTATATTTTCTTATAATATGAAATATGAATTATTTGATGATTTTAATGCAACTATTAATTAAACAACGTGCACATTATTGATATTAATTAATTTAATAAATGTCTGAAAAAGCTTAACTCGCCAAGGATGCAATAAAGAGAAGACAAGGTGGAGGCAAGAGTCGTAAGATATTTGTGTTTACATGATTTAGCATCAAAAACAACAGAAAATGGAGGACAATCAGGATTAAATTTCTATTCTGGAGATGTCTCATCCCTAAAAGTTCAACCAAACACCGTACTTATAATTAGTCTTGTATATTTGGGAATCGTTGTGCTCTTACACATATTCAGCAAACTTAGATCAGGAGGAGCAGAAACTGCCCCTGAAGGACAATGATTCATATTATATTATATAAATATCTACGCATGTTTTGTTTTACAGGTCTTGATCGCATGATCATAGGTATTTGGAAATTAAAATCATAATGCAAATACCAAATTGATAGTTTTGAGCTAAGGTCTTAAAATTAAATGGATCATCTTCTGAATATCAAATTGAAAAAAGTACATTAAAAGCAAATGCATAATTTTTAATTAGGATATATGGCTCCAAAAAGGTATAATAATTCAATCCTTATGTAATATATATATACTTACAAAATATATAAGCTTTAGATTGAGATAACACATAAAATAATCAATATATATCCTTTAATTTTATAAAAGATAGATGAATTTGAATGCAATAATTTTATTCTTATCTTTATATAATTTATCAATTTGGACAATTTGGACAATAAATAGAATAGTGATAATGTATATGTTATTTCAATTATGAGACATTCTCTGATTTGATTTATTGAGTTTTTAATTGAAAAAAGTATAGATTAAGGTTGTTATGGAGTGAATTCTGAGTTGGAGATGAGGGTGTTGTTGAATTTTCTTCAATCAGAATACAGATCAATATAAATTAAAAATTAAAATAAAAAATGCATTTGAGGTATTATTTGAATGAGGAAGGAAAAAGAGTTTACACTTTAAAAAACACACTTGATGATGGTTCCTATACATTTAATGCTCATCCTGGTATAGATTAGAATTAATTGAATAGCGAGATTCAGTCCTGATGATGTAAACTAGAAATATCGTGTTGAATTAAAGAAGAGATTTGGTTTATTACCAACTTAAGGTGAACCTCATTAATTTTGAAATGTTAATGATTATAAATTTATATTTTATGTAATATCAATTTATGAATGTACGATCAGGGAGAATGAGTATGGAAGATGGTGTAGATATTTTTAGTTAAAAACTAAAACAATATTTTAATATAATTCGTTTAAATATGTCTTCAAATATAGAGCTAGTTCCATTTTATTCCTCATTACTTCGTACAATTTAAAGCATGTACCAATAGAAATTGATTACAGCAGAGGAAAGAAGTGAATTGAAGAATTTTGTTGTTTCTCATGATTCGAAAGATTTAGGGCAATTATTTAAATCTTACGAGAAAGGATAGTTGGAGTAATTTATTTTAGAAAATTACATAAATCCAAGAAATAATGAGTAATAGATGGAAGATGAGGATGATTCATGTTATTCTATATCTGAAATTGAATGTTAAAAAAGTACATTAAGTTGCACTCCTAATTAATTTGTATGGTAATTGAAACAATCCAAATAAACTAAGTAAGAAAAGGAAGGTCATCGAAAAAGATCGAATTCATTTACCACATTCAAATAGTTATGACAATAGAAAGATGGACAAATTTTGAGTTTATTTGTATATACAACCTATATTCATATATTCAAATAAAAAACAAATAAAAACAAAGTCGGATATTAATATTTATTATAAATATTTTATTAACTTAGTACTTTGCAATCCCACTATTATAATAAGTCAATTAAATCTATTTGGCAGAACTCTTGGAGCAATCAAAGTCCAAAAGTAAAGTCCAGAACAAATCCAGCTCGACCCTATTTTCACATTGTAACTGAGTTGACTAGGCATATAAAGTTCAAAAGTGCCTACCCTGATGCTTGGACTGCCCCAATTTGTAATCATCATAGCCATATACATTGAACAAAAGGTCATGACAATATGAAACACAATATATTGATTGGTAGAGTAAGGCTGTAATTCAATTTATTCAATTAAGGCTTTGGCTTCATTCATTTGTTGAGTAGAAGTCATTTCGATTTCAATTTATTGATTTGAATTTTAATTTGATCTCTTCTTCTCATTCGATTTATCTAAAATTGCTAATGCTTGTTTGCTTTGTTCCTATGTAGCAAATATGATGTAAATCAAAGCAATAAAGTTTAAGATTCCATTAACAAACATCTAGACCTTCATGTTCTTTTCCGAATCATAGAATATATTGATATCAGCATTTGGATAACTGGATAATGCACTAAAAGTCTAGTAAGTTATATAACAAGAGATACACCCTGTTGCAAGTAGAGATCCAGAAGGATTGAATCCGAATAATTAAACTACTGTTAATAAGATGATTATTGCAATATTTATTAGGTTGATGATGTAATTATGATCGAACCAAATAAAGTTGTAGATATTTAGTATTAATGCTAATGTAAATGTTAATGAAGCTGCTGCTACCAAAGCTGATCCCATTCCTTCAATTCCGTCATCATACATTCTTGCCCACTTCTCAGCCCAAAGGTAGAAAATATCAATGTAGATAATTATTTAGAAGAGCTGATATATCCCTGAAGCAACGATACTAATGTCTACAAAGACTTCAAAGAATCGGTTTGGCATATAGAGTGTTCCATAAAAAAACACTGCTATGAATCTATTTATCATATAAATCATGTTTACATCAATTTCAGCAACCATAATCCATCGTTTATCATTTTAGCCAACCATCCTTTTTAACACATAAACAATAGTATTATGATATAAAATATTGTTAGAACAAAACTCATCCTATAGATGCCTGATATTCCCAAACATAGATTCGAAATTCCTTCTGGACATCCAAAATACTGTAGATAATTGATATAAAAATCTTAAATGTAGTACAAAGCAATCACAGTAAATGCCATGATTAAATAGTTTAAGAGTATGTAAGCTAATTTTATTTGCTCTTTTAGGGTTGTCTCAGCAAAGTACTTACAGCAGCAACAAGCAAGATTACAGATTTGTGTTCCTGCACAACACACAGCCTCACATGCAACAGTAAGACACATTACAATAATTATAATAAATAATTTTTCATATTCAATTCTATTCATATATAAGAGTACATTGTAAATATCATAATTCTATATCTATGATTAGTATTCAAAATATAATATAGGTATTGAATGCTTATTTAAATAACGATAAAATACTTTTATTATATATACATTTTTAATACACAATAATTCAGAAAAATATAAGATACAACCCAAATGCTACTATTATTGGTATTAGAATATGTCTTAACTCAATTTTTGGTTTTTCTACCTATTGATTTTATTTAGTTTATTCTTATTCTTGTTATGATCGTTAAGGAGAGGCAGCTATTTTATTGGGGGAGGTCGTATTTGATTCAGTTTTAATATCTGAACCTCTCCTTTTTGGTGTAGGTGATTGCTAAATGACTTTCTCATCAGTGTTTTCTAATTGAGATGCAAATTGTTATTCTTATTGTCTGCTCATTTTAATACCATATTGCTATTGTGATAAATGGAAAATACCGTGTTTAATGGGTTGATTTTGTTGGTGTTGATTAAGCGTAGCACATTATAGGATATGGAATTGACGATTCCATCAATTTAATCTTTGTCGTGATTGGAAATCTCATAAAACTTGGCATCTAAAGAATCAGCAAGATTTCTGCCTTATGATGTTTGTACTTGTCTAATTTGTTAAATTACACTTTACCTTTGATCTTCTAGATCTTTATTTGTTGCTACAATAACGATTTGAATCTTATCAGAGGAGACTTATTTAAGAATGCTTATCCAATTTTCTAAGGATTTGAATGAGGCTTCACTATTTATTTTGTAGAAAACGATAGCAGCAGCTGCACTAATTGATTATATAAGGATGAATAATTACTTTTAACAAAATGTTTTCTATATTGCCATAAATTGAGAGCTTCCAGACTAATTAAATAGTAAAAGTTACAGTATCCCATAATTGATTTTGAACAACAACGCCATCGTTGAATTCGATAGATTTGCTTTCAAATTCCAAACCGATTGTAGGCTCATACTCCTAAATGAATTTGCCCTTCACATATTAAGACAAGAAGCAAGATTTGCCAACTCCTAAGAATAATAGATAACTGCAACCTGTGTCTCCAATCAATACAAATTTAAAGAGATATTAATAATCTTCAAAATTCATAATTTTAATAATAGTAATATATTAAGTGATTCATTACTAAATGCAATTAGCTAAAAGTAATTGAGTTATAATAAGTTTCCACAGTTCATCCGGATGCAATCGAAAAAGAGAAAATCAATCCTTATTCAAACCAGGGAAGCGAATAATAAAGATATCCGAGGGAGTAGTTAGTTGAAAATGAAAAAAACTTGAATTTAGGAGGATCTTATCAAAATTATATCTATAATTGTGGAGAATGTTGTGGAAATTGCTCAGCAATTTGTCCATGCAATCCCTTTGTAGAATATCCATACAAAAAGATAGAACAAGGTTATGTAGGAGTGTACTTAAGATTCGGAAAGTATGTGAAAACAAGTATTGGAATAGAACATATCTTAGTGCCTCCAGGTTTATAGTATTTTAATCCATGCACTGATAAATTGATCAAAATTGATTGTAGAACTTAGATGATAGACTGTGAGAAACAATAGGTGATTACAAAAGACAACATCCTCTTATAAGTGGATGCATCTGTATATTACAGAGTATTGGAACCAAAGAAGGCTATATTTTATATTTATGATATGCAAATGGCTGTTGCTTAAATCACATTGGCATCAATAAAATGTGTAATTGGTGCATATACCTTACAGGATGTATTGGAAAAAAGAACTGAAATTTAAGATTATATTTAACAGTTTGTTGATGATCATGTAGATGATTGGGGAATAGATATTGAATTAATGATGATTAAAGATATTTAAATAGATGATAGAATTAAATCTGCATTAGCATAAGCAGCAACTGAACTTAGGTATGGACATTCCTTAAATTTCAAGGGCTGCATAAGCCAAAATTTTAATCGCTGAATCTAATGTTTAGTCTGCCAAATTGATGAAAGAAGCTGCTGAACTCCTAAGTGCTAAAGCAGCTATGCAAATTAGATACTTAGATGTTATTAATAAAATAGGTTGTGAACAACAGACAAAAGTTATGATAATATGATACAACAATAATTCAATCATCTTTGAACACACTGATGAAAGTATCTTTCCTAACAGTAACTCTTCCAACTTCTCTCATCCTCTTCTTCCCCTCCTTCTATCTATCCAATAACTTCTTCTTTCTGGTATAATCCCCTCCATAACACTTCGCAGTCACATTTTTCCCTGTGCTTCCTATCTTCTCTGCTGCTATCACTTTGCCCCCAACCTTAGCTTAAATTGATACCACAAATAAATGTTAAGGTATATTGTCCTTCAATCTTTAACAAATCTTCTTTCCCAATTGATGAGCCCTTTCTTCTGGTACCATAAATGACAATGCATCCACTGGATCATCCATTAAATGAATTACTAATTTAACGATGTTCGCTTTTTCAAATCCACAGAATTCGTATTCCAATGACCCATACCCTTTGGTTGCACTCTTTATTTTATCAAACAAATCCTAGATGATCTCATTCAAAGGGAATTTAAAAGTGTATCTATCTTATTTATCATACTTCTCTTAATCCACCAATCTGCCATTTCTAGCATCACACAATTAGAATATCGTGGCACTATACTCTTCTGGACACATTATAGTAGCAATTGCCATAGGCTGTTCGTAATGTTTGATGACTGCTGCATCTGGTGCCATGATTGCATTTTCAACCATCACCTCTTTCCCATTCCTCAATATTGCTTTATAAGGAACACTTGGAGATGTCAATAAGACACTTAAATTATATTCATTCTCCAATCTCTCTCTAAAAACATCCATATGTAAAACTCCAAGAAAACCACAACGATATCCATTTCCCAAAGCTGCTGAACTCTCCTTCTGAATTATTACAGCTGGATCAGTCAATGCCAGCTTGAATATTGATTTATTTAATTCAGCATAGTCATCTGGGTCTTCAGGATAAATGCCACAATAAACCAAAGGCTTCACTTACTCAAAACCAGTTTCAGGCAAAGTCTTAGATAGAGGATGTCTGAATGTGTCTCCTATTCTGGCCTCATTAGCTGCCTTCATATTCGTCATCACATAACCTACCTAACCTGGTTCCAACTTCTCCTGAGGAACATTCTCTGGACTTTGAATCCCTACCTAATTTAATAAACTTGACTACTTCAAAAACATCATATTTCTTTTTGAATGCACAAGATAATATCTAATCTCCCTTCTTTAAATACCCTCCTTTCATTAATATCAATAACACAACTCCTTTGTCCCTAGCATACCAACTGTCAATCAAAAAACATTTCAATTCCTTATGATCCTATGGAGGAGGTATCAATGTAACTATGTTATTTAACAACTCTGTAACTCCTGTTCCTTTCTTAGCAGATACCTTAAATATCTCATTAGGATTCATATCGAATTTTTCAACTAGTTATTATATAACACTCTCAGTATTTGCAGATGTCATGTCTATTTTATTAATAACGGGTATAATCTTTAAATTCTACTTCTTTGCCAAAATGTAATTAGATAGTGTTTATGCTTATATTCCTTGAGTTGCATCAATCAATAAGATTGCACCTTCACATGCTCTCATTGAACGTGATACTTCATATGTAAAATCGACATGTCCAGGAGTGTCAATCAAATTATACAAATACTACTATCTTGATGTATATTACTTCTATTCCATCAACTTTATAAAACATAGCTGCTGATTATGCTTTAACAGTGATTCCTCTTTCTTTTTCAACCTCCAATTTATCCAAATATTACTCATGTTTCCCTTTACTAATCGTCCCTGTGATTTCGAGGAATCGATCTGCCAAAGTAGATTTTCCATGATCTATATGAGCTATGATACAAAAATTCCGAATCTTATCTATGCTTATTTGATATTTAGATAAGAGATGAAAGGAAGTAATTGAATTTTTAAAAATATATTTTAACATCACAATTAAATTATACACAACACTCAATTTTGATCCTTTTTATTTGGTTTATTCAATAATTGTGATCTTAATTCCCTTGCTAACTTCTTCCTATCATTTGTTTAATAATGATAAGATTTGATATCACTACAATTACATCAACATTTACCAAAAATCATCAAAATATAAAGAATCTATTATACAAAACGTTGTACCAAGTATAAAGAATACACCCCAACTCCTACCCAATAATTTCAATTTCATCTCTTTCAAACTTAAATTTATCTTTTTCAGTTGCATAGCCTCATAAGTGTAAGCAGCCATAAATGTCATAGGCAATGTACAATTACTGTATCCTTTAAATTGCTCCAACAAATTGGTAATTCTCTGTACTTGAAAAAACCCCAAGCATTATTATAATTATTTAATATCTCCTCTAAAGTAAAAATCTTTCTGCCTTGTCTATCAATTGTAGGAATATCGATGGCTTTATCTGCCAATTATTAAAATTTCTCTTTCTTTTCCTCATCTGTCAATGGATTAGCTTCTTGTCTCTATTTTATTGTATCTTACAACCAACTTAATCTACTCTATGTTAATCCTAATTAATCCAATTTTTGTTATGCATTCTAAATTTTCTAATCTAATTCTTCTGCAAATTCTCGTTCTTCTTCAGTCATAGGTTCCTCCTGCTATTCATGATTCTTGCCTTCAGAATTTTTGTTGTTCATTGAGTAAAAGTTATTGTATATTAATACAAAATTATAATATATATAAATAAAAAATCAAAATTATTGTTGTTTACATTTTAAGTATTTAGATTTCCAATATTATATTTCTTATATTAATACATCCTTTTCAATGTCATTTTATTTCAGTTTTGCTTGATATTTTAACAAAATCTATTTAGTTTTATCGACAATTGCTTATAGGTTTTCATCGATTTTAATTTTCTGTTCAATTGATGCTATTGGATTCTAATGTATTTATGTTGTTGTTGAATTTGGATTCACTAATTGTCCTGATGAATTATTAGAGAAATTGCATTTGTTTCTTTGCTTTAATCTTAAATCAATGAATTCGGCTTCTATAGATTGCTTTTATGAATAAGATTCTGAATGTTGAAGAGTTTATCTTTTTGGCTTTATTTCCTTTTAATCTTTTTCATTAAGTTTTTCAAAAAGTGCGATCAAAGTGCTTCTTTCAGTATTTTAAATGGGTAATTACTCAGCTTAAATTTCATCAATAGATCGAACAAAATTTCCGAATTGCTTTTGCATATCAAAATTGTTATTTGCTAAGAATTCGTTATACTTATTGATGTCTTTATGTTTATTGGGTTTGAGTAACTTCAAAGCGTTGCACTTGAGAGTTTTGAGAGAATCATTATTATCAGTTGTATGATTGTATTTCAACATAGAACCCTTCGATTTTTGCTACAAAGAGGCAGATACGAAATATTATTGCTTAAGTGAGTTGGTTGGCGAAACTTTAAATATCTTATGTGATTCACTATTCTTTCCCAAAATGTTGAACAGTTTCTTCTTCATCTGATTACAATCTTATTTGTTCTAAATTAAAACAAATGTACTTCTTGTTTGGGATGGTCCTAACCCTTAGAAGATTGGGGTTGACTATGAATTTAGTGAGAATTCGACATAGTATCCTTAATAGAGAGCTTGGATTTTAAGTTCTACGACTTTGAGATTGTTGTTTATTTAGAATACATAATATTTATTTTATTGTATATATTCTAATTGATATTTTGATATGCACAAATGATTTGATTTCAACTCACAAAAGGAAGGAAATAAACTATTGAATGCATTATTGATGGATGCAAATCGAGTATTTTATATATATATAAAATTTTAAATATTGTGAAAATGATCAATTATTCAATAACTCTTTCTCTTTGGATTTATATAATGAATCCAAAGATTGTGTTTACTTTTCAAATAAATCTTGGATTTGTTTTTCAGCCTGTCTCATAGTATCTTCGGATGTGACTTTTTTATAAGGTTTTAACTTGGGTTAAATAATTGTTTACATCATCTATGCATTCATGTCTAATTTGTCTAAGACTTTATTTAGCATCTTCCATCAATTTCTTCAAATTATTGACTGCTATTATTCTACTCTCCTTTGTATTGCCTTAAGCTAATTGACATACTATTTGTTTGTCTTGTTTCTTAACTTACAAATTAAGGTCTGAATTTTCTAAAGCCTATGAATGAAATTATGCATACCTTCATTACATCCATGATTGTAGATTCATCAAATACATTTAGAATCAAAACTCCTTACGATTTTTGAGATGCCTAAGCCAGAGAAGACAAGGGCAATTTTTCACCATAAGCTTAAATTGATACTCTGTCCAGCATTTCTGGTGTTAGTTTGCCCACTTACAACTTCTTTAGTGCCTCCTAAAATTTCTGGGCATATTGATCAAACTTGGATTGATAGGTTGTAAAATCAATTGTTTTTGAAAGTCCAAGATTTTATTTCTCTTGCTTTTTATCCATCCTTTCCTGATCCTTCTTGCTGATCTTCGCAAAATTATATTAAAATTATCTTTGAAAACAACGTTACTGCATTATAACAGGTCGGAATGCTGTTGCGAATAATTTTATCATAAGTTATTAATAATTTCTTTTTGTTAATATTATGGCATCAAAAGAAAAACACACTTTTTATTAAGAGCCTAGTTTTTAATTCTTCGTCAAGAAAGGCCTAATAAAATAGAACAATAGAGGATAGGTCTTTCCTATTTTCACATATCGTGTTAATAGTCAACCGTCCCAATCAAAATATATTGAACTTAAAGTATTTCCCTCAAAGATTGCAAAGAGATCAAAATTCCAATAAGATAGTCCATCTCCTTTTGTGATTACAAATATACCAAAAAAAAATACGGTTTACCAGTCATACATTGACAACATAGTTAAGAGAAAATTGAAGGATAAACCAGAAAGTCCTAAGAAATACTGCAATTCTATACATGAAATTTAGGGGAAACAAATTGAAACTGTAAAAGACTGTTTCCTTCCCAAACTCCAATGTCTAAATAGCAAACCGTAGAGGTTGAAGTATCGTCATTCGTTGCCAAAACAAGATATCTATACTGAACCTAATCCTGAGCAAGATCCTTCAGATAGATTGTAACCATGGGATTCAAGTTAAAAATCATTTACTCTCTAATGAAATTCATAATATTTTTAAAGAGTTACTATTTATAATTTCGATTAACAATTCAAATTAAGAGTATGTGTAAATATGGAAATTGTGATTTACTGATTAAATTGGATCGGAAAAGAAATACATGACATATTTTTAAAATATGACTCAGAAATGGTATTTTTTATGTCAATTATAATTTTTATTATATATGAATATGCAATACATGTATTACTAATCTTATGATGCTCTATTTTAACAATTCTAAAAAAATGGGAAAATAACAAGGGCTGATTTGAGATCCATATTGTAGGCTATTAATTACAATGAAATGTAAATAAATAATGTGTTATCCAAAGTGAATGATGATGAAATAAGTAAAAGTAATTAAGTATATAGCTTAAAATTAGTTTATGCGTAGTATCGTGGTTCAAAATATCCCCACTTACAGATTCCCTACTCAAATCCCACAACTCATACCTTAGCAAGTAGATTAAAATTAGAATCAGCAAAAAATTACTTAAGATTAACAATAATAAATTTACGAGGAATTCAAAACCATCTTAAAAGGATAAGAATATGATAAAGCCGTGAATTTTCTATGTAAAAGAATATACGAATATCATTAGAATAATACAAGGATATGGATTTGGTGAATGTAGTTGATTAGCAGAGCAAATAGATTTGTTCCTATATCGTAGTGTAATTTGATAATGAAGGATTGGCATTGAAATTTCTGTCTCTATTGACAGATTTTAGAGTGAATTTAAATTTCAAGGATTCCTTAAAACAGTCAATATTATTTTACATATGCAGAGATGGTAAACTGAAATTGCTTGATTTCGTATTGTCTTAGAATGCAGTCAACATAAATGATCAAGATTAATATGGATAAACTCCTTTATTTTATGCAGCCAGGGACAACAAAGTAGATATTGTTACAAGGTACGTCTCATGTATTAGAATAGACTTGTTTAAGTTGGAGCCAATGTCAATTTAGTGGACACTCTCTCAAATCAAACAGCATTATTCTATTCAGCCAGAGAAGGGAATGCTGAAATCTGTAAAATTCTAATTGATGTAAGATCATAGACTATATAGAACGGTTGCAATCCAAATCATCAAGATCAACATAAAAAGACAGCCTAATTCTTTGCCAAGAGATTTTAGAGGAAGGAAGTGATGGAACTGTTCAACTCATATTTTGGAAAAAATAAAGATGATTTTAAACAAAACTCTAATTAAAACAATGAAAATAGCAAGGGAGAACAACCAAAATAATAGAAGAAGAAAAATAAGGATTTGCCAAAGTAAGCATATAAATTAATGTTTACTGATGAATATGGTAATCTTCAAGAAGTTACGTCTTCGGAATTTTCTAAATTTTAATAGTAATACCCATAAATAGCTAATCTAATAATTAATGCAGATGAATTAATAGATGACAATGTTTTGAACTCTATGAAGGACGATGAACTTTGGGAAAAAGTAGCTAAAAAGGTGTTGTAAATATTATGGAAAGCGAAAGGAGCATAATTATTTCATAATCCTGTGGATGAGAAAAAGTATGGCATCAATGATTACTATGACATTGTTAAAAGACCCATGGATTTTGGAACTGTTAAGGTATTTAATCATATATAAAAATTAATAGCAAAAACTAAATGCAAATCAATATAAAAATTGTAAAGAATTCTATCATGATATCATGTTGGTGTTTGATAATTGTATATTATATAATGGATCAGAAAATGATATTGGCTAGGTTGGACTTGCATTAAAATAAGAGTTCTTAAATTAAATTGAGTAGACTGGTCTAAAAAAACATTTAATATGATATATTATATGAAAAATATCTAATCAATTTAAGGTCATATGTATTAGATTCTCTCATCAAATCCAACTACTAGAAGGAAATATCTACATAATTTACAAAGACATTTTCTGAAAAATGACTTTTAAGGATATGAATTCATTTGAATATCTGAGTTAACTTAAATAGACTAATCAAACTTATATTGATATTAAAGAAAGATAATCCAAGTTGTATATTATATCACTTTAATAACATTCTAAAAAATTAATTTATTATAATTACAAATAAAGTCATAATTTTAATTTACAATTATTTTTACTATCTTAAAAAGACATTTAAGTTTAATAAAAATACAATCGATATCAAAGTAAAAGAAATATCTAAATATTTGTAATTCTTAGAAGCATTAGAAAGTATAATTCATCAAATCTTTTTTGAATTAAATTAGTGAAATGTGGGTTGCTAAAAAAGGAAAAACCACACTTCATACTTTATATAAGCAACAATATCAAAGGAAGATCAGCCTTCAAAGTTGAAAACATAATTATTGGAGTATTGATAATTATGGAAGAAGGAAGGTTGATAAATCATATATAACTTACATTCAGTTGATTTCAAAAAAAATGGATTAATATGGTACGTCCAGTAATTAACCTTAAACTGATTTTTCGGAGATTGTTTCAACTAATGATTCTTGTACAAATTTGTTTTTAGGATAAGAATTACGAATGATTTGATATATATATATATATATAATATAAATATAATCATCGATAATTAGTAATAATAAATGAAGAGGAGTTTAAAACAGCAACAGCAGCTCTAATTAAAATAACTATATTGCAAATAGAAACTTAATGTCTAAACTGAAGTTGATGACACACGAAACACAAAGCAAGTAAGTAAATATTATCAAGTTTAGATTTCTTTAAATTATTCTCCTTTAAATAAGATAGATCAAAGTGTATTTACCAATAGGTGGAAAATCAACAAAGGGTTATTGGGTAACAGAACAAACAGGATGTTGACACAACAATAATCAGATTCAGAGAATGAATTCCCAAATCAATTGAAATTAATTTAACTAGCTCAAAAAAGCTAGATATAAACAAAACGATCTATATCGACTAAAAGAAATAATAGTATTGGAGATTACAATTAAACTCCTAATAATTAAAATAGACAATCGTTATATACAAGTCAAAAATAAAGATCGTATTCTATTCAACAATAATAATAACAACAAAGATAGCAACAGTAATCTCTATTTTAGTCTATTGGAGTCAATAAGAATCAAATAATTGATGCCAAGTCGTTTGTTTAGTAATTTGAGTTAACGATGGAAGAATGGGATAAATTTGGAAATAGGTTCCCTTTAGGATTTTAAAGGGAGAAACTGTTGGGAAGAGGAGGTTTTTCATTGATTTGGTTAGCTAAAGAATAGAAGGGAGGTGCTCTATGTGCTGTTAAATAGATCCCAAGGAAATCTAAACATGAAACTCATTTTAAAGAATTAGCATTTTGCACTTAGTTTTTTAATAAAGGAGGTTAAATAAAGAGTCCATATTAGTAAAATGATGGAATTAAATACTTATGCAAGATGTTAGATTATGTTATTGATCCTCACGACGTATTTATAATGTATGAAGTTTGTGGATATTCATTGGGAACTTAATTGTATGACTTTGAATCCCTCAATAATAGTTATAAGGTATAATAAGAATACATGGTAGTTAATTCCATAGAAATTAAGTTTGCTCTTTAAGTAGTTTCCTGTCTTTTTATTCAAGTTTATAAAAAGAATCACCTAAACTATAGAATTGTTAGTCAAAACTGGTTGGGTCCATAGTGATATTAAAAGTGAAAACATCCTCATCTCTTACGGATCACAAGATGTCGACTTTAAAATAATAGATTATGGTTCATCTTTCAAATTTGCTGAAGTCTTTGAAAAGTTTTCGATGGCAACCCCTGAGTATATGTCCCCAGAGATGTTAACGTTCATACTTCGAGAGAATTAGATGTCTTACGATAATCAGTTAATTGAATCCCTTGTCAATTATGATAAGTCGTGGGTTATAGATATATGGGGATTAGGTTGTGTTGTCTTGGAAATCATATCAGGATTGCCTTTATGGATGAGTTATGACACATAAGTAATCAATTATAAAGGTCAGAAAGTCATGGCTTAAGGACTCTTTGCTGTTTCTGGTAGGAGTTTTAGTAAAATCGTTGAAAAATAAATTAAGATACTGACTAATCTAGAATTTGTATTGCGAGAATAAAATTATTCTGGTATTCAAGTTACTCCTTTATTAACTTAATTATTAAAAGGAATGTTAGCTATCAATCCGAAATAAAGATATTCACCTTAATAAATATTGAATTTACTTTAAGATATTTGATTCATTTTTGCAATAATACACATATCAATTAACTTTTATAATTTATACTTTTCTTTATTAAACTATAGTCAATTAGGATATATTTGCCACTGAATATTTCAACTAAATTTATATTAAAATATAAGTACAATTCTGATTTTTTATTAAATCTTATTATTTCATTACAGAAATTCAGAAATTCTAGAATTACAATTACATCAGATACTTGATGTAATGCTAAAAGCACATCAACTATAAATAGTTCATTAATAAATTATTTCTAAATATAATACAATATTATCGATTCTTTGATAAATTAGATCTATTTGATATATGAAAGTCATAAATCTCTATGATTATATGGCACTTATGTTTAATATTTATAAATCAAGCTAAAATTCAGATGTCTTCTAACAGTTAGATGTATAAGTTATTGAAATTTATATTATTAAAATAAAAATCAAATATGGCTGCACCTGACTATGATTCTTTTCGAAAGATTAAAGTGCTTGGAGAGGGCGCTTTTGGTAAAGCTCTATTAGTCGAGGATATTCGAGATGGGTACTACATTTATTTTACTCTTAGGACTTATTGGGTTAAGAAATAAATAGATATCAGTTCAATGCCCTAAAAAGAAAAGGAAGAAACAATTAAAGAAGCTAAAATACTATAATGTTTAGATCATCCAAATATAGTTAAGTTTAAAGATGTATTCGCAACTAAGTAAGGTAAATTATGTATTGTAATGGAATATGCTGATGGTAATCAATAATTTTATAGCTAGGTGGTGACTTAGAAAAGAAAATCAAAAGTTAATAAGGTAAACACTTCACTGAATCATAAATACTGGATTGGTTCACATAAATTTGTTTGGCACTGAAACATGTTCATGATAGGAAAATTATTCACAGAGACTTGAAAGGATAAAATATATTTCTGAATAAAGCCAATAGAGTAAAGCTAGGAGATTTTGGTATTGCAAAGATTTTGGGAAATACTTTAGAAAAAGCAAAGACTCAAGTAGGAACTCCTTATTATTTATCTCCAGAGATAATTGAATCAAAGCCTTACTCTTAGGCGGTAAATTATATCAGTAATTTAGAGCGACATTTGGTCTCTAGGGGCAATTTTATATGAATTGTGTGCTTTGAAACCACCTTTTACTGCAGATAGTTTGCATTTCTTAGCTTTAAAAATTATTAAAGGACAATTTGTACAAATTCCAAGCACCTTTTCAAAAGAAATGAATAATTTGGTTAAATTATTATTACAAACATAACCATCAAAAAGACCAAATATAAATTAAATTTTAAGTAAATAAATTTTAATTAATTTCAGAAATGCCAATAATTAGTGCGAGAATGAAGGAGTTCCTGACTGAAAGTTAATAAAAGGTTGAATTTGCTCATACTATTTTGCATAAATAAGTAAATTATAATAAAAAAAAATAAATAGAAAATTAACTGTTTAGCTAAATTGTCAGATTTAAAGCTTATTGATGAAGATAATCTTAGACCACCTCCTAATCTATTAAGTAAGTAAAATAGTAGCTAATCATCATCATCATTGCAATAACAACAACCATAATAATAATAATAATAACAATAATAACAATAATAATAATAATAATAATAACAATAATAACCTGTTCTAAAACAATAATAATATGTACCTTAATATTAGTTTATTTCAAAATAAGCTCATAACTAATAATAATAATAATAATAATAATAATAATAACAACAACAATAATAATAATAATAAGTTCAATAATAAAAAGTATAATAAGTCTAATAATAACAAAAATAACAAAGCAATTAAATATAATAATAATAATAGAATAAAAACAATTAAGGTAGATAAGAAAAACCATTAGTTTAATAGCATGTTATATAATAACCAAAATAATATGCATAATAACCAAGACGCGAATAATAAAAGCCAAATACAGCTGTATAGCCATAAAAACAAAGGAATAACAGCAAGAATAAATTAGTAGACTTAGAAAAATAAGAATAAGAAAGAAAAAGAATGTAGTAAATTAAATTAGAAGCCGATATTAAAAGAAAAGAGGAAGAAAAGAAAAAATTACTAAAAATACAATAAGAAGAGGAAGCAAAAAAAAGAATTAAAGAAGATCAAAAAAAGAAGAGAGAATAATAATAAAAAGAGATGAGAGAAGATCTCCAAAAAAGAAGATAATAATTATAATAATAAAGCTAACCAGATCTTGAAAGTGAACCGAAATATATTGTTAGACAAACAATCTCATAACCAGAAAATTTGGATGATATATTGGAAGAATATAATAGTGAAGAAGAAACTTATGAGGCTGAAGGTTAATCGAGTAATAAAAAACAATTCTAAGATGCGGAACTTGAGGATCAAGACGAACCAAATATGGATTATGGATTAGTATAACAGGAAAATGATGCTGAAATGGATGCATTATAATAAGCAATCTTATGTAAGGAGTATGAGAAAGTGGTATGTAGAATACATTAATTATTAGCTTGAGGAAGTGTAAGAAACTAATAATATTGTGAATCAATTATAAGATCCATAATTTGAAAAAAAAAGATAATAGATACTAGAATAATTTGATCTTGGGGATGGTCTAGATTTTGATGATTTAGAAGATGATGATGATGAAGACGATTTAAATCTAACAAAAACTGCTAAAACAACTAACTAAGATGTCGGACTGGATTACTTTAATAATCCATAAGGCTTAAGATTATATTTATAGCAAGTGCTTAGCAAAGAAGCATTTGAAAAAATCTATAATTACACTTTAAAGTAAACATTACATATAATCTTAGTGATCTTTTGACATATTAAGTAGAAGAAATTGAAAAAATGATTAGCAATAACAAAAGTTTGTTACAATACATAACACACGAAGAAACAAAAAAGTTTATACCTTTGATGTTGTAATTAGTAGTATAGGAAAATAGTTAATGATTGTAAATTGAAAATTCATTCTAATATAAAACAATTCTAATTTATTTTAATTTTACAATTATAATACTGTTCTCCATAAATTGATGTTCATTGATAAATCTTTAAACAATAATAATTTTATATAATACATAAATAATGGGGGCTGTCATCCATTCTAGTGAATTGAAATCATCGATTGAATATTTAGAAGAGGATAATACAATTACAGTTAATGTACCTAATACATTCTAATATTATCCTAAACTCTGTTAGAAATCCTACGATGATAAAATTGATGACATAAATTTAGGAATTAATGAATTAGAAGTTAATAAGTAGTGTTTTATATTCTTTTAAACCACCATAAAGGAAGAGTAACTCAATGATATTGATGATAGCAGAGAAACTCCTTCTTGGAATAATCCACAAATTTCTAAAATGCCAGATTATACTAAAAATCCTAGAATGAAATCACCACAAAAAAAATCTAAATCGAAAAAAAAATAAAGAAGCAGAATTTCTTAAAGAATAAATTTGGAAGACATATTTTGAAATAATCGTTTAAATGTACATAGCATATTTATTGATATTCAAATAAAATACCTTTTATTATAATTTTCATCAGTTTTTAATTCTTATCTCTGTGTTCTTAAAATAAAGATAATTCCATAATAATTAAATTAAATCAATTTAATTACAAATACAATAATCACTTCTAATAATTTTGGTTCTTAATCACTGTAAAGGTCTCTATATTCAAACTTATTAAAACTAAAAGAAAATCAAGTGAATAAAGTTAGCAATTATTCTCAATAAGTTATCAACAACATCTGATATTGACTCATCAATTTATTATTATTTATTTTAACTCAAATACCAATAGTGCTTTTAATGAAAATTATATGCGATTTTAGAGCCTAAACCTATTTTTTCAATCAACTAACTCCAGATTCTATAACTAATTTATAGGCCATAAAATGTTTCTTAATAGCCATCAAATTAAATTAAATTGCGCTTTCTCTATTATTAAATAGATAATTTCACATAATGCCTTTCTACTTCATTTCTGGCAATAGCTTCTTAATAAAATAGAAATTTTTTTTGTTATTATATCTATTAAAAAGGCAATATTATATTATTATATTCTAATATCCATTCGTAATATTAAGCCTATTTTTTAACCATTAAGCCAATATTGATTCAAGTTAAACGATCATAAAATGAGATAATGAAAATTTGTAACATTTTTAAATTAATATACTAATAAATATTTCTGATAAAAAATTAAAAAACAACTTTTAGATAGAAACATGAAGAATATTATTACTTAAATAAAGATCAATTAAATTGAGTTAAAAGTTTAATAACAAAATTTTAACCAAATAAAATATTATTTGATAATTAAAATTAGTATTACTAAATAGCATCCATATTTTAAGCAATATAGATATCCAAATAGACTATTTTAATTAGCTTTAATTTATTGAGCATTTAAAATAATTATGTATTATTTATATCAATTCTAACTTGTTATTTGTAAATTTGTACAAAATTTCATATACCCACAAAATATATATTGCTTAAAACTTTAAATCATTGAAGTTCAAGAAAAGATACTAAAAGCAAGAATACTTAAAAGATTGGGTTGACTATTTCACATATTAAAGAACTTAAAATTCAATTATTATTAATAAATGATCTTTTTATCTTGTCTTTTTATAACATTATATGGTCAGGCATTATATCCCTTTTATAATGTATACCTAACTTAGGGAGAAACTTACTCCCTACCTTTGAAAGAATTATTTAAGGAATAGATACTAAACTTCACTATTCAGGATTGTCCTGACAACGTTCAATTATTTAATGCCTTAAATTTATTATCTGAATAGAATAATAGTATTATTAGATATTTTATTTAGATGAAACATTTATTTCAATATCCTCCTCATTTCCATACTACTTACTAATTACTTAAAATAATGGATTAAATTTGTATTATTGGAATTAAACCTATTTAAATCTCATTAATTAGATGGTATTGCCACAATAAAAATGTTTGAATGCTTTATTAACTTAAGAAAATTCTATAATAATAGACTGCTACAATTTGACTAATTTAAATATTTATAATTATCAAGAGAATGCTTGGACTATTGTTTACTCCGAATTAATTCAATAAATGCCAAAAAATACAGACTTTAAAACATTTACTAGTAATTCAATTAACTTTATTCTTTATGCATAATATTACGATGACTATGAAATTTTAACCCAGTTTCAATTTAATCAAAATTTATTCTAAAATATTTCTATTTGGATATAACCATTTATTGATTTTATAGTTTCTAATAAATCATATTCTCAAAATGCAATATATTTATGGAATGATTCTACTTTATATCAATTAAATGCTAATTAATAAGGGTTGAATCTTCAAACCTATATCTTTCAATATGTTGAAATCTTGGCAGTTTAAATACTTTACCCATAAAAAATGTTCTACTAATGTGATACTTTATTAATAATCTTCATAGAATAGATCATTACAAGCCAAATATGTTATAATTCCTAGGGTTAGAACTCTATTGCTTCTAAAATGCTTTTATATTTAAACTAAATCTCTTCAGCTTACTTAAGTGATGAGTTTTTAATTTTATAATAATTTGATATAATAGAGATTTATGAAATGAAGATATTAGATGAAAATATAAAATTAAAGTTAATTGGAGGGCTTAAATTAAATTCTCCGTTTTCTTAAGTTTCCTTTGATTATAATAGCAATTAGTTATTTATATTTAGTGACACTTAGATTGTGACTTACTTAGTAGATTATCCTAATATAAATTTCAAATCTATTTAGAAATAGTAAAATTATCAATTTATTATACAAGGAAGTCCATATTTGATAAATTACACTGATGCTTATAAATGTTCAAATTGTACTGTGTAGTTAAATGTTAGTGTTCTCTCAATTAATGATGACAACATATATTTAACTCGTGAGATTAGCAATTAAAATGTATATACTTTTTCAAGTTAACATTGGCTATAATTCTTCCTACAATTCTCAGGATCCCTCATAACTGCAAATTTCTCAGTAGAAAAATCAAACCTTGGGAACTTTTATGATACAACATTGTTTAAAGTATGCTTCATAAATTAATCATTCCAAAATTTACAAATTTTAAGTAAGAATTATGCTGTTGGAATAATAAATAACAATAATAACAGCAATATTGTTTTAATAAATCAATGGAATAAATGTCATTATTAGAGATTGTAGAATTTTACAATTAGTTCTAAAATAAATATTAAGAATAATCAAATTTAAGGCTATTAATTAGATTAAGGTCAGCTGTTTTTTGGAATTTAAATAAACAGTAAACAATTATATATAAATAACAATAGTTATTATAATTAAAAAGGACCTTAGATTCTTAATTTTTAACCCTTTTAATAATTCTATATGCTATATTAATAAATTGTACTTCTGCTTGAATCAAATATAATATAAATATGTAGTTAAACTGGAGATTGCACAAATTTATAAATGAATAATAATATAAATCCAGTTGGTATAGCATTAAATTAACAATTATGTTCATCAACTTTATTTATTAATAACGATTATCGTAACATTATTGTTGGTTAAATAACATCATCAAATACTTATATTATATTCAGCTAAATAGAGGTTTAAATTAAAGTTAAGGATATGAAAATTGTAAATAATCGGTTGATATTAAACTATTATTGTTAATAGAATTAATTTATTTGTTTTAAATTTGGAATGTTGCAAATTTGAACTCCCCATATTTTGAAAAGAATTTAAGAAGTATTTAGAACTCAAATAATATTCAGTTATTTGCTGATAATCTATTTTATTATGTTCAGACTAACAAATAAATCTATGTTTATAATCCAGTTATTCTTGAGCATTCATCATTATTCTATACTTTTTAATATAACGGATCCTATTTTTCTTCTACTACTATTTAAGATATGGCTTTGATATCATTCAATTCTTAATTTTACTTGTTAAATCCAAGTTTAGTATACTCTTATCAAAATACAATACAGAATACAATAACAAATGATGTATCACTTTGGTATAATACATATAATGCCTCAGTTTCAAGTTAAATTGGAACTCAAAATGTTATTGATTATCCCCCAAATCAAAAAATTATCATCTTTAATGATTTTTTAAATATTTCATTGAATAAAAAACAATATCATGTTTAAACAAATAATGTCACATTAACATAAGATAATATAACTTTTAGTGGATAAGTTGGATGGTTTTAAATACAATGCAATGGGAAGTCCAAAGTCCAAGTTATCAATACTTTGAATCCAGTGGGTTTGGCTGAAAATGTGATTGCTGTGTTTAATTAATAAATTTTGGTCATGTACGGTATCAGTTAATTGTCTTTTCAAATTTTAAACATAACTTCATAAGGAAAATTGAAAAAAGTATCACCCTAATAAAATTTTAGCCAAAATTGTTCCAAAGAATTTGCCTAGATGAATGCTTACTATATATTTTTATTTTGCCATGACTATAATTCTTAACATTATTATGACTTATTTAGGATCTAAATACTAAACTAATCTTTTGGTGAAATGACCTACTTGACTAAAATTTATAGATACTTTGTGTAAAATACAATTCTATTAGACGATATACTCTATATTTATTATTCTTACAATATTACAATTTATGATATAAATTTGAATATTTCTCATAGTATCCAAACAAAATGCAATATGATTAGTTTTCAGCCCTTTGTTTATAAGAATTCTAATTACTCTTTTTATGCCTATATCTATATATGCAAAGATGATAAGAAATTGTTTTATCAATTAGGAAATCGTTATTTACAAGAATAAATTTAGTTTACTTCAGTTTAGTATATATAAATTAAAGATTACTTCTATTTAGATCTTTATATTGTAGGAATTCTTATAGTTTCATAATAACAATACCAGTTTGCAATAATGTGCTTTACCAATTAGTTTAGCTTTATTATCAGTCTTAACTATACGATTAATGAAACCAATTTTTCTCAATCTACTCTCTTATTCAAAAGATTATTGTTTTATTCTCCTACATAAACGGCTAACATATTATCTTATTTTAAATCGGCAGTGATTTCTAGTGGTTTAGTGTGTGTATGGTATTAGAGTTATTGGGGTAATTTGGGTTATTATAGTTATTTTGTTCTTTACAATGTTTCTAATTTATAATTTATTTAAGGAAATTTGGAAAACCCAATTTTACCATCTGGCATATTTAGTATGTAATATTAACTAGGTCAATATCAATATAGAATTTTAACATTTAATAGTTCGTATGGATTCATATTTAATTTATAATATCCCAATTATTTAATTAGTAGCTTGGAAATTAAAATCTATTTTTCAGGCAACACAAATCAATGCAATTTAACTGCATATAATTTAGTGAATAATGTGACTGCTAATTATACTTTTAAGTTTGATGAATAAATAAATTTTGGATTTGAATTTGCATTGTTATCACTTCTGATAATAGTTTTCATATCAGCAGTAGTTTATTTATGGTTTAAGACGAAAGATTAGAAAGAATAATTTGGGTTAGAAGAATTTGAAGGATTAGAGATTGATACATTCTAATGATAATTTAGTTTATTAAAATTGTAATTCAAATCATCTTATATCAATATATTTTATATTAGAATTCAGTAATTTAAAGGTATACAATGATTAAAATATAAAATAATTAAATAAATCTTTATAATGTTTCTTTTGAAAAGGATTAATTTAAATAAATGAATGAATAATCATAATTCTCAATTTAGGATGTGTAAATTTTAAATAGAAGAGTATTTTCAAATTAGAGGATTGTAATCTCAGAATTTCTGGTTTTAAAATAATTTAAACCAAAAGAATAGTGTAAAAAGAATGTCATTTAAATTACATAAATTATAGAATTTATCATTATGATTAATTAATATATATATATTATAGTAGTGAATTTATTATATTTTTTTATATTTGGTAATCCAATTCAATACTATGTTTTCTCAGACTAATAATTTTGAAGGAAAGCCTTTTTAACATTTTAAGAAACTTTGGTGCTTTATAACATATTGATGTTATAATTAAATATATTATTTTCAATTCATCTTGATTAATAATAACAATGTCCAAAGAGGATCAAATAAAATATTTATTTTTGCAAATTTAGAATGTCAAATGCAAAAGTCATTGATTCGGTAATAAGCATATAAATGAATTTAATTAAGCAGATAACAAATTATAAAATTGATAAAAATACTGAAATCCCTTAGAGAAAACTAATGGGAATAAAAATTAAAGGTTCCGAAGAGGTAAAGAATTTATAATTTATAACTAAAAGTGTTAATATTATCGTATCAAATATTCTACATAATAAAAGCAAACTTAATTTATAAGATAATGAATTATATTATCCATATATATATATATCAATCATCCATCAAAATAGTTTGAAGTTTGAGATTTAAAGTTGTAATTCTTATTTAAAAAAAAATTAATCTCTTTTCATATTAAGAACAGGATTTTGAATAATGCACTATAATATATTTTAAAATATTTTATCATTTAGAAGGTCTTAGTTTTTCATTTATCTCTTTTTTTATAGATAATCCATTTTACAATTTAATCAATTTCTTCTCAAATATTCTTAAATCAGATTTAATTTTTTAATAAAGAATTTTTTTTGTATTTAAATAAGCCATAGAATGCAAAGAAAAAAGTGAAAATCAGGAAAACGATTTAGCAAATATCTTAGAAAAATATTAGAAACAAATCAAAGTAGAATATCTAAACTATAAAGTTTATAAAGAAATCATATTATAAATAATAACTTAGAAGTGGTTTGAAATTTTTTATAAATTATTAAAATAATATACAGAAGGTTCATTTATGAGAAAATTGATAAATTTAATATCCTTACAGATGTAAGGCATATCATATTTCCGTATATAAGAAAAGAATTTATTAATCTTGTATAAATATAAGAATATTGCTCTTCAAGCTCCTCTCTTCATTAAGTACTTTATAAAATTAGAGGTTTTGTTTGTAATTCACATTCCTTTGTTCTTGAATTCAAATATAATTCTGGTTTTAACAAATTTATTTACAACAATTCTGGCAATTTAAAAGTTACCAAATTGTACTTTTTAAACATATCATTTAGAGTATTCACTTATATTTTTAATCTAGACATTTATGAGACCTTTAAAATTTCTTCTTCTTTTTTGAAACACATTTATTTTTCCTCAAGATAAAGGTACTGGGTTTTTTGTAAATTCATTATATAATAAGAACTTAATATATAAGCAGTAATAGTATTAATTGCACACCTAAGTCCAATAAATATCATTTTCATTGTATAATCCATTAGTAGAGTTCAACTCTCAACAATTCTAATTCTTCTAACTTATCACTTTTATTCAAAAATAATATAAAATCTTTAGCTATATATGTATATTTTAGCCATAAAGAATTCGTTTGCTATAAATAATAGAATTCCCCAAGACCAAGAACTGAAGAAATTATTATTGACTTAGAATTGCATTTTGGAGTAAAAAAATCTATTTTGATGTTCATTTTCAAAATTCAGAAAACATATAATGACTTTATGTAGAGCAGGAATAAGAAAGCTTTGTGATTTGGAGTTTCAAATGAACTTAATGTATGGTAGAGAACATTATAAAAGTTAATAAGAATTATATAATTAGAATCAATTGGAATCACAGTTTATAATTGAATTACAACAATTGGTGTATCCAAATTTGCCGTATTTAAGCAATCGAAATTTTGAAAATGTACATTAATTAAATAACAAATGAAAGCTTTTCTTTTAATATGCCTCCTTGCCACATCAATGTTGGTTAAAGCAGTTGACACTCCATAAGATTAAATCCCAAGCGTAGAAACAGATTCCCCAAGTTTCCTTCATGTCCAATAAGTATGCCCATATTGTTGCAATGGCACATGCTGCTCTTCCATCTCCTCTTGTAATAGAGGAGTGTGTAATAATATTGTTGCACCTTATACCTGTGTCTAAGGATGATTTTATATTCACATCATAATTAAGTCATACATTATATCATACCTTTATTCAATCTCATTATTTCGAAAGCCAGTAGCTGTAAACATTGTTATGGATTGAATTTTAAATAAAACCTTTTGTGCATTTCTTCATATTGTGTTGAATTGAATATTTTTTGATTTTCAATCTACATAACAATTATTCTCCTTTCTAGTCTTGTTACTGGAAGTTAAGATGAAAGGTGAGTTTATTTTTTTAATAAAATGCTTATAGACTCGACCAAATATTAAATGAAAGGAAAATGGGATTTGTTTTTTTTTTTAAGCAAAGAAGCCGAAATTTCTTTTTTCAGATATAGCACTAATTAAAGAAGGTCGGTATTGAGAAATATAACACAATTTTAGTAACCTTAAATATGAAATAGAGCACTTTATTAAATAAAAATTAAAATATCAAATTCTTTGATAATATATACATTTTAAATAGTTTTAATAATATAATACTACTTTTTTTTAAATTTTAATGAAGTTACCTAAATGAACATGAAGATGAAATATTAAATTATGATTTTTAATTCCATCATAAGGAGAATTCTATAAATAAGGTGCAATGTGTAGCATCTTAAATAATTACCCATAAGAATCATATATTTCCAATTAATTGTTGTTTAATATGTGTTTTACAAATTATTCAAACTTAAAGTAATTTAATTAATAAAGAAAGCTGTTTAATGGCATAATTTTTTTTGTATTAACAACAATTTTTTTTTTAATTTCTATAATAGAACTATCTATTATAATTTATTTATTAATAAATAATAATATACAACAATTATTAAAGAAATGTATTTATGATTTACACTTTATAATGAAAACTTTAATTTGATCATGCTAAACTAAGCTTCAATATTTAAAATCTCTTCACATTATATTTAAAAATTACTTCTCATAAAATGGGCATGCAGCATCAATATAAATACTTTTTTTTGGTAATTTAATGGCAATGACCATCTTACTTTTATCTTTGTTATATAGAAAGAAATTTCTTTTGATCTATTGTATCTTTACGAAAACATATGCTAGAGAATATGCTATGTCTAAGCTTTAGATTGTGAATTAACAAATAAATATGAGTGAAAATTGTGAAGACACTTTAATTTTCAAAAATATTACAAATATGGTATCAAGTATATAAATAAAGCAAATCTAAATTCATCTAAATCTTAGGCAAGTTGATTAGAAAGATCTAGTATTTATAATAAGTAGGAAGATGAATTATTAGGTCAAATAATTATAGTTTTCTTCTCAAAATAACTTTTTTTATGAATAATGGATTATCGATCAGCACACATTAAGAAAAGGAAATGATATAATGGAAATAAGCATTGAAATGATGTTTCAATGCTATGAGGTTGGCAAAAAATAAAAGGAAAAAATTTGAAATTTAAACAATATCAAAAAATGTATAATATTCGTTTTAGACATGGGAAGCATAATGATAATGAAGACTTGTATGATAAAATGTATGACTTAATTATGATGTGAATATATTATCATCCTTAGACACAGGTATAAGGTGCAACTATATTATTACACACCCCTCTATTACAAGAGGAGATGGAAGAGCAGCATGTGCCATTGCAACAATATGGGCATACTTATTGGACATGAAGGAAACTTGGGGAATCTGATTGTGAGCTGAGGACTTTATCTTAAGGAATTTCAACTGCATTAACCATCAATGATGTAGCAAGGAGGCACACTAAAAGGAAGGCTTTCATATGTTATTTAATTAATGTACTTATTTGAAATTTTCAATTTGCTTAAATACGGCAAATTTGGATACACCAATTGTTATAATTCAATTATATATATTTGAATTGCATATAACCTGAATTTTTATAAAAAATTTGCGGTATTATAACTTGATATCATAATATCATAAACACCTTTAATCGTGAGACTTTAATTGCTCTGATAGAAAGTATCTTGGAATATAAGCATCCTAGAGTAAGTATTTTGTGCTAAGCTGCATTAAGTAGCTTATTTTATAATAAGTAAAATGATTTATAATACATAAATTTTTTAGGATTCAGAAAAAGAGGTAAATCATTCCGTGCAGAATCCAGAGTGGAATCAAAGGCATATTTGAAGTATAAGTAATATCATTTTTTAAAAACAATAAAATATTACAAATTAAATGACAATCATAAAATAATGTATTTAGAATATTTGTTAAACTTAACAAAAAATAGTATTCCAGTCGTTTTTAACACAAAATATAAGAGTATCAGTTAATATTTACATACAAAAATATTTATTTACTAGATATAGTTGATGGAGAGGTTTGAAGAAATATTTCAACTGTTCTTTAATAGAAAATAAGAATTCTCTATGCTTATTTTTGTAAACATTAAAAACTATCTAAGAGATTCTTCCCTTCATTTCTACAGTTCTGAACTTATTTAACAAGATTAAAATACACTAATTATGTTAATAATACACATTAAAATGTTCACATCAAACAGCAAACAGCAAAATTAAAATGTATAATTTAAAGAAATATAGTCAAATGGTATAATGGGTCATATAAAGGCTATGGCAATTTACTGATTACTCGGATAAATCAAAATCTAAAAATGGAAATTTTGTTGTTGGAATAAATCAAATTTTTTATATACCTCATTTTATTAATCAAAAACTAGTGTTCAAAATATCATGAGCTTATCAATTTACATTATAAAAATGATGACAAGCTCCTAATTATATGAACTATTATTAAATCTACTTACAAATTGCTGATAGTTTATGCAAATATAATACAAAAAAGTCATATTCTTTTTTTACAATAGATATTTTAATTTCAAGAGCAAGAAGAAATTACAATTGGATTTATGTGTTTAATTTTTTTTTAAATCCTTATATTAATGGAAAGTGATTGTGGAGATTTTTTAATACATATAAGTTGAGATTATGGATCTTAATGAAACCTATTAATTAAGAGGGTTGACGTATATTAGTAAACCATCACTATTTTCAATTAATCTTAAATTAGATTCGTTATAATTAGTTTTGAAGGACTATGGATTACAATAAATATGAAACAATAAATTAAATAGTATATAAAATAGAAAAATGATATATTTTTTGAGCAAAAAGATAAAATTAAGGAGCTTTTATGAAAAGTTTTCAAAATTGAATAATAAGATTAAAAAATCAAAATGGAAAGAAAATATCTAAATATTTAATTCTATAGATTTTATTAATTGATTACAAAAATATTGTAATTAATTCATTAAAAGTTTATTAAAAAATTTAATAATTAAGTAAATAATTTATATATAACTTTATTAATAATTGAAATTTTTCTTTATATTCAATTTTAATAAAAGTTGGGGGTTTGGATAAACATATAATCACCAACTCAAATTTATAGTATTAATATTTACTTCATACTAATAACTTTACGTTTAAAAGCAACCATTAATCGGTTTAATTAATTTTCTTCTCTGTAAATGTAGACAGTCTTATAAGTTTCCCGATACAACTGTACTTTTTATCGAAATATAGTTTAAAAATGAACTTTTTGAAGTTTCTATCTTTTAATTGACATATTATAGATATAATACAATTTACGAAAGGCTATTTACAGATGTGCATATAATAATTAATTATTATTCTAAAGCATATAGGGAGATGAGTAATTTCTATATATTTATTTCTAATTTTTTTGTCCTTTTAAGATAAGATGCTTTTGATATTTGAATATAATAAAGAAGGTTGAAAAATGGATCTTATAAACCAATTATATAAGAAGAAAACTGAGTAATTTTCAAAGGATTGAATCATGAGTGAAAGATGGATATAAATAAATACTAAAAGGAATCAATTAAATCCATTAAATTAATGCTTATATTTAAATAATAATGAAAACTACATATTCATAAAGCAATATGATGTTAATAAATATTTGCATTTAGTTATTATTGGTTGGACCGCAATATTTGGCGGAATTTACTTTCATGTTTTTTGATTCAAAGAAATAGAAATTTTAGTTTAAAAAATTTAATTTTTTGATAATGACTTGTATTCCATAAATAATCCTCTATACTAGAATACTTCAAAATCTCAAACTCTAAACATTTTTTTGACCTAAAGTTCTTAAAATGGAATATAAAAGAATAAGAATAGATTGTAAATGTTTGAAATTACGTAGAATGTATTTGGTATAATTATAAACAGAAAAGGCTTCAAATATTTGAATGATCTAAGAGAAAAAATGATAAAACAAAGCAATTTAAATTATTATTTTCACATTACTTTGCTAATTATCATAAACCGATTTTACAATGGAATTATAATATCTAGTGAATCTCATATAAAATGATTGGGGGTTATGTGAAAGTAAAATATGAACAGTAATTGGACTAATTCCTAATACTTGATAATGACCCAGAAAATTGCCATATATAATGATATTTTAATAAGAAGAAAAGATCTTATAATATAAAGATGGAAGTGAATATTTAAGAGAATCGATAGCCAATTGGAGATATCTGTATGGAGTTATGGAATAGAAAACAATGAGTCTAATACAAGAATAACTCAAATAAATCTGTATCTGATGGGAAAATAATAAACTCCTGAATCTGGAAACTGATAGTATTAGACGGGAGTTATTACAAGAAATTAAAATATAAAACCAACTACTGAAAGGATTTTCATATTTATGAGCAAATAAATTTTACCAAATGTAAATATAAGAGGAACTAATATTGCTAGTTTTAATATAATTAATAGTCTTATGTGGCTAAGAAATAATATAGTTATATCGATTTAGTAATAATGATTTGATAGAAAAATAAGAAACATAGAAAAATTAAAATTTTAGAAAAGTTGATTTAGATTTTGTATTAATAATGATGGGAGGTTGTGAATTTAATGATTGAAACAAAGAAGACATGTATTTTAGATAAGAAGACATTATTAAGGAAAGGGAATAAATAGAAGTAGGAAATTAACTCAATGGAAGTGAAATAATGAAAATTATATAGTTAATTTATATAACATAAATTAAATAAAGATATATTTATTTTTAAAATGGTAATGAATATCACAATTAATCATGGTAGGGAGTCGACGCATATAAAAAGACAAGAGTTTAAAGAAATGTAGGAAGAAAAGTAACATCAACTAACCTCTATTTGAAATTATTGATAAAGGTAATAATTAATGAATTAATCATAGTTATATAAATTCTTAGCCAGAAGAACAGATTCCAATTTCAATGCAACAGTTTTGAGAAGACTTTAATAAACCAGAACTGCAAGATATCCAATTAGCGTAAGCAGACTTGTCAAATAAATTAATACTGCTAAAGATAAGTCAAGAACATTAGTTGTTGTTGGCACTGTTACAGATGAGTAAGGATGTATATCATGGCTTTAGCGTACGACTTCTTACTGTTCCTAAACTTAACATTTGTGCACTTAGATTCACTGAAACAGCCAGAAAGAGAATTCTTGCAGCTGGTGGAAAGACATTGACTTTCGATCAATTAGCACAATAAAACCCAACAGGTATGATATTATACAAATTATTTTAAGGCACAGGAACAATATTATTGAGAGGACCAAGAGTGAGAGAAGAATTAAAGCATTTCGGCAGAGCAGCAGGTCTACCAGGATCTCATGCTAAACCATATGTTAGCCACACTGCAAGAAGAGGAAAGGGTGCAAGATGATTGTTTAAAGTACATTAATAAATAAAAATTATAAAATATTTGTCCAGGTTGATAATCTGTTATTTTGATGATCTTCTACATTAAAATGTTTACTTCCACTTACTCTAATAGAGAATTATATTCTTTTCGATCTAAAGCATTAAATCTATTTGATGATTCTGTAGAATCATTAAATGATATGTCTATCTCATTAAGAGCCTTATTAAAATCTAAATAAACTATATAACTAAGATATTTATGATTGATATCATATTGAATTCGAATATTTTATCCACTAACTCACGAATGAATATATTTATTCTTTTCTGGAAAAATAATTTGAAATTTAGGTAAAATAGATATATTCTGAAATAAAAGATTTTCATTTTTTTAAAACATGATTACAAATAAGTTTTCAAATCATTGGATTCTTTCGTCTATTAGAGTTCCTAATCTAATCTTTTAATAATGAATTTCAAAACAAAAATGGATTATTGTTTAATTTTTAGAAAAGAATCACCCAATTATTTTTGCAATTGGAAATAAAACCATTTATTGCTATATCATCATCAGAAGTTGCTATTCTGCATTCATCTTTGATATTTAATCAGAAAAACAAAATAATCAGAGATATTATATAGTTTTCAGAAGTAGTAAAGTAATTTTCAAATTTGTCAGTGAATATGTAATTATATTAAAATTATATTGATACAAAGTCTGTTAGGAGATCGTACTAAAGGATCATAAGTAAAGGATAAAATACAGATCAAAGGATGTAGAGCATTGCAATAATAAAAAAGAGTGAGAGGATTACAAGAATAAAAAATAACAGTTTTTCTAAAGGGATCATAAAGCTTGGGGGAAATTATAAAATATCTACAAAAGTTATGATCATAATAAGTCATAAAATTATGGCGTTAGTAAATAATCTCTAAAGTGATTTGTCCTTAGAAATTCTAAATATTGCTTGCAAAATTATAAGTCAAAAATATCATAAGTGAAATCAAATTTGTATATAACTTTCTCCTCTAATGCTAATAAGGTCCTATGGGCTGATATTAGTTGACCATTTTTATATATACAACGTTTAAAATTGTGTAAATTCTAAATTGGAACTTAACATCTCATATATATAAATATATAATAAAATGATAATCACTCTAAAGCTAATATTTTTCTTTGTACCTAGTAGTATACTAATGCACAAATGAACAGTAGTTATATTCCCAAAGCAAGGTAAAAGTACCAATATCTAAGATTGAACATCTTTTGAGTCTAATATAATCCAATAAGCTATTCTTTCTTGTTGAAAATAGAGATAAATTATTTCATAAATGGATCTCCAAGAATATTAGTTGATTTTGCCTAACCAATACACATTGAACACGATCCATTATATAAATATCTTTTATAAGCAGTATCAGGTACAGTTACCTTAGCACCCTCAAAAAAGAATGTAAGATTAGGATACACTTTATTACAATCACAATCTAAATTACAATTAAGATAATCATTGTAAATTTTGTTGTAGACATTTTGTTCTAATAATAAACAAGTAGTTCCTGAATCAAAGATACTACTATGATCATCAAAGTATATATATTCATCCTCATTAATTTGGACTCCCAAAATTTAGGTTGACTAATTTTAGTAGAGAAGAATACCCACATTTTTTTCATGTTAGTTTTAAGCCAAATGGTCTCATCAAGGACAGATTAATTAAATTGGCCATAAAATAATTAGGATCCGCGAGTGGAATTCAAGAACTAGAATCCAAATAGAGGAGACTGAATTTAGCCATTTGAATATGCGGATTCAAAGATGTTGGTATGCTCATCCCAATTAGATAACCCCATAATTCCAGATGTTGTTTTTTATAGCTTTATTATGCGTATAGATGTACAGATAAATTAGAGACTTAATTTGCCAATAGGAATTTGAGGTTTGTATTGATTGGTGTATCAGCAATTGAAAATAAGTCTTGTCCAAATTAACCTGAGCATTCTCCTTATCCATAGGTTTATGTATAAGTTTAATTTAAATCTATATATGTTGATGACAAATATGGTTTATATCGATTGAGGATAGAACAATTCTCGCATGTGTAATTGGCCAACCACAATATCTTCATAATTTATAATTCTTTACGCTAGAGCCAGTATCAACAAGGAGTTGTATTAATTATAAGGGAGTTCCAATTCTCAAAGTCAAAGCATAGTATTCATTCTCTAGATTTTATACATCAATGCCTTCATATTAGCTAATAAAATTGGATTATTCGAGGGTTTTGGTTATGAGGAATGAATTGGAAGCAATCTTTACCGAAAGTACATTAAAGAATGAGTAGACTATAATTAAATATTACCCAAACATTTTATATAATATAAATGATATCAATCGTCTATTTCATTTAAATAATTCGATTTGAGCTCTACCTTAATGTCTTCTTTCTCTTAATCAATAACTTAGACTGTCACTGAGTCATTCATAAAAGGCTAATTTAGAATAATGAATTACTTTAACTTATTTCAATTAATTTCTGGCATTTTCCTTTTTCACCTAAATTTTCTTCTAGAGTTTTGCTACTATTTGTTTGGCATCCTAATCTCCCAACAAAACAAGCTTTTCACTATCCTTTAAGGCTTCCTTCCATTTTCCTAGTTCTTAAAGAACTGTCGATCTTCTAAGCAATGATTTTTAATGATTGCTGTTCAAACTTAATGCTTTGTTACAATCTAATAAGGCTTGATTGTAATCAAGTAATTTTAGTTAGCATTGAGCTCGATTGGAATAGATTATTACCAGTTATTCTAATTCTTCTTCATTCAATGACTATTTCTAATTTAATTCTTAAATGCACTCTGTGTATTTTTCAATGGCCTTTTAAAATTCTTACAGCTTAAATAATTCATTGGCTTGCTCTTTATTTAAAATCACTTGTGACTTAATTACATTTCTACCACCTTTTATTACTATTTTATTATTAATATTAGTTTGTTATGGTTTTTTGTAAACATCCATTACTATGGGATCATCAGATTCTTCTAGCAATTTATCCACATCCACTTTATTCCAAGCATCATAATAATTTTATACTGAATTCTAATCTCTTTTCAATTGTTTCTTTAAAATTTCAGATTGCTTCTCTTATTCAACTTTCCCTCTTATAGGCACAGAGTTTGGATCTATTTGTTCATTTTATTTTTTTTATGGTTTTTAAGTTGTGTTCACTGACTCTTCCCAATCATAGAGATCGTGAATATATTCTTTGATTTCCAATGCATTATTTTTAATTTACTATTGAAGTTGAATCGACATTATATTATTATTATTAATAATTAAATTAATAATTATCTGCAATGATGACAATGATTATGTTTAACATAATCAGAACGGATATATGATTCAATATGAATTAAAATCACTACTGAGCTGTCAATATATATATAAATTATATGTTATTTATCAATTGTGTTCCTTTAAACAATCCACAGATTTCAATTAAAATCCTGTAAAATATGACTTGATATGGCATATCTATTATTGTATGTTATTAAACCCCAGCACTTTTAAATATCAATTAATCGTACTATATACATAATATTAGTGTCATTTTGTATTATATTTGAATATATATATTTAAATAAAGTTAAAATTTTCATAAAAATATATATTAATTTTAATGATTATTTGTTAATATACTATTTTATTAATGTAAACATGTTCATTAGGATGTCTTTTTCAACTCCTCTAATTCAAATGCCTTCTTTATTGCTTCTTGTTGATGTCTTGATTTGATTCCTACTTGTCCTCCACCGATGGTTCTCAATAATTCATGGTTTTCATTGTAATGTTATCTTAAGTCTCTTGCCTTGTGATATTAAGAAATGTTACTAAATTATCGAATTCAGCTTAATCTTCTTTTCTAACTTCAGTCAAAGCAACACAAGTGGCTGTTTTTTAATGAACCAAAGCTCCTAATCTTGCTTTATCTAAAGATTTATATATATTAATAAATATTACTTTTGATGAAACAGAATGGAACTTCTTGTCTTCTACATAATTGTGGTAACCAGACAACGAGTTCAATTGGGTCGACATCATAGGCAATAACAACAAGCTTAGCCTTCTTAGTTTCAACAAGTGTAGTGACATGGTTTAATCCAAATTTGAGTACTTAGACCTTCTTAGAGTCTGTCTTTTAGGCTTATGCTTTTTATTCAGCTAATTTGGTTAATCTTTATTTTTTTTCAGTTTTGGTTTCTGGTGAATACTTCTTCAAGAGACCCAATACTTTGGATGCTTTAATATAGTAATAAAATTTTACATTGATTTTTATCAAGTGTTCTGCTGAATTAATGAATAGCAGCTGGGACTTTGATTCTTTGTAATAAGATCTTTTTTTATCTGTGAAGTAGGATATATCTTGGCCATCTGACATATCTTGATAAATCTCTCTTTGGTTGAACATCGTTTCCAATTCTAAAGTTTTTAGCGTCTTTAACAAAGAGGGGGTTCTTTTTTCTATCAGCTACTTTTTTCTGTAATTTTTTGGCTTTACTTGTTTTGGGTGCTTTAGGCTAGAGATTACTATAGATTAATTACCATTGAATATCTTTTTAAATTAAATAATATTTATATAGTATAATCACATATTTGTCATTTTCTTTTCTTGAGTATGTAGAGTTCTTAACTGTGCATTAATTTGAGGTTGTCAATTTCCTTTTAAAATTTGGATTGCTAACTCTAGATTCCTTCTTATAGTTATTAGATAACACTATTGAGTTCTTATCTATTATGTAAGCGAGTGAATTTACATTTCATTTTGATAATTGTTCTCTAATTTGTCATTTTCGTAATTCAAAAGTTTGATTTCCTCTGTTAAAGAGTTGATCTTCTATTGAAAGATGAGAGATTGTTTTTCGTAATGATCTTGCAATTCAACTGATTGTTGTTTTAGAGCATCAATTTCTTAGCGATATTGGTTAATTTATGCTAAGGAGTTGGCATCCAATTAATTATACTTTTCTAGAGTAATAAGTAATAAAAAACATTGAGCTTATATTTCGATTAATTCTTGGGCTTCAGCCTTGAGTTAACACAGTCTCATCATATTATTTTCAAATGTTATCATAATTTTATAATAATTCAATTTATAGAGTGGATTTAATGTGAAAATAAAAACCAATTTAAATTAATAATGGATAGTACTAAGCTAAGAAACTCTGGGTATTAAATATCTGACCGAGTACAATTCGGAGGTGTGTTTGAACCAGAGAAATGCAAATAAATAGCAAAGTAAGTGATGGATTTATACGATTCCAATAAAGACGGCTTTATTGAATAAAATGAAATCGCTATGATGTTATCAGATGCCTACCGAGCAATGAACAAAGGGTTCAATCCGACCTCTTAAGATGTTTCTAATTGCCAATCCATTTTAGACAGTATTTGACTATATTGAAATTGATGATTAGGAAAATCCACAGGAAGAGTCCACAGTGAAGACATAGAACAATTAGTATAAAAGTATTTCTCTGGATAACCCCCTGCTCAACCAGTCAAAAGAGTTCCAGAGAAGTTGTCCAGAATTGCTTAGGAAAGATTGGAAGTGGCCAGGAGAATCTTTAAGGTGGTTGACAAAGATGGTTCAGGTTTCTTAACTGAAGAAGAGGTAACCAATCTTTTACATTCTTAGGTCCCTGAATTATTAAAGGAAACCTATAAACACATGGGGATGAACGACTATCAACCGACCAAAGAGGATGTGGTTATCTGGATCCAAATGACTGACTCGGATGGAGATGGTAAGGTGACTCTTGAAGATTATGAACAACTTGTTTTGGATTCCTTGAGAAAACAAGGCATCAGTTTAGAATGATTCTTATATTCATTTTAACATCATTTTATAATATTATGCTTAACTGTTTATGAATTTGATTGAAATATATAAATTCTGAATTCAAAGCAACAATTATACAGGACTAATTATTGAAGGTGCTTCTAGATAGCTATTTATATATTTGTTTAGTTTCAGTTTTCTTTTTTATTGAAATCCTTTCATTTTTCGACATTCAGCATATAATTCCTATTGCGAGTAATTGCATTCTTCTAAGAATTATCTCATTTCGAATTCCTTAAAGAAGTTCTCCAGATCTAATGATCTCTTTGGAGTTGATTTATAACTAAACTCTGGTAAACTAGCTATCTAAATTGACATTATTAATTCGATGTTTCTGTTAAAATTTAATTATTAATTTTTTACATTATCAACTAATAAAGTGATTCTAAATCAATCATTATTCTAACAATATCTTTGTGATATTAATTCTTATAAATTATACGTCTAATTTAGAATGTATAATGAATCACACTTAATAGAAATATACGAATTTTCGCCCAAAATAATTTATATAGTATTAATTCTTGAACTTAATAGAATTAATAAAAATAAGAATTGTAAAATAGGGATGTCTTTCTGTGGTGAATAAGAGGATTTTGATGAAATTTAAAATCAACCTGAGCACATTGGAAACGATGAATAGAACAATGAAATTGATAATGACTACAACAACGATTCTGAGATTGAACAATGTGATACTATTATTGAGAATAGGAATCAATAAAAAGATTCAAATTGTTTATCACAAGATGTAAATTAAGAACAGTTGAATTAAACTGAAAAAGTAGGTTAGTTAGGAGGTGTAGATTAGTTATATGTTGAATAAGATTAATAAGAGTTACTACTCAATTTAGGATGTCCTTTAATTTAACAATTAATTATTAAAGAGAGTGTAAATAATGACGAACTGGAGATGCATCAAGAATGTGGTGAATTTCTATCTTGTTAATTTTGTGTGTTTAGATTCACCCCTTGCTAATATAAATCTCATCTGAAGCAAATTCACAGTGAATACTTTTGCAGTAATTGTGGAATTGCTGATAAAAATATTACAAATTAAAATCATAGATTAAGATGTTTTCAACAGTAGTAATTTGGATTTACTGATGCTATAATATAACAATTAGATGATGCTGTTGATGAGAATGAAATTGAATATGATCCAGATGAATATTCACCTTGATATTTTGCATATGTGTCTATCTATATATATATGAATCAAAATTTTTTTGATTTTTAATCCAAATATTGACTAAATTTATTAGCATTTATTTAACCCAAAGCCAAACAAGGTAAAAACACACATGCAATTTAAGCTGTAAATTATGGAAATAATGAAAATGCAGGTCCAGGACATAACCCACCAATTCCCCATCCTATTCCAAAAATACTTGCACCTAGTAATAACTTAAAATCAATCTTCTTGTTTGTTGGTAAATCCCACTTCTCAGCTAGGATAGGTTTATCAAGTAAATTAAATGTAATTAAATTGAGAGACACAGCGCCCAACATAACAAACATCAATGAAGCTACAATAAACAAATATTTAATACGATCCCAACTCTTATTGAATGTTAAAAACCCTAAAATCTTTGATCTTTTAGCCATTCCAGAAATAACTAATCCAGATCCAAACACTAATCCTACAACAGATGAAATTATTGCATCAATCATTGTTTTCTTGTTTTATTTTGTTTAACCAATAATACCAATCAAAGTTAAAATCTTAAATAAATTAAAATTATTATATTACTCCACTTATAACCATGGCTGCAGTATTAGTAATATTTGCATTATCGATAAGTAATTAAGTTGGTTATTCCAACACAACTTAATCTTTTAGAGTGGCTGTCAAAATTCCGAATGTCATAAATGATGCTACTGCTGCCATTGATCTTACTGATAATCTTGGTAAACCACAAACTCCATGACCACTTGTGCAACCATTCCCTAATTTTGTACCAAACCCAACCAAGAATCCTGCTATTGCAGCTCCAATGTAGCCAATTTTAGATATTTGGTTTATTGGATCAAAACTTGGAGATGCTCCTTCTAAAATAGGAGTGAATCTATTCTAGATATATTGCATACCCATAATATTTAAATAACAATGAAGATGATAGAACAACACTCGACATTAAGGATAATTTCCAATAGAAACTATTTTTGTCGAAAGTTATCAAACTATAAAATATGCCACTGAAACCTGTAACTCTCCCCTTCAACAAGTAATGAATTGATGTAGCTAGACCTATCAGCAATCCACCTGCAGCAGCTAAATAAATATCCTTTAAATTCAGAATCATTAAAAATTTTAATAAAATCTTATTTCTTAATGACTTTAATATTTTTTTTATTAATAATTATGGGGGGGTGTGATAGTTCTGCAGCTTCTAAGGATTGTGTATAAGCCATGCCTTCGAGGTATTTTTTTTTGGAATTATCACAGGTCATAGTGTTATCATTGTAAAAGAAATGGTTAAAACCTGTTGAAAGCAGCTTGTGGTCATGTATATCATGAGATTTGCCTTATCTCTAAAAGAAATGATTCGAATAAATGCAATTGTGGCAAGGAGATTGGTTAATTAAATAAGATTGATGAAAAGGTTCATCAGTTATTTTTATCATACTAAGCTCAAGTGATAGTGTAAAGGAATTAGAATAAATTATAAATGAATGAGAAAAAATAATAGCAATTTTTTCATTGTCCTAAAAAAGGGTGTTCCTTTTATTTTATTTAGGACCAGAAGCCAGGACAGGCTTATAACCTAGAATACTTTTGTGATTAATGTAATATCAAGCTTCGATATGACCAAAAGAAAAGTGATAACATTAATGAGATAAGTAATGCACAAACAAATCAATAGCAAGTACTTTCATAATAAAGTACAAAGACCAAGATAGATCCTTAAGAACAATTGCAACTATTAATTGAAGCTAATCAATAACAATTTACATTTTGCAAAAATAATTGTGGATTTGTTTATATAGAAAATAATTCTTACGATACTAGCAATAGTCTCTGTGAAAATTGCGACTACTGTCATAAATGCACTAGATAGCTTTTCTCAGATTTTATTAGCATTAAAAATTGTAAGCATAGATTTCACTTGTTATGTGCAAATACATTAATTATCAATCCTGATAAATTAGAATCATTGAAATGTAAGTGTGAAAGACTTATAGATGATGAAGATATCAAAATTGAACTTAACATAAAGTGTATAATTTGTGGAAAGTATGATACAAATTTAAAGAAATTACCTTGCAATCATTATATCCATTTAGATTGTATTTTTGATAATTCAATCTAATTTAGCGATTTTAGATGTTGCATTTGTAAAATACCAATTCTTGAATTTTTATAAAGTCCTTAACATAAACACATTCACGATAAAATAAAAATAAAAAATATTGAAAGGATGCTTATGTAAATTGAAAATGATTGCTTCATATGTTACAGTCAAACTGAAGAAGCTCTTTTGAACACTTAATGCAATCACAAAGTTCATTCTTCTTGTCTAAAAAGAAGATAATCAGAAATAAATGACAAGTAGTAATTCCTAAGTTGTAGTTGTGGAACATAAATTATCGATTTACGCCCAAAAATAAAATGATTTATAATAAATCTAATAGTATTTACTAAAATATTTCTTTTGTTTATCCATTAATAATATATATTGCATATGCTATTTATTATTATTTAATAATAACTAACTAAAAATTATGTTCTAAAAGAAACTACACCAAAAAACCTAATCGACTGAATTGTCTAGTCAGGCACTTATGAATTATTTATCAACTCGAGAAGCTGTAAATGCTAGAAATTCTAATTCTCCAACATTTCAATTTGAGTTAAAAGTATAAATTTGTGTACACAAATAAGAAATAAATAGGTCCTCAATCAAGTCCTTAGTTGAAATCAAATAGTTCTTAGCCAAACTTAAAATTATCATCATAATAGTAATTAAACACATAATCTAGGTAAAACTTAATAAAATTATAACAATAAAATGTTCTCTAATCAAAAGGGTACATGTCACCTAAAGTAATAAGTTAAGAAAGGTTGAATCAGAAAGTTTAAGTGAAAAGTAATGCAAATCACATGAAAACACAACCTAACTCTAATCAAAATTCATAAATAAAAGTCAAATCAATAGAAAATGTTTTAGATGAATTCCCAATCACATGTATTGATGATTTATAACTCAAAGCTCCCAAATAACTTTCACAATAGGATATTATGAAAACACTACCTTTTTCCGCATCCACCAAAGCAGATTAAAACTTGAAATAAAAGGCCCTATAAGCAATCTAAGAAATGAAATAAAAACAATCAATAGACCTATTATCTAGATTGAACCTTTAAAAGTCTTCCTCCATACAAAGTGCAAAAAATCAATCATAATAAATTCCATCATTAGGAAAATTAGAAGGATAATTGAAATTCCATTAAAAATCTAATAGTGCAGAATTTATTGAAACATAAAAATTCTAGACTCATGCCAATTCTTAGCCACTCTTAGAATTTGCTTTAGAAAAAAAGAAACCAATAACAACGAGGTAAAATAATACATTAATTTAGAAAATGCAAATAAGAACTCATTGCAATTATTGTTCAATACAAGTCATTTTAATAAAAAATGACCATTGATATCTCCACAAATAAAATATCTTGGCTTGTAGAAACTATTAGATAAGAAATAATGAATCATTTTGGAAACTCATTATAACCAATAATAGGAATTAAGACAGCCAATGTATTTATACCTATAGATTACATACTTTCTAAAATTGAAAGACCTTTATCTTTATTATCCAATTGCCCGACATAGCCATTAGTCCTTGAACCTATTATTGATGCTGAATAGGAATTGAAATAGACTCGGGTTAGTTTGAGAGACTTTGAATTTATTAGATGCATCGGTGTTGGAGGATTTTCTAAGGTTTACTTGGTAAGAGAAAAGAAGACAGGGCAATTCTACGCTATGAAATTGGTTGAAAAAAAGCCAATAATGCAATAAAATAAATAAAATATTATTCAAAATGAGAGAGATATAATGTCTTAATTAAATCATCCCTTTATTGTTAAAATGCAATATGCATTTGAATCAAGAAAATACTTAGTTTTTGTATTAGAATATTGTTCTGGGGGTGAATTATTTTATCTATTAAGAAAGGTATGAATATTCATATAAGTATAGGTTAAAAAAATGAGTGAAGAAGAAGCCTTTTTTTATTTTGCAGAAATCTGTTTGGGAATGAAAAATTTACATGATAATAATATCATTTATAGAGATATCAAACCGGAAAACATTTTAATTGATTTTGAAGGGCATGTTAGAATAGCTGATTTTGGTTTATCGAAGCCCAAAATGGAAAATTAAGATATAGCCTATTCATTTTGTGGATCGCCTGAATATATGGCTCCAGAAATGCTATTAAAATAAGGTCATACATTCTAATTGGATCTTTATTGTTTGGGAGCCTTGCTTTATGAATTAATAACTGGTTTACCACCATTTTATTCTAGAAATACAGATGAAATGTATCAAAAAATACTAAATTAAAAATTGAGTTTTCCATCCTAATTGCAAATGTCATAATTATTAAAAGATTTATTGAGTAGCCTATTAGCAAAGACACCTAACAAAAGAATAGATGATATTGAATCTCTTTTAAAGCATCCATGGATGACTTAGTGGAGTGATAAGAATTTGTATAAGGATTTCTTGATGAAAAAAGTTAATCCTCCATTTAAACCTGATTATTTTGAATTCAATTTCGATGAGGAAGAATTTGGTAAAGGTGAAAGTGAATTTCTTATGTAAATCAAACCACTCTAATAAAATTTGTTAGAAAATTTTCCAAAAGAAATCCTACTTAAGAATTATTATTATAATCATAATGAAAGCCATGTAGCTGAGAGCACTGGTGGTACAAACTTGAATGCAAAATTACAATAGGAACTTTAATCTTATGAAACTTAGAGACAGAAATCAAAAAGACTAACTACTTTCGATGATGAAAATACTAATTATGTTAACGAATAAAAAGTTTTCTTATTAAATTAACTAAGATTATAAAAGGAGAATGAATTAAAAAGAAAATCTGCAATATGAATATTAAATATTAGATGTATTTTTTATGCTTTTTACTTTAATAAATGTACTTTCAGAATCATTATTATTATCTTCTTTAACCTCTTCTTGTTTATTTTTATTATTTTTCTTCGACAACAGGCTCATCAATGGGAATGTCAATTTCCAAACCAGCTTTTTCAAGCATTCTTTTAACATCTTGATCTCCTCTAAGATTGTCAATGTCAACAGATGATTTTTCAGGGACATAGTCCAATCTTCTCTCTCTTTCTTCTTCTTAAATCTATAGTTTGAAATGTGACCATTACTTTGAGTGAGATACCCTTAACTGATCCAGTTTAGATTCTCTTCAAAAGATGTGTTGCGAATCCAGCAATTTTATTTCTCAATTTTTTTGATGGTACTTATCCAACTTCTGAGAGGATCTTTTTATTGAAATGAAAATCTGAAGTGAGTTTCATGTAGTATTTTTCAATGAGGACTTTAGCTGCCTTCTTAACTGTCTTATTTCTAACTCTTCCCATGAATTAATTTGAAAAAAATTTATATCTTTAATTTATGAAAATAAATCACAGCAAAACAATAAAAATGCATTTAATACATAAATTCTTAATTCTTTTTTGCAATTTACTTTAAATTTATACATTAGCATAATCCTTAAACATATAATAAACCATTTATTAGTTTAAGTGATAAATATTTTAATTTCTATATATTTATTAATGTTAATAGTGCAAGTGAGAACACCCAAAATAAAGATGGCAACACATCGCCCATAAAACAGTTAACCAACAATGTTCAATTAGAGTAATCTAAATAGTTTCCATCAATTTTTTCAAAATTAATCAAAAAGCTTACAAAAAGGTGAAGGTACAAATGATAGTAGATGCAAAACTGAATCAACGTAAATTGAATTAAAGCCTAATCATGCTCACAAAATATCAAGTTAATCAACAACAATTAGTCTAACCAACAGCACTAGTTATAATTAAAGATTATCGAAAATAAATTAAAAATCTAACAGTAGTAATAAAATTATAGAAAAAATATTACCTAAATCTGTAAATCCATTCTAAGAAGATGAATGCACAGTTAACCAAAAATTATAATCTTAGTTATAGAAATTATTATCCAAAACTAAAGATATCATAGCTTCATACGAAATCAACTCAAAAAAGCAATAAATAACAGAATAATAATTAAAACAATAGATTGTACAACTAAAAAAGATAATCGAAAATCAGCAAAAACAACTTAAAAAACATAACATTAAATTTTGAAAAACTTAATTTGAGCAGGATTTTTCCCTTTACTTACTAAATGAATTTTGTTATATATAAGCTATATAATAAACTAATAAATTACTTTAAAATTAGATAATAAAAATCTAATTAATTGTTGTCTACAACATGAATCTCCTTTTAAATATAGTTGCTCAAGTCCAAATTCAATAAGATTAAATCAAATATAAATTTAATTATAGTTTTTTAATTAATAAATAATCAAGAATTAATACGAAATGATTCCTTGAAAAATTCTAGATGCTTTCTTGTAATAATATTAATATAATATGCTTGCAGTTGTTTCATATGGCTCTTGAATATGAGGATTTTCTGAATTTTAAGTTTGACTCATCAGTAATTATTAACAAATTTTAATAACTTTGATTAAGTAAAGCTTTATTGTAATTAAAAATTGAATTAGTTTAAGGAGTTTTTTATATAAATAATAAATAGTTATCATCATTTATTTAATAATAACTTAGCATCATCCATACTAGTTGTTAGATATTCAAATCTCTTTTGTTTTTCTGTGAACCAATTTGGAATTAACCTATTTTTATTTATTTCATATTCGTTTAACTATAATTCTTCTATAAATTGTGATAAATATAATGATACCTTTTGTGAAATTAAATAAATTTGGTAGAGATTTTGAATTGATTTTGATATTTGGTTATTTCAATTCCTAAAAGAAAGGGTGCAATAAAATTTCAAAGGCAGATATTCTTTAGTTAGGATCATAAACAAAGATTTTTTCTAACAAATCAACTAGTTATTCATTTTCTATTTCTTAGAATCGTTTACTCATAGGAAACTTAGGAATTTCAGGCATTTTGAGATCTAATATTTAGGATTTTAGATTCTTCATTTCTTAAAGGGTAGGAGTTCCAAGTAATCTTATAATATCAGCCATAGTTTCAACAGTATTAGTTCCATTAAATAATTATTTACCCAAAAAGCATTCTGCAATTATGCAACCCAAACTCCAAATATCAACTTACTAATTGTAGAGTTTAGAGCCTAATAATAATTCTGGGGCTCTGTAATTACGTTCACCAACATAATTTGGAGAGGGAATCTAAGAGAACAATGATTTTGCACTGTTAAAATCACAGAGTTATACGCTGAGTGTATCAACGTCAATCAGTACATTTCTTGGATTGAGATCTCTGTGAGTTATGTTCTTGTGATGTAAATACGATATGGCCCTTACAATCTAATAGATAAATAATTTAAATAAGATTTGTTTTGCCTTCTTTTCTTATTTAGTTAAGTTGATTAATTTAGGGTCTGTAATTTTAGTATTTTCTTAAACATTCGAATGTTTGTAGAATTGCTATAGAAAGGATCTTAAATTGCAACTCATTAAAGGCATAACTTCATACAACAAAGGCCTATTATCCTATATAATTTAAGAGATAATACATTCTACTTGTCATAAACTACATAGTGATGTTTGAGTTCAATGATGTTCGGATGTCTTAATTATTTAAGATAATAGATTTCCTTAGTACATTTGTTCATGTTGACTTTGCTTATTTTAAGAGCATAATAATTGAAATGACCTTCAATTAATATTCTATAGACCTGAGTATTGTTTCCATCGTAGACAACTCCTTTTTTAGTAATGCTGCTTTCGGAGATCACACTCTGAGTGCTCTAATTGTATTTTAAGTTGTGTCCACTAGATTTCATTTTGTAATCAACGGATGATGACATCTAACTATTACTATTAATAATTTGTCTGGTTGTCTTGTCAACTGATTTGGATAGTATTTTTTTCATTTTTGATTGTTTCATTTAATTATAATTCTTTTTATATTGTTGATATTCAAAAAGTGTTTTGTGAACAGGATCAGAGTATTTAATTAATTTGGTTGTATCAATCATTGGCTTAGTGTTCTCTACTGAAGCCAATTGAGGTTGAAATTTAGAGTTTCTTTTGAAGAGACTGATTTAATTATCAGAAAACATTATTAAAATATATAAAAATTAATGTAATAAACTAATGTACATCCATAAGTGCTGCTGAGCATTTCTTCATAAATTTTAACAAACAAAGTCAATTTCCCTGGTAAAACCATCCATGCTGGTATATTGCTGGGCTTTTTCAATGCAAAAATAAATAAGACGGATATTTTGGATTCATTTGAGATTAGCTACTCAGGTAAAGGGGAATTGAAACCGGGGGAGGTTGATTTTTTAAAGGAAAGATAATAATTAAGATTGAAAGGTGATAAATGGAATCTCTTTAAAAATTTGGACATAGTAGGTTTAATCAATAATAGCTATTATAGGTTGGTATATTACAGATAGCAACCCACATGAGTATCTCAAATTGCATAAGTAATTGCAAACCTTGAGTGAAGCTGAAAGTACAGAAAATTAAACTTCATTCTTTAAATATTTATTGTGCTTTGATCCATATAGTACTTAGGCAAATCTGTTTGAAATGGAGGAGAATAAAATGCAGCTATCGTAAAGTAAGATTGAACCACAATCAGAAGAGATGATTGGTATCACATCCTTGTTTTCATAACAATCATCATAATCGAAAAGAAAGTATGATTTAAGAGTTAATTCATAACTTTAAATGATTACTTTTTTAGAAGTATGTTATAATCTATTTAATCCAATAGAAAATGTTACAAAAATTATTATAACAATTGGATCATCCATAAATTGCAAATGATCCCTTGGCATTATTAAAGATTAATGAGGTCTTGATTTCATTTCCTTAAATCAATCAATAAAATATTGAATAAGACTATTTTAAGCTCTTAATAATCAGCTATTATTGTGCAATTTTAAAGTTTGATGTAACAAAAAATAAACAATTGGATTGAAAAAGTAATTAGATAAAAATCATAACAAATTAATAAAATAAATTTAAGTTTAAATAATAGGTCTATTTATATATATATGAGAGTAATTAAAAAAAAGTTGGTGTATTAAACAATAAAATCTTATTGTTTAAGAGTTTCTAGATTATACTTCTTAAATAAGTAATTTATCTTTTGAAATATCTTTTGATTAGAAGAGTCTACTATGTAGCTAACGCTATTTAGGTAGTTCGAGTGTTCACATTTGTGGAATATTCCCATTTATTAATATAAAAATTTGAAAAATATAGGAATATCTTAAAGTTAGACAATTTATAATTTGCTTTTAATTAAGAATGTATAATTGTCCTTACATTAAGATCATAAGATATTTATGGATCCCACGCATTTTACATCCTGTTCTGCCAAATGTAATGTACTAGAGATATTTATTTGATACTTTATCTTAAGTTATATATTCTTTTCAATATGGATGTTAATTTTCAATTATTTTTCCTTGTATGGAAAAAACTGATCAATAATATTTAATCAATTATACTCAAATTATTTTCTTCCAAATTGGTATACTATATAATTCTTAATCTTAGTGTTATGTAAATTTGATCTTACAAAAATTTAATGCGTTGAAATGTTTTTTATACTTGTTGCTTAAGTAAATAAAGTGAAGATAAATGCTTAGTAAGTACATAGGGTGGAGAGAGAAAATTGCTTAGTAAGTATGTCTATAAAACTTTCTGTAAATTGAAATTTGATGGCAAGCTTTCATTGTCTTATTTTGGATATAGATGCGAAGTATAAAAATAATTAATGAAATCATAGTATCAATTCAATGAATTGGTTAATGGGAGTGATTAGTCGGCAAAGTTTATTATTATTAATGAATAAATAAAATAAGAAATAAATCTTAATTTAATTACATAATTGCATATAAATGACGTGTCATTAATGATCATCTAATTGTAATAAAATTGACAATTAAATGTTCCTATGAATTGTTCAACTATTATAATATAATTTAATAGAGATGTTAGCAAGGATTATTGGATTTTTGATCAACATTTTGAGTTACCTGCCCATCTACATTTACAATCTATTGTACAGTAGATTCTACACGAAGTATATTTACAAATAAATGTCTTAGATGGACTTACGTAATGATGTGTGATCGATTGGAGAAAAAGATGGCGAATGTAAAGAGAATTTTGGATGTTGGAGTGGGCACAGGACATCCTATGAAACAGATTATAAATAGGATTCCCTCCAGAATTCGAGTGGTTGGGATAGACATCGATACTAATTATTTGAGGTAAAATAAATGATCAAGAATCCTAGATATGCAAGACAAACATTCAAGCAGAATGAGAATGTAGAAATTAGAGAATAAAACTTTTACGATTTGGAAAGCTCAAAGGAACAATACGAGGCTGTGATCTTCTCCTCATCTTTCATGATAATGCCAGACAGAATAAGAGCATTAAGAATTGCTAAATAAAGGTTGAGCAAGGGGGGTTCCATCTTTTTCTTATTGACTCTAGAGCCATATAAAAACTATAAAACAGTCATCATTGAAAAAATCAAGCCTTATCTAAAATACATCACAACCATTGAGTTCGGCAGCATTACTTATGAAAAGGATTTCGAACTCATGCTTAGAGAAGAAGGATTGTAAATTACATCCAAAGAAAAAGTTGCTAAATATAGTGTCTTTTTGGCAATATTTAATATGTTTGTGGTAGAGGCAGAAGTAATATGAATTATGCATATATTTTATAAATATGAATTTTTTGTTTAAAAATACAAATAATTGCCTAAACTACATCATCTATTCATTGTCATAAGCATAACTATGAATATCCACCATTTCATTCATAATTAACAATTATAGTCAATAACTTATTATTCATTAAAATAAGAAATTAAAAAGCAATTCAATAAACTTTCAATTCTATATAAAGAAAAAGTGTTAAAGTCAACAACTCCTTAAAACAGCCATGTGTAAGATAAACCTTTACTTTTGGTACTAAAGCAATTTCATTTGTGAAATACAAAATTACACGCGAAACTTATAATTAAATAACAGAATAATCTTTATTTTTAATATTACTAAATTAGAAAGAGTTCTGGTAAACGTTAATCCAAATCAGATTCTCTTAGATATAAAGTATTTGTGTAATTTTCAAAAAAATAATGAAAATGGAATTAGATCATTAAATGATATAAATAATATGTCAATATTAATAATAATATAGATATTTTATAATGATATTAATACATCATTTCTTTCTATAAATTGTTATCTCTTGTTATTTAAAATATCTTCTATCATCTTCATCTACTAAAATCAAATTCAGAATATATTTAACACTAAATTTGCCATTAACATTCTTAACAGATGGTGTGATATCAACTCCACTTAAATATAATCTGATTGGGATCACTTCTCCTTTCTAAGGACAACCATCCATCAATTCGTATTTTACAAGTGTCTCATTGTCTGTTTATTGTTATTGTCCTTGGCCATATTGTTCCTTTCTGATCACTGCCAATTCCATATATTTTATTTTGATTTTGACTAAATAAAAATTCACTTTTCCTGTTACGACATCTCTCATATGGTATTTACTCTTGAAATATTCAAAATCAATATGCAAACATTCTTCAATACCAACCTAATTTAAGAGTTGATCTATACTTCTAATTTTAATGATGTTTAAGGTTGTTCTTCCATTTCAGGTTAAGGGATTAAAACAGCAAAGTCCACTTCCTTTTATACTTTGCCATAACTTCTGGTCATGTAAATCTTCAAGTAATATCGTAATCTCACAGTATTGCCATAATAACTCTCATTTTGCTTTTCGAACTTCTAAAATTAAAATTTATAAGCTTTGTCTTCAAATAGGATCCCTTAAGGTTCTAATTCTCTAGACATAGACATAAAATCTGAGCTCTGTTTTTAATCATTAATAATTTCTTGTTTATTCAATTTAACATTTACCTATACGTCCAACCAATTCGATTCTAATACCCATATGTTCTATTTTCTTCTATTTATTCATCTTCACTTCCACCACACCAGAGATGTCATCATCACCCTATAATTAAATGAATGAGCAATCTAATTACTGTGTAAACTGGCAATCTTAATGCACCTAGTTGTTTATCCACAAATCTAGTGTGTTTGCGAGTCTCTATTCCATCTAAAGAGACTTCAATTATCGGTTGCCCTTAAACCATATTCAAAAGAGATGCCTAAAATTACGTGGAATTCATGAATTTACCATCTTATGTCAATTAAATGATATAATTTAATTACAATAATTATTCTCAATTAAAAATAATCTTATTACTACTAAATTTTGAGATATCTAGATATTGATATCAACCAACTCTCCCTTGATACCAAATATTTTACTTAATACTTCATTCAGAATTAATTTATTTCTAGTTGAAGAAAGTATTTAATTTATATATTACTCATAAATATACTTTATCATACTCTATCAGATATTTTTTATACATCCCTTGTTTGAATAATTCAAATGGAATTGTTTGTTTATAACCATAGGATAAGCCAGCACCCCAAGTCATAAATAAAAGGAATACAGATATTGGTTTTTTCACAAATGAGAGTCGACCCTTTCGATAAAAGTCATAGAAGATTCTTCTTTTGCTCAATAGTATTTTATAGAATAGCAATGAAGCTACTGTACAGCCAGATGTAGCATTAACTAAACTCATCATTGTATCATTAGTCACTTTGTCTATTTTTTCTTTGTCCACCTTCTTAGAATAAGGATATACTTGCAATAATGCAGGATGATTGACAATAAGATTCGACTTATCAGTAGGTTGAAGCATCATATATCTTTTAAAGTATTATTCAATAATAGCCTTATTTGTTATTTTTGCATTAGGATCATTTGTCTTGATCTCCTATTTGAGTACTTCTCTCCAATCTTTCTATTCCCATCTAAATTTAAAATAATTGATTACAATTTTGCATATGGAGAAGTATATTTTTATGACTCCATAATTTATATTTATATTAAATATTTAATATTTCAGTTACTATGAGTGATATCAAACCATAGACTGCTAAGATTATTTCCAGACTGAGATTTGGACTCCAACAAGAAAACAATCAACAGGATGTCAATAAGATACAAACCAATTTAATTGAACATTATGATGCAAGAGATTTACGATTGCAAGACTTATAGGATTGCTAGAAAGTTTACAAGGTGATCAAGAAGGAAACCACTACCAAATGGATTCTATTATCTAAATTGGAGGAATGCAAATAATAAATAAAATTAGAATTATAATATTTAAGAAAATTAGTGATTTATGTTTAGAATCATAATAAACAAGGTTTGAATAAATCACAATTGCTTGAATTAAATTAATTATCGACACTCTTAAACATCTTTCAAACTAATGTAGACCTTTTCGAAAACAACTCATATGATAGAAAAGATAAACTAAAACGTATTAAGATTGTTGAACTCGAAGATAAGCAAAAGGTAATTAATGAATGGAAGAAATGGATTAACAGAAATGAGAGTTTCTTGGAACCACTCATTTCTGAATCTAAGCAAATCACTGTAAAAGTTATAGAGGAAGTCCTAACTTTATCTTATGAACTTAAATATAAATTATTACAAGAACCTGACATCATTGATCCTGAGAGTACCTTGAAGTATTAAAATTAGGTTCAAGACCTAAGAAAGAAATTGAACCTTGATTAATATAAGAGAAGCAGAAATCAATTTGAAGAATTCCAATAAATGTAATCAATTATTATCAACTATTAGTATTGATAATTTCAATTATCACATCCCTAAACTCTAAGATATGAATTAATTGAATTTATCTGAATTAAAGGAAATCAAAAGAAAACTTAAAAACAAGTCAAAAACAGAAATTAATTAAATGAATTCAGGCAAGACTTCTCCAAAAAAGGAAGAACAAGTTCACTTACAAAATGAAGTTGATAACTGCTTACATCAATATAATAAGTAATAGAATCACATAATGAATATAGAGAAAAGCAAAGAATTAGCAGAGTTGACAAAGCAAAATATAAGTAAAATATCAAAAACTCTTAGCGAGAAGTGTTTATAGCAAGAAACAATTAAGGATCGATTCAGAAATTACACTAGAGTTTTGAAATCAACAATTTAAATACAAGTAAGGGACATCGAGAATATCTAATTTCTATGATAGATGGATAACTCTTAAAACCATATACTCCTATGGCTAGACTGAATATGGATGAATCGAAGGAGATGTGCCAAAACTCTCGTAATAATGACAATTGCTCTCAAAAATAGAGTATAAGGAATGTATCTCCATAAACTTTTGTAGAAAGAATATCTTAAAAAATTAATGATATTACTACTTCTGGAGAGGATGAATTTTATTCAAAACTAGAATTCCCAGAACACTAATCATAAAAATAATAGGGACAAACTAATATGGATAATCAAAGAGGAGTGAAAAAATAATACAATCAGAAGTTTATCTAACAAGTTAATAACAACGAAGTTAAATTAGTCAAGCAATGCTAAGGTAATAATTTCTATTGAGCTTAAGATTTCTATACAACTAGAATGAAATTCAACAATAAGTTCACTGAACTAGTTACAACCTTGTAAAAGGATCGTCCTTTGACTTCCAGTATTAGATCAAGGTCTCTAACGGTAAATTAAAATTAAAGATAAGACAATATCTAAAAACTAAGAAAAGTGGCTGAAAAAGCTCGTCAAAATTTCTTTCTTCGAAATAAGGAATAAAGATTATGGCTTTAAAATCTGGTTCAATCATACAAATTAACTGATCCAACAATTTAGCACATCATTGAACAATTATCATACATTCTCGAGGGTATTTTTAATTAAAATATATAGAGGGATTATTTATCAAGGTAGATGACATTATCTCTATGTTAAAACAAATTGATGATTCCACAGAATTAACAATGACTACAAAAAGTTGTGAGCTTCTAGATCAAATATTCATCTACTTTGGTATATAAATCTCTGAATTAAATTATCACAAGAAATTTAGGAAATTCAAATCTAATCATGATTGATTTATTAATTAATTATATCATTTAGTATATTTATATTAATCATCTTTCAATTTACATGGCTTCATGAACTTAAGATTCATTACGATTGAATTCTTCGTTGTCGAGTTCAATAGTATTTGATTGCTCCTATTTTATGATTAGGATGTCATTAAATGAGTTATTTTTCTATACTAACTTGTATCCTTTATTCTTGGCTACAAATAAAAGAGCAGCAAATAACTTACTCTTACTGATTTTCTCATTTATAATCAAAGGCATCGTCTTTTCTATTTTAATGAATTCAACCTATCCTTTAATCTCATCAATAACTCGTTCCAAAATGACCTACAATTGTTTAATTGTAATTGGCTCATTATTATTATTAGCTTATACTCTAAAAGGCAATATATAGTATTCTAAGTCATTCTAATAATTTTCTATCATATAATTGGTCTCTTCTAATTACACTTAGATTTGTATTTCATCCAATCCAAAATTTTCTGGTCCTGCTATGGGAACTGCCTGTTATTGTTCTTCTTCTTCCAAGAATCCAGTATACTCCCTTGTAAAGTACTCGAAATAACGATAATAATCAAAATCTTAACAATTATCAGCTAAGCATTTTAATGTCAATTCTCTTTGACCAAAGTCCCTTTAAGTATTTCCAACTGTATTTAAAATAAGAAACCTATTTAAATCTGCTGCATCGTCAAAATTAAATGTATCCGGATATATCTTCTTTTGTTTCTTCTTAACATTTGTCTGTTATTATTATTGTGCTGCTTATTGTTAATTATTAGTTTTTTGTATCTATTATTATTCTTCATAAGGCGCTAAATCTTAATCGAATTCTTCTTCCTATTCTAAATCCCATTCATCTATTGGAGCATTCACATCATTAAAAATATCCTGAAATTACTATTAATAACTGAGTTATTTCATCTCTTCTTACATTTAAGCTTATTTTTCGGCTGTCTCTTTTTATTACCTTTAAAATTGTTCTTTTAAAATCTTTTTCTTTTCTTGATTTATTTTGAATTGCTCTAATTGTAACTGCTTCTATTCTGCAGTTAATTATAAATTATTATTTTCATTTAGTTAATCCTCAGCAAAAGGATCAGGCAGAAGCTCAGGCAATTAGTTATTGAATTCTTCAACATCCATCTGATTAATCTACTGAACTAAATTCTAAGCACCCTCTTACTGATTTCTTTTGTAATTTTGATTTTCCCCCTGTGAGGGCCCTGAATCAATATTTAATTGTGCAATTTTGTTTCTCAAAAGTACATCTTATTGATCGATATCTATTTCGGTTGGATTAATTTTAAGTTATTATTAATATTACTGATTCAGACTTATGAATTATTGTTCTTCAACACTTAATTAAGACAGAGATTACTATTATTAGTCAATTGTTTGTTGTGCCTATTTTAATTTTTCATCGTAAACGCGAAAATCATTGATAAATTTCTCAATAGCAATTTATTAACTTTTTTCCAACTTGGCAGATTGAGTATCTTTCTTATTGAGTAGGTATTTGTATCTCTCTCTAAAATCATTAATTTCATTGAAACTCATCTTGAATTATTTGGAGACTAGATTAGAATAGTCTAAGACCGAAGTGTCTATTTCCAACTTGATAAAGCCTGTCAAAATGTTCTTGTTCTGCTCATTTACTTTCAAGAGTTAATCAGGATCAATTATAATGGCTAGATTCTCATCGAATTAAGGGTTGTAAATAATTAAGGTATTCAAGTCCTGCATATCTAAGGATTTGCTGGTTTGATTAAAGAATGGGTTGATTTAAAGTGTATCATATTGATGAGTGTAAGGTTTGAAATCAAGAGTAGATTCACCATATTTAGTTATCTCTTTGAGTTCCACGTTTCGATTGAGATGAATAGTTTTCTATGTTACTTATTGCGGTTACTAGTGTTGTTTGCTTTTCTTTTAGGGAGGAACATTCGGGACGGTGGTTGTGTCATAGGCTCTCAATAAATTAACCTTTAACTTGAGACTCTCCACGTAGGTTCTATCTACTCTATTGGAGTAGAGCCAGACCAAGGCATCAAGATATAAGGCACTTTTGTTCATGTCATCAACGTCAATCAATCTGATTTAATTGGTAATGTCAAAGTCAAAGACTCTTTCTGACAATCCTTTTTGCATGCATTTGAGAATCTCATTGAGAATTTCATTCTGTTCATCATCTGAGTCATCGCTATTTTCTGGTTTATTGGGTTGATCAATCTATATTTCGATTTCTTCTTCTTGGTGTGTTTTCAGATCAGATAGATATTATTATAATTTTGACATTGAATAGATCATCAAAATTCTGAACATTAAAGCTCAAAAAATCATTAAAATATTTATAGGACTGATAATTTCAAATATAATGAATAAATAATACATACCAGCCAAAGCACAAGAAAAAATATTTGCTTTAATTCTCAAAAGACCTGAAAATTTGAATTGTGCCGACTGTGCAACAAAAGGACCTAGATGGGTCAGCCTAGATTACGGAATATTCATATGTATGGATTGCGCAGGTTTAACTTCATTTCTCATTTATTAGGAGCCCATCGAACATTAGGTCCTAGTGTTACTAGAGTAAGGTCAACCAATATCGATGGGTGGTATTAAGAAAATATCGACATTATGGAATCTATCGGCAATGGCACTGCAAATTCCTATTGGGAAAATAAAATGCCAAAAGATTTTATGTAAATAATTCCAAATATCCCTCAAATAGCAAACCTACCATTAATTAAGGTCTAGATTCATTAATTCGATTCGTCTAAGAGAAGTATGTTAAAAAGAGATTCATACCTTAAATATCTTGTCCTGATCCCAAACAACAATACATTCTAACCAAAACGTAGTATTCACCCTATATTCTTAATTAGAACAGTCAAGCCTTTTTATTTCAATCAATAAGAGACAAAGGTAGAGGAACCTAAAGTAAAATTGGGTGATTTGATCGATTTGGATGATGACTTATTCGGAGTCAAGAAACCAATTGTACAAGTCGAAGAAACCCAAGGATAAAATACTCATTAAGGTACTACTAGATCATTGTCACCTGAGAAGGATTTCAGTGAATTTGTACAATCAACTCCTCATGTCCATCAACCAATCCATTCACTACCTTCTCTGGACATACTTACACTCTACAAATCAGAATCGCAATAGACATAATAGTCATAACAAATTATACCTAATAAGAACTCGAATTATGCTTATTTATCAAATATGGGACAATAATAAAATAATGGGTTTTATAATTAGTAACCAAACTATTAACACCTTTATTAATAGTAATAACTGTAGTAATAGCCATTCCCATATTAATAATAAAAGTTTTAACAACCAATTCAATCGAATGGACCCATCAATATTATGGATTTATATTCAAAATGATATTTATTTAGATAATAATTTAGAAAATTATTATAGATCAATAGATAGATTTTTAATTGAATTCCAATTCCTCTCATTTCTTCCTGCACATTGCACAATAGAAGTTCATATCTTGTGCCAATTATGCTTGAACACCAGCACATTCGTAATGCAACCATTTTAAACATTTTTCACATTGAATATACGATTTATCAGGATTGGATATTTGGTTGCAAATGCAGATTCTAGTCCACTTCGAAATTGGAGGTGTAAACTTATCCTTCTCTACGTTATAATCAGCCCTTGTAAAATACGTTCTCTCATTTTGGATAGTCATTTCCTCATATTCCTTTAATGGTATCAACTTTATTTCGTGATCAATTTAAGTGCAAAACAACCATTCCTCTATCTCTGATTAAAACAATTCAAACTCACTTATCCCTTCCTACAACTCTTTTAGCTTTGAGGGCAATTCCAATTTATTAATATATTTTTGCACTTTGATCATTGGTATCAAATATTCATCCACTTGCAAATTACAAAACCCTATCAACTTTCCATATGTTTTCTTGTCCCTATTCCCGTCAATTGATAATTAAACTATTTAGCCGATTGAATAAATTATTCCGTCATATTTCATCTTCTAGTATGATTTCACTAAACCCAATTAAGTTGCTGCATCAACCAATTCTTTATACTAATATTTGTTTAATGCACATACCTTTTTTTAGTATAGTAACGATTTTATGACTTAGTCGTTGACTTAATTAGCCTCCATTTTTATTAATTAAATAGAAAATTAAGGGTGGGAAATATTTAATTTTTTAATAATTATTATTTTTTTCACAATTATCCCCAAGTTTTTAAGTTATTCCAATATTATTTTTATTTACTTTATTTTCTCGTGCTCTCTTTCAAAAAGATAGAAAAGTTGAATTTAATATGCAATTCTAATTTAAGAACAGTAATTCAAATTGCTCATAAGACAAATTATAACCTTTATATAAAATATACTAATTAATGAATTTCATCTTAAGATACATTCATTTCAATTTCTTTTAGTTTATATTAATCAATGAATATCACTTCATTAAGTAACTTAAACTAAGTCAAGCAACATATTAAGATATAGAATGAGTGCCTTGAGATTGAATTTTTATTATCAGATTAAAATTTACTATCCGAACACTTTTGATTGATCCAAATATAAGTAATCTTATTATTTAATATTGAGAGAATATTCAAATTCACACATATATATTGATAATTTTTGAAAATTAAAAACTGTTATAATCTATGCTTAATAAAAGCATATTTAATTTCAAAAAATCTAATCGATTTACAAGCTTAACCAATCGATGATAATGGTCAGAATTATGATATGAATACAGTAAATCTGATATTCTAAGTATCACGTGGTTTAATGCAATATATGCTTTTATATATTATAAAAATAGTATAACAGTCTCATATTCTTTAATACTTAATTTAAATAAATTCATTTATGAATTAGATAAATGATTAATGAAATTAATGTATTTTACACTTAGGCTCAACTAATTAGTTCAATAGGGATGTGAGTTCTTTTTAAGTGAGTCTAATGACTAGATAAACTAGAAAAACGTGCTTGGGAGCATATTAATATTTTGATATAAATTATATTTCAAACTCTTTATTGAGGCTAAGTCATTTCACTTCTTTAATTTTAGTTTGTTTAAGTTCTGTGGGTAACATTCTATTCAGTCATTGTTAATTAATTTTGATTACGCTCCCATCTAACTCCATCTCCTTTTGGTCTTCCGCTTTCTCCGAACATTGGGAAAGGCCAGAGCCAAGGATTAGTTCCCATGACTTGTAACCAGTTTTCTTTGATTCTGAATATATATATATGTAAATAGTTTACCCTATGTCATAAGCATTCAAAGGAATTTGGGCATTGTTTCCATTTCTTCTGACTTCCAAAGTGTCTATGGTTGTTTTGTTGGTTGAAACTAAATCTAGGTGAAACAAAAAGAAATTGAATATGACTGCTCCGAATACAAGAATGATTGTTGCTCTAATATTTTTTTAATTTGTTACAGTAAGAGAGTAGGGATAACAATAAAATTCTCAATTAGAAGTCTCCAATCTACAAATAGAAGATCCATAATTATTGGATAAACTTTGAAGCCGATGATTACAATGCTAAATAGGACTGATAAATTTATATAGAGGAGAAACAAAATAAAAAACTTGCGATTCTGATATCCCACACAATTTCCAATCCATGGACAATGATGATCCATATTTAAAACACATCTTTGACATCTTTTAATATTTTTATAATATAGTTACGTTGAGCAATGGTGACATCGTTCAGGTTTAAAAATATGGCAAATTAAACAATATCGTCTTTTCTTTTATTCCTAATCGTCCAATAGAACTCCCCAATAAATGGGAACCTGAATTTTATATAGAAAATACTTTGCCAGGATCACTTATAATGCATCTGGCCATTGACCATATAACCATCACATAAAATATTTATAATGGAATCCAAGCTATAATTATGATTTCCGTATATTCAAGTGAGTAAGGATTTAATAATGTTAAGTAAACCATTCCTGCGTAGACAGCTACGATAAAAAAGAACACTCCAAGTAAATAGTTGTTGCTTAATATTTTCTCCGTTTGAATCTCTCTATACATTTTAGAATATAAATATTTTTTTATAAAAAATATTATTTAAAAAAAGTAAACACAAATTTATAAAATCTAGTATGAGTTTTGAACCATATTAAGAAACCAAAAAGACAGTAAAAGTGGCTCCAGTTAGAATTGTTCAGAATTAGCATGAATAGAATGGCTCTTAACCTCAAATGGCTAAATATCCATAACTTAATTTATAATTCTAATTTTAAAAATGCTTCACTCCAGCTGTCACAATACCCTTAAGCTTTTTATAATAGCTTATCTAATAAGCGCAGTCTAACAAAATTCTGAATTAAATTGGGGAAAACAAAATTGTTAAGCAGTAATAGTCAGAGGCTGTCAATAATCTCATTACTTAAATACAATTTCAAAAACAAGGAATCTCAAAGTCCCAAGATAGTAACGAAGACTCTCTAATTAAGTTATATTTAATTAAAAGTCAAATGCAATTTATTACTGAAGATACAACGTCAATCGAAAAGGTAAAACTATATTTTGCAGACAACCAAAATTTACTGCCTCATTTCTGGGCATGGATCAATTCAATAGAACTTAAAGCCTTAGAGGAAATGCTTATGTTGTGCTATGCCAATCCCTCAAACACTAAAAGAATTTAAGATATTTTCAAATCTCTTTTTTAAACTTTGTCAATTGAATTTTTTTAGAAACATGCTTATGCACAAATTTTGAGATCAAATCTACAAGACAAAATTAAGTATCTCTCAATTATAGGCGATATTTTGAGTAAAATAGTGAACCCTTAGGATTATTTCTATTTTAACAAGTAGTGAATTTATGTAAAATATTAATGCGTATATGTATTATAACACAATAAATCAATTTTTTATGATTTTCTTTATTAATTCATAAGCCATATTGTTATCCATAATTAATCTCTCCCTATCTTTAGTGACTATATGATATTCTACTTAGGCTTTCTTGAATTGCTGATAAGCGAAAACACAAAACAACCAATTGAAAGCCAAAAATAATATTTGCAATGTAATAAAAGTTCCTACCTCCTCCTCAAATACCTATATTTTTGATAATTTTATACAGATTTTATTGTATTAAAATATGAGATAATAACTATTGTAGCTATTGTTCTGAAAGCCAAACTAATTCCTAAACTGATGGGGAACAAATGTAAGATCTAAACGTATTCAAATACCAATTACCTTTTAAGACTTTTGATATATTCCATAATAACCAATAATTGAAGCAACAATAGTACATAATTGAGCAATATTTTAAGGAATCAATATCGTTTCCAATTTTCTAGCCTACTCTCTGTTAGATAAATTGATATCTGTCAAATAAGTTCTGATTCTAAAGATTTATGAATTGCTTTCAAGAGTGATGGCAGAAAATAAACTAAATACTGCCAATCCCAATAAACATGAATTTAATGTAAAGAATATTACCTTCCTTCTATCAAATGAAAACCTGTTTTTGATAATCTATTTCAATTCAGACAATTCTAATTGTTTGGATAAAACTGGTGACTCCATAAATTATATTTTAATTATATAATATAAATATCATTTGGCTTATTATTTTTCCTCCTCCTCTTCGTTGATTGGAAGCAAGGGATTGGTAGTCTAAAATTCCCTTGTATCTCTTCTCTAAAAGCATTTAATATAAGTGATACATAGTCATTTCTTCCTTATTATTAATTTAAGGTAATAATCAAATCTCTCAATTGATTTTAGTTAATTCTTTTTTCAGCATCTCCAAAATGCACTTGGGGAGATGTTGATTTAAAATAAGAAGTGCCTTGTCCCACAGTACTTAATTGTAAATCCCATATTTCGATTAGGTCGATCTAAAAAAATAAATCAATCAAAATATTTTACATTTAGTAAATGTATATCCTCAGGTAATATTGAACCACTTTAGAATGTTTTGTCTTCTTCCACCAATCTACTTGCCTAGAGTTATTTCCCATCTATCCAAATTCTATGATGATCATAACCACTTCCTCCTATTCCCAAACCAGGTTATTTTGGCCCTTATTTAAGAGGTGAATTGAGAGTTTAACTTTATCTTTTTGTTATTATTGGAACAAGCAAAGCAAATTTACTTTACTGTTAACCATTAGTTGAAAATATTTTGAATTTAGGATGGATAGAGAATATGAAAGATCCTTTATTCCCTGAAATATCAGGAGAAACTCTCCATTAGGATGGTGAAAAATATCCAAATACATACTTCTCCAATTTCTCACCATCTTTATCCTTTTGGGAATGCCTAAATAGAATCATATTTGGCCCTTTGGCTTAGAGTAAGCTATTTCCAAGGATATTAAAATTGTACTATTATCCTGTATCGACTTCGTATTTGTAAATTTAATTAATTGCAATACACTTCTAAAACCATGGTACACTTAGATTGAGTAAAGCTTAAATTGATATAAATTTGATACCTATCAATTATTTATTCATAAGTTCACTTGGGTCTAATTTCGGCAATGTATTTCTCAATGTTTTATTAACGAATTTGCCTGCAATATAATTTTTAACAATTTTGCAAATAAGAGGAGTTTCTGATTTAATTTTATCATTAAATGCTTTGTAATTCAATAAGGAGTGATCTAATTTAATATGAGATTCCCTTACTTTCAAAGATGTTGTTGATAATCAGAATTGGTGCTTGATCGTCGTCATGACATAAAATGTCTCCTTTATCACTCTACATGTTAATGAGTTCCTAAAATGATTAGAGAGAGGTTACTTTAAATAGCTTCACTGCATTCGAGTAGCTCACACTTATCTTGTACACATTATTTAAATTGAACGCATCCTTTTACATAATATCAGGACTTGATAAAGACACCAATGTAAATAATGTATATATATCCAAGTTCTTCAGTTAGTTTTGCAATTTCATTGAAACTCTAGTAAATAGATCCACTACAATTATAATTTTAGCATACCTACTGTGAGAAATGTGAGGCTATCTACATAATTTTAGCCCCCATAGTTCCTCATAAAAATATAGAGCTTTTATGCTAACACCGGATTCTCAGTAAAATATTGCTTGAAGCCTTCGAAACTAAAATATTCATCTGCTTTCCTGTTATAAAAATTATAAATACCCTGGTTTTTACTTTGTCATCTTACTGAATTTTTTTAGTGCATAATCATAATCGCTTTAAGAGAATCCTACTTTTTCTCTCAATTCTTTTTCTCTCGATCCGCAGCCCCCCATAACAATTTTTATATATAATNTATTGAACCACTTTAGAATGTTTTGTCTTCTTCCACCAATCTACTTGCCTAGAGTTATTTCCCATCTATCCAAATTCTATGATGATCATAACCACTTCCTCCTATTCCCAAACCAGGTTATTTTGGCCCTTATTTAAGAGGTGAATTGAGAGTTTAACTTTATCTTTTTGTTATTATTGGAACAAGCAAAGCAAATTTACTTTACTGTTAACCATTAGTTGAAAATATTTTGAATTTAGGATGGATAGAGAATATGAAAGATCCTTTATTCCCTGAAATATCAGGAGAAACTCTCCATTAGGATGGTGAAAAATATCCAAATACATACTTCTCCAATTTCTCACCATCTTTATCCTTTTGGGAATGCCTAAATAGAATCATATTTGGCCCTTTGGCTTAGAGTAAGCTATTTCCAAGGATATTAAAATTGTACTATTATCCTGTATCGACTTCGTATTTGTAAATTTAATTAATTGCAATACACTTCTAAAACCATGGTACACTTAGATTGAGTAAAGCTTAAATTGATATAAATTTGATACCTATCAATTATTTATTCATAAGTTCACTTGGGTCTAATTTCGGCAATGTATTTCTCAATGTTTTATTAACGAATTTGCCTGCAATATAATTTTTAACAATTTTGCAAATAAGAGGAGTTTCTGATTTAATTTTATCATTAAATGCTTTGTAATTCAATAAGGAGTGATCTAATTTAATATGAGATTCCCTTACTTTCAAAGATGTTGTTGATAATCAGAATTGGTGCTTGATCGTCGTCATGACATAAAATGTCTCCTTTATCACTCTACATGTTAATGAGTTCCTAAAATGATTAGAGAGAGGTTACTTTAAATAGCTTCACTGCATTCGAGTAGCTCACACTTATCTTGTACACATTATTTAAATTGAACGCATCCTTTTACATAATATCAGGACTTGATAAAGACACCAATGTAAATAATGTATATATATCCAAGTTCTTCAGTTAGTTTTGCAATTTCATTGAAACTCTAGTAAATAGATCCACTACAATTATAATTTTAGCATACCTACTGTGAGAAATGTGAGGCTATCTACATAATTTTAGCCCCCATAGTTCCTCATAAAAATATAGAGCTTTTATGCTAACACCGGATTCTCAGTAAAATATTGCTTGAAGCCTTCGAAACTAAAATATTCATCTGCTTTCCTGTTATAAAAATTATAAATACCCTGGTTTTTACTTTGTCATCTTACTGAATTTTTTTAGTGCATAATCATAATCGCTTTAAGAGAATCCTACTTTTTCTCTCAATTCTTTTTCTCTCGATCCGCAGCCCCCCATAACAATTTTTATATATAATATTTATTTACTATTAAATCGTAAATCAATTTAGTAATATTATGAGTAATTTAATCTCATTTTTTAAATTGATAAATCGTACTCTATCCCACAGAGGAACATCCATCATCAGGCATCTCTTTAATTTCTAAATGTAATTATAATAAGCTTACCACTCATATTTAATAATACTCCATTTTAATGTGACTATTCTTCTGCAATCTGTTTGATTTCCATCTTAATTGAATCCAACATTTTAGTTAAATCATTTTTCCCAGCAGTCATTGTAAAATCAATACAGCATTTTGGTTGATAAAGAGGAGGATGAGAATTCTTGTGATTATCTTATAATTTACTTTTTTAGGTTTAAGTAGTTGTAGTTTACTTTTCTTTTGAACTCATCCTTTTTTTCTTGCTATATTGAATTACATACATTTAATGATGAGTCTCTCTTTGAAGATAATTGATCATCAATCCAATTAAACTATTTGGTACTAGTATCTGCAGTAGACAAATTTTAATTGCTACTATTTCTTTATGAATGTTCTCCTGTTAAGGTACCTCTTGCTGATGTTGTTGCAGGTTCTTATTTCATCATGATAATTTTTTTATCTATTTAAATCTAAGGTTTCTATTGTTGGGATGGATTTTTCTAAAAGAAATATTTTCATTAGACTTACAATCATGGGCAATTATTAGCTTGAAGATGTTTTTTATGAATTACTACTCAATTACCTTGTTTTCAATTGTTATTCAGGTTCTTTTATTATCTACTTTTAAGTCCCAGAAACACCAGGCTTTCTCAAAGGCAAGGGAGATTTCTTAGTTGAAATTGGTTACCCAGAACCTGGTCTTTTTCTTGATAGTTCTTTTTCAACCTAATTGAATAGGTTGACTTCTGAATTCATATGGTTTTTTGATGTCTCTCTTTTAGTTAAAGACATTAAAAGAAATTATAAAAATATAAACTTAATCAAATATAAAATGAATTTCTTCTTATTTATTTGTGCATAATAAAATTTAATAACTTTTTTTTTTAATGGTTTCTGCTTATTCCATTGGAACTGCAAAGAGAGACAGTCCTATCAAAAATTTGGTTCCTGCTCCAAATGCTTACTCCTTAAATAATTAACCGACCTCTCCTCAGTGGACGTATAATGATTAAAAATATCAATAGAATCGGAGGAAAAGTAAAGAGAGAAGTAAGAATAAAATCATGCACTCCTGGACCAGGTTAATATCCGTAGAAATCTTTAATCAATGGTGCACCGTGTTGTACAATTAAGGGTAGACTTAAAGAGAAAGTTATTTCATAATCTCCTGGACCAGGTAATTACAAAGAAGAATAGTTCTTGACGGTGCATAAAAAAATCCCATCTTATAGTATGGGTGTAAAGATTGATAAAATTATCAAAAATTTTGTTCCAGGTCCTGGAACTTATGATTTAAATTAGACTCATCAGACAACGATTTCGAGTAAATTTCCTATTGAGAAAAGAATAAAGACTATGGAAGATGGTTCTAGTTCACCTGGACCAGGATGTAAACTTATTAATTAACCTAGAATATGATCTAACAAATCATAATAAATTTTCACCGCATAAATCATAACCTTCATGGGGTTTCGGATCCAAGAACAATTTTAAAATGCATTAATCATTGGACATGGGTTCCCCTGGCCCAGGAATGTATGAACTAAAAAGTACATTGACACAATAGAGTTTCACTCTTAAGCCCAAATTAAAAACCTAAGAATGTGACAAATCAATACCAGGGCCAGGTAAATATTCTCCAGATGTATCCTTCATTAAATCTTCATAACCTGTATTCAAAATTGGGAAGGAGTCTAGACTTCCATCATAAAAAATTACACAAGACCCTGGACCTGGAAGGTATTACTCTGAGTAAATTTAATATTTATTCTTTTCTTAGGAAATATGATGTAAGAAGCAAGAAAACACAGCCTTGTTACAGTTTAAGTAAAGCAAACAGAATCTCTGTGGCCGAAAATGAATCGCAATTTGTACCTGGACCAGGGGCTTACAATGTTCCGCCTTAAAAATTAGGCAATATTACACTCAAAGGGGCTAAGGCTTAAATGCGACCTTAGACCATACCAGGACCAGGTTTATATGAATTTTAATAATAGGAACCTACAATCCTTAAGATAAATTGTGCTATTCTTATGATGGATCAGTCAAGATTGCTTAGGAGATTAAATAGAACAAGGCTTAATCTTCTGAAAAAAAAATGCCAGGACCTGGGGCCTATGATTATAAGTCAATTTTAATGGGACCAAGTTGGGGATTCGGTAAGTCTAGAAAACGAAAACCCATTTACAATATCAATAACAGTCCAGGGCCTGGAGCTTATGATGTACCATCTAAATTTGCTGATGTTCCAAAATACTTAAATTGTAAACCTAAGTTTTAAGTTTGAATTATATTTATGTACCAACATAATTTCTATTCTAATAATAGTATCAATCAGAATCCTATATAATTTAACTTAAATGCAATTATTTTTATTAATATTTTATAATTTCAAAGAACAATAGATGCAACAATTTTTGAATCAGTTTAAAGAGATAATTAATGTGAATGATATTATTCAGAAGGATGAAAATACTGCAATAGGTTAAATTTTCCTTTATAACCAATATTCTAGTGAATTCGAGGATTTGATTGAAAAGTTTACCACCACTTAAAGCATTTGTGGTTTCACTTCTGTTGCAAATGCAATAGCTTTAAAATAAATAGGACCTTCAATTGGATATATTTAAGCTATTTAACACTTAAAGAAAAACTCTTAATTAAGAAGAAAATATGTATAAGATGCTATGATTTTTATTCAAAACAGCAGAAGAAAATACATTTAATAAAGCTAATGGTTAAGTTCAAATGAAAAAGAGGGTAAAAAATATTTGAATGATTGGGTGGCTAATTTTGAAATAAGCGATTATTTGAGAGAGAAGAAACTTGAAAATATCTTTTTTATAAGAAACATAGCTTATGATCATCCTGAGGCGATGGAGAAACTTTAATTTGAAGAGAAGGACAGAATTGTAGAAGAAGCACCGTATAAAGGAGATGGTTACTTTGTAGATTATGGGTTCACTAAAGAATTTATTAGAAGGAAGGACTTTGAATATTCCTCTTAACACATCTATGTTATTGACATTTTGGGTCATTTCATTTGCAGTATAGTTTTCGAGGACAAGGGAAAAAAGTTTATACTACTGTTAGAGACAATGGAAAGTAATAGGCTGAATAACCAAACAATTAAGCAATTTTATAAGATTTGATATTCTAACTTATATAAAATATATATTAATATTATTAATTCACACAATTATTTATTTGATTAAATTAATTAGACTAATTATTAGGATTGGCATAACTGCTTAATATTAGATAGATTTTGATGGTTATTAGTCATTGGTGATATCATTTAAAATAATTGTTAATTGTGTTAAACAATAAATGAAACATACTAAAATAACGCATGGCCATATTATAGAAGTGGCACAATCTGTGATGAGTGTTACGATATTGTAGGATATGGCAAATAGCAATAATGAAGTAACCCAAAACCAATTAAAATGCTATTGTAACTAAATTAATGCTGTAATTTCAGTGTAAATGAGGGAAACGTAATAAATAATGATGACTGCTACCCATTTTTTGGATCCGTAATTATCATCGCATAATCCAGGTATGATGAAAATGAGGAAGGACAATAATAAAATCTTCCATACAAAGAGTGGCAAAAAAATTAGTATGGGATTCTAGTTTATGAATCCGTCGAGTTACAAACAGAGTAGGATCATAAAAATAGGCAATAATCCCAGAGTAGAATTTTGAGCTATTGCTAAAAATACTTTGGCGATTCTTGGGTATTACTATTAATCTAGTAAAATAATTATTAAATACATAGCCATTTGCTGCTTAAGATCCAAACGACGGAATCGCATAGGAAAAATATGAGTCCAATAATAATCCATTTGATCTAATATTCAATCCGAATCGCGATGATTTACAACATTAAATAGATCGACAATGCTATGAATATACGTATGCATTTGAACAATATCTCCTCCTATTTTCTTCCGATTTCTGATTCGGACCCTTAGAAGTCATCTCGATCTTGCATTATTCGTTTTTGTGAATAATATATTATTATATATTATTTATTCATATACCAAACAATTGCTCCTTTCCATTTCCAACTCCCTCTGATTCCTATTAAACAATCAAAAAGAGAAGATCTTATACAAAATTCACAATAACTAAACTTAAAAAATTAATTAAATACTTATTGTGAATAAACTGAAATTCAGTTCACTTTGAGAAAAACTAATTTCTTTTTATTTCATTAAATTAATAATTCTATTTGCAAATCTTATCAAGATAACAAATATTTAGCAGTATATAAGTAAAAACATATTTCATTTGTATTTATTAAGATTTATGTCTCTCTTACACACTGGGCAATGTTTTTCCCTGGAGAGCCATTCCGAAATGCATTCTTGATGGAATACATGGCCGCACTCCAATTCAATTTCAACTGGATTTCCACTATCTTCTAGACAGATTGTGCAACTAAAATCTACATAACTTCTTACCAATCATTGATTTGCTGTTTGATTTTGCATTATTTGAGTAGCAATTGAATTTGATTTTGGAGCAACCCTCTACTGACAAATCCCATCTTCTCTTACAATTCTTGTAGTTGTTCATAGCTCATCTCATCAAGATCTACATTGTTTTACATTCTAGAGGTGAGAAATAAATATAATAAAATACTAAGTCAGACGATTTTGGAATTCCATCTCCTCTTGTTATTGTAACATAAACGCTAATTGCATTGATTTCTCCTCTTCTGTCATTTCTTCCTAAAATTCATGTTGTGATTTTTCAACTGAAACTTATTCTTAATGCTCCTCCTCTATTTGAGGATTCTGTTGATTCTATAATTGTTATTCTAATTCCTGAATTCTCTGTTTCAATTCATTAACAGTGTTTTTCAAATCATAATTCTCTTGGCGCAATTCATTTATTATGTCAGATTTAGATTACGACCTCTAGTTGAATTTCTATATTTATTCAATTGGAATCTTGAAGAGTTTGTCCACCATTTCCTTCTACTTTGAAGAGGACTTCAATTAACTTAATTTGATTGGGTTGTCCATCTACTTTTTAACAATAAATTTATTTATAATTTTTTACACTAAAACTCTAGTTTATTAATATTGTAATAAATGAACTAAAAAATTAATGAAAATCATTTTGGAACGAATATCTTAACTTCTCCATAATTTAAATATAATGTGAATTTTCCACTGGCAACTTTGATACAATCGGTTGTTGGATAGAAGATATTGCAAAGAGTAGTTCCTAATAATTAATATATCTTTGTACCCTCAGCATATGGATGATAGGTGATGGTCTTAACAACTTATCTGTCGTATTTACTGGAGAATGCAGCAAACAAAGTACCTCTTGTGAAGGCATAGATTTCAGAATCTGAATATCTTTGAATTTGATCTTGATTTCCTGCATTTGTAGTCTTACGTGCACTATTGATTGCTTGGATGAATTTGTACATTTCGGATGATCTATTGATAAATTAAATTCTTACTAGTCCAAATTACCCCATAAAACTTCTCTGTTTTATGGATCATTACCACCAGCATAGAGTTATTCACTACCGTAGTAAATCATTGGGATTCCCACAGAAGTCAAACAAAATGCAGTGATGGCCTTGAATTAGAGCTTTTTGATAGCAGAAAAGGTCAAATGAGGTTTGTCACTTAAGAATACTTCATCTGGAATGTACCCTTAAACTTAATCGTTTAAGAATCTTGCATTGTCGTGATTGTCATTGAAATTACCGGCGTATTGAATATTCTGCTTACCCCAAGAGTTGGTTAAACTATTGTAGTAATTTTCAAATGTATTCATATCTCTCCAATGAAGGAAGACATCTCTGGCTGTGTAGAAAAGAGGGTAGTTCAATAGAGCATCGACTGGACCAACGAATTGTTTTAAGAAGTTCATATCGCCATCAAATACTTCTCCAACTGTATAGACTCCAGCAGCTTCAGAGAACTTATACCAGAAATCAGTTTTAACCATCATGAGAGTATCAATTCTAATTCCATCAAATGAAAATTCAGTGACTAGCCATTTGATCCATTATAATAATTATTCTGTAACAAATTGATTATCTTAATTAAGATCAGCTAGACCTGCAAGTCTACATTTTTCAATATTATAAAGGTTGTGTGAGTTAAAATCGTTGTCTGTGATATCACACCAATCATGATAATGGGATGATTGATTGAAGGGGTAGTTTTAATTGAAATTTAGATTTGTATTTCCCATCTAATTTAGATCAAATAATTTACATGATTAGCCACAACATCCACCATAACCCAAATATCTCTTTAATGGCAAGCATTGACAAGGGCCTTTAAATCATCAGCAGAACCAAAATTGCGATTGACATCATACATATTTCTAGCCCAATATCCATGATATCCACCATCATAATTATCTACTACGGGTGTAATCCAAATAGCATCGAATCCCAAATCTCAAAAATATTATTATATTTACTTTAAATATAATCTAGTTGTTGAATCATTCCTTTGTAGTCACCACCACAATAATTCCCCAAATTGCAAGAAGTAGACCTGCCCTGACTTGTAGCAAATCTATCAGTGAGCAATTGATAAACTGATCTACTCTTCCATTCTTCTTTTGTTTTACAATGGATGACTACGAATAGAACCAACAAAGATAATAACAATCTCATGAATTAAATTTAATGATGTCACAAAAGTAATTATTCAGATCCTATATTTATATATAATATATTGCATATTATAAATCAACATTGCATAATATATCAATTTAATAAAACAACACATCATTTTCCTAAGAGTTCAAATTATTTATGGCTTAATATCATTAAAACCTATAAAATTAAATAAAACTATTCAAAATTCTTACTCATTTATATAGTTCCAATCAATTAGGCATAAAATCTTACGTAATAAATCATCAAATCCTACCTACTTATAATACATATATATATAAATATAGGAGATCAATAAATATTATATTAATATTATTAAGTGTTAAAATTGTAGTTATTTGTCCTTATATCCATTATTATTATACTCTCAATTAATAAGTAAGAATCCGTCTATCCGCACATTTAACCATTTATTCAATTAATAATATAATGTGAATAAACTATAGGCAATGACAGCGACAAATTTAAGTAAGATTTAAACTATAAATATTTTGTTTATTGTTTTATATCGAATAAAATATGTGGTATTACTTATCATTGCATTTGTAAATTTTTCTTAGCCTTTCGAACATCTCCATAAAATATATCTTTTGGAAATCGTTTTAAAACTCTCAATTTATTATACTGTAATCCAAATGAAAACTGCATTATATCTTCTTCCTTAGTCATATTTATTTAACTATTATTAAACTATTGTTTCGATACTCCAATTTTGTATCACTATAATCTTGGATCTATTAAAATACTGATCTTCTTAAAGGAGTCACATCGTCAGATCTTGTATAATTACTTCTTCGATTTCTCAGTTAGTAATAGTTGATTTAAGGGTTCTCGTCTATCTTATTTGGAGTCGACAATCCCTTATTAACATTCCCTTAAACTACTAGTAATTCTTACTTAAATAATTGCTTGACTTTCTGAGAATTTAAATTTGTAGATCAGGTTAACTAGATTGTTTGGAATGATCGCAATCATAGATTTCTCTATATACTATATATATTAGAGAGAAGAAACCTTCCTTAATTAACTTTAACTGCTTTTAATCGATTCCCTTTATTAGTTGCAATACGATTATTTAACGCATTCAACTTATTGTTCTGAATCTCACCTTTATCTACCTTATCAATCTCAATTTATACTTAAAAACATTAAAATCTCGTTAGGATAACTATTAGACTCATTCGGTTTATCAATCTCAGTTTTGATTCTTTGATGAGAAGTGACAGATTTTTTGGATTTGTGTATTTCATGAACATCAATCGAAGTTTTCAAATAATGGTTAGATCGATCAGGATGATCTATAAAATGTTAAAGTATCAAATAAAACTTCTAAAGAGATTCACAACTTTGGGTTGACTTGAATTTTTATGAGTGAAGTTTTAGTACATTTTGTTTGGTGGTTCTCCACCTCTGCATTTATTTGCACTTTGAGTTTTTCTAAAATCATTGTTAACTGCTACATCCAGAGGAAATTGATATTACATTATAAAATAATTGATTAAGTTTATTATAATATAAAACTCATTATAAATTACTCTTAAATAATATCATTCAATTTTCATTTTAACTTACTTTCAAAGAATTCTATCATTTTTTCCCTTTAAGTTTTCTAAGTGGCATTTTCTATCTTATTTTATGGATACTCATTCGACAATACATTCAAATACTGTCCGATCCCATCAATAAATCTATTATTTAATACATAATCTATTTACTTGTAATCCTCAAATAACTGTTGTCCATTGAAAATAGATCCAGTTAACACTTATTCTTTATTTTACCTATTTTCAATCATCTGTCTGATTTACAATTAGAGTTATTGGTTTTATTATTCACTAATATTTTCCAATATATTTGTGGAAGTATTATTACTTAAAGGGTCTAATTATTATAAAAATGTTTCATTAGAACCAGAATTAAAAGTTCGAACCTCCAATTTGTAATGTTCTAATAAGTTTAGAATGTTTAAGGTTTAAATTTATGTTCCCACAGCCCCGACAATTGATGTCTTGTTACAAAATATTTTATCTCCCATACACAATAAATAAAATGCTCCTGATAATGCATAGTCTTCTGCAAACGTATACAATGGGATATTATGCTTTTTTCTAACTAAATCAAATTTTCTTTATATGATATGGGCATGTGCTAGACTACCTCCTGTTGAATTGATTATCAAAGCAATTGCCTTGGAGTTTTCTGGATGAAATTTTTTTAATGCTTTATAAACTTTATAAGTCCTAACAATTTTTCTTGAATTTTTACATAGAGCTGGTTATTTAACCCTGCAGACAAAAGAATGAGACCTTTTTATATTTTTCTGTGTCTTTTCCAATTAATTTTAAGAATTTATACATTTAAATATATTATAATTCTCATTCATTTAATTGCGCTACTAGAGCAGTTCCTCTCTTTACCCAATTACTCAAATTTAGTAAGGTTATGATTCAATAATCTTAAAATATAAATAAAAATATTTCAAAGTTAGTAGAATGTCCTTTTATTGATAAAGTACATCTTCTATGAAGAGTTTTGTATACATGAAAAATGCAATCTTCATAATTCTCAATAATTTGAAAGTATTTTTTAAATAATAACTCTTTCTTTTCTTTCTTATTTGCCCTTTGCATAAGCATCTCAAATACTAAAAGAGCTCACTCTTAACTTATGCAATTAATTAGTATTATTATTGATAATCTACTTAGCATCAAGCAGACACTATGTAGATAATAGTAAAATACTTTCTCTTCCTTTTGCCATCCAATCATATCAACTCCTTTCAATTTCTATATAAAATTTTCATCTTATAAAATAATAAAATGCTTAAATTTCTTGAGAATAGAGATCTTTAACCTACAAAGAGAGGAAAGGATATAATGAGATATGAAAGCTCAAGTCACCTCCCGAACAATCGATAATTTAATAGTCCCTTACATCAAGATGCCTTAATCTAAAATGATAAACCTACATATTACATTACAAAAAAATTACCTCCTGTTCAAATCTATAATCCTTTAGTTTAAACCACAGATTCAGTTGAAAGACCAGAATATATTGTTAAACAAAAGGACATCTACATCCCAAGATATCTGAATGAATATAAGACTAAAGGTTTTAAGAAGAAGTAGGGAATATTTGAGTCATACTAGCATTTATTAGCTTAAAATAAATCTTTGATCTAAGGTATTCATACTGATAAAAAACCATCATCACTGCCTCCCATTAGAATTCATAAAAAAGAATAGTCTACATTGAATATACCTGCATAAATTTCAACTAGAAGTTACCAAAATTAACAAGTTGATTAACGTTGCTTTAAGAGTATATCTTAGAACATTTATTCTGTCAATAATAGATCTATTGATAGCGAATAGAATAAAGCTAAGTATATCACAAATACCACTTAACAAAAATAAAGAAACTCTCATAAATTATTAACAGAAAATAAAGGTATCCAAGTCAACTTTGAAAAAGACTCAAGTCATAAAATAACAGAATTCTCAGAAGATTAAACTTATAACTTTAATTTTTAGTATCAATAAAAATAGGAGGATTAAGAAGAAAAGGAAAGACAGATGAGAGAATTAAGTATTTTTGATAAGAAAATCAAAGAGTTTAAAGAATAATAAAAATTGAAATTATACAAAAAAGAAGTTTCTTGAAATAATCCTATTGATTATTATGATAATAGTAAATTGATTATTCAATTCATTTTCTTTTACAAAACTGCTTATAATATTAATTATTATACTTGTTACTAATCTTATCAAAACAATATTTTATTCTGATCTATTCTACATGAAGGAGTAATTCTAATTATTTGATTCTAAAGCGAAGAGTAAATTCTTTAAAAAATCGTTTTCTTTTAACAATTTTATTTTAAAATATTTATAGTTGCTAAGGTACTAAAATTGATGAAGGGGTAATTTTAGTTGTAATTGCTATTTTTTGAAAGAACATATTTTCTTAATTCTAAATCTTTACAAAAAAATTGGTAGCAACTAATATAAGTTAAAATTAATTGAGTCCCTTGATATTGGGGTTGTTGGATTATAACAATTCATAATTACATTTGATGAAAATTTAAAGAAAATTTGTCCAAGGATGATCTCTTTTATCGATAATTTATATTCGCTTGAAATTATTGAGAATTAAATGTACATTCAATATAAAATTAAATCCCATAATAATTTTAACAGAAGTGTTGAATTAATGAAATTTTCGAATCCTAAGAAACTCTCAATTCATTTAGATTTCGCATCATTCAAGGCTGAATTTTAGAATTCTTTACCCTCTTCAACCAAAAAAATAAGCACTCAACCTAATAGTCCAAATGGGATTGCCAAAAATATTAAAACTCAATAACCTTTGATACTAGTGTAAAACTCTCTTTCGAGCTAAAATTTATTGTCTCCTTAATAGAAGAAGTCTACAGATTTCGAAAGTGCTTTCAGCAAATTCCCTCTTCTTGTTGATTAATTTGTTAAGCTTTATAATTTAAGTAAAAGTGAAACTGGTGAATTGGCAGGGATAAAACAAGTAATCGATCTTGAAATTTTAGGTCTATTATTATAAGCCATAGAAGGTATCGTCAGAAGGACCAAATGGTGACTATCTAGCTCATCCTAAGGATCATATTCGATACCAATATGAAATCATAAAACAAATAGGATCTGGAAGTTTTGGACAGGTATTCGAAGTATTGGATCATAAAACTAAAAATACGGTTGCTTTGAAAATAATAAGAAATTAAGACAATTTAAAAAAGTAAGCGTAGGTTGAGACGAATATACTCATTACAATATAAGCTAAAGATCCTATGGGCCTCTAATCTATAGTTAAATTGTAGGATCATTTTACGTTTAGAGGACATTAATGCTTGGTCTTTGAGAAGTTGGAATGCACTTTATTTGAAATGTTGAAATATCAATTATTCAGAGGATTTGATTACGAAACTTTAAAGAAGATAGCATATTAGATAGTGAAAGGCCTGTCCTTTTTAAGGTAATGTAATATTGTTCATTGTGATTTGAAACCAGAGAATATTATGATTAGTGATATGCAATAAAAAGTAGTTAAAATAGTGGATTTTGGAACAGGATGCTTTGAAGGTAATTAATTTTATACTTATATTTAAAGTAGGTATACAATTTAAAATATATTAGATATTATCGAGCTCCTGAAGTATTTTTTGGTTTAAAGTATGGATATGAAATAGACATGTGGAGTCTGGCATGTGTGATTGCTGAACTTCACACTGGGAAGCCTTTGTTTCCTGGAGAAAATGAAGTGGACCAATTCAACCTTATAATGGAAGTCATAGGTATTCCAAAAGCTGAATTTGCTTTGAAATGCCCAAGAAAAAAGATGTTCTTTGATGACTCAGGACATCCTAAGAAAACAATCAAATAATATAGAAAACCAAAATCGATTAACCTAAATGAATTACTCAAGACAACTGAAGAGGACTTTGTTGATTTCATACAAAAGTGTTTAGTTTGGGAACCTGAATTGAGAATGAGAGCTAATGAGGCTATCTAACATCCATGGATAAAGGGATTAGCCTTATAAGAGAAAAATAAGGTCATATCCTTTCGTAACTATAAAGAAAATTAAATAAATAAGATGTCGTAATAATAGTTTAAGGAATCATTCGACAAGAAGATCATGGGTACAATAGAAAAAACCAAAGCTTTAATTGCTCATAATAAGAATAATAGTTAACCTGCAATGTTAAATAGTGCTCGGAATCAAGAGTTATCTAGTTTTAGATAGAGATAATAGATGGTTTAATCTATTCATTAAATACTAAGATAAACAAATACAAAAAAGAGTTCATTCATCAGAAAACCATCTATCGAATGAAAGATAGAGTGAATTTAATTTTATAAATACTCTATAAAAATAGTATACAATTAACATCAAATATAATCATAAATGATAACTAAATCTCGATAAAGGATGAGATTAGTTTTTGAGTTCTGTTCGTATTAATTTAGTAAGCATTTGATTTTATTTAAGATAGGGAGTGTTTTGATTGTTCAATGATCTACTACTTAATTAAAGACCAATTTTATTTTCATATGGATTAGTAATACATCTGCTAATTTTGTTGATTGGAAGGGTTGGAAATAAGAGAGAATTTCTTTGATTACCAATAGAAGAAGATTGAGGAGTTGTTATTTAGAGATTAAAAGTGAGAGCTCTATTGCCATTCATTAACATTTTTAATAATTCAGATTTTCCAGCTAAAAATTAATTCATTTTACAATCTTAAACTTTGAAATATTTTTCTTTATCAAGTTCCATTTAAGATTTATGATTTGATTTTATAGTGATGTATTTAGGAGGAGTCTTGCATGAAGGTGGCCTTTCCATGTTATCATATTCTTAAATTAATAAAATGATTACCAACTATTGTATCTTGTTTAGTTAATTTCCTTAGCAGGGTCGGCTTTCTTGTAGTTCTTTTTTACTTCTTTCTTTCTAAAATATCAGCAAAACTAGTCAAAGCAAATCGTTAACCATCAATTTAATGATGCTATTAAATTTGAGTTGGCAGATTGGAAAATTATTTTGCTGACATCTCACCAAATGTATCTCCATATGCAGATTTTCTTCTTGGTTATTATTATTATCTCATTAAAGCTATTTTTTCAATTACATTCTTCAATGGTTTTAAATTTATAATTTTCTTACTTTTTATTTACTTTTCAGTTTGAATAGGATTTACATTATTATCATCTTTTTCTCCCTTTAATAAACGAAAACAGTGTATTAATGAATTTTTTTTTGTTGATTTGTTTTGACAATCAAATAATTAAAGTTTTTAAGATTTTGAAGGTGTACACTATTATAAAACCAAATGACTGACTCTTCGAGCATTAGATTAGAACTGAGGATAGTCACTTTATTCTATTTATTTCAGAAATAATACATAGGAAATCAAGCATGAAATAAATAAATAATATTAAATATAATATTTAATATCAACCTTTACGCTTACTTAGTCTCCATGCGTTTGCATCTCCAAACTTGCAACTTAATGGATCGAGTTTCTCTGATTTCTTTGTTTTTGAGAGTTATCCCATTTGATTGTGAGCCTTGAAATAATTTTCAGCAACTTCAATAAGCCATCTAGGTTCTAAAGGAATGTTACTAATATATATGATACCTATTTCACAGACTTCTCTCATATACTCTTTCGAAGTCATGACTAGCTCATGATACACACACCACAATGGTCCTTTGTTAAACAATGCACTACTAGGATGGATATAGACTTATTAATTGTCAGATAGAGTTTTATATCCTTCAGCTTAATCCTAAAATTGAGCTTATATCATACTTTTTTAGCAACATGGAAGAAATAACCAGCAGTTATGGCTTTTCTGATTTTCCAAAAGTCTTTACCACAAGAAGTAATTTAGAACTTATATCTTTCCATAATTTATAATAATTGTTTCCTAACATCTTAGGCTCTCCTCATAGATCTCGCTTAAATATAATTTTCATGACACCACACATTGCTAAAATTGTTTTTCTTCCAATGCTCGTAAACTGTTAACAATGTTAAATGATCTCCCTCTGGTCTATGAAATCTGGCCTTTTTCTGATCTGCTAATTGTTATCTGTCTTTTGGCCTGTAAAAGATGTTTGGTTCTGATAACATTGCAATGATTGTAATGATTTCATCCACACATCCCAAATCAACTGCAGTCAATAGCATTTTAGCTTGAGGTGGTTCCAATGGGAATTCTGCCATCTTCCTTCCTACTTTTGTTAACAATCCTTCATCATCCAATGCTCCCAATGCGTACAATTATTCCATGGCTGCAATCATAGTTTGAACAGGTGGAGGATCCATAAAGTCAAAATTCAAAAGATCATGTATTCCCATGGCCTTTAATAATAAAATAGTATTTGCTAAATTAGTTCTCTATATTTCAGGTACTGAAGTGGGTAACATTTCTGTGTTAAATGCTTATTCAGTATATAATCTATAACATTTTCCTGGACCAGTTCTTCCTGCTCTACCAGCTCTTTATTGGGCAGATGCCTAACTGATTGGAGCAATAATTAATGAATCCATACCCAATTTTGGATTGTATACCTTGATTTTAGAGAACCCTGGATCAACCACATAATAAATTCCGTCAATAGTGATTGATGCTTCTGCAATATTAGTAGCTATAACAATCTTTCTGGCTCCTGTAGGGGCAGGATCAAAAATCTTCTGTTGTAATTCTGTAGGTAAAGCCGAATATACTGGTAAAATAATTAATTCAGGAGCATCTGGACCCAACTTCTTCATTCTCTCATGAAGCACTTAACATGCTGTGTCTATTTCTTCTTGTCCAGTTAAAAACAATAGGATATCACCAGCTGGTTCTTCTAAATGGATCTAAATTACACATAATTAGGCTGCTTCTAAATAGTCTTCTTCAGGTTCATTGGTGAAAAACACTTCAACAGGAAAGTTACGTCCTGGAATTCTAAATATCTTACAATTAAAAAAATATGATGAAAATTTTTCAGCGTCCAAAGTAGCTGATGTTACAATTAATGTGAAATCGTTTCTTTTAGCTACAACTTATTTTAATAATCCAAATAACACATCAGTATTAATGGTTCTCTCATGTGCCTCATCTAACATAATAAC